CTTTAGCTTAGTACTAGTATTTTTCTACTACTAACTAGATCTACTAGTAGTCTTATATAGCGCTAAGAGGTAAGTAATTAATTAGTACGTTAATAGATTCTTAGAGTAAGTAACTAGGCTCTTATAGCTCTAATTCTTAGTATTAGCTATTAGTAAACGCTTCTTAACAAGACTACTTAGTTTAGCTAGATATTATGCTACTATCTTTAGCTAAAGAGGTATTAACCTTTAAATAATATAAGAGCTAGGTTTATAGTCTCTACTACTATAAGCGCCTCTAGAATACCTAGCTAGGTAGGTTAGCTATAGGTAGCATAGTCTCTATAAGCTATAAGAATAAGAGGTGCTAGTAGAGTAGGTTAGATTAAATTTAGCTATCTAAAGGTGCGAAGTAGAAGGCTACTCTAAGAGGTTCTATATATAGAAGTACTAAGTACTAAGACGCTAGGCTAGGTTACGTAATAGAATTACGTAACCTAAGATTATATAATCTAAGGTAAATTCTAAACTAGACTATTATACTATATAAAGCTAAGTAAGTATATTATAGAGTATACTAGTAAGTAGGTAGACGTAGATAAGCTACTAGCTAGCTAGCTAGCTAGCTATAGCGCGTAGGTTAGTTTCTAAACTTTTAATATTCTATAGCTAGAAAGGCTACGTAGTACTCTAATTAGCTATAGCTCTATAGTAGTATAGATTTCTATTATTTAATTAGCTAATTAATTATACCTAATATAATAGTCTAACTTAGCTCTAACTTAGTACTTTAGCCTAACTTAGCTTCGTCTAAGTTACATAACTCTGCCTAGCGCCTTAGTATAGGCACTTTATATATATAGAGAGCTCTTAGAGTATTCTTCTACTTCTTACCTTTAGATAGCTAAATTTAACCTAACCTACTCTGCTAGCACTCTATTCTTATAGCTTATAGAGATAGTACTACCTATAGCTAACTTACCTAGCTAGGTGTTTCGAGACGCTTATAGTAGTAGAGACCGCGAACCTAGCTCTTATATTATCTAAAGATTAATACCCCTTTAGCTAGAGACAACAGCATAATATCTAGCTAAACTAAGTAGCCTTATTAAGAAGCGTTTACTAATAGCTATATTAAGAATTAGAGCTATAAGAGCCTAGTTACTTACTCTAAGAATCTATTAATATTACTAATTAATTACTTACTCTTTAGTGCTGTATAAGACTACTAGTAGATCTAGTTAGTAGTAGAAAGATACTAGTACTAAGCTAAAGAGAGCTATTAAAAGCTCTATATATAGAAGAACTTCTATAGAACTTCTACGTGTAAAAACTCCCCCTCTCTTTTATAAAATTACGAAAAATTAATAATTCTCTACTCTGCTAGTAGAGCTAATAACCTGCTACTCTACTAGTAGCTAATACCCCTCTTATTTTAAAAGCTAATAATTCTCTATACTATCTATAGAGCTAATAATTCTCTACACTACCTATAGAGCTAACAACTAGCTGCTCTGCTAGTAGCTAATACTCTCTATTTTAAAAATTAATAATTCTCTACTCTGCTAGTAGATCTAATAATCTCTCTACGCTGCTAGTAGAGCCGACAACCTACTATCCTGCTAGCAGCTAATACCTCTCTATTTCGAAAAACCGATAATTCTCTACCCCGCTAGCAGAGCTAACAACTAGCTACCCTACTAGTAGCTAATACCTCTCTGCTCCGCTAGCAGAGCTAATAACTAGCTACCCTGCTAGTAGCTAATACCTCTCTCTCTTAAACAAAAAAGTATACCTAGATAAGCTAGAGCTTCTATTATAGTTAAATGCTTAAATTAAGGTATATAAGAGAGAGAAGATACTATAGAAGACGGTAAAGGATTTAAAGCCTATATAGGTAGAAGACTAGAGAGCCTTAGAGCTTAAGAACGAGCCCTCTCTATAAGAGAGGGTAATATAACAGTCTAACTTAGCTCTAACTTAGTACTTTAGCCTAACTTAGCTTCGCCTAAGTTATATAACTCTACCTAGCGTCTTGGTATAGGTACTCTATATATATAGAGAGCTCTTAAAGTATTCTTCTACTTCTTACCTTTAGATAGCTAAATTTAATCTAACCTACTCTACTAGTACTCTATTCTTATAGCTTATAGAGATAGTACTACCTATACTAACTTACCTAGCTAGATATTTTAGAACGCTTATAGTAGTAGAGACTATAGACCTAGCTCTTACATCTAATTATACCTAATTCTAATTATACCTAATTAATTTTTAGTAGAACGTTAGAGTCTCTAATTAGGTAATTTTTTTATCTAAATTAGGTAATTTTTTTATCTAAATTAGAAACTAAAGTTTTGCTAGTATTCTATAAACTTAATTATAATTACTCTACTTATACCTTACTATATAATTAACTAGCTTCTATCTATAAACTAATAGCTAGATAGAATAGATAAACTAGACTCTAGAAAAATACCTAAGAAACTACGTTAACTAAGAATAGAATAACTAGGTTAAACTACTACTTATAGTATAACTAGTATATAATATAGTAAAATAAGAAATAATAAAAATAACTCTTTATTAAGTATATTATAGCTATAAAGCTAGAATATATAGATTCTTAAAGTATATAGCTATAATCTCTCTAAGAATAGAAGAGAAGAAAAGCTAGATAAGAATAATCTATAATAAACTATAGAGAATAGTAGAAAAAATAACTTAATAAGTAAATAAGAAAAGAATTAAGAAACTAACCTTTAAGAAGAGAGGTAAAGTTTTTATTCTATAAAAAAACTTACGTACTAAGTAACCTAGTAAAAAACTTAACTACTTATAAATTAGACTATTTAAAATTAATAGGTAGCTTAGACCTATTAACTTTAGGTTAAAGCTACTACTAATAATATAAATACACTCTATATTCTATAAATCTAAACTTAAATCTATACCTAATAATATACTACTTAATAAATAAACTAAGGTAAAACTAGACTAGAACTTTAAAGTTAAGAGAATACTAAATAAAAGACGTATATAAGGTTAGTAGAAGTACTAGGTTAGATAGAAAGAATACCTACTAGAAGAAAATATATAGAAACTACTAGAAAATCTTAAGAACTACTCTAAGAAACTTAAGAAGTTTTATTAGTAGTACTACTTCTAAGATCTAGAGACTAGAACTCTAGATTCTCTAGATAACTCTAGTTAAATAACTAAAGAGAATTAACTAGAAAAATAGAGAGTTATAACTATAAGAACTACTATACCTTACGCTCTAACTATTCTAACTTCTTAATATTAGTAAGATCTCTAGAAAGTAGCGTATTCTAGTAATACTATACTAACTCTAACTACTTTTATAGGTGCTTACTACGCGCGTTAGTAGACTACTAGAATTTGCCTAGAAGTACCTCTTAGGCACGTAGGTAATCTAGCTCTAACTACTAAGCTTTAGTAAGGCGCTCTACCTTAAGACTAGCCTTAGACTACTAAGAACGTAAATTAGCTACTAACTAATCTAGCTTCTCTACCTCTTTCTAGTCTAATACCTTATTATAAGACTAGTTCTTTATAATATACTCTAAATAATAACTAGAAAATATCTTTATAATATAACGTAAGTTATAAGAATAGTAAGTACTATAAGAGTTATTTAATATATTAATACTAGTATATAGAATAAGGTTAGTATAATAATAGTAGTAGGCTATTAAAAACTTAGTACGTGTAGGTAGTATAGTAAGAATAGAAAAGAAAGAGAGAATATAATACTATAGAACTATAGGTAGTACTACTCTTATATAAGAATAGTATAAAATAATAAAACACTATACCTAGAAATAGAATAGAGCTTTAGAATAACGCTTTAGAAGAAGAGGTAGATATTATAATTATAGAATTAGAAATAGAGCTAGCTAGCTAGAATAGAGAAAATAGTAGACTAAGCCTAGAGTTATAAGATAAGAAATTACGTATATAGTTATAAGAATAATTAGAATTACGTAACAAGAATTAGATAGATTAGAGAGATTAGACTCTAATCTAAGAATTAGAGTCTAATCTAGAGAATCTAAGAGAGCTAGATCTTAGTACCTAATCTAGCTAAGATAGCGTATATATATAACTAGAAGAAGCTTACTCTTTATAGCTTCTTATAGTTATTACTTTATTTATTAAATTACTATAGAGACTTATAATTTATAGTATTATTACCTCTACCTCTTTATTACTAAAGATTCTAGCCTAAAGTATACCTCTTACCCTCTCTTATAAAAGTAAGCCTTAGTCTTAGTTAAGAGAATAGCTTATAATATATACTTTAGAGCTTAAGAATAAGCTTTTTCTATAAGAGAGAGTAATATAATAGTCTAGCTTAGTATTACTAGAGTTATATAACTTTATCTAGCGTCTTAGTACTTAGCTCTCTATATATAGAGTCTCTTAGAGTTTTTCTCTACTTCTTACCTTTAGATAGCTAAATTTAACCTAATCTACTCTACTTATTACTCTTATTCTTATAGCTTATAGAGACTATACTATCTATAGTTAACTTACCTAGCTAGGTATTCTAGAGTGTATATATAGTAGTAGAGACTAGAAGCTAGCTCTTATAGATATAAGGTATTAGCAAATATATAAGAAATTATAACTAATAAAGTAGAAGAATAGAATAATTCTTTTGCTTAAAATAAGATTACAGTCTACCAAGAAGACAATAAGGCGCTGGAACAAAGAGATGCAGCGTCGGCAGCGTGCCTGCTAGGCGACCGGCACACGGTCTGCTTCACGCAGCTCAACGGCGAGAGACCGCTGAGGCATAGGTCGACTAGGGGGTGGTTGCATTTCTCCAAGGGCATGCACGGTCAGCCTCCCGAGGTCTGCAACGGGCGACGACGGGCCGAGACAATAAGGATGCTCGCGCTAGGATCAAAGACTCCAAGGAGCGTGACCAGGCCACGCCTCTCTTGTATATAAGGCGCATTGTGGGTATCTGAACCCGGCGTTGCCAAGTCGCCCCCGCGGACACGCACGTCCAATCGCTTGTTCTCCGACGATGACACGTGGCTGCGACGCCTTCTTATTACAAGCCGTGCCGTACGTTCACAATACACCCAGCTTTTGGTCTTTCTGTCCGTCGTTTCACCTGCAAACGAACTGGACTACACCCCGTACAAGCGTATTCCTACGCGCTTTTGCGTCCAGATGCTTCGCGGAACCCACCAGCGCGCTTGGACAAAGCCACTCAACTGGAACCTCCATGCCACCATCCTGTTCGGCGAAACTCGCACTCCATTCTCGCTATACGTCAGAGCGGAGCCAGCGGGCTCTCAATGCCAGGCGTTTCCGCAGTTCCTCGCATTGCCTGCTGAACTGCAGCTACGTGTCCTTGGCTTCTGCGATCCCCCAACGCTCTTTTGGCTGATGCAGGCGTCGCCGGCTACTCGCTTGGAGGCTGAAAAGCTCTTTTGGTCCCATCCAGACGCGTGGTACTCTGTTGAGTGCCACTGGGTGCTCGACGGAGGGTTTGCCGGCTACGCACACCTTGCGCCTGAGTTCGTGGCCCGCGTCGAGCGGGTCGAGGTGGATTTCGCCGATATAGAGGAGCTCTGGACAGATCCCGTGGCTCAAATTTGCGGCACAGCGTCCATGGCCCTGTCCCACGGCCGGACGGAGCGGCTCCGGCGCTTTTGGCAGACGCTACGGCGCCGACTGCCCCGCGTAACCTGTGTTGTTATCAGCGAAAGCAGGCCGCGCAAAGCCCGGGAGTCGTTGCCGCAGGACCTCCAGGCTTTGCTTCAGATGTGCCCGTCTAGCATAAGTGTCCTGGCGTCCCTCCTCTTCTGGGATGTCCCAGAGAGGCGAAAGAGCGCGGAAAGGAGCCTATGGCGATTGGCTCCGACGAGCGCCGGCACTCCAGGCGACTGGGAGGAGGTGAATCCAGTGTGGACACGACAGAGCATCCTCCCACCGCCGAAGGAGTTTCGCGGCCCCGTAGGGGCGTACGAGCGCACCCGCTACAAATTCCTCCTTTACGGCCTCCGCAGAACGGCCGCCCAGCTGCTGCGCCTTGAGGCACGGGAGAGGCACCACTTCCACGGACGTCGAGAGCCCTTTGGCTGCCCTTATCCTGGGTGCGAGGCCTGGTTCAATTTGCCAGGGGAGTGGACGTTGCATGCGACCTATACCAGGCATGACTACGAAGCCGTTGCCCCTAATGCATTCAAGGCCTCATTTGACCAGCTCGAGGGAGATCTAGAGCGCATGTTGCAGCAAGACATCCACGGCCCGAAGAGGACGATGCTCGAGGACTGGGGCGAGGAGGGGAGCAACAAACGGCAAGCCGCAGAGCAGGCGTTTCTCCATCAGCTAGATTTCGATCCTCTGTACACACACGTGAAGCCAGCCAGAGAGACCTTAGCCTGGGCTCTATACACAGAGGATATGGATCCGAGCAGTGCCTCCTAGAGTAGGATTGGAACCAGGGAGAACAATGGGAGAAGGAAAAGAGCCCAAAAAATAAAATAAAGCAGGGGGGGTGGTGTGGATGCCTACTCGTTACGTCTTGGGGAGACATTGTAGGGTAGAGGGCTACACGTAGACGAAGAGAAGGAGAGAGGGAGAGAGGGAGAGAGGGAGAGAGAAGAGGGGGAACAGGCCGGGCCTTGCATAGGACGAGAGGAGGTAGGCCGCTGTGCCAGTGGCAGGTTTTAGCCAGACAACCCCGAGAGGCCGCTGAAAGGATAGATGGCGTAGGCGCGAGCGCATGGTAAGGCCGCATAGACTCGGATCTGCCCAGGTTACTATTACATCTGTCCTTGACTATTTTGGAGCACGCGGTGCCGCTTGCCTCGCCCCAGTTGCTGCCAGACTACCACGGCTGTGCCGTGATGGCTACCCTAACGCCATCCGCAGCTTAGCGCCCAGGGCTCCTCTAGGATGAACACGGAATCATCTTGTAACGTAGCCGCCGCACAGGGTATGCACGGCGTTGGTAAACGTCTACGTGGCATCAGGGATGCTCAGTACGCTTGTGTGTTTGAATAGAGAGCATGCTGCACGGAGAAGAAGAACGTCCTACTGGTCTCTGTCTTCGCTTTTTTTTTTACGCACGCACTGGTCCTACCAGCGCCCTCTCTACCTCTACCTCTTCTGTTTCCTCTTGTCTTGCTTTGCACGCTTCTCTATACTACGCATTGCTGGACCAACCTATTATCATAGCCATGGCTCCGGTCCAAGGCGACATCCCTCTTGCATGTCAGCACTTGGTGCACCCCACGGATCTTATTTCGTAGAAGACGTCGATTGCCCGCCCCGCTAGTTTACTCCATTAATTTGCTTTTCCGTGTCGCCGCCCTCGCCAGCTTCGCGACCATCGCCCACGCTCACTTCGTCCTCCAAGTTCCCACCAGCCTTGGATTCGACGATGCGAAAGAGACCGAGTCACCTTGCGGCTCGTTCTCCGCAACGGACCGGAGCACTGGCGTCACCAACTATCCCATTGCCGGCGCACCTGTCCAGATGTTGACCACGCACACTTCGGTGACATGAGACTTCAAAGCCGCTCTCCTGAGCGGCCCAACCTCGTTCTCTCCCTTGCTGCCCGTGGTCCAGCAGACGGGCGTGGGGACCTTTTGCCTGCCCCAGGTGCCCGTAAACGCTGCCTGGGCAGGCCAGGACGCTATCCTGCAGGTGATCCAGCATGGTCCTGACGGGACTCTGTTCCAGGTATGCGCCGCGTGCAAAGGTCCAAGAACGCTGCTCACATAGCTTTCAGTGCGCTGCCATCAAATTCGTCACTGGAGGTGCTGCCGACGTTCCCGGTAGCTGCGTCAGCACCGACATCACTGCGTCTTTTCTTGGTGGAGGGGCCTCGAGTTCGTCAGCCCCTTCATCCACGCCTCCAGCTGCCTCGTCCGAGCAAGCAAGAATTGGTTGACATAGGTACGCGAACTGCAGCATAAACCAGTGATTCCAAAGCCCACAGGACTGAAAAGTCCTTTACCTACCGATTGCTAGTCCCCGCTAAAAAAATTACCCAGCTATGTATGGCCCCTGCAGTCATGTACACCCCATCGACTCACCAACAGTCCCCCTCAGCCAACCACCCTTAACTGTCAACCCTCCTCAGATGCCCAGCCAAAGTCCCCCGACACTTCAGACACGTATGCGCATTCCGCATCTCACTATTCACCCAATTCTGAAGACACTCCCCATGGAACACATGACCACATCAGATCCGAAGAGCTTAGTGATCGCTGTCATCATACAGCTCATAGCAGATCTCGCAGCGAGCACCTAATGGGAGCTCTGCCATGGAGACGATTTCGTAGTTCTGGAGTTGCGCTTTGAACGGCGGAGGTGGAGGCGGCTGGAAGAAGCCTATCCGCTGGTTGCGAGGCATGCCTGGGATGAGTGGACGCGGGATCCGCCGCGTATGGGTGGGCGGATTCGGTGTTCCGCGTTGAGAGGGCTGTGTGACTTGTGGCCCCTGGGCTTGTGGAGCTCCTCGTAGTATGGGGGACTGCTGAGTCTGGATGGCAGAGCGTTGGGGAGGAGCTTGATAGCCGTTGCCGGATCGCGAAGCACGGATCTCCCGTGGAACCGGACGTCGGGTCAAACGGCTAAGAGGTGTAGAAGCGTCCACCAGGTCTGGCATTCTTGATCTATTGGCCATGGACCCGCCGTTCGGACCGGAGCCGTACCGATCAAAACTGGAGTACGTTCTCAGAGCGGGAAAGTTGAACGGAGAAGACCGAGTATCAGTCACCTGAGGTCCCGAAGGTGGAAGAAGACGCGCTCCTCGATCGCTGTTCTCGTAACTAGCAGCCATTGAAGGAAATGGACGTGGGGTGTTGATACGGTTCGTGGGTTCGCCAGGTGCTTGATACTGATGAAGAATAGATCGCGGAATTGGAGGCTGTCCGCGTCCGCCTCGTGTCAGAGTACCGGACGTAGTGGGCATGCGTGATGGGTTAGCATTCTCACTCATGAGTTTGCCTTGAGCTTGACGTTGACGGATGAATTGTGGAACGGGAAGATGCAGGCTTAGGCCGCCATTTCCAGCACTACTTGTCGGAAGGTAGCGAGGCATATTTGGGCTGTCACTCGCGTGCGCGCAGGGCTCTTGACGTTGGAGATAGTGCTGTGGAGGTTGAATGTGATGCACTGCCTGACCGTCCATGCCGCTGTCCCGAGTGGTGTTCGTTAGAGGAGATCGAGAGGAGGCCGTATTGCCGATTGGATTTGCTTGTGGTGCTTGGCTCTGGCGAACAGACTGCGGAACAGGTGCAGAGGCTCCCAAGCCGCGGTTTTGGGCGATGCTCGTTGGAAGACTGCGCAAGCGATTCGGTCTCTCATCTATGTGCTCTTGCGGGACCTGGGGCTTGCGAACGGACCGCGGCATCGGCAGACAGGAAATTGGATCGTGCTTCGAAGCATTGTGTGGAGGAGTGGGCGACCCTGACGGCGAGGTTCTGATGCCATCGTTGAGTGATGCCTGAGCCTCGTATACGGATCGCGGAACTGGATAGCGCGGCCCTGGTCCACCATACCCAGTGGCGCTCATCGGAGGCGAGCCACGTGGAGTAGTTCTGCGGTCCATGTCTTCGCTAGGCACGGTACGAGTCGAATAACGAATTGCGTCCTCTAGGTGTAAGCGTTCTAGCTCCTGGTAGTCGAACTCGTCTTCGAGGTCCAGACAGATGTCAGATATGGGCATTCCTTGTTGATGTCAGCTATGGTTGCTTCGAAAGAAAGCACAGGAGGTTGGCGTGTGGTACAGGTGTGAGCTGAGAGCTATAGAGCCACTAGGGCGAGCGGAGCGGGGTGTACACATAGCTACTGAGCGCGCGCTAAGCGGTGTGTCAACATAAAGGTGAATGAGGATCAAATGACGGGTTGGGGCGTCGGGCGCGTCACAAACGGGGTGATTTCGGTGAAGGAAGAAGCGCACCATCGACGCCATTCAATCACCGCCCTTCGCCGTACTTCTTCTAAGATGGCCGAACTTCCCGTTACAGTGATCCAAGATCTAAGAAGGACTCTGTCGCAAGCTTTTTCCGAGACCTCACCCACGATCTCGTGGGTTCTACATATCTATCGACGCCGTTTTGGCTCCTACAATTTATGCTGTCGAAGAAACAAGCTTCCGAAGAAAGCTGTGAGCGAGAATGACAACGAGAGAACTATTGCCGAAGTTAGTATGGAAATGAGGGAGTAGACTGAGGCGTCATACCATGTGTCCAAGTCAGTGCTTCCGCATATGATCCAACAATGACTTTTGCCACGGTAGGTTTCGCGTGATCAGCATAAGACACATCCGAGACCGCATGCTCAATGATCTACTCAATCGTCAGTAAAAAAAGAAACCCATATCTTCCACAGAAATACTCACCTTCCACTTCCTGTGCTCGCCAAAACCCATATCATCAAGTCGTCTGTCAAGCCCTCGCCTCAGCGCACCCTGCAATACAGCACTCGTACCCGCCATACCAGCAAGCATTCCCACACTGCTTGCTAGGTAGATCGTGGACGCAGCAACCGCAGCATGAGCAGGATCAATAGCTGCTTGCACGCCGATAAAAAGTGTGGAACCCAGGACACCCATCGCGAAGCCGCCGGGTACTATGTACAGAGATTCGAGCCAGTTGGTGTCGCCGTGCCAGCGGAGGATAAGAAGGAGATAGCCGACTGAGGCGAAGGCTATAGCGAAAAGAGTGGGAGACTTGTAGGCCCCGGTACTGATGTGAGAGTTAGCGTGAGGCTTGATTGAAAGTGCCGAGGACTGTGGGACTATTTTCTTACCGCTTGATAATCACTCCGGACAGAACGCCACCTATGGCGTTACCAGCTACGGCAGGAAAGAGGTGGGCGCCAGCTATTGTGTTGGAAGCTTTCGCTGTGACTTTGAAGTAGAGCGGAATCGCGATCATCAACTGAAAAAGTGATATCAGTATTGAACCTGTCAGAAAGGGGGTGACTGTGTCAACTTACCCCAACCTGAGCTCCAGCCGAGCAGATCATAACGAAAGACGATGCCACGACCTCGCGATTCCACAAGACAACGATCGGTATGATCGGCTCCTTTGCGAACGATGCTTCCGTCGCCAGAAACAGCAAACCAAACGCGCAAGCTCCGCCGAACAAGCCAAAGATAAGAGGATGGTTCCAGGGTATTCGGTCGCCTCCGATTTCCAGCGGAAACAGGAATCCTAGAATACACAGAGTCATGAAGAATCCGCCGAGGAAGTCGACCCGCGCCAGCTTGCTGCCTTTGCGCTTATTATCTTGGTCGGATCGGACGCGCGATGGCAGGGTAATCGAGATGAGTATCAAAGCAATGCCGGCAAGGGGAGCTTGGCCGAGGAAGGACCATCGCCATCCAACAGTATCGGCAAGCCAGCCCCCTAGCGGACCTCCGATGCTGCGACCTGTTGTAGCAGCGACGTTGACGTACGAGCGCCAGGAGGCTACTTCGCGAAGGGGTACCAGATCTGTGAGAAGTATGGAAACCAGTGTAGTCATGCCGCAAGCTCCTAGACCGGAGATCACTCGCCCGACGATAAGGTGCGACATCGAATTTCCAGCGCCCCTGGGAGGTTAGCATATCCATGAGGTCTGGTCTCGCCGAGTGTATTCGCTTACACTAACGCGCTGAATGAAGATCAGCAAAGTACACGAGAGGTATAGGTCCCATACGACCATCCGACCTACCATCCCAGCCCAAATAGCGTGTACGCCAACAGCAGAAGCGACTTGCGACCGTATATGTCACTCAATTTTCCATACTAAACCCGTCAGTGTCAGTCATGACAGCTGTTGGGTAACACTAACAAGAGGCTGCACAGCCGCAGCTGCGAGGCCAAAGCTAGTCAAGAGCCAAGTGGAATCATGCAAAGCATAGAACTCTGAAGCAATTATAGGATGCGTCGCCATGAGGAGCGAGCCATCGGCGTTCGAGATAAAGACGCCTGTGTCACTGTCAGAAAGGTTGTTGATAATCGGGTTGCTACTGACCGATCAAAAGCACCAGTACAATACGAAGAATTGAAGCCGATGAAGGACGGGTGGGAGATGTTGACTGCGGTCCTGTCTCTTCGTCGTGCGAACGCTTCGATTGTGCCGTGCTCGGTCGATCATCCGATGCTGAGGTTGAGTCATCCTCCGAGGGCACGATTGTGCTGCCTTGAGGTAGGACTGCGTCTAGACTGGACAGTAGAGGAGTACGTTCAGTACTTTCGATGCCATGGTCTGTCATTATTGCAAGTGTGGGTGGTGTGAGTAGAACAATGAGGCCAGCGCAGAGAAATTGATGTTCTTATCGGAACCAGATTTTCACTAGGTAACAGCTTAAACGTACGCCGGCATGTTGGGCTTGGTTCTCGATATGCAAGTGACACTTTTCTGATGCGTCGCGCTCCAAGGGTCCCATGACTGGCGGATGTTGCAAAACAACAACGCAATTACGCCATCGGATTAGCGAGCAAACCAAAACGCCGTTTTCTATCTGGCTTCGAAGCCGAGTACCCACAACATTGCCGTCATAGGGCGGTGGCTGTCCCGAATCCAGGGTCAATAGCCCGCACATGCAGCTGACAGGTCTAATCTACGTTCAGCGGGTCAGCTAGACCCAATCCGCCCAGTGACTCCCGTACCGATAGACAAGGCCATCCTTTTCGAATTGCGGTCCTTCAGCGTCCAGAATATACCCAGCCTCGCAACGCGTGTACTCGACCTTCTTTTGCTGTACCTCGTAGAATTGGTCAAATCTGGGCGAAAGAGCGTCGTGCAAATTTCTTACGTTGCCTGCTGGATGAAGGGCTCGCCAAGGCTCAATACAAGTCCGACTTTTGCAGGACTTTAACACGAAAAGTAAGGAATCAAGTCGTGCTGCAACCTTGGGGAGAGGGTGTCCCAGCAGCCTATCAACGAGGGTATTTTTGGCAAGAAGATTCTTTAGCTGCCCTGGATCTTGCTGGGAAAGTCGTTAGAAGCAGGTTCCTTGGCATTCTCGATTACAGACTTACGTTGAGATCGTAGAGTTCATGCTCATTGTTGCACCAGACGGAGTAGAAGAAGTTATATGACTTTCCAACAATGCGCAGCGCTTTGTACGTGTTGTTAAGGTGGAGGCGCTCTATTCAAGGTCAGGTCTGGCATTGCGGAGAGTGCGCATGGCAACTTACCCCCGTCCCAGTTTTTCCCCTCGCCGAGAGCAAATCCCCAGTATTCCACATTAACGTGCTCATGTCGCTTCATTTTGGCTTTTGCAATCTCGGAGTGAGATGTTGGAATCGCCTCACCGTCGAAGCTTGCTCGTAGCGGTGCGCCAATGAGCTTCAGAATTGTGGGTGCGAGATCCGTATGAGTAGTGACGACCTGGGTAGTGGCATTCTTGGGCACTCCCGGACCGCGAATTATTAGCGGAATGTTGATGTTTTCTTCGAATCCGCACTCTTTCCCAGGCTGCAAGCGGTGTTGTCCGATGTGGTATCCGTTATCGCTCGTGTAGATGATGTAGGTATTCTCCAAGAGCCCGTGCCGGCCAAGGCGGTCAACGAGGCCCTCCACAAGCTCATCTACGCCTTGAAGAGCACGAAGTCGCTCACGATAAAAATGGTCATTGTAGTCGACGTTCTCCTGGCTTTGTCGTGGGAGACGCTTCACCCAGTTGACACCAGATGGTTCTTCAGGATTGAAATTCTCAGTCCGTGGGACTTTGGCATCCGGAAATAGATGAGCATGTCGCTGGAGCGGAATCGGAGGACTGAACTCCGCTTGTAAATCAGGATCTGGTCCGTCTACAAGGAACTTAACGTTGCTATGTGGTGCAACCGGAGCGACGGCCAAAAAGAACGGTTTCTTTTCTTGGACAGCATCGGTAAGGAAGCCGTACGCCTTCTCGGTCAGGATTTCGGTAGTGTGCTTGCCTTCGTAGTGTACAGGCGGATCCTTGTTCCGCTGATAACTGCTGTTCAGGTACTGATAAGTGAACGGATCCAACAGAAAGTCCTGTTCGCCATTAGCAAATCAACAAGTCCACACTTGATCGGGAAGCATACAGATCCAGTGAAGCCGTTGACGTAGGGTAAGTGATAATTCGTGACAGTGTGTGTATTGAACAGCTTTCCAGTGTAGTACGTATTGTACCCAGCATCCTGCAACCAAATAGGGAGAAAATCGTCGTTCAAGCCTTGGCTGACAAACTTCGGGTATCCGCCATAGGGGGGCTGCACATCGGTTACATTCGTGTTGTGAGCGGCCTTTCCGGTCCAGAGAGATACTCGGGACGGGCAACACAGTGCGATGGTGCAAAAATGTCGCTTGTAAAAGGTTCCTTGCTCGAGCAGGTGCTTCCTGATGGAGGGTAAATAATTCAACGAGTCCAGATGCAGGTCTTGGTCGTCGGTGAGCACGAAGACGATATTGGGTTGAGAGGATCGTTCAGGGCCTTGGGGAACCCGAGGCAGAGATTCTGGTGTTAGGCCGATTGACTTCTGGCCAGCGAGCCCGAGGCCCAGGTTCGCCCAGAAGAGAGATGACCAAACCATGGTGATCGTAAGCTGTTAAAGATGAGCTGTGAGATCGAGGAGGGTCAATTATCAGCGCGATGGAGAGATTGGCGGATGGCTAGCGAGTGATTGCGTGCTTTGGCCCTGCCATCACACATCGGGGCTTCCCCACTTCGAGTCTGGGAGCCGTGTGACGACACCACGCCACGGGCGTTTGGAACGCCGTCTCTGCAAGCTAACGTGTGCCTTGCAGTGTTCGAACGCCATTGAGATCGGGATAGCTCAGAGATGGGCGACGCCTGACCTCGAGAGTTGTGTTTGAGCGAAGGCTGGTGTTTTAAGTTTGATAGCGACGGCCCGTGCGGGGAGCCTAGTGTTGCCGGATATGGTTACTGCTGCACGTGACTTGAGTCGTACATATAGCCATAACTCAACTCATGTCTCAATACTTCCCACTTCCCTAAGACCTAGTCTACCTAGGAATGTGTGATGACGTGCCCCCTCCTTCCGCCATACCGGCGTAGGCTCCTTGGCCCTCGTTCTTCACCACCTCTATCAATGTTGCTTCCCCTAGCAATACCGACCCGGTGAAACTAGATGCATGATGCGTCTCTTTGCGGTCTTGCGGCCTAGCAGCGGCATGGCGTCAGGCAAACTCTATGAAGTACGGCTGGACGGATCACGGGCATCCTGAACAGCGGGAGAATGTGGTTTTTTCTTCTTCATTTCCATCGCCTTTTTTTTGTTCAAGCTGCACGCATAGGTATCATGCAGGTTGCCTACTTCTAAGACAACTTCTGTTCACTAATTCTTCTGGCTCATGAGCGCCCATTCTTAAAGTAGACTCACTACTTTTAGGGAGACCACTTGGGTCCTTCACATCCGCATCTGCTGGCTTTTTCATCAGTACACATCGAAAGGAAACAGATACAAATTGTCCCGAAACTGTCTACATGATTTTCGTCTGATCGAGCGTGACAGTGCGGATGTGGCTGTCACTGCATGAGATTAGTCCAAAGTTCAACGTCTCGCGCGCTCGTTGCCGCTGACCGGTGTTGATATTCGGAAGATCAAAAGAATCGACAGTGACGCTGGGCATAGTATGAATGTTCTCAGAGTTCCTCCATCGAAGGTCCTCATTCATCGCACGATTTTATGTCATCGTCACCGATGGAACTTTTAACATGCCGCCACTAGGATCTTGAAGCTTGAACTGTGTCCTTCCGAGAACCTATAACAAGGACAGGATGCCCCAGTTAGTAGCGGCAGGGAACTTCGACGTGGATTACCGCCACCAGACAACAGCGGCGCTTGCGACCGCGAAACGGCTGCTCTTCGACATGGACACCAGGTCCTGGCTGAACGATGGGGCTCGGGAAGAGAATGTGCACCACGCACTTGACGCCTGGTTAAAAGAGACACTGTACCGACGTGGATACGGGCTTGTCGCTTACTATACCGAACGGTACGGTTTCGCGTTGGAGGCATACCACGAGTAGGGGATCACGCCGCAGCCATTGCTAGATTGGCTTCCCCGTTCGTACATCCAGGTGAATGGGCCGCTCGACTTTGGCGTCACCCTCGAGTAGCACTGTGGACAAATCCCACCGTGACCAAACTGCCGCGGAACACCATTCCCGATTACGCCGTTCCCGTTGACGAAGCTTCCATAAGTGTACACGCGGATCGTGCGCAACCGAGTTCTTCCTTGCGACAAGAAGCACGAAGCTATAGGCTTTGGCGACGGACAGGATGGGGTTCATGAATGTTAATGTAGTTTCTATAGAGCTTCGCTAGTCTGAATGAACTCTTATTCGGTTCGCGAGAATAGTAGTGAAATCGAGAAAGCTAGGGCATTTCAACGATTTCATCGGCAGCAGCGGCAGCAGCGGAGAGGAATGGTTGTTGTGTGATTCACCCTGTTCCGAGAGTGGGAATGGCCATTGGGATAACTATCCCAGGCTTCGGGACCTCCGAATAGTCCGAATTCCGAATACACCCAGTGAGGCTAAAGCAAGCCCGGGCAGTGCCTGCCCTATTACTTCTACCACAGCGTGTTATAGCTCGTTTCACTTCTCATATGCTTTCCTTAGTTCTGGCACTTGTATGTGAAGGGGAATTCGATTCTCCTGTTCGCTTCTGTTTCCACACTTAATCCCCGCAAAAAGAGCGTACATCCGAAGAATCGCGCAATGTTGATTGCCTCGAGCTCTATCAGGATACTCCCATGCATAATGGCAATTCGCTGCATGATACATGTGAAATGCCGAGGCTTTGTCGTACGTGCCTCCTACACATTGGAAGTTCCGGTTGTCGATGTAGCACCGTTCTTCAATCGGTCGCGCGTTTTCCTATTAGAATGAGCATAGAGCAGCATATGCGGAAGGAGTAAGCAAGCTCACCACAGCTGCCATGGCCACAGAATCACAGCAGCAATCATCAATATGATTATTACTCCAGCCGCAGTCCATCCAGCCTTCTCCGAGTATGCAGAAACCGCCATCGAGCACATCAGAAACGCGCTCAGCAGCAGAAACTGGCATAAAATCGAAGCAATGGCGCCCGCGAAGACGTAGACGTAATAGGTCCAATCCTTATTCTGCGTCTCCAACATCTCCACAACCCTCTCTTTGTTCAGTGTCAGCACTGCGTACGAAATGCATGCGATACCCAACGCGCTGATGCATAGCGTCCAGGCAATCGCGAGGAATGAGCGTGCGTCTTTGTAGTCGATTCGGTGCTCCAGGGAGAAGTCGACGTCTGGTTTTTCGATCTGCTGGATGATGACTTGGAAGGTGATGGACGCGACGAGGGTGGAGATGGCGATTGTGCCTTTGAAGAGGCCGGCGTAGAGCTGGACGACTTTTTCTGCTTCCTTGCTCATTTTTGAAGGATTGTGGAAATAGTGATGGAGAGTATATTGGTTCTATATGCAGGGTATTTGTATGATGGGTTGTGGCTTTTAGGCTTCAGCTTTCAGCCTTACCTGCGCTCGCCTGCAGTTCAGCTCGGCTCTTGGAGCACGCTAAGTGCGGGAGAGCTAGTTGGAAAGCCTCTGCGGCGCCATTGCGGCCCTTCTGGTATGATACCGATTTCGAAGATTTCTGGGTCGCTTGTGCTTGGATGTGATGAATAAATTTCATGTTCAGCTCAGTGTGCAGTAACCTCGCTATGCTCGAATTTTGCGAGGATACTACGTTATTTTGTTTATATGTTCTCTCCTTGTGTTAGTAAAAGTGTCGGACCGATCGTATTCTGGAATGACTTATGTGGCGCTGAGATGTGGAGGCTGTGATACAAACCAGGCTGCATGATGAAGTTGGCCGAAGCCTCGAAAGCTGCGCCACACCAAGCCTTAGCATAGTGGACCATGGCATTGCGTGGCTTGGAAGCGGAGCCTTGATCGAATCAATGTGGCGTTTACGGTGAATGTTTTTGACAAGCGTTGCTTTCGGGGTGAGTGGAGAACCGAGCGACTTCACCATGTGATCTCCCTCGCGGAGTCCTATATAACCCTGTCAGCTTCCACAACTACAATCCATAATATCTTCAAGCAGCGAGTCTATGTATGCCATCCTCAGGAAAACAGCCAGCGGCAAGACCATCAGAGAGTTCGATTAAGGGATCTGATTCGCAAGGTTCAAGCCTGCGGAGCCATAAAGATTTTGAGGGCCCCATGGGCAGATCCCCCCAACGGCTGCTTTTGAAGGGTGCAACAACGGAGGCCTGGCGGAATTATCTCCAGAATGCCGTCACGAGCATCTTTATGAAAGTATACCTGTTCGGATACTGCTACGTCAACTCTCGGTGTCAAGCCGGAGAACGGAGGAGCATGGAGGAGATGAACGAGGCGATGTGCGAATCGTGGTATTGGCTTCCATACAAACGACGACGCACGCAAGTGGACCGAGCGAGTAGGACTTCCTTTCGAATGGATAGACGGCGGATGCCACGTGCCGAAATTCGCGTCGATGGTGAGTACGTAGGGGCGGCTGCCTGCGATGGGCCTCCTCTCGGTCGGTCTGGCGTAGTATCTCGGCTTCTACCCAGTCAGTTAGTGCGGGTGTGTAGCGGCCCTGCTGTAACCCTATCCGTTGGGCCTAAATCAAGTATTGGGTGTAGACACATCCAACAGGGCGTTGTCGGGTTATAAGCCTCGTGCTCGTTGCCTTGCCATGTGTGCCGTGCCTGCGTGATGTAACGACGGACCAGGGTATATCATCCTTCCTAATCCGGTAGCCCGGTGCCGCAGTCATACATAACTTACATCGGAGACCCCTACAAACACCGCCAAAAGAGCATGGCAAGATGACTGTATTATCGATAAATCTTACAGACGGTGCTGTAATTCTTTCGCATGCGGGATGCGCGTGAACACCCGTTCCCACGTGGTCAGTAGCGGGACGGGTACCGGGGTACTTGAGGTTCTAGAGCTTCCTCAACCGTCGCATTCTCCGCGATAACCTTTAAAGGAGCTGCCTATACTGCTTCTTTAGCGGATTAATCCTGGTGTATTGATTCTGACGAGTCTCTGGCCGCTGTCTGACTCGGGTCCACATGGCCCCCTCTTCCAGACAATGTAGCAGCACGCCTAGCATCCTTGATAAGATCCAATATTCGAATCCCCGGGAACGTAGATTATAAAGTGGCATGTGTCGCAAACTTGATGAAGCAGAGTCGCTGGACCAGACTTAGCCCACGCGAGTCGAAATGAAACCATCTTACGCCCAACTCTTATCCTTACTCTTCCACGGTCTCTCCACCGCGCTCCCCTTTACCGGGAATGGACATACACTATCCCGGCGCGATGGTCTTGAGATTGTCAGCACAACCGCGCATTCTGACGGCTCCGTGATCGACTGGATTCCGCTTCATTCGCAAGTCGCGGGCGGGAAGATCGCGTCCCCACCTCCGATTCCACCGGACACGCCGTCTATGGCCAATCAGTCCACGCTCCAGCCATACTCTATGCTCCAAAGCCAAGGCGCAGAACAAGGACCCGAAGGCACGGTTCCCATTCTACGACAGACTTCGAACACGGCGCTCGTCAAAGGCCCACCGGTTGACCCAGCGCATATGCCGGACTTGAACACGGAAGCTGCAGGCGACCACTGGTATGCCTCTTCCGCGCAGGGAGTGAACAACCTCGGGGGATCCGCATCGTTTTCGCTCTACACGGCCTGGACGGAAGCGGGTTCGGACTTTTCGCTCTTGCAGAGTGCTGTGATTCGGTATAACGTCCCAAAGCCTGGCGACAACTCACAGTTGGTTGCACAGACTGTAGAGGCCGGATGGTACACTCGCCTTCCCTCATCCAACAAGAGTTCGAACTGACGATAGCAGGATAAACTACCCCGACCAGATCGCCCCGCCGCACCTCTTCACCTACTTCACAACCGACGGCTACTCCTCCAACGCCGACAATAAAGGAGGGTGGAACCGCGACGTAGCCGGCTGGGTCCAATACGATTCCCAGATCTTCCCAGGCACCACCTTTTCCCCACTCTCAACCCGCGGCGGCGCGCAATACGACATCCAAATCAAGTGGCTTCTCTACAGTGGAAACTGGTGGCTTTTCGTGCTCGACCGCTGGATCGGATACTATCCTGCGTCGCTCTTCGGCGCCGGTACTGATTCCAGCAAGTCCCTCCAGACCCAGTCGAGCCAGATCAACTTTTACGGCGAGATCTACGATAGCCATCCGCAGCTAACCAAGACGGATATGGGGTCCGGCGACTGGCCCGAAGCAGGGTGGCAGCAGAGCGCGTACATCCGGAACATGGTATATACCGATCCCAGTGGGAATGACCAGCTATACGACGGGAGTCGCGGGATTATTGTAAGTGATACGAATCGGTATCGCATGGATGCGGAGTTTGGGAGCCAGACGACTTGGGGGAGCTATATGTATCTTGGTGGACCGGGAGCTGGGGGGGTTATCGCAGGCTAGAATTATGACTATTGTGAGAGGTTCTGGAGCAGATGGAGGTTATTGAGGATATGTTAGCTTATCTTGTGGTTCATTCGAAAGCTATCGCTTGGTGTTTTGAGCGTGCTTGAGTCGCGACCAATCCACTGAAGTAGAATGTTCGTCGCTACTAAACGGGCATTCGACCACGCGCGAGGGCGAACACGATACGTTTCCGGTCGACGTTTGGCCGTCGCCGGGGGCTGACCGTGGAAGGAGAGGTACCAGTGGAGATGGGCTGGTGTTACTCAGGATCCATCCATGGATGGATGGATGCCGAGGCAAGCTGGAACTGCCAAGCTAGACTAGGCTGTTCTGGGACTAGCAGCATTGTGACCTCTGAAGCTTGCCCAGGTGACGTTGGGACGCTTGATCGTTCCTCTGCCTCCATAATCCCCACATCCTTATATGATCGTGGTCAATATCCCGTCCTTGTCGATTTCGAAGTTTGAATGTCTTGCACTACCGCCATATCGCGCCATCATTACACTTCGCTCCGGCATAGTGGGACACACGGCTCCATGACGTCTGAGCTGCACGTGCACCTTTGACGGCTCTGCTTGCACGATGATGGGATCGCAGTACATGCTTGATAGCGCGATCAATACTTTTGCTTAGTTATACGGCCATAATGCACTGATGAGCAGCAGGCAAACCATCCCTACCGAGCGTCGAAAACGGGACAATGTAGCCTGTGACCTCTGACTGAGCTATACTTTCTTCGTCTTCAACACCTCGTCGAAGTTCAGAACAGCCTTTCCAAGGGCGAGAGCCCCTTCCATGCAGTCGTCCTTATCCGACCACTCTTTTGCGGTATGGGACCAGCCTCCCTTGGCCCTGACGAACACCATTCCCGTTGGCACCAAGGTCGTGGTCATCGTCGAGTCGTGGCCGGTCCCTGTGATGGCGCCCATTCCCTTCTCCTAAGGACCGTCAGTCTCAGATACGGAAGGCCTGTATGGTGGACTCACTCCGCAGGCTCGCTTCACGCAATCGATTGCTTCCGGCCAAAACTCTCCCGGTAGTAAATGCACGTCGCGCTTCATCTCCATGTCGAGCCCGTGCATGGCAGCAATGCCCTTGACCTTGGCTTCGATATCCGAACCCATTGTTTCCAAGCCTTCCGGCTCCTTGTGCATCAAGCAGAAGGCCATCCGCACGCTCGACTGGATGTTGCAGGCGCCCCATGGGCCTGATCGGATATTAGTCATGGTAGTATACCCGTTCCTCTCGTAGGCTAGCTTCTCGAGATCGACGATGATCTTCGCCGCTCCTACGAGCGCGTCACGTCGGCCATACCTGCAAAAGCATGGCATCAGCGTGGATGATCTCTGCTTAGTCTTGCTAAACTTACATAGGGTACGTGTTCGCATGCCCGTCTTCGCCTTTGAGATCCACAGAATCTAGAATACGCGTCAACACAGTCAGATGCCTTCAAGTTACGGAAGATACGCACACCACGTCATTCCTTGCCAGCCAGTCACCCATCCAACAGGCTTTCCAGCTTTTTCCAAGCTGTCTGCCTGCTCGACGTGGATTTCGAAATGGGCCGAGATGGGGAACTCTGCGAAGGTGTTCGGCCCGTCGCCGACATATCCGATCTTCCTCAGTTCGTCGCCCATTCTTATGCCAGATCCATCATGGGTTGTCGACGCCTGGGCTTTCTCGACGGTCGATTGCCCAGCGTACACGATCGAGGAACCTAGAAACGGCCAGAACTTGGCACCCTCTTCATTCGTCCAGTTGATGAGGACGATAGGGGCACGGGTCTTCACTCCCTGTTCCTGCATGCTGCGGATCACCTCCAATCCACCGAGTACCTATCCCTGTCAGCTCGTAGCGTTTCATCAAAGAGCTCCGGGCTTTCTTACTCCGAGCGGACCATCAAACTTCCCCCCGGTTGCGACTGAATCGAGATGGCTTCCCATCGCAATGGGCGGGATGCTATTGTCTTCTCCCGGAAATAGTGCAAATTGGGTGCCAGTGGCGTTGACCTAGGGAAATGTCAGCTCCTTGATCATCTGCTTACACTGGTTTCCATACCTTGTAGTCCGCACCCAGCGCTAGAACCTGCTCGCGGAACCAGTCTCGCGCCATCTTGTCTTCTGGGCTTGCACAGAGACGGGTGATGCCTCCGGGCGAGGGCAGACTCCATTGCGCGGTATAGTGGATGTCGTGCCTTCGAAGTGTAAGCGTCAATTTCCAACGAAGCCTTCTTCAATTCACCTACCAGAGACGATCTCCGTTGACCGTGAACCTTTCGGCGAGCGGTGCATTGGCCGTGACAGCATAGAATCGAGGACTGCAGCGGACGAGATGACGGGTAGGCTCCACTGTTGGCCTCCTTGCAGAGGAGGTCAATGAAGGAGCGAAACGTCGCGCGAAGTTGGATCCCACTTTCTGCATTGTGGAAGACAATGCAATTGCAAACATGGTATGCTGACTTGGGGCTAGGGTTCTTTCCTATCAAATACCTACACGCGCTCTCCCCTCTCGCCGCCCGAACTAATCTCAGTACTACGCTTCCCCTCAATGACATGGTCGACAAGGCGTGTCGCTTACAGGGTCTGATAAGATGGATTACGCTGACCCGCTTCTTCCAGCATCCCCGCACCTTTACCCCCACGAGTGACTTTGCAACGCGCCCATCTCCGAATCGATAAGTTCACCCCAGACCAATTCAAGCCTGAAGAGGAGATATCAGGAACCTACAGCACGCTAACTAGGGAGGTTAGGAATCATTCACTGTTCGAGACGTTTCTGCAGTTCGCGCGCAGATGGGGCTCTGATAGATCGTCAGGGCTATATTAGCCCCTCGCTTATCCCACCACTACCGAACCTAGTTGTAAGTGACTGCATAGACCAAAGGCACACCGACCAGTCAGAGGTTTTACCGCGACCCAGTTTTCTACAGACGTTGGCCGGAGGTAGGCGAGAAGAGGAGCTTATCTGGACCTTCGGTTTCTTTGCATGCATTCCGACACCATGGAATCTGCAACAATCCCATCTCAATCACGGATATAACTCCTCGCTGCACTTCATCATTGGAGCAGCTCCCGCTAGCTTTTCGGAATGCATCCGACATCCCGTCACGTCAGCACGTCGACTTCTCGCAACGAAGAGTGGTGAGGTATCTTGCAGGCGACATGCCCCGGCTCTATAAGTCATCGACCGCACTGCGAACCCCTGATAGTAGGAGTGGGTATTAGTCTGCTATCGTCCGCTCGGCAGATCATCTACGTAAGACGCTGTGCCATCCTTCGACGCCGTTCTCCTATCACGTCTTCGGCAGATCGCCAACATGGGATGCGAAGAAACTCCTCGGGTCAGATAGCTCCACCGACCGGCCTACAAACTCTATCAAGGCATCACGGATCGGCCATTCCGAGCGATGCTAAGCGGATAACTGGAATCCAGAGGGACATAGCATGCTTAAGACCCGGCTACTAAGCTGCTAACTATCATCCTCGTGCGCGAATCCACTCCATTGGTTGAACGGAACCGTTTCGGTACCTGGTGCCCTATGAACTTGGCTGTTCTTATCAACGACGGAGCTGATGCATCCCTGAGAGACCCACAGAGAGATAGGGACCCGGTTGTGACTTCTTGTTGTGAGAACTTTTGTCAATGTGATGATGCAAACATGTTGGAGAGGCAACGTACCTCTGGTGATACCTGTCTGAAGGCCTTTAGAGTGATATATCAGTCAGTCCTCCATCGTTCTAAGCGCTCCACTGGAGACTGTTCAGTGTACAGGCTTTCGAATCGAATCATTCATCGTCTTAAGTCTTCTCGCAGTACCACGATGTCTGACAGTAGCTCAGCTCAGATCCTCCCTCAAGGAGCCGGGTACGGCGTCGTTGTTGGGATAGGGTTCTTCTTCGCTCTCGTCATGAGCGGTGTATCCTTCCTACAAGTACGGCTCACTTGACGCGGTGAACGCCGTGGGTCATGAATCTAAAGCTAACCCTCAGTAGAACAAATATACCGCATATTCAACCCTCGCATCCGAAGAGTTCAATACCGCTAGCCGCAATGTCAAAGCCGGACTGATTGCTAGTGGTGTGGTCTCCGCATGGACATGGGCTGCGACTCTGCTGCAGAGCTCAACGGTGGCTTACGAATACGGCATCTCTGGACCATTCTGGGTATGTGTCCATTCATGATCGCTCTAGCCTAGCTGACAGCGAATAGTGTAGGTTACTCCAAATATGTTCGCGTTCAACGCTCACTATCGCCAGACGCGGCTGGTGCTACCGTTCAGATTTTCATGTTTACAGTGCTGGCTTGCAAGGTTAAGCAGAATGCTCCTCGCTGCCATACCTTCCTCGAGATTGTTTACGCGCGATACGGTGCGGCCACTCACATCATCTTCATATGTTTCGCCCTTGCAACCAACATCCTCGTGGCATCACAATTGCTTCTTGGAGGAAGCGCAGTGGTCACTTCGTTGACGGGTATGAACGTCTACGCAGCATGCTGGCTCATCCCGCTCGGGGTCTGCGTGTACGTTGTTTTGGGTGGTCTCCGCGCTACATTCCTGTGTAAGTGATGAAGAGGGCCGAACGGTTAGCAGCCAGCAGCGTCTCGCTAACGTTATATAGGTGACTTCTCACATACGATCATCGTCATGATAGTCATCTTGTACTTCATGTTCTCTGTGTACGCTTCGAATGATACTATCGGGTCGCCAAGAGCGATGTATGACCTTTTAGTGCAGGCAGCGCGGGAGCGACCAGTCGTAGGGAACCAAGGTGGTTCGTACTTGACGCTAAAGTCCAACTACGGCCTCATTTTCGGTGTCATCCAACTTTGTTCTGGGATGGGCACCGTCTTCTTGGACCAGGGTTACTGGCAACGTGCTATTGCATCAAGGCCTACCACTGCCGTTAAAGCATACATACTTGTGCGCTACCCCCTGGAGCCGGAGTTGCTTTGAATGCGTTTACTAACACAGGACAGGGCGGCTTCGCGTGGTTCGCAATCCCTTTCGGCTTCGCCACCACTCTAGGGCTCGCAGCTGTCGCTCTGACTTCAAACCCCAACTATCCGACCTATCCGAACCAGATGACGAACTCCCAAATCCAAGCAGGTCTCGCAGCCCCTTTCGCAGCGCAGACGCTCCTGGGGAAGAGCGGCGCCATCGCTCTCCTGCTCACCCTCTTCATGGCCGTCACCTCATCGTCGTCATCGGAACTTATTGCAGTATCTTCAATCCTCACCTTCGACATCTACAAGACGTACATCAAACCCACTGCCTCGCCTGACCAACTCATCTTCGTCTCCCATGTTATGATCTGCGTCTTCGGCGTCGTGATGGCCGGCTTCGCGAGTATCTGGAACGCTGTTGGCATCAACCTCGGCTGGCTCTTCCTGGTGATGGGCCTTATCATTGGGGGCGCAGTATTTCCCGCTGCATTCACGGTCACTTGGAAAGGGCAAACTCGTCTGGGCGCTGTATCCGGATGTCTTGTTGGCCTCGCCGCTGGCTTGACCGCATGGCTCGTCCAAGCGAAGGTCCAGTATGGCGAGCTGACTGTTGCGACGACCGGAGCTTCATACCCTACGTTGGCGGGCAACATGGCGGGTGTACTGACGGGCCTGATGGTTTCGCCCATCGTATCTTGGATCAAGCCGGACAACTTCGATTGGGAAGCTACGAGGGCGATCAACGCAAAGGTTATTGAAGGCGAAGGCGTAGCCCCACCGGCCTCGTCACCGGGCGTCTCGGTCGACGACGAAGCCAAGGAGAAAGACATCTCCTCTCCATCATCCAGCGCTATCAATGCAGACGACCAGTCACCGGCCGCCTCCTCACCAGCCAAGACACACGACCAACTGCCCACTGTCGTCGAGGAAGACAGAGAAATGGCCGAAGACCAAGCCTACCTTGAAAATCCCAAAGCGCTCCGGCGCTCCTACCTCACCGCACTCTTCCTGTCCACCGTCCTGTCCTTCATCATGTGCTTCCTTGTTCCTATTCCCATGTTCCTTTCGCATTACGTATACTCCGAGAAGGGCTTTACTGCTTGGGTTGCCATCAGTTTTATTTGGGTTTTTGCTGCATTGGCCATTTGCGGAATTCTGCCGGTTTGGGAGACGAAGCGGTTCTGGGTGCTGCTTGGGAAGCAGATTTGGGGCAAGGGGGGCCCTAGGGCGTAGAGGTTCGATAGAGAGGCGGGCGGACTGGTCAGGGTAAGGTGAAGACAGTTCGAGCTTGCTGGCTGGATGACGCACCGATCATTAGAGTAATCGCCCCATTGGAAGCTCTAGAAGCCATTCTATTCCAGAAACAGCGTGTCGCATACCACCTCGCCGACTCCGTAAAATCCCAGCGCAGAGGAGGCGGTGAAAGGGGGAAGGGGTGCACCGGCCCGGCCTTGTTCCGGAGCTCGCGTTTGACTGGTTGCCTGGGGTCTGACTTTTATTCTCTAACAATCCCTCCCGTAGCGCGCTACGGCTCCTCATCCCACTCACCCACACACCAGAACCTCGCCTATCACGCAATGGCGACCGAGGAGAAAAAGAAGCGCGTCAGTCGTTGGGACTTAGGTCCTGAGGACGATCCCGCACTTCCCAGCAGCGACATGGCGCCCACTGAGGAAACCAAGCGCGTCAGTCGTTGGGACGTGGGTCCTGTGGGCGGTCCCGCACTTCCCAGCAACGACATGGCGCCTACTGAGGAAACCAAGCGCGTCAGTCGTTGGGACGTGGGTCCTGTGCAAGAAACCAAGCGCGTCAGTCGTTGGGACGTGGGCCCTGTGCAGGAAACAAAGCGCGTCAGTCGTTGGGACTTAGGTCCTCTGGACAGCCCATCGGTCCTGGATCCATCAGCAAAGATTTCCAAGCCTGGTCCCCAGGGCAAGTCCTCACGTTCGGCTCAGTCGTTGATCTCGAAGCGCGTGTCTCGGTGGGATCTTGGTCCGCAAGACCAGCCGACAAAGCAAGTTCCGCTACCAGCGACTTCGGAAATTCAAGACGGTTCGCAACGGCAGTACAGCCTGCTTGACCTCCCCGGAGGTGAGTGTTCCCCTCCCCTCCCACCCGCACTGGCCTTCTAATACCCACTCCCTCTTAGAAGTCCGCCGGCAGATCTACGACTTCTGCGTTCCCCGCTCGGCCGTCAGTCTATACCCCACGACTTCATCCGACGCAAGCCGCGAGTTCTCCGGACTCCTGCAAACATGCAAGCTCATCAGAGCCGAGTTCCTCATCCACCGCGGCGACCCCCGTGATTAAATCGCCCTCGCCGGGAGTCGACGGATTGAGCGGTGAGGCGCCAGGACCAACGATACGGACCAGACAGTGTGGCAAAGCAGGGACATCATTGACGAAGTTTAGGAGGGGATGGGATAGGAAACCTGCTTCGAGACTTCGTACTGTCCCTTTGATAAAACGCACTTCTGTAGTTCCCACAATTGGGATGCAAATCGAATACAGTCGGTAAAATTCGGTGTTCAGTGACCATGGAGGTTAATCTTAGTCCAACGCCGCACTTATAACATTGTTCATGAGTATATGAGGCATTCTGGCCCTCTCGTGGTGACAGCTTGGTAATATTGACCGTCTTTACCCTAAGCTTATCTTGACCGTAAGCTCAGTTACAACCATCTGCGGTTCTTCATAGTTATTTCCGGTGGCAGACAAGGCCCGCCTTCAAACCAGTATGCACGCTCTTTTTCATCCTCTTTACCGTCAGGCTTGATCCACTGACATTTGGTGAAGGATTCCCAAAGGCCATACCAGAAACTATGATCTTTTTCGGAATGATACGCGTTGCCAAGAAGCGGAATGATAGCCTTGGTCGCCTCCTCGGCATGATATTGAGGGATGCGCCTGGTGAATGTGAGTACAAAGGCTGCTCAAATTTTGGAGAAGCAGATACTCACGGGAAGAGGTGGTGGATAACGTGGTAATCCACGATGTTATGTAGAAGATGTTTTCCAACCCAGCCAAGATTACGGTCCACTGTCGCCAGAGCGCCCCTCATGAAAGTCCACGCTTCCGGGTCGTATTTTGGCAGCTTAGGATGAGTGTGGTGAAGAAAAGTAATTGCTACGATCCAGTGATTACACCATAGGAACGGCTGAATGTAGAGTAGGGCGACAGCTTGAAATCCCATGTACTGACCGGCGAGACACAGCGCTCCAACCATTACTGCGAGTCCAAAGTCCGAGGCAAGGATCAGGTGCGCCTCCTCAGGGCGAAACAGGGTTGAGGAAGGCAAATAGTGGCTATTACCCAGTAAAGCCTTGGACTGCGGGCGGTAGAGACTGCCCTCGGAAGCTGTGATGTTGGAGATCAAGTATGTGGGCCATCCGAGCAGTTGCTGCATTACAATTCGAAAGAAAACCACGATTGGCGCATCCTCCACCAGTTCATGAATGCTCTCGAGGCTCCCAGGCCGCAGATTGAGACATTCGGCATACTCCTCTTTCTTTGGAGGCACATAATTGTGGTCTTTCGCAAGGTTGTTGGCGTAGATGTGGTGACGGCGATGGGTTGATTGCCAGGCAAAATATGGCGTCAGCAGCGCGGAGTGACATATAAAGCCGATAGAATCGTTGAGAATAGGTGAAGGGGAAAACACGCCATGCCCGCTTTCATGCCCTTGGACCTGATCAACGTTAGCTAAGCTAATTAGCACTTAAATTGTCTTTTTCACTGACCCATATCCCCGTGAATACAAGACCTTGCATATATCCGTAGAGCAACCAAGCGGCGTAGCGGGTGAACTCGAACTCAAAGCGTCCCTCATATCGAATTCGGGGAATGTAGGACCAAGCCACCCATCCCAGAGCGTAGCAAATAAAGATGTCCCGTATCAGATAGAAGAGGGCAGTTGTGTAGCTAAGCTTGAAGCAGTAGGGAGGGATTGCTCTCCTCAGGTCGCCGACGGTGATCACCTTCTTCCTGCCCTGAACGGTCTACCAGCTGTCAGCACTACCTTCATTCGCAGCGTGGGCGGCGTAGTTTACCCCGCCTTCGACCAACTCAGCGGGATGACTGTCGTAGTCCAGAGCCATGACTCTTCTCCTCCAGTCCTTCGAGATCCAACAGTGCCGAGAATATTCAAAGATAAGACGGGAACACAGAATGTTTCCCGCGGTCCGGTAATCCCAAAGTTGCCTGCAAACCGCCTTTTTGTTCATGCGCAATCAACAAGGAAAAATAGTGGAGGAACGTGGGAGACTCAGGCTCAGATTCCCCTCCGAACACATATTTCTCAGCTTAGCTTGTGTTACACTGCCTTATCAACTTGCGCTTCGGACTCCGCGATGTCCATCCGCCGGTGCAGGGAGCCTCGACAGCCTTCAACTGCGTCTTCATGTTCCCCGTTCTGTTCTACCCTACAGCGCAGTTTGTTACCTGGGTAGCTCGGAGCTACACCCAGTTTGGACTGAGGTCCACAAGGAGTGGGATATCGAAACGATAGTCAGGCGTTAAATTAATATACTCAATGGAGTAGTTGGCACAGGCGCTAAGGACCCCTACGCCCATGACTCTACGCCCTCATCGACTTGTTCCCGAGAACGCGGTCACGCCAAGTGGATGGCTTACATTTGGCCCCGCACAGCGGCGTAGTATGCACGCCCGGCCGTTGTTACCCAATCATGACTTCGCGGATAAATAAATGGGCTTCAATCACCAACCAGGGTTTCTGCAAGCTTATCCTTCCGCTTGAAATCCGTTGAAAGTGGCGCAGCATGCTCTGACCGTTGCAAAGCACAATGCAATGGCGAGCCCAAAGAATTGGCATTTACGAAATGCTCACCTCCTCGTTCCTCTCTCCATTACCTTTCTGAACACGATCTGGCCGATAGCCTGAGTGGGAAGTCACCCTATACGCCACAATGCAAAAGCCTCAGGTCCCGTCAACTCTCGCGACAAATGGCAGTGAAATCAATACTGCTGACGAGAAGCCTATAGAGGAGCTGGTTGAGTCCACAACCGATGCTTCCTCTACCAAGGGCAAGTACCTCCAGGGATGGAGACGCCATCTGGTGTCACTAGGGTCAGTAACAGTTTCCACAATGACTTTGTCTCACCAGCTCACCTCCGCCGTAATAGCTGCTCAATTTGCATGTTTCTTGTCAACGTCGAGGTCTCCATCGTGGGTACCGCGCTAGTGCCCATTGTAGAGGATCTCCACGGAGTCGAGCGTATGGGATGGGTCATAACGGGCTATCTCATCACGTACACAGGTCAGTAACTACACTTCGCTTTCCTGAAATGAGCTTCACTAATAAATCTGCCAGCAACAATTATCATATGGGCGAAGCTCAGCGATATATTCGGCCGGAAATACACCCTGGCGACTAGTCTGCTAATATTTACAGCATTTTCGGGAGCTTGTGGAGCGTCGCAGACCATGAGTCAGCTGTGGGTCTTTTCCGTCCATGGGGCGGTGATATTTCGCTGATCGTGCACAGTATTATCAGTCGTGTCTTTCAGGGAATCGGGTCTGCCGGATGCTGGTCAGTCGGCCTGACGATGGGTTACGAGCTTGTCCCAAGAGAATTATACCCCGTCCAGGGAGCAATTTACACCGGCGCAGGAGCTCTCGGATCTCTTACTGGTCCACTGATTGGAGGGGGCACCAGTCAACATGGGCAATGGCGATGGGCATTTCTGTTCAAGTAAGGTGAAAACACCGCTCATGTGGAACATTGACTAATCAATGTGGGTAGTGCTCCGGTGGGGGTTTTGACGATAATACTGCTTCTCGCTGCTGTTCCCGCTCATTTCCCACATCAAGGAGACCTCGACTACAAAGCCCCGACATGGCGTCAGAAACTATCACGGCATTCACTGGCGCGCCTAGACATACCCGGATGCTTGTTGATTCTCGCTGCGACCATGCTCATAGTTGCTGTTCTTCTAGAAGGGGGCATCTCTATCGCCTGGGACTCAGCTTCTGCCATTGTGCTTTTTACCGTATCCGGAATACTATGGATACTGTTTCTGGCCAACGAGTGGTTTTTCACCAAGCGCGACCGGGCTCTCGAGCCTATTTTCCCCTGGCGTTTCTTTAAAAATAGACCATGGATGGGAACATTGATGTGAGTCTGCACTCTACCGGAGAGGCATGTTTCTTGGAATAACAAATGCGCGTATAGTTTCTCGCTCATGTCCGGCATACCGTACAACATCCTGATTATCAACATTCCACAGCGGTTCCAGGAGCTGGATGGAGCATCACCAATGGCCGCTGCGGTCCGTTTAATCCCCTTCAATCTCCTCATCGCGATAACTTGCGTCATGGTCAACATCTTCGTTATGAAGACCGGAGTACCCTGCATTTGGGTGTTGCTCTTCGGTTCTATCGTCCAGGTGGGCGGCCTGGCATGGTTCTGCGTCCTGCCAGATGATGGCACGCTTCCTTCTACCATCTATGGCTGCCAGGTGCTTACCGGGTTTGGAATCGGGTGTGTGCTCGGTATCACGTTGCTTATGCCGCCTCTAGTTGTCGAAAAGAGGGACCTAGGTATGAGTGGATTACTCGCTTCAAAGTATGCTAGAAATATTCACTGACGATGCACAATAGCCATCTCAACCGGAGCCCTCATCCTATTTCGTGCCCTCGGGGGCGTCTTGGGTCTATCCATTACTACCACCGCCTTCAACAACTACCTGAAGACGCATCTTTTCAGCACATTCGGTAATGTGCCCACATCGGCACTTCTTACCGCAGTTCAAGAAGCTAAGCGCCTTCCTCTTGACAAACAGCTCCGGGTTCGTATCGTTCTTTCGGAAGCATATGCTCTGCAATCGAAGATTCTTGTTGCGTTTGCAGCTATGCAAGTGTTCGTGGTCGCGTTGGTATATCGGAAGGGGAACCAGATTAGGGTTGTACCGAAGGTGGAATCATAGATCGTCATGCTCAAGCAACAATTGTTAGTATCGGTGTCTCTCTGTATGCTTTCTACATCGAATGGTGTATGCACATAGTTCCCCAACCGAGATGTGACATTTCCTCGCAAAATACCCCAAAAGAAGCCGCCGATGCGGCTCGTTGCATGGTCAGCACTACTGTAAAAGCGGCTGATCATAGATCTGCAAGGACACAAAGTGTATTGGAGGCTGACTTAGCCAAAGGATGCTATTGCCAAGGCAATCCTGCTCTCTCGATAGTCAAAGCGAGGGTGCGGCACAGCAGTTGCAAGGGAGATCTGCATCCAGTAATCTTACACCACATGACGTTCCCTAGTTGGCCTCCCAAAAGTCTGGAGGTGCCCGTCGGGCTTTCCGCGCGTTTTTCCGATTCGCATCGGATACACCGAGCACCGAGCGGGGGCGTATACCGTCGTAATTACTTAAGGGGATTACCCGACATATGAGCTCGAGCGCATCAGCTACGTTACCTCCAACGATTTCAATACCTCGACATGGCTGCAGCTAATCCGGAAGCATCTGAACCATTCTTTACTAAACTCGGCCCTCGGATCGCTCTCCACACACCTCCCAACCATGCAGCTGGACAGCTTGTGATTATCGCCACATGGCTTGGTGCAGCCCGAAAGCATATCACCAAGTATCTACTCAGCTATAGGAGCATCGCTCCGCGTTCAAAAATCCTACTCATCGAATCCGACGTATCGATTCTCACCAGCTCCTACCCGTCCCAACGAAAAGCTATCAAGTCCGCCGTCCACGCAGTTCGCGCCGTGCTCGACGAATGTGGGTATAGCAAGAATGACCAGAGTACAAATCCGCCGAAGATCCTGCTGCACACCTTCTCTAATGGGGGCACCAACTCCGCCACCCAGATGCTGATTGCTTTGGGCGAGCAGTTCAGCTCACCGTTACCGCTTCTCGGAATTATCTACGACAGTGGCCCCGCCAAGGGCGAGTACTGGAAATCGTACAACTCCATGATGCTATCTCTTCCCAGGGGAATGGCAAGAACTGTTGGGCCAGCGATCGTCCACTTCATTCTCGTCGTTCTTTTCACGTCCGTCGCGGCTGGAAGATACGACAAACCCGAGGATCTGTTCCGCCGCACGCTACTCGACGAGAAGCTGGTTAAAGGGCATGCTAAGAAGGAGGGAAGGATTTGCTACTTGTTCTCAAAGGCAGATGACCATGTGGACTGGAAGGACGTTGTTGATCACGCAGAAGTGGCCCGCGACAAAGGGTGGGAGGTCGAGGAGGCCTTGTTTGAAGACACTCCGCACTGCAACCACTTCACGAAGAACACGCAACGATACACAGACATGATGCACCGCCTGTGGCACGGGAGCAGCAACAACACTGACGAGCCGCGTTCGATGCTCTGATCGAGTCGCGCGGGCGAGCGGCACAGTACAACTTCGTCGCCAGTTTATTGTTTCTACCGCTATCAATATTCTAAAAATAAAGAAAACTACAACATTCCGGACGTGACGCGCATAATGTTCAGGACTGGGCCCAAGTTGAAGGGCCTGACCCTCTAGGTCCCGGGGAGTATCCTAACGAGGATCACATCCCGCTTTACTGCCTAGGTGCACGACCTATTTCAAGCATGCTTCAGGGGCAAGGGGCGTTACTATTTGCTCGAAATCGCATACGCACGTAATAATGCCCAGGATTACACAAAACTCCCTGCCAATCAGAAACAGCGTCCAACTCCCGAGGTCTCTTGGGCGTATCAGTAATCAGAATTTCACCGGCCCAAATAGAGCGACTCTGGCAGTGACAACACCATATCACATATTTTCCAGTATCTGTACACTCAATTCAGCAGCAACACCTAGTATCGCGCAACAATGCGGACGAAAAACAGCAACACTCACGGAAAAAGTTCAGACATCCGGAGAATCCTCCTTTTCGATGACATTCCCTCGTGGATGCAAGTGGATCCTCATATTCGACGAGGCTATAGGGATGAGCTCAGGAGTGTCAGGAACTGCGTCTATTCTCTTTTCTATACTCATAACGAGTTCGTCAATGTCTGGTCTCATCTACTTCCAGCAATTGTGCACTTAGTGCTTCTCGCAAGAGAAGAACGCCTTGCGCTAGGGGACGATCTACTTGGGATGTCATGGAGCCGCGTTGTGATGGTGCAACTCTACATGGTTTCCGCAGTGCTTTGTCTGCTTTCTTCGGTACGTATCCTCTTTTCGTGATAGGAATGATCCCAAGGCTGAGATTCTGGAAGAGTGCATACCATGTCCTTAAAGCGCACTCTGAGCGCGTAGCCCAGAGTGTGCTGAAACTTGACTATCTCGGTATCGTGCTGAACATTGCCATCATCAGCATAACATCCACATGGTCCGGTTTACGCCAGCAGCCACATCTCCAGGCCTCTTACATCACGTCGAGCGTTGGGCTTTCCGGAATTGTATTCTTTGTCTTGCTAAGTCCGAAGGCTGATGGAGCTGCCGCAGCGTTATGGAGGTATGTTTATCTGTTCCCCGCGTCTCGTACCTTTCGAGCGCTTACTCGCTATAACGCCCAGAGCGATGCTCTTCGCGGCATTCGTCGGGAGTGGATACGTTCCGATCGTTCATAGTTACCTAAGTCATGGACTTGTCGGATTGCGATACTTCCCTGTCACCGCCGCGTTGATCATGAATGCGTTGGACTTCCTTGGAGCAATCTTCTACGTTACTCGGTTTCCGGAAAGGCACTTCCCCGAAACATTCGATATATGGGTATGTTGGCAACCTACCTAGGTAGTTAAATCTCCCGTTTACCAATGCTCGTCGCAGGGTTCCAGTCATCAGATATTTCACGTTCTTGTTATGCTTGGACAGATCGTGTACTTGCGCGGCTTGAGAAGCGTAGTCGCTCAGATCTAGGTGATATTTCGAGGATTAGGCGGTTGGCAGAACCCCAGAAGGACATACGGAATGCCAGAAACACTCATGGATTGTAACCCTTGCAACAACATTGAGACACCGGGCGCTTTGGGAGTGGGCCCGAAGTTTGTACTACCCTCAAATTTGAAAGATGCACCTGTCAAGCGCAAGTGCAAGGCCACGTGGACTACTGCAAATGGCCCCACGCTATGTTTTCATCATCTAGCATCGTATTCATGATCAACCCTTGGACCGGATATAAGAAACGTCGTGCATGGTCAGGGCTCAAGTACTGATAAGCCATACCGGGCGCCAATGCGCACACCCAGTTTCCATGTCCCAGGCTGCCGGGCCATGGCTTTGTTGAACTCCGAAGGTTCTGGCACGGAGAGAGCTGAGTGGCTGGCTATATTCCGTTCATATTTGCCAAGTTCCCAGATATACAAAATTGAGGCGTAGAATTCGTCATGCAGCCAATGGCTTCGCTTGCTGCAAACGGCCACACATCCTCTCTAAAAGAAGGCAAATACTTCTCGATACTGCGCTTGTGTGGCATAGTATTGCGCAATGCACCAGTTCGGACTTCAATTCATTGTTCTTCATTCCTTCAACCCAAACGTGGGTTGAGCAAGATCGGTTGGCTCTACACATGGCATTCATATAGCTACAACCAAACCAGATGCCCGCTTTTAGTTGTATGCTCCGGTGACTCGTGTACGAGGCTCGGACTTCGTGCAGTATTCTATCCTTGTTAGGATTTGCGGCCCGTAGCACACCAATTTTCGGCTTTTCCTATGCAGGCAAGGATCAGTCACCGATCCGTTCGATACAGGGTCGAAACACTCCTACCAATTAGAGCTCGGTTTTTTATGCAGCCTCAGTTCCAGCTTGATACTGTTACTTGGGTGTCTCTTCGCAGACGTTCTTGCATCGGAATCTTAGCACCTGCTCCTCGAGCCGGGATCTTGATAGCTGAGCGTCATGGACTCACTACGATGTTTTGCATGCCAAAGATTGTGGGGGACACGCGTAATTGCGACGAGCGATAATGTGGAGTTTGGAGCATCAGTCACCCTCGCATTTAGAACCAACGGGCTAGCATTCGGAGCTAGGACTCCCGCGATCCGGAACCTGAGGTTTTACCCTTGGTCTTCAACCTGGCGGAAAGTGAAGATGAGTTCAAATTGCTATGGTCGACCTGGTCTATGTCTCTCCCTCAATCTAACTACTTTCGAGAAGCCCCAATATTCTCAGGCACCGCGGGCAGTATCGAGTCCGTCGACTCCAAAGACATAAACTCAATAATGACATGATCCGTCCTTGTAATCGCAAGATGTTTAGGCCTAGGCGAACCATTGCCCTCTTGCGCAGAGTCCTGCGAAATATGCAACCAGCTTCGAGGCGTTTTCCTCTCCCTCCAATCCATATCGAACCCCGTCCTCTGGCTGTTTTCCGGTGTGAAACCCATGTATCTCCTCATGCTCTTGTATAGATGCGGAAGCACTGGAAGAGAGAGCACTAGGAAGCCTGATGCGACCTCGGGGAAGGTGGACAGGCCCATGAGGGCGCCCCAATAGGCTACATCGGTTGTTTTAATGAGCTTGATGCTCGTGAAGACACGGATGCCGGCGAAAACAAGTGCCCTGCTTGCAGTTAGCGGATACGCTATGACAGGCTCCCAGAGTATGGATATCTTACATGAAGCCCGCCATGAATGGCACAGCGATCTTCCACCTCCTTTCTCGCGTCATATGCAGGCTCCAAATAACCCTCTGCGTCCAGAGAAGTATCACAACATCCAAAATAAAGTTCAAGCTCGCGGAAATTGGGTGAACCACCATAACGTTAATGCAGCTTCCGTGCGTAATCAAGGGGTTCCAACGCTTTTCCATCGGCTTGCAAGAGAAGATCTCTACGAAGGCGCTGGCGAAGTAGAAAAGCGAGTTCACCCAGATGAGGGCATGTGTGATCCAATACGACGCTGAGTGTGTCTTCGCGGGGACGAAAATGCGCAGAAATTGCACCATAATGCAGAGCTTGAGCACCAGAATAGTCAGGTCATAAAAGACGTAGCCGACGTGAAGATCCTGGAATCCTCTGTTAGTGAATGTGGACTTTTACGGCGGGCTGATACGTACAAGAAGTAGCCGGATGAGGTTTCTTATAGACATATCCCATTGGTGGTAGACTGGATCGAACATGTAGATGCAGAAGGCCGGGGTAATGTGCGCTATTTCGAATAACTAGAGGATATCAGTTGGGGTGTATTCGCGCTCCAAAAGCAACTCACAAACGCGAGAGGCAGTAGCCCTTAGAAAAAGTGGTCAGTCGTTTCCCTAGCGCACCGAATCTTTGAACTCCAATGAAGCACTTACAGTCTTCCAGATGCAGCTTGTGAACGGTGAATATCTTCACGTACAACCGCATAAACGTCATCGACGTCGTGATAAGCAAACATAGTATCAGCGTCGCCAATGACAGTTCTCGATGTGAAGGCGGGTCGATAAAGTTCGATTCAAGTCCCGGTGGTGGCTTGAGGGCTGGCTTGTCTAGCATCTGAGCTTTGAGGATCTCGCTTGAACTGGCCATTTTGGTGAAATACGATCCACAGATAGCCGCTTAGACGAAAGCGGCGGCGCCTTTAACAACACGGGGTGGCTTGTCAGTTCTTCAATTACCCAGGAAAAGGCCATGGTGGCAGTCTACGCGCGTGCTCATCGGGAAAAAGGCAAACTCGTTGGAACTGGTACATCCCAGAATGGAGTCGGAAAATATGACCTGCATCACTTCGAGCCGCTCTAGCCTAGCGATGGCCTATCCGGAGACACCGATAACACGTCTCGGGAACGAATGAACTTCTGGTGAAGGATAGCCGACGAGGCTCCATGTAAGTGTCGGACTCCGGCGCGCTTGGCGGTCTATCACGGAGGGTAGTACAAGATAAGGATATCAGTGAGTTGGAAGCGCAGCCAGAATAGGCGGGAAATACTCGGAGAATCCCAATGAGGGTGATGAATCCTGAGAGGATTCAAAACTATGCCCACGCCAAGACAGGCGGGAAGGGTAAATGCTCACACTTCCAGACAGCACAATGGGAAGACTGTTTATGTAAGCATCCAAGATTGGAGCATGTGTGCGTTCCTGTTCCGGGTGTATGGCTCGGCTCAGGCTCGCCGCATGCCCTGAGGCTTGGCGAATAGATGTTCAACTCTCTTCAGCTTCAACACGCTCTAGCACGAACAGCGCATATGCGGACGTTCTCCTTGGCGTCAAAAGAGGCACGAAGGTGAAGATCCCTAGGCTGTGCAAAGATGTTTTAGCATACTCCCAATGTCGTGCCACCAACCCCGTGGATGTGCAACCAATTGGCTTTTATAAGAAACGCGCCGGATATCGCCTTCTCATGTGGGTGCCTCGCCGCAATCCTTCATCCGCCATCTTGACGGATTTTCGCACATCCTTGCCGAGCGGCATGGAACAACAAACCCAATCCCGTCGGAATAGCCGTCAACATGACACGACTGGGCCTCGCCAGTTCCTAGCTCGGACATAGGCTTTCCGAAGAACTGAGAGAATAGTACACAATTATGTGTTTCGAGTGATGAAAGCCTACTTCAAGAATGCCGACGATGATAGGAAATGCGGACTTTCTGCAGAACCGTGCTTGAACGCTTGTGGGCAGTCTGTGGCAGGCATCCCCTCCGTTATAGTTGCTGAAAAAGTTGATTCAAACTGGACAATCATGCATCGATGGCCGTCAAGCATAAGACTGAGAAGCTATTTCAAGCTTTTACCTGTAGTTACGGCTCGTGATCAACGGCTCGTGACCGATGTCCGCCATTCACCCCCCATTCATAAGCTCGTCCCCGGTCGTCTCGCCCTCCTCAACAATAGGAACGAGCAGAGTAGCGGAATCAGGGTGAACGAAGAAAGCGGTGCTGTACGCATAGGAAGCAGGCCATCGGCCAGACATGTCTGTGGCTGGATAACGCGATGTCAAGTAGAGCGTAACTTGTTCCAAGGTTGTTAGAAAGGCGTTGGAGAAGAAGGACTACATTGATGATGCGGATGCCGCGGAGAGCGTCGCGGGCATGAAGTTTCCATCGTGGAGTGAGTTAATCTCGGGACCCGTACGGAATCTCGGTGGAGTGACGTCCAGGAATCGCAGTCGGTGTGAGGGTTAATGCTGTAGCAGCCGGGCTGCTCCCTCGTTGACTTGGGGACGGTCGTGTATCGAAGGAATCGGGTCGACTTTGGCGATGCTGTCTCTACAAATGAAGTGTGGATAGAGTAGCGATAGGATGGGTGTCGTTCTGCTGATGTCGAGATGGAGGTGTGTGGTGAGGGCGGAACCTTGGAAACTTTGGACCTCGAGGGAAGGTGTCCTCATATCTATCGCGCTAACTACTTCAGTTGGCGCACGCACCAACCTCCACAGAACGTCACCTTCACGCCCACGCCCACGCCAGACATAGAAGGGTAGGCTTTCACGAGCGCTGTTATCAGCACTGCGTCGAATTATGTCCGCATCTTCTTAGGAACTGGCTGCTGACCGTCGTATTACCGAGCCGTGTCCACGTGCGGTCATGCACCGTGAGAACGTCCTCCGCGACTGACTGGGCCACACTGCCGCTATCCTCTTCATGCTCTATGTGCAGGAGATTGAAGCAAAGATTGCCTGACACGAGAGCGATTTTGTTAATACCTCCTACTAGTCAGTCGACTACCTACTTGCTCTAGCCCTTAGGCTCACCATTGCCCCTTTGCGCGCACTGACACGGCATCCAATGGCTTCAGCACGGTTACGCAAATCAGAGTCCTACTTAAGTTGGATATGTCCGAATCATTCGAGACCATTAGCAGGGCATCGGTATTAGCAACTAGGGAAATTGACGTGGCGATTTCACGAGCTTCACCTCTGGCAGACGTCTTACAAGCTGTCACCCCGTCTATCCCGGTACACTAAGGTAATCAGACCTTGTCCCTATCTTCTCAGCAGTACTACTACCCGTAGGGTCATATCAACTCTAGCGCAAAAGGTCAGCGTCGGCTTCGCCCGTTTCTTCAGCCTCCTTTTTACTACACTTCCTCCTCGGCAGGATCTACTACTGCGCATCCAGCGAGCGATAATGGTGGGAATATGGATACCTCATGCTCGAGTATGTTAGCTGTGTGGCGCTCAGTGTATTCCTGTGTGACGTCTAGGCGCGGAAGGTGAGAAGCCAGTTCGTAGGACCCTCCAGCCAATGCTAATGCCTAATCTCTGTTAGAAGGCTCCGCGTTTGGGGGAGTCGACTTACGGTGATTGGTTGGCTTGAAGCGATGGTAGTTTGACGGGCTGGATTATTTTCCGTTCGCTTTCGCATACTTCCCTGGCATGATAGGCCTCCGCCATATCGCTGGCCACAAGCATTCAATGGCGTGGAACACTCTGCTTCCATGTTCGGAAGCTCCTCGACCCGCCACCAAGATCAACGTTCTCTCCCTCCGCTTCGTCCAAAATATCCAGAATTCTCTTTATCCAGCAAGCGAACATTTTACACACTTCTCCTCTACTACTCTTCTCATTGTCGCGTATCCATCCAACTCCTGCGCGCTCTATACTCCCCAACCTTCCCACCACAATGGTACATCCCTTCTCCTCCCCCTCTCTCTCCCACGCTTATCTCCCCTAACGTTCTCACAGTCCCAAATCCACAACGGCACCGACTTCGCCCACGAATTCGAGCATCGCTCCAAAACCGCACTGGGCATCGGCCTCGGAGTTGGCCTCGGGGCACTTCTTCTAGTCGGCATCATCGGCGTCGCATACGTGATCTTTCACAACAAGCGGCATGCTGCTGGTCGAACAACGGGTATCGTGGAGCTGTGGAGGAAGGTGTTGGCGAAGTTTGGGTTTGTGTGGAAGCTGGAGACCTGAATGCGAGTAATTATGTGCGCGATACGGACGGCGAGCTTGAACGCGGCGGAGATTCGAGGGAGTGGCTGGGGATTGGGGATAGCCCGCGGGCGGGTGGGACAGAGGAAGAGGTCCTTATGTTGTGCGGGGCGCCGTGGCTGGCTTTGGTGTCGAGCTACAAATGAGCCTTGTGCCGGTCGCATTGAGTGAAACAAAGTGTGCCTTGGGAGAGCGTCAGTGTACTGTACAAGGACCCGACATCTAGTTCGGTTACCTTGAATGACAGGTTCCTGCACGAGCAGCAGATACCTTTACAAAGCAGAAGGGAGACCGTGCCTCTGATGACTCACTGCTCTGCTATCTTGGCCTCGCGTGGCACTTCCCTAATGCGAGTCATAGACAGCTAGACCCACCAAATGCGTCGACAAGATTTCCAAATCTCCACACCAGGATCTTAGAGTGCGACACTGTGGAGCAGCCCAACCCAAGAATACTTTGTTTCCCTTCTTCGGGGGCAACACAAACCATCTGCTCCCACTGCGAACATACCACTTCGGCATCGAGCCACGATACGCTCAGAAACTCTTCTCCTGCTCAGTCCATCTCTTACAATAGTTCGCACCTCTACTCTAACACCGCCGAAAGCGCTAATCCTGATAGAATACCGACCGGAACCAAGCCCAAGACCACTCTCACTCCCCCCACAACCTGACCACCGGTCAGAAAATCGGCATCGGAGTCGGGTGTGGGGTCGTCGTATTGATACTCATCGTCGTCGTCGCCGCCGTTTTAATCGTACCACGCAACAAAAGTCGACGGGGTAATGGTGGCCGCGGGGATGATATAGACGACGATCTCTGCTGCGCTTGCATTTCTAGCTGCTGCTGTTGCTTTTGTGACTGAAGGGAAAGGGATTGGGGGGAAACCACCTTGTTCTTCGTTTCTCCTCTATGGAAGAACGTGCCCAAGCGAATTAACCTTCGCTAAACTCTATGCGAACGGAGACGGTGGAGGGTCATTCCCCGATTGATCGATGGTTACAAGCGGGCGGAAAATGTGAGCGGTATCAAGCGTCTTGCGCAAACAACCATTGTACGGCCCACCTACCAACTCGGTCCTTAGAATATTTTCAAGTTACTATATCCACTGCTCGATTTCGTCAGTGCGCATGCGTCAGAACGGGACTGACTCACAAGCTTTCGGGTCTTCATCATCCTCCCCCGCGAACTCCCACAACTCCCACCACTCCAGCAGCGAACCACACCGGCACCAATCTATGCTACACAGTATACACCCAGGCACTCTTCTCTTTCGCAGTCCGTCCCTCAAGATGGTACGTACCCGTATTACAATATCACGGCCGAAAACGCTAACGCCCGCAAGGCAGCGACCAAGACCAGTCCAACTCCCAACCAGCCCTCGCCAGAAGACCGAAATACCACCGTTCGACCTTCTCCTAGCCTGTGCAGCTGGGAATTCGCGATGTTCATCGTCATCTACGTAGGCGCACGATGCAAAAAGCGTCAGCGCGGTCCCGATGGCGGCGACGGCCGATTCGACAAACTTCTCCGCAAAATGTGCGGTCATGGCAATGATTAGGGTTTTTCATGATGTCACGGACGGGAGGTCAATTTCGATTGGATTTGCGCCGCGGGCGGGCGGGCTGGCCAGTCGGCGGGCGTAACTTGCGAAGTGCGCCGGGGAGGTCTTGGGCGGCGACTTAGAGAGCTTTGAATGAATGTGTAGAGCGGCGGCTACGTGTCTGTTTCGAGTATGGGAGTTAGATGACTGCACTCAATATCCAACGGTGTCAGTGCGTCCACGTGTATGCTTGACTCACCAACACGCACGGATGGCCACAGACCCCGCCATTTGCACGACTGATCCCTCCATCAACATACTTGACCGCCGAACACTCCAAAGCTCCAAAATAGCATGTGTATATAACATCGCTAATTCTCTATCAATGAGGCGATGTCTCGTACCCTCCCAAGTTTCGTTCGCAACCAGCCGGGCATCTTCTCCAAAATGCTTCCCAAAATGCGTCGACGGACGCCAGAAAGCCCAATACACTCGTGTAGGCCAATCTACGCCCGCGAGCACTCCTCCGTGAAAATCTTTAGTAGCTCCGTGAAATCGCACACATTCATGGACTCGAAGACTCCGCTGCTGTAGATTTTCATTTCCCCCATCCTCGGACTCCTAATGCCGAACGCGACTTTTGCGAGGAACCTCGGGTCGTCGCGCACTTGTACTCTGTCCAGGAGCTTCCGGACTTTCGCCGGATCAGGTGGTTGCGGTGGCTCGTCGGGGAGAAAGGCTTGCTCATGCGTCTCACACCATGTGCAATGACCACATTCCTCCGGCATCCCATCCGACGTCTCACCGAAGTACGTGGCTAGCGCCCGAGAGAAGCACTCTTTGTCGGTAATGAGGTCGATCAAGGCTTTGGTGCGCTCGAGATCCTGCTTCTCCTTGGCTTCCATGCTTGCGTCGAGCTGCTTTATCATGCCATCAATCTCTTCCTGGGCGATTGGCAAAGGCCTCTCGAGTCGGAATATGCTTTGGACTCCTTTCTTTTCAAGTTGAATATACCCGCGCTCGTTCCACTCGTCAATTTTCCTCACGAGGTCGGCCCGTGGAATACCTGATGTGTCAGAGAGCTGGTCGAGAGCTATGTAAGTCCACTTGGAGGCTTTGACCGAAGCCCTAGCAATAGCACGAGCTGCATTCGATTTGTCATTCGACATCATTCGCGGGTCCTTCGAAATATACTTGTACTCGTTGTACAGATGGCCAGCCGCTCGGAAGAGCTTGAAGTGTAACTCCAATTGGGCGTAAATAATACTGAGGATCGTCTGGTTGATGTCAACATCCCTCGCCTGCTGATACAACGAGACCGTGAACGTGTCCCCAGGTTTCAAGTCTCTTCTGTTCGGCGAGCAAATGTCTTCAAGGAGGAGCTTTAAGGATCTCTCTGAGGGTCTATCACCGTATGTGAATATGTTTCGCAGGTAGAAGTCTTTGCTAGAGAGGTTGAAGACACACACGCTGGGCCTTCCATCGCGCCCAGCTCGACCAATTTGCTGGCTGTAGGCCTCGATGCTGCTAGGGATGTCAAAGTGAATGATGTTTCGGATATCGGGCTTGTCGATACCCATGCCAAATGCGATGGTGGCCACAACGATCATGTTGGAGCTAGCCAGAAACTCATCTTGAGTCTTCGTCCGAACATCGCTGCTCATACCGGCATGGTACGGTTTGGCCGGGAATCCGCGCTTTTGGAGCTCCTCAGCAAGCTTCTCCGCTCCCTTCTGAATGGTGACATAGACAATTGTGGGACCGGGGTGCTCGCGGAGATGTGCAACTAGCCTCCCCACATCGTCGGTCGCCTTCGTGCTTGATTGAGCAAGCAATCGTAAGTTGGGCCTATAGACGGTTGTTGTGAAGAGGCCTCCCTTTGGGATCGAGAAGGCGTCGCAAATGTCCTGCGCGACTTTGGGCGTGGCGGTGGCGGTGAGGCATACCACTCTCTCGACTTGGGCCTCTTGCGCGAAACGAGAGATCTTGAGATAGTCCGGCCGGAAGGAATGCCCCCACTCTGATATGCAATGCGCCTCGTCCACCGCAAGAAGTCGAATGCCGCCTGGAATGGCTTTCAGAGATGCAATGAATCCTTCGCTGTTAAGTCGCTCTGGTGCACAGTACAGTAAGTCTAGGCGCCCATGACGGAGATCTTCTTGAGTGGCCAGGTACTGGTCCCGGGAGACGGAAGAATTGAGCACAGCTGCCTTGACGCCACGTCGCAGAAGCGCATCCACTTGATCTTTCATCAATGCGATCAGAGGTGAGATGACCAATGTGATGCCGCTGTTTTCAGGGCTGCGGCTGCCGGAAAGCTCGTCCTGGATCCTGAAGGCAACTGCGGGCACCTAGAAATTTCAGCAGGTGAACTCTACCGACATAGAGAGGCAGTACCTGGTAGCAAAGGCTCTTTCCAGCCCCGGTAGGAAATACGATTGTCGCGCTGCCGCCATCCAGCAGCCGGGTGATGGCGGCTTCTTGTTTGAGGCGGAAGCTGTCGAGGCCGAAACGCTCATTCAGCACTCTATTGGCGAGGACGGTAGAAGGCGACAGCTCGGTTTTGGCCTTCTTGTGTGAATTAATCCCAACTTCATCTTCTCGCCTCCGCTTCCCATTCTCGACGGCTTCTGTCGCAGCGAGAAAGTCGGCTTCGTCGTCGAAGGACACATCAAATGCGTCGCTCATAGCGATGCACAAAAGCGAGGGACAGGAAGCTGAGCAAGTGCGCAGTTTAGTACGCTGAGCTGCTGAGATGAATGATGATGTAGACGCAGATGTTGATGAGAAGTCGACTGTTGACGATGAGGTTCGTTCGCGACGCGTCAATGGAGGTCGCGCTAAGATAAGATAAGACGCCAGCATGACTCGCCATCATGTGACGTGCCCCAGTCCCGTTCTCTGCACGACGTTACACCTCCATCAGTCCTTTATCATTATTCCCAAAACCGAATTCGAGAGTCTCATACCCTCACGCTTCCCGTTGTCACAAATTGCCAGCGCGCCCCGCCCACTATTCGCTACATTTAAAAAGCATACATGGATCTCTCCAAGCCGTGACACGACGCTGATATCCAGCCAACGTAGATAATCCCGCGAACGTTTCCCAAGAATTGAGTCAGAGCGCATACCATCCGAAGGTACTCCGCGTAGAAGACCACCATCGCATGTGATCACACATTCACGCTCAGACTCCTCTGCCCAGGCACCCATCCCAGACCACATCCCGTAGCAATCACGCGGGAGTAATGCGGCAGACTTTAATTGCTCCCGGTAACCCGTTCTATTTCAGACCCTCAACAACCCACAACTCCAGACGAATACCCATCCTAAGGCACGCATCCGCAGATCAGTAGCATCTCCACGCTTTGTATGCAAGTATACATCATCTCCCCCGAAAGTGCCGACATATAGTCACAGTATACAGACAGCTCAGAAGCAGCGATATCGGCATGTAACAACAGAGCCAAACACAAGATATGGAGTCTAGTTGCTCAAAGATCCGCAGCCCTAATGATGGGTCGTATACATCTCTTTCATCAGTTCAGTTTGGCTCCTCTCTCGCGCCAATCTAACAGCGTCGCACCGAAACACCACGCTCTGCCGCCGATCCGTGGAATGTACAGTGACACACGACGCAAGCACCCCCGTGTACGACAGCACCAACAAGCAGTCGATAAGATAGCGGAGCGCACGAACCGGAAAGCCGCCGCCCATTGCTTCTATCTAAGTGATGACAGCACACAAGTGATGACAGCACACCTATGTTGCATCGGGTCTGCGGGATGCGACGTCATGTGCATTCCTCACGCCCCTGGGGGAGAGGATATACAAAGCTGCGGGTGGGTGCGGGTCTGGAACGGAATATCAGCCAGCTGCTGGACCACTGGATCCCCCCAGGCTAGATTGTGAGGATGTCGTCGTCAACGTTGAGCACCGCGGCGGCGAGCAAGGAATCTATCACGGAGACGGGTTCGACGGCTAAGAAAGAAGAGGAGGATATTGGAAGCGTCGACGAGGGTGCGACTACCCTCGACGCCGGTGCGGTGGAGGGAGGAATGCGCGCTTGGCTCACTGTCATCGGCTCGTCGCTCGTCTACTTCGCGTCCTTCGGCATCATCAATAGCTTCGGCTTCTTCCAGAAGTACTATCAGACGAGCTACCTGCCCTCGGTGCCGGCGTCGACGATATCCTTCATTGGCACCATCCAGATCACGCTCATGAACCTGCTGGCAGCCCCGGCGGGATCACTGTTCGACTGCTACGGGCTGAAGGTATGGATTTTCTTCGGACTGCTTTGGCGACGGCGACGGCGTACATCGAGTAGCTCACCAACCACCGCAGTATCTCTACATATTCTCCGGGATAGGCTGCGCAAGCGCCCTCGTCGCCCTCTCCTTCACTCAACCAGGCATCCTATGGCAGCCGTTCCTCATCCAAGGTGTCCTCCTCGGCATCGCCATTGCATTCGGCGCGCAACCATCCCTAGTCGTAGTCGGTCAGCACTTCGTCCGGCGCCGTGCGCTGGTAATGGGCATCATCGCCGCAGCGGGCAGTGTGGGCGGCGTCTGCTTCCCCGTCATCTTCGCTCGACTCGTGCCTTTGGTTGGCTTCGCTTGGTCGTTGCGCGTCGTAGCCATGGTCGTAGCTTGTTGCTACGCGGCTGCGCTCGGGATCTCGCATACGAACTACCCGGCCACGAAGCTGACGTCTGTCGGTGCGCTGTTGGACTTCAAAGGTTTCCTGGACCGGAGGTATTCCGTGCTAGCGGTTGGAGCGTTCATCGCCATGTTGGGCCAGTTTGTCCCGTACTACTACATCAGTCGGTTGTCAGCCCATATGCGCCTCCATTCCCTCTGACGATCTCCTCAGGCACATATTGCTCCGTTGCGAATCCAAGCTCGGAAGCGAAGGACTATCTCCTCCCCCTTATGAACGCAGCAAGCTTTGTCGGCCGGATCCTGTACGTACCACTCCCCCCTCAAAAACCCCGCGGTTCTCGTCTCGACCACACATTTCTTTAACCCTCCCCCTCAAAACCACCGCGGTTCTCGCCTCAGCTGCACCTTCCTTTACATTCTTCCCTTCCCTTCCTCTTATCCCCCTCTCTATCCCCATCTCCATCCCCTCCCCTCCCTGCACCAACTAACCCTCCCCCAGCGGCGGCCACCTCGCCGACATCCGCGGCCCCACCAACACCGTCTATCCAATGACCATCCTCTCCGGTCTTCTCTGCCTGACAACCTGGCTCCTCACGTCCTCGCCCCCGATCCTCATAATCTTCGTGCTGCTCTACGGCTTCTGCAGCGGCATCTTCATCGCGGTGCTGCCGGCCATCATCGCGCAGCCGCAGCTCTCGCCGCCCGGCGGCCTCGGCGGCCGCATCGGCGCGTTCTACAGCGTGTGCGCGGTGGCGCAGCTGGTGGGGAGTCCGATTGGCGGCGCGCTGATTAGGACGCCGAAGGAGGTTGGGAGTGCGGGTGGGGAGGCGGATGGGTATGAGGGTTTGGTTGTGTTTGCGGGTGCGACGTTGGTTGTGGGTGGGTGTGTTATTTTTGGGGCGAGGGTGTTGCATGATCGGAATTTGCGGGCGAGGTTCTGAGAGATGATGGGTGGGCGGTTTGGTAGGGTAGCCAGCTGGCTGCTGGATTCCGGGTGCGCCGGAAGGGCCGGTTGTGTGACTCCGGGAGGAAGGGAGGGAGGGCCATCCATCGTGGTGGAACCGAGTGGGAAAATTACATACAGTGTCACACAGAGTTCCCACAAGACAGGGTTTGTAAGCATATAGAGGGTAGGGCAGAGAGGTAATACTCAAGCTCGTTGTTTCGCTTCTGGGATCCGCAGAAGCAAATGCCCATACCTATTACTAGCCCGTTGAGCATCTATGTGCTCCCAGCAATGGCACGGACCCGCGCTGCCAATATGCAAGCCCAGATGTGCCGCCGCACGTTGCGCCTAACTCCAGTGATATTCCCTCTCGCACACACCCTATGAAAGCAGGGCTTCGCATCTCGGAACCAGCCGGGACATCTTAGGCCACAAGTCCAGAATGCGAAACGGTTTCGAAATAGCATCGTCCATGCCCGCCGCAAGCGCCTGCTCGATCTGCTCGCTGCGTGCATTCGCGCTGACGGCCAGAATGGGTAGTCTGCGCCGCTTCGCGAGCCGCGACGGGGTGAGGGTGCCGAGGGGAGCATGTTCCACGCCGATGTTGAGCTGGTAGAAGGACGATATGGGAGAGACCGAGGCGGAGGAAAGTTGTGGAGTGCGTTGGCGAGGGGGAGGGTCCGGTGCGGAGAGGAGACCTTGGGCCTCGAAGTCGCGGATGAGGCGGGCGCACGTTAGGCCTCCCATGATGGGCATCTCGATGTCCATGAGGACGATGTCGAGGGCGTGTTTCGCGGAGGTCTCGCGGGTGGATGGTACTTCTTCCGGAGGAGAAGGAGGAAGAGTGATATGGCAACCGCCGTTGCCATTCATAATAACGGCGTTTTCTTCCTCAACACCCCGCCAATACACGCTATCCTTCAACCACTCCAGCGCCTCGGCGCCATTCCCGGCAATGCTGACGTTGCAACCCGCTTTCTGCAGCTGTGTACTTAGGACTTTCTGGTTAACCAGGTTGTCCTCTACCAAAAGGATATTTAAGCCCGCGACATTGAAAGCGTCTTCCGTAGACGCAGCCAGATGTGGTGTAGGGAGGATGAATTTTCCGGCGTCCGCACCCGAGGGAGCTTGAGCGATGCGGGTGCCGACGTAGAAGGCGAATGTCGAGCCGCTGTCGGCTTCGGAAGTGACGCCTATTGCGCCGCCTTGAAGCGAGGCTAGCGATTGGGATATGAAGAGACCGAGGCCAGAGCCGCCGTATTTTACATGCGTTCCTGTTGAGGTACGAGTCAGCTTTCAGACTACTCCTATAGATAGGGATCCAGCAGAGCACGTACGAGGGGAAGCCTGCGTGAACCTAGAAAAGAGCTCCTTCTGCTCGTCGACGATCATTCCGCAACCCGTGTCGACAACCTTTAACCAGATGAAGCCCTTTCGTCCGCTCCCCCATTCCGGCTTGTCGCATATGTCGCTTTGAGGATTTCCGTTCTGAGCGAAGGACATTGCTTGCCATTCGACCGATGGGCGCGTCCAGGCGCCACCCAGTGTAACAGTGACGTTGCGGACTGGGTGGTCTTTTGTGAATTTGATAGCGTTGGTGCTAGAGACGAAGTCAGCATCGCCGTAGATCGACATGTGGATGCCACATTACAGAAGGTTGATTAGGACTTGTAGCAGGCGTGACGGATCCAGCATCACCCACTCAAAGCCCTTCAGACTCTCATCCTCTCTGAACTCGAGCGAGATTTGCATCTGGCTGCACTCGACGTCGAACATCTTCATAGCCTCCGAAACCACGACTGCCGGTTGCACGCGCATTGGCGTAATCAGAAGCAGGTCGGAGTCGAGCTTCGACAGGGTAAGAACGTCGTCAATGACGCGCTTCTGATGCAGCGAGCAGGACACAATCGTCTGCAAGGAATCGATGCACATGGCAATCTCGACGTTGACCTTCTCAATCTCCGACTGCATGGAAGCGATCTGGTTCGGCGTGAGCTCCTGTAGAGTGCCAATGACTGCGTCGGCGCATTGCACGACCGCCGACAGAGGGTTCCGGAGCTCATGAGACGTCATGTCTATGAAGCTGTATCCCGGGTTAGCGCTCGTTACAAGACCGGGGACACCTTGCCCTTACTTCTCCTGCTGCCTTTTCGCTTCCAGTGCCTCCTCGACGCGTCGGCGCTGCACGCTCTCAGCCCACTTGAACTGCGATATGTCGAACAGCGTGCCCATGATGCTGACAACATTGCCATCCTGGTCAAGCTCCGGAGAGCTCGAGCCCTGTACCCACAGGTTAGAGCACACTCCTTCTTGGTTGATCCAAGTCTTCTTTAGGCGAAACTGCGTGTGGTCGGGCTTCTTCCCTTCCATCACAGCTAACCATCCAGTTTGCACCTGTTCGATATCTTCTTCCGCGACGAAGTCGCTCCAATCTAGTTGATCGAAGGCGACGCGAGGTTGGCCAGTCAGTTCAAAGAACTGGTCGTTGACATACTGCATGCCCCTGTCCGGCTTGAAGATGTATATTGCAATGGGAGCCAGCTGCGCAAACCTTGCGAACTTGAGTTCCGACAGTCTGAACTGCTCCAAGGCCTCGATTCGCTCCTGCACCACGCCTTGGCACTTTTTCTGAGCGTCGAGGCCGATGGTGGTCCCGGCTATGCCGATCAGCTTTCTGTTCTCGTCGAACATTGGAACGCATGAGGAGAGGATGCGTGGAGCTCTGTCAGACGAACCCGGACGCGGCTTCCATCTCATCTCGAATGTGACTGGGTGGCCCTGCAATAGTGTATTCCACGCCGACATGACGAGGGCTTGGTCGTCTGGATAAGCGAGATCCATGAATGAGAAGTCTGTGTGCGCTGATAGGTCCTTGGGATGGGAGCTTATGGCGTGGTGAGTATTTCTTGACAATGATATGCATGTATATATACCTTAGACTGTACCATGCCTCGTTGGCATGAATCAACTTCCCTGATGGGTCATACTCAAATACTCCGACATCGCTCCTCTCCATCATCCTTTGAATACTCCCCCAGTTGACCCGCGGAAGGCTCTGGAGAGGTACCGCTAAACTCTGGCTGACCTTCTCCAGCAAGCAGCCCGTCGACTGTCTCTTGATGAGCCTGCGTCCTGTCCCGATGGGCACATCGGTGTTTCTTCCATTCTGGTCCCGGAAAGGCTGCTCTCCCAACCCAACTTCAACAGCCCTCACAACCTTCCAATCCCCATCCACACCCGCAACCCTCGCACTCCAAACGCAGCCCCCAAACTCCCATCTGCTCTTGCAGTAATCCCCAGCTTGTGCCCACGCCCGAAACAGCATGGCCGCTCTCTCGTCCGCCAGCACGCCTCCACGCAAGCCCCTCTCGTTCCGGAACGCCGCATTGCAAAACAGCAACTCGAATGCTACCGCGCCGGCGCCGTTGCCAACTTTAACCACGAATGTCGGGGCCGGATCCGCTTCCAGGAAATCGAGGCTCAGAGCATCTGTCCGCTCTAGAGAAGACAACGAAGACGACGACATGTCGGCGCGATCCTCTCCGCGGCCTCGCTAGCTCGTCGCCGCCGCCAGTGCCGCGTCTCGCTCCGAGGACTGAAGGTACTGACAGATTGGCGCGGGCCTGAGAAATGTCGCGTGATGGAGTGCTTGTTGCAGAGCGTTGACGCTGAAGAGTCGCGCGGTGTAGCCTCGACGACCATCGGGAAGGCGCGTCTAGCGAAAAAAAATTGGGCAGGTCGTGGATGGGATTGTGCGTCCTCGAATGCGATTCCGCGGGCATTTACTTCGCGGAGGGGCCCTCCACGCATGGGGACGATGGCGAGATGTTTGGCCTTACTGGTGCGCTAGAGCGGTCTAGGCTCCAGTGGCAAATTAAGCTCGCCGCTAAGCCGCGATCTCGACGACACGACTCCGGGGGCGGAGATCGTGGTGGTAGGCTGGGGAGTTTGCCCGTGGCTTGGCGGATGAGGTGACCCCGGCATGCTGCTCCGTGAATCTTAGTTTGGCATGGCCCTTAAATGCAACGGACCGATACTCTAGGACCCGTAACACTGGTTAGCCTTATTCTATCTCCAATATCCTAGGCAATGTTTTGACTTTGAAGTATATCTCCATCACCACCATCTACGCCTCCTCCGCCCTCCAAAAAGCAACCTTATACCCCGCCTTATTCTTCATACTAATCCTCACCTCGGGCCTCCATCCAGCCCCCTTCCCACTCCTCCCCTCCACCCTCTCAAACCTCTCCACCAACCTAACCAGCAAATACCCCGCCTCAGCCAGCGCCTTGTCCTTCCCCAGACAGCTCCTCGGCCCCGTGCCAAACGGCATAAACTCCTTGCCGCTCGGCTTGACGTTGAGCCAGCGGTCGGGGTTGAAGGACCGCGCATCGGCGCCAAAGACGGCAGTGTCGAGGTTCAAGGAGTAGAAATTCACCATGCCGGTGGTGCCGGCGGGGACGGGGAGCGGTTGGTCTCCGTTGGGGCCGCCGCCGGTGGGGAGGACGGTTGGGCGGAGGGCGCGGCGGGCGACGACGGGGAAGACGGGGCGGAGGCGGAGAGACTCCAAGAGGATGTTCTGGATGAGTCTATTCTCCCTCAGTCCATCATAAGTGAGCAGCTCCCGGTCGCTCTCCTTGACCTCTTTCCTCAGCCTTGCCCAGATCTCCGGATGCTCGGCCAGCAACTGCACGACATTACTGCACAGCACGCTCGTCGTGTCCTGGTTCCCCAGGATACCCTGCAGCAACTGCGCCTGAGCGTACTTCCTGTCGCTGGTCTGGCTGAGGAGGATGTCCGCCGCGCTCTTCGTCTTGCCGACCGCGTTCGCCAGCAAGCGCTCCTCCGCCTTGTCGATAGCGAAGTCGACGAAGGAATGCACTGTAGCGCAGGCTTTGGCGTAGTGCGCTTTAGGCGCCAGGAAACGCATGCTGCCGAGGAGCAGGCGGAGGCCCATGCCTACCAGGCCGTCGAGCCAGAGCTGGTTGAACGTCTCGGTAGAAACGGGGCGCCCGTCGTTCTGGTCCCGCGCGTCAATCCCCAGGATGAACTTCAGAGACGTGTCCAGGAACTGGTACTCTACATCAGCATGTCATGTGATGGCCCCACCGCCTGTACTACGCGGGCTATTCTGACTCACAGTGTCGTAAAACAGCGGGCCCATATCCACTGTCTCCCCGTCCCCGGGGATCTTCCGCAACAGCCCTTGAATAACGTTGTCCAGGTGAGCAAAGTCATCGACGTTGTTCCTGTTAAACCCAGGTCGAAGCATCTTCCTCGCGCGAAACCACTCCTCCCCATCCGTCGTGATAATGCCGCGTCCCAGCAACTCCCCCATGCCATCTAATCTGAAACCCACGCCCCAATCCTTCCCCGCCATGACGGCTTGCATGTTCTCCGGGTCGCACGTGCTAACGGCGTGCATGGGGTTGAAGAGCGTGGGCATGCGATACGTTTTGCCCAGCTTGGTCTGGAACTCGATGAATTTGTCTCCGTTGAGGCTGGTGGTGAATATCCAGTCGAGGTTGACGAAGGGATCGAAGGTCCAGTATTTGGGTGGAAGGTGCCGCGCTTGTACGCGTCGTCGGATGAGGAGGTAGAGCACGTGGCAGAGTAGCAGACCTCCAATGACGCCGTAGACTGAGCCGATGTGGAGCTCCATGCTGTATGATGAAATCCTGCAGCTGCAGGGTCGTGGATCTTGCAGTTTTTCTGTCGCTTCTTAAAAGATTGAGGGTAATTGCTCTCGGGCGAGACGGAGGGACGGTTGGTAGCGCTTATGGGGTGTTGGGATCTAAGCCTATTAGAGCGCAGCGCGGAGTCAAGGGACCAATCGCTCGCCAGAGAGGGAAATACAACAACTACTTACGTGAGGCCCGTTACCTTCACCTGGAGGCCCGTTACCTTCACCTGGAGGCCCGTTACCTTCACCTGGAGCGGGTGAGAAATTGTAGCGACTGTGTACGATCAAAAACATTGCGCCCTCGGACACGATAATGGAGATGCTTTGATTCTCGTATATACACGCTACTCGAAGAGGGGAAATCGTATCTCGGTATCACTACAAATCATTAGCCATGCGTCGCAAACCCCGGGAGAGCGCGGCGCATTTCAATCATCCCCACCTTATTATCCCAACAAACGGGACGCTCAAAGCTCTTTCTCCTCGCCCGCGCCGCCAACATGGCTCTCCACCTTCCTCAGCTCCTTGTTACCCGTAACCGGTCGTCCCTCAACAGCCTGCGGTCCACCAATTGCCTTGAACCCGTTGTAGAACAGCCATTCAGTCGCCTTCTCTACCGGCTCGTCGAAGATATATGGAAGGAAGGGAACGGCTGCGAGACCGAGCTACAATGACCACATTAGCTCTCAGCGCACCCAGAGAGGCGACATCCAATACTCACCCCGATAGGACCCCAAGTCCTCAATGTCTTATTCTTCACATCCTTCATTGCCCTGCCCGAGTACCGCACAATACTATGAATCGTAAACGCCGGCAGCCCCATACTCGCAACCGCCTGGAACGTCGCCCTCTGCACCATAACCGCTCTATAATCCTCAATCGCTGGCACTTTACCAGGGATGACATCTCCGCCCGTTATCGCACTGCCCTCCCCACCAGTCTTGACCCCGGACGTATCCTTGAGCGCTTCCTTCAGGTTCTTGGCTTTGTCCTTGATGCTGCCGCTGCTCTCTTGACTGATGTTTAGTTCGGGATGCTTCACGTGTTGGTTCCGTATATACGCCTTGTAGCCCTCGTTGAGGGTGTCGCCGGTTACATACAGCCAGGAGATGCCGTATGCGCTGCGGACAAGCCAGGGGTGTGCGACGGGCCGGAAGGACTCGCCTATGTCGGAGGTGTAGGCTACGTAGCGCTGGGCGGATATCATGATGGTGCGGATGCGGGAGGCGTAGGCGGCATAGCGGATGTTCGTCTCAGTTGTGTCTTTGCTCCTACAGATCAATGTCATTAGCTATGTGCTCAATGTCCTCGGGATGAAGGAAGCGCATGGGGATCAACCTACCTCCCCTCGTACATAACCTCCCACATCTTCTCCTCGCTGTCCAGCGTCTCCTGCAACTCCTTCGGCAGCTTCTTCCTCGGCGGCGGTATCGAGAAATCCGGTCGTGCACCCTGCCGCTGGGGCGGGACGTCCACCTCTTCTGCTTTCTTATCATCTTTCGCCATCTTGCCGTCTCCTTCTCCTCTCTATACCCTTTGATTATTACAAGCAATTGAATAGCTCACAAAGAGCCGGCGGCAGGGTGCGGGATCGTATGAGGTGGGGAGGACGGAAGCTATAGCTGCCTTTCCTCGAGGGCGCGAGCCAATCGGCAAAGTCTCGGATGTTGAGAGGATCCAGCCCGAAGCGTCCTCTGGCGACGAACCTCATCCCCAACGCGCACCCATCCATTGACGCTCCATCTGCCCTTCTCCAGCCGAAAACCCCTCAATACCGCAATCATGGTTGCCATGTACACCATTGCCGGCCGCCAGGTCGGCTCGCACGTCGTACGTAGTCCCGAGCAGACCTCCGCGCAAATCTTCCTTCGCAGCTCCGGAAAGCTTCCCGCGCGCTTAACTCCTCACTATCGCGTTGGACGCATCTGCAGAAAAATTCTCAGACGAAGCGTTACCTTTCTAAGATAGACGAATGAATGCTGACTTTTTCGGGTTTTGTAACAGCTCGCAATGGCAACGCTCGGCACCACCTTCCTCGGCGCCTACCTCTCGATGCGCGGCGGCTCGAAGTCGGAGACGCAAAGCCCGCCCATCAACGCAAAGAGCAAGGAAGAGGAGAGCTTCGTAAAGTACGACATACCCAAAACCCCCATGATACCCCCGCGGGATACTGGGGGAAGGAGCTGGTAGAGGCTAACGGCATGCAGAGACTTCATAAAGAAGGCCGAGGGCGACAAGAAGCATTGAGCGGGGAGTGAAAAGAGTTACGAGCACCTGGTACGGGATATGTGACGGTGGTGGTGGGATGGTCCACGGCATAACACCGGATAGACGGAAGCGCGACGGACGGGATGGGCTTGTAAAATGTGTAGATACAGCGCCAATTGTACCAACAACAGCCATCATCGAAAGGACCTTTTCACACCGAGACTATCCTCGCGTTCAGGAAGCAGCAAGTGAAATTCAATGCTGTTCAATTATGCAAGTACCGTATCCACCAATATCCCCGCCCAAGATCCCCGGAACGCACACAACGCGCAAGGCTGGCCAAGATGCGCCGAAACTCCAAGTATCAGCCCATCATAACACATCCAGCCCAAGCCCTTAAGAGACAATCCTCTGGCATTTATCCACGGGCATTTATCCACGCCAGCCTAAGCCCAAGCCCAACCGTGTTCCTGTAGACTACGCAACAAACTCCAAAAGCTCGTAATCGCTTACTCGTCCTCTAGAATAATCTTCTTCGACATAGAGTCCACGACCTTGGTGTAAAACTTCGGAGCCTGCGCCCGGGGGAAGCAGATCTCCTCGGTGAGGTAATCCGGCAGCAACTCAATGAGCTCCCTATCGCGCTGCTCGTTCAACAGCGGGTTGTAGACGAACTCGGTCTCCTCATATGATTCGCCGCCAGCAGTGACGGTGAGATGGAAGTGTAAAGCTATGAAAACGTTAACCTGTTGAAGCATCTGGTACGCGTGATGGAGGGCTACTTACTCCCGTTACGCCCGGCCTGCAAGCAATCGTAGACATCCTCGTCGTCCTCGTTCTTCTTCATGCCCAGAACAACGAGGTTGGTGAGATCGCTGTAGAGCTCGACCTTCTGCTTCTGGAACTGAGCTTCCTTTGCCACTTCTGCTGTACCTGGCAGAACAACGCCGGTAGATCGAGACTTGACGGCGCTTCCTGGGACGTTCTTGTTCTCCGGTGCTGCGGAGGATCGAGCAGCTGCCAGCTTGTTCGACAGCATTTTGCTCTCATTCTGCGCCGAGCTCAGAGAGTCGGTGAGCTTCTTGTTCTCGGAAACCAGACGCGCATTCTCCTTCTCGACCTTGACCAATTCTTTCTTCATTGCAAAGATTTCTGAGGAACGGGACTGCATCTCAGATATTTGCTGCTTCAGCGCCTTGATAACGGCATCCTGGTCCTTGGCCGCTTGCTCAGTCCTCTTCTTGAGCTGGTCGAACTTGGACTCCTTGCCCGACGAAGCGGCGTCCTTCAGCGTCTCATATTTGGTCGTCATAGCTTCGAGCTTCTTGGTGAGCTCGCCCACTTTCCGTCGCAAAGCGGGATCCCGCTCTGTATCTGACACGCTTCCTGCTCGTCGTGGGCCAGCTGAGGTCTGGCGTGCTGTACGGGGCTGCTGCTGGGTCCTACGTGCTGATGGGCGCGGAGGGGGAGGCATACTCTCCGGTATCTCGTCCATCTCTATTGACGGCTCGACATCCATTGGATCAGACTCCTGTTCTGGCTGTGTCTCTGGGATCATGAAGGCCTCAGGCTCCGGTTCAGGTTCGGGTGCGCGTCTCGTCGTCCGTGACTTCGCGGTCGCCTTCGTCTTAGCATCCTTCTTCGCAGCAGGCGCCTTATCTACCGCTTTACGCGTCTTCTTCGCGGGTGCAGGCTCCTCCTCTACTGCCTCTTGCGCCTTTGATGCTTTCGGTGGTCGGCCCCGCCTTGTCATCTTGACTTCTAGTGCTGGTACAGCGACCTCATCGTCGCGGTCAAACTCGTCCACCTCCTCAGTATCGTTGCCATTTGCATCCTCTCGCTCCGCCAGCACTTTGCGACCGCTCTTAGCGCCTGCTTTCTTCGCGACACCCGCGCCCTGCGTCTTGACACCAAGCACGCCGTTTCCGCTCGCCCGACGCGCCGTTGTCTTCGATTTCGCGGTCGCCTTCTTCGCCGGGGGTGCCTTCGTCATTTGCGCTGCTTTTCCGCGTGGTTTGCGCGTCGGCGCCTTGTTCTCGGTGTTGGAGTCGGGTGTGGGAAACGCGTCCAGCTCGTCGCGCGTTTCGTCTTCGGAGGCAGAGTCGACCGTGAAGGAGAGGTTTGTAAGTGCTCCGCGCGGCGCCATTGTTGCGCTGGGGTTGGGGTCGGATTGTTTGACAGTCAATGTGTTGGAGTTCTGCGGCGATAGTAGCGCCGCAGAAGTGGAAGGTGGGATGTAAACAAACGAGCGCAGGATTTGGTGGTCCGAGCGTGTTCTCCCATGCGCCTCATGCATCTCTCCTACACTCACATTTCACAACCTGATTATCGTCTTTTGTGATAGCATTTCACTCGATAAGGCAACACAATGCAGCTGATCGACTCCGAGAAGGCTGAAATACGCCGACGTCGCATGTTCACCCTCCTGGAGGTCATCCAGGCCCAATCGAAGTTCTTATCCACATCCATCCGCGGTTGATTATTCAGCTTCGACTCGATCACTTCTTTCTCCCCGATGAGTTTGTTGCGAGAGGGTCTCGCCAATGCCACCACCTTCGCCGGTCACAAAGGCTGCTTTGATTCCGTAATATCTGGTCACCACTTGGATTCCAATACTCTCGTCTTTGCTAGTAGTCGGTTCTGTCACGTTCTATCTCTGCTGTTGTTTTCCCCTTTGTATTCATTATTGAAAACTTCGGTACCCAGTTGGTTCGTCTACGAATGTCCAGCCATGACGTTATGCAGCTCAAGGCTGATTTCCAGGGCGGTACGTCACATCAAGAGCGAACACTTACAAAGCTCTTACGCAGCCCACTACCCGAAGACAATCGCCTGGAATGTCGTGAAGCGCGGTGGTGCACACGAGGGACATGCCGAGTCGACCTAACCCATCGATCCCCGCTTTCGTAGGCCTCGGGTCCAACTGCTCCATCTATCTCATCGGAAGAGGGCAAGGCATGGTGTCAACCACATGGCAAGATCCCAATCTCATCGGACTTGTTCGGCTGGGGAATCACGACCAGAACTGAAAGCCATGCGTTGTATCCGGCTTGCCTATTGCGCTGGATGCTACTCACCCCAAATAATGTGGCTTTTCTTTATCTAACTGGCAAACGCCGCCTGCAACTCAGCGTCCATTGCGGGACGACCCGCCCGAGCTGCGGCGAACTGGGCCTCCTACGCGCATCCTGTGGATTACCAACATCTGACAAAATTCGCGAAAGGTACTCCCGTTCCCCAGACCTTGCAGTTCGACCGGGCCAATCAGCGCCGGGGGTGCAGCATCCGTCACCTAATTCGGGTACCCGATGCTTGGCAAGTTGGGGTAGTTCCTCGATCTGCCCCAGACCCACAGCTCCATCCACACGCGCTGCAGACTTGACACCGATTCCCATTGCCGCGGTATTATTGTGCCAGCCTGGTGTCGGTCTGGGCGGAACCGGTCAGCAAGTATATGATGGTCAGCTTGCTCCATCACAGGTTAAGCATCTCACTCTTTACCTCGTCCACTGCGGGGTAGCTCTCAAAGCCTAGCTTATCCATTCGTACTTTCAGTTTCACCGCGGTAGAATTTTCCAAAATGGCAGTACCCGAGAAACCGGAGTCGAAATGCGACGTGTAAGCCATCCGTGACTGTCGAATAGGAGAACTTGCTAAATGATGTGCAGTCTCATAGTTGGTGCGGGACCAGCGGGGTAAGAGTCGAAGCACGCTCATTCCAAGCCCAGGGTGCTAAGCTGTGGAAGTCTCATGATGGCCGCGTGGATGGCTCGCTGTGGCATCAATGCTCGAATAGTCGACAAACGCAGCACAAAAATTTTCTCCGGCCAGGCCGATGGCCTCCAGATGCGTAGCCTGGAGATCTTCGACAGCTTTGGCTTTGCAGACCGAGCTTGGAAAGAGGCGAACCATATGATTGAGGTATGATCACGTCAGTACAATCAAGATGGTGTCACTGATATGCCCGTGCTTTAGATCTGTATGTGGGTATGTCGAGCCACGTATTCAACGCTGCTACTTCCTCACATGTCCAGAACCCCGGCGAAGACGGCACCATTCGGCGGTCAGATCGCATACCCGATGTACCAATCGGCCTTTCCCGCTTCACGCAGATCGTGCTGCATCAGGGTCGCATAGAGCGCTTCTTCCTCGACCACATCAAGAAGTACTCCAAAGACTCTCTTCACGTTGAACGTGGAGTGCTCCCAGAGTCCCTGGACATTGCCGCCGATCTTTGCGACAACCATTCCCCCGATTCATATCCAATCACGGTGAAGCTGAGGCATCTGACGGAAGAGGAGGCAACACCGGCCCAGAGCAACGGGTCGACGGTAAGTGATGGGCTCTTCAGGAGTAACTTAGCGGATGACGATACGGACGATTTGATTGCGAAGAGCCGGGAGAAGCAAGGGAGCACGGAGATCGTTAAGGCGAAGTACATGGTCGGGTGCGATGGAGCACATAGCTGGACGAGGAGGCAGTTGGGCTTCAAGCTCGAAGGAGAACCCACGGACTTCATTTGGGGCGTGTTAGGTACTCACTCTTGGATCTTGAAAGGTATAGCAGGTGGCTGACCGCAGCAGACGTCATCCCCATCACCGACTTCCCCGACATCCGCATGCGCTGCGCCGTCCACAGCGCCTCCTCCGGCTCCCTCATGGTGATCCCGCGCGAAAACAAACTTGTCCGCCTCTACATCCAGCTCACGGAAATCAAACCCGACGCCAGCGGGCGCGCCGACCGCTCCCAAATCACCCCCGAAACCATCATCAAAGCCGCGCAGAAGATCATCGCGCCCTATAACCTAACCTACGAGTACTGCGACTGGTGGACCGCGTACCAGATTGGGCAGCGCGTCGGCACGAACTTCGACTACAAGCAGCGCGTGTTTCTAGCAGGCGATGCCGTGCATACGCATAGCCCCAAGGCCGGCCAGGGCATGAATGTGAGCATGCAGGATGCGTTCAACCTCGGCTGGAAGCTCGGCCTCGTCGTCAAAGGCATCGCGAACCCTTCGATCCTCAAGACGTACCAGTCGGAACGGCGACGCGTAGCCAAGGACCTCATCGACTTCGACCACAAGTTCTCGCGCCTCTTCTCCGGCCGCCCCGCCAAGGACGTCCTCGACGAAACCGGCGTCAGCATGGCCGACTTCAAAGAAGCCTTTCTGAAGGGCGGCCTGTTCGCCTCGGGCCTGTCCGTCGACTACGGCGCCAGCATGCTAGTCGCCAAACCCGGCGACGCCGCCGAGCAGGGCGACGGCACCGACGTGGCGAGCTCCAGCAAAACCCGCGTTATCGGCAAGCAGCACTTGGCGAGCAACATCAAGCTCGGCATGCGCTTCCCCAGCTTCAAAGTGCTCAACCAGTCCGACGCGCGCCCCTGGCACTTCCAGGAGCGCCTCAAGTCCGACGGCCGCTTCCGCCTCATCCTCTTCGCCGGCAACGTGCTGTCCCCCGCGCAGAAATCCCGCCTCGACGCCTTCTGCGCCCGGCTCGCTGCGTCGCCGCGCCTGAAGCCCTTGCTCTACACACACATCGATGTGCTTACGTGCCACTCCGCGCCGCGCACACAGACGGAGCTGCTGCGCGATTTTCCCGAAGTGCTGCATCCGTTTAGCGCACGCACGGGCTGGGACTATGATAGCGTGTTTGCGGACGATGAGAGCTACCATGAAGGGTATGGTGATGCGTATCGGAATTATGGCGTCGATAGGGAGAGCGGGTGTGTGGTTGTTACGCGGCCGGATCAGTATGTGGGGTTTGTGGGGGAGTTGGATGGGGAGGAGGGGTGGAGCGGCGTGGAGGCTTATTTTGGGGGTGTGCTTGTGGGATAGAGGGGACGGATTGGGATGGGATGGGATGGAGGGAAGCGGTAGGACATAGTATGGTGTGGAGAAGAGTTTGTTGGTGGAGGAGAAGCGCTTTTCCCGTTTCCTTTCCATTACCCGATATGATACTACATATGCGCCTCATCCGTCCATCCATCCATCGTGATCCTTTCCAAGCGCGGTATCTTTTATCTCTCTCCAACATGCTGTTACAATCGTACAGAAAGACCCCTCAAACAGGGCCATACATGCATGCATATCCTGGTATCGAACAAAACCAATCCAATCCACCAACGCCATGCTCATGAGCTCATTACCCCGGGCCAGAAATCGCCCGCCTCTTCCACTTCACCAGACCGAACTAGCTCCCTCTACTTCTACTTCCCCAAACTACTCCCGCCCCAGCTACTCGGCGCCCAACTGCTCACCTTCGACCCAATCGCGCTGCCGCTCCACCAGCTCTGCCCGCCGCCGCCCCATCCGCCGCCCCACTTCCTGCCGCGGCCGCCGCCCAGGCCGGTCTTCTTCTTGGTCTGCATCTTGTCCTCCCACTTGAGCTTGGTCTCCATGATGCTGTGGATGGAGTTGATGACGAGGAAGGAGGTGGAGCCGATGGCGCGGAAGAAGGCGAGCCCGGCGACGGCCCAGAGGATGAACTTGAGGTAGAAGTTGGAGTTGATGGCGGAGCCGGAGTAGGCTTCGCTGACGGCCATGGCGAGGATGGCGTTGCTGATCAGCCAGACGACGACCATGTAGGTGCGCACGGCGCGGTAGTAGTCCTCCTGGGCTTGGGCTTCCGACAGGCCCGGCTTGGCGACTTCGACGCGGTCGCGCAGGTTGCGCAGCGCTTCGTCGTAGCCGCTGTCGATGTCGAGCTGCTCGGAGGGCATCTCGAGTTCGACCACGTTCCCGGATTTTCCCTTCGCGTCGCCCAGATCCGTCTTCGCTACGTTGTCGCCCTTGGTGCCCCACGTGACGTCGTGCGCATTGCAGAAGGCGTAGACTTGCAGGGTGCAGATGTAGCTGGGCAGGAGGGCGAAATACTGCGCCGACGAGGTGAACATGTGCCAGGGGTCGAGGTACATGAAGGACATGAGGAAGTAGAGGCCGATGGTTGTCGCGGTGGAGACGATGAGGTTGGTGAAGACGTTGTTGCCGAGCCTTTTCTCGGCTTTGGGGTCGCGCAGCTGCACGATGACAATGTAAATTGAGGCGAAGGTCGTGTAGGCCATGATTACGCAGTACGCGATCATGCTCCAGAGGAACATTTTCTTCGCGCCCTGGGGGCGGTTGCCCATGCTGAGGATGAACTGCATGCAGATCAACAACACACACATGTATCTCAGGATGTAGAAGACGTATTTTCCGATGTTGTGGCCGAAGGGGTCGAGTTTGGGGTCAGCGAGCGAGCCGGCGATGAAGAAGAAGGTGAGGTAGAAGTTTGCGAGCGAGAAGAAGGTGAACATGAGTGAGACGAATTGGTAGACGAACTCGATGTGGAGGAGGGTTTTGCGCCAGATGGTGTGGTCGGTGGCCCAGACTTGCTTGAAGTGCAGGAGGGAGTAGACGGCGGCGAAAAAGGCACCGTTAAGCCAGCGGCGGCGTTGGGATATGAATTCGGGCACGGCGTCTATCTGAGTTAGCAGTGTGATGGAGTGGAAGATAGCGGGAAAACTTACCTGGCACATCAGTCTCGCCAGTGGCGGCCTTGACATACTTCAAGACCCACTGCTCGCTACGCTTGGCTACAAGTTCCCAGCACAGAATACGATCTTCGGCCAAGTACATGTTGGCAGTAAACACATCTGCGTCTTGGCCATGCAACGTCTCGCCCTTGAAATATTGGCTCAGCGGCCCATGGCCCGTATGATCGTTCTGGAGCGCATGGTATCGGTACGCTGAAAGAGCACCGGGCAATACCGTGATGTATCCGAACACTGACTCCAGCGGCTTGTCCAGAATATTAGACATCTTGTACTCAAAGTTCTGCGATGCGACCAACGGGTTGAGCAAACCAAGCCAGCCCTTGCCCTTCCCGGCTTTGATCTCACCAGCGGCGCCAGCAACGGACGAATCGGTATCAAACGCTTTCCAGAGATGGTACAGCGCCTTAGGTCCAGGCTTCGTTCCGACGTCGAGGAGAATACACACGTTGGGATTGAGCGCTCGGCCGAACGCATTGAAGAACCATCGATGCGAGTTCAGCTTCTTCTGATTCTGCTCCTTCAAGCAGAAAATCATCTGGCAAGGCACAATTCCCTTCTCGGCACCCTTGAACTTGAGATCGGCGTCTAGAGATACTTGCGTCGTGTACTCGTACACGTGCGCAGTGACTTCGCGCTGGTTGACATGGTTCTTCGCGATGCCCTTCTGGAAACATCCCATCGCAGCCAGAGCATCCAGCGTCCGCGGGTGCACCTTCTGGCGGCCGTCCGAGATGATACAGACGACGATCTTCTGCCAGCCATCCTTTCCCCAGGTGCGGGACCGCGTTCGCGAGCAGAAGTGGCTGATGTTGCGCATAACACCATGCATAGTGCGCGTGAAGTCGATCTCGTGCTCGTTGTACATGGTGATGCAGATGAAGAGCTCCGTCTCGCGCGTAGTGGTGCCGATGTTCTGGCGCAGCTTGTAACCGCGGTCCACAAAGTCATCTGGATCGCACGTCACGGCCGTATAGCGCATGTGCGTGAATTCGACGTCGTCGCGCCGCGGCAGGAAGCTGTACAGGATGGTCGGGATTTTGCACTCGAGGATGAGTTCACCGTTGATTAGGCGGACTTCCTTCGTTGTCATGACGGCCTCGCGCGCTCCACGCCGTGGCTGGGCGGTGGCTGGTGCGGGACCATAGTGCTCCGTCTTTTCGTTTGCCTCCGTATAGCCATCCGTAAACGTGTCTTCGGTCATGTATGAAGCTCGCGAGGTAAGCTCCGGACGGAGCTCGTTATCCTCGGTGAAGACATCGTCCTCGCTGATGGGTATCGAGCTCATATCTAGCGTCGCGTTCGAGTCGCGCGAGATGGGCCTGCCACCCGCGAACAGCGGTGCCGGAGGTAGCGGTCTCTTAGGGCTGCCGGGCCGTCCACCGTATCGCGATGAGGGTGTCCCTGGGCGCGGGCTGCCATTTAGATCTGGAGGCTCGTATGAGTGCGTTGAGGCTGGGGGGCGGGCGTAGTCTGCCGATGTCCTCGTGGGCGAGTACGGTCGCGTGGGAGCTGCATACTCGGGTGACATGGGACGCCGGTAGGGGACGTATGAGGGCGACTCGTCGGCCGGAGGAGGCATGTTCGGCGCGGTGTCGAGCACTGAAGGTGCCCTTGAGAGCGGTAATGAAGAGGTTGAGGGGTGATATGATCGCGTCAATGGCGATGGCGGTCTGCGGGTTTCATGCAACGGTAAGCCTGGTTCCTTCGTCTTTGTCGGCGAGATGCGCTCGGCGAGGCGCGACTTGATCGACTTCCTTTTCGGCGTCTTCGCGTCGCGGCGCGGTTTGAGCGCAGCATCGGCCTCCCGCAACAGGTCCACGATGTCGGCCTCAGCCTGCACTTGCTTGCCCACTTCGGACGGATTCAGCCGGTCGCCCAGCGTCGCCGCCGTGCTGGCCATGCCGGAGAGAAGAGAAGCTGACTCTGGGCTGGAAGAGTTCCTGCGACAGGACGACAGGATGAGTATGAGAGTAGGAAAGTGGGTTGCAAGGAAAAGTGATACTCACGGCACATAGCTCTGTGGCTCGTCGGCGTTTGTCAACAAGCGCATGGTCGAGCCTCCTTGCAGATGCGTTGGGGTACCATCTTCTTCGTCGTACGCAGGCGGGCGCCCGTAGCTCGGCGGGCCATGTCCACCGGGTGTTGTGGGACGGTCCATTGCGACTTAAGTCGCGACGGAAGCACGCTCAATTGCTGGCAGGTTGGCTGGGAAAGCGATGGAATTGTAACAAGGCCCAGGAATGAATGCAGTGCCGTGATTGATTATTGCGATATAATAGAAATGTCGCTCCGTTAGCTGGTGTTCGGCGCGGGAGCTGCACTTCGGAGGCGCCGGCTGCGTGGGGCGCTCCTGCTGTGCTGTTTGGCAACCCGCCGTCGTCCGGGGCAACCGCGCTAGCGCGCTGCAGTCCGCTCGCTTAGCCCCCTCATCCCTCAACACTAAGGCTGTGCGTCCTCAATTCTCATGTGCTACCAGATGACACCGCAGCGCAACCAGAGCCCACAATAAACCCTGTTCTCTTTTCCCTCTCGTGTCTCCTCCGTCGCCGATTCTTTCGGGCTTTCCCCCGCGCCCCCCCCGCGACCATGCTCCCGCAAGGCTTGAGCTGCACCGCCACTCCCCTCCCAGCGCCTGCGCCGCCTCCATCGGTAGCGTTACGTGAGCCATTGATGAACACTGTAGGCTCGTCGTATAGAAGCGACGTGCAGCATGAGATATACACTTTTGGTTGGGCCGAGAAGGCGGCGACGCAGTGGTGATTGGACGTTTGCGTTGACGGCCCCCAAAATCGCTGTCCAAATGTGGAAGCATCCGCCGAATCTTTGGATCGCTTCTTCAGCCTTCTTCCCACGTCGCAGATCAGTAGTGCCGGCGTCCAAACGAGGCGCAAGCTCTAGCCACGCAGGGGCCATTGACCGGTGAAGATGCCGGGTAACACATCTATATGTATACGCCCCAGCTTCTCGCCATCGAATTCTTATGCTAGTGGGCTCTTAGTAGTCCAAGAAATTACGCACCTACTCGTGCACTCCTGTCCAGGTGGCCATCTGTGCCATGGTGGCGTCACATGAGAGCCCCGCGCCTTCCCAATCGCCTTCTGATGCACCTTCCTCCAACTCTCATGCCTATTCTGACGACCCGACCTTTGCTATAGAACTCTCCTCTCTCCAAAGCCCATCGTTGCGCAACGGCAGTCATGGTGAGCCGATCGCAGATGAAGGCCCGCCTGCCTCCGACTTCGCTCTTAAAGGTCTGTCTGCCTGTGCTGCAAGCCCATCGCCCCTTCCTTCTAACAATGGCATAGGAGCACCTTCTGCCTGGCGTGATTCCGCACCTTCAGGCCCTGGCTCCACGGCAGAACACATCTCACTCTTGAGCGCATCGTCGCGAGACGACGACTATCGACGACTAGTCTCGAGTGAAGCGTCACGCGCATCCGACTCCACGGTTGACAGTTCGTCTTCGATGCAAGATAAGTACCATCCCTTTTTCTGACTCCGACGTAGGCGCACCTTCCACAGACTGTGGCGTCGTATGGCTGCCGTATACGCTCCGATGGAGATTCCTATTCGCTCTGGCCCTGATCTCGATAGCGCTGTGCTTAATTGTGTCGGCACTTTGCTGGTTGTCTTCGGCAAAACATGGCTTGGGAACGGATGACGGGTCCAACGTTATCCTGCTCGGTTGGAGATTCTCGCCGACGTTGATATGCGTAATGTACGCGCACCTTGTCGGCATGGCCTTCAGCGACGTCAAGAAAACGGAACCGTACGCCAGAATGGCCCGGCCCAGTGGAGCCTCCGCGGAGGCTTCGGTTTTACAAGTCCCGAAACCCTGGTGGTCCGCGTTGATGGAAGCTTTCTCGAAAAGGAAGAACGCAAGAAGGATTAACATACCACTGCTATGCTCTTCTCTCGCTTTTATAACCTCCGTTCTGGTCATTTCACCACTGTCGTTGTCGTTTCTCGTATCGTTCAACTTCGCACTAGCGCATGACGCGCAGTTCCATCGGATCATCATGGACCCCACGCCGTTCCCGCTCACTGCGACCCCGGAGACCTTTTTGCGCACGACGGGCCAGTTATTCTACAACGTTACTGGAACACCATGGATTTCTGGCCAATATACCGTGCTGCCTTTTTGGCCTTTGGGAATGCCCAACGACCCATTCCTTGATTCGAACTTCTTCCCTTCCCCCGGAAGTTGGACTGCACCGTCTCGAGTAGTGAAAGTCGAGTATCCGTGCAAGCGGATGGATGTCAGGACAACTTTCGAAAACAAGAGTTTCATGGCGCCAGGCAACATCTATCACGGCAACACGATCCCTCCTTATAGCGACTCATTCACAATCCTTGTGAACGGAACCTCTAAGATGGCCACGATAAGCCTATCGTTGGCGGACGATTGTCAATATCAGATCGATGCTTCCCCTACCCTAGATATCAACAGACAAAAAAGCGTGGTATGGTCCAGAGGTTCCGCCCCTCTTTATGATAAGGGCATGGGTTACCCCCAGGATCAGCTTCCATCCAACGACACTGATTCATGGCTCTACATTCCCGGAAATTCAAGTTATGTGTTAGAGTTCGGGAGCGGTCCCACTAGCCCATACCTCAGGTTTAAAGAGTCACCTCAATGCCAAGATAAACAGATCCTCCTCCTAGCTACGCCGATGCTTACGAACGACGAGCTATTGCTATCCAATTACTCCCCGCGTGCCTGGGCGTGCTCTTCCAATATCTCAGTGGCTGACATTCCGGTCACTCTATCAATGTCCGGCACCGTGTCAAACATCTCATTCAGCGAGAAGGAATTTCTTCGGAACCGCATTCCGATGGGAGAAGATATGCTGAATACCTCGCAGGTCCACGCCCTATTCAATAACCCTCAATGGGCTTCCTATTCAGCTATGTCGTCGTTTTGGTCCCATCAGTCAGCTATACCCCTGACGGAATCCTATGACGATGACTTTTCCGCCCTAACTGATGATCAGAATTTGCTGTCAAGAGCCGAGAGCATTTTTGTTCGCTTTTTCGCTGAGCTACTACAATCTTCCATTCTCCAGGAAAACAGTCCGCAACTCAATGACGTCCAAGGACACATAGGTTCCTTCGAAAAGCGTATCGTCGTTGTCCCAAATATTGGTATAACTTTGTCTGTGCTCTTTGCGCTCAACGCCTTCTTACTTCTACTGCTTTCCCGGAAGACTCGCCCTTGCTCTCGGCCGCTCAATCTGGAAACCAACGCGTCGTCAGTTCTCTCCGTTGCGAGGCTTATGACCGCGGGCAAACTCGATATGGATCTTTGGCAGACTATGCCTCTTGCGAAGAGAGAGGTAATGAGCTCGTCGCTAGTAAACAGAATCTACCGCACATCATTTGCGCAGCTGCTAGAAACATGTGATGGAGATGTTGAATGTAAGGTTGCACTCCAGGGCACACGGATTCATGGGCTAATGTCTTGTAGTACCTGAACCACGAGCGGACAGCTTTGGTGATGTGAACCACTTCGATTTGAAGTGGCACCCAAAGCTTCTTCAGATGCCATTCATTGCGAGCCTCATGATGCTGCTTGCCTGTTTTTTGATCGGCATCGCAGTTTTATTCTCCTTCGCAAGCGATGGCCGGCTTTCGCAGTCTGCCTTCGTGTATGAGACCGGCGTACCTGTGGACAACGATTCATCGTTAAGATTCGCGCCAATCTCGATTGTTCCGACACTCTTTGCAGTGCTCATAGGTCTCTGGTGGAATGCAATTGAGCAATCAGCCTGCTACCTTCAACCCTACATCATGCTCACACAGCCGGCGGAGACAGCGATACGAAAGTTATCAGGGAGACTATGCTATGAGCCGATGAATTGGGCATCAACTTCTCTGAACGCATTACGAGACAAACAAATCCTCTTGTTTCTATTTGTCATTGGATGTTTCCTTTGTCAGCTTCGTAAGTTGGGGCATGGGGAATTGGTGGCCGCTAAGCTGATGATGTTCCAGTGGCGATGTCGTCTTCCGCCTTATTTGAGCGAGAACTTGTCAATGAGACAAGTTATGTATCATTGAATCGAACTCTGGAACCTCGGCTGTTACCTGTAGGAATTGAGGATCTGGTCGGTGCGAACCGGCTCCCCGACAATATCAATGTCTCCACCGTGGAGCTTGAGCGACAAACAATGGTAGATGTGGACCTCTATTGGATTGAGCCGCGGGGCTGGATTCACAGTGCCGTAAATCAGCTTACTCGCAATGGCTCCGAGCCTCCCTGGAGTCGTGACGGGTGGAGTTTTACCCCCGTTAACCTCGCTGACGCTGCGCACACTGGAAATGGAACAGTAAGTGCTTTCCCATTAGAACTTATTATATCACTGAAATTATGCAGAGAATTTCGATTGAAACATCATCTCTCAGGGGTCGTGTCGAGTGCGTCGCCACCTCTGAGAGCTATAACATTAGAAACATGTCCTCTTGGCTGGGCACATATGACCTTACTAATGATACCCTATGGAATACGTCGTCGAATCCACCGGGCATCATTGAAGGCTACTGGCTCACGTCGAATGCCTCATACGCGACTTCGGACTCAATCTCTCCCTTCTGTCCGGATAACTCAAGCCGAGCACTTGGGAGAGGAAGATGGTCCGATTTTCCAGGTGGAATCGAAGGCGGCTTCCCCTACCCATTCTCCCCTTGGCCATTCCCATTCACTGTGACCTGGCTATATGGTACTGCACAATCAGGATTTCTTCCTGCTACAGAGGCTGCGGATGCTCCCCCCGATCCACAGAACGAGAATCTGTATCCGTTGCGAACAGCATGCCGGGGAGAAAGCCAGGACGACGGTCCGCAGAACTTTAGCATGTTTACCAAAGTCCCGTTTTTCTGGTCGACGGAGTGCCAGCCGGTGGTTGAAATGGCCGACGCACAAGTTATTGTGGATTCGGGAGGGCACATACTTGCGTACGAGATTCGCAGCATACCAGAGCCAACGGACGCTCCCTGGAAGGACGCATTTAGTATGCATACGCACAACGCCACTCCTGGTGATGCAGTATCTCCACTAGGTCCGTTGAACGTGACCACGAGGTACAGCATTGTCTCCGTTTTCTGAGCCCTACACATACTGACGGACTGAACAGCTACGGGATATTCTTCCTCAGTGCACTCATTGAATCACCTGATATGGGATTAGTAACGACACTAAACTATGCCGAACGCCCTTACTTTATCCATGACACTGAAAACCACATGGACATGGACCTCATGACGTACTCCATGTACAGCCTAGCCAACAAGGACCCCGAGGCCTTCAAGAACGAGACACTCCTCAACGAGCTGATCAATAAGGTGTTTCAAACGTTCTTCCAGCACTTCGTCAGCACCAACGCGTCTCTGACGGCACTGCACGGGCTTTTCAAGTAGGCGAGCCAATTGACTATCCCGACCAGCACACGGACCGCACCGTCGAAGCCACCGTCGAGCGCGAAATTGAGGTCCTGAAGATGAACGCTGTCGCGACATGGCTGTCCATCGCCATCCTGGCATGCCTCATAGGCACAACACTCGCGTTCTTGATCATGCAGCGAAGCTATCTCCGCCCGCTGCATAGGAACGTCGAGTGTCTGGCGGATGTCATGGTCCTGCTGGCAGGCAGCGAGCGGCTTCTCGCGTTGGTTCGCGAGCGCACACTCGAGGAGCTTCGGGAAGATAACGAGACGAAGGTGCGGCTGGGTTGGTTCAAGAGGAAAGATGGGAGCGTGCGGTGGGGGATTGAGCTTGTGGAGGACGGCCCGGACGCGGTGGAGTGGGTTGAAGTGCCTCGGGAGATGAAAGGGAAGGCATAGATGATCTCTCTTGAGCCCTTTTTATCCCTATTTGACTTCGTCGAGCCATCGTTATGAGGGTGGGAGTATTCGTCGGCAGCAACCGCCTCGCAGCCTCCCAACACCAAGTCACACCACTATGTATGCACAGAGCGTGCAGACTACAAACGGTATGAGTTGGCGAGCTGCTGGATTGATTGAACGAACGAAATCGAGAACTGCTCATCGCAGCTGAGCTGTTCCGCGTGGCGCCCATAGAGAAGACGTGGCGCATTTCAGCTAGACCGGCCGAAATTTTCTCGGAGTCTTCCGTCCGCTTCGCTCCGTGGCATGAACATCAGCTCATCTCTTCAGCCTGCGAGTGAAAAGGTGCCACTTCTATCGCGCTTAGGGGCTGTGATTTGAATATCACTGTTCCTAGTGAGTGAGTGAGCGAGTAATACGCACTTCCACGTTCATAACAGCTCTGTCCAGCTCTAGGCTTATAAGCCGCAACACTGCCTCTCAACTACCTCAGAACCAATTAATACAGCAACCCAGAACCCTATTTCTCTCCCCGCCGGAAAAAAGCTACTGTCAAACGTTGTCTTGCAAATTGCCATCTCCTCCAGAACGCCGAGCGCACCAGCCAGTGCGTCCACCACGCCGATTCTATCCACCAGATCACCATAATACCACGACCAGTCACATCCTCTATCCTCTATCCTTGATAATTCAACGCCCCGTTATGAGGATTAAAGCAGAAGTTGTGCCCCGCAGACGCAGCCGCTCGTTGCTCTGCCTCAGAGGGTCCCCGGTACGTCTCTCTACGCCGCGCGGGCGGCGAAGGCGGGCGTTCGTAGGTTCGTGCGCGGGGACGCTGTTCGTCGTCGGAGTCGGGGTCGAAGAGAGCTTCGAGCAGCTCGCGGAGGAAGTCGCGGAATCCCATTTCAGCCGGGTTTGGATGAGCTACGCTGTGTGAATGAGGCGTGGCGGCTAGCAAAGGGAGGGAGGGGGAGGGGGAGGTATACTTTAAAGGCTGGTTCGGAAGAGAAGATGTGTGCTGTACCGCGCGAGTTCAAGGTCCTAATATGCTTTTGCCCAGCTCTGCGCAATTTGGACTGTCTTTAGGAGAACTGAGGAGCTGAGAGACGCGACGAGGCTTTATATGTACGTTTCCTGCTCGGTGGACATCTCAGGTGATGTATACTCTATCTCAGCCTGCCGCCTGTGATGAGCTGTCGTTGAAAGGGTGACTCTTCGAGGAGTTTGTCTAGTATGGCGAGCTCAAGCGCCGGAGAAGTCGTGCTGTGGGGGTCCCCGAAGTCTGTACGTTTCTGGCATCAGGGCGCGGGTGGAGGGGACTATCCAGTGTAGCTGGCTTATGTGCACTACTTCCCAAGATGCGTTTTGTGTGCGAGGGAGATCCAATTGGAAGATGAAGCAGGCAGTGATGCAATGCATCATCACACCGGCTATCCCTCTTTTCTGAATATGCGTAGAAGCCCAATCACGGGAACCGGAATCTTATATCTCGTCGAAACTGGGTACGTATGTAGAGGTAACGCAGAGCAACACATCTCAACCTCACCACCCTCAAGCCCTTCCCACAAGCCCTTCAAAGCGTAACGACGCGGCAACTTGCCGGGATGCTGAGGCAAGGCACCCAACTACGACCACGCTCACAGCACACCTCCTACGCATCCCAAGCCACAATCCTAGTATCGACGCCATGCATGTAGGCAGGGAAGAAGCACGCCTGGCCCTTCTTACACGGCTCCTTGGGGCATTGGTGGCCCAGAATACACTCCGGATCCATGCAGTTCAATCCATACGGGCAAGCCGACAGCCTCGCCACAAAGCGCAACGCCTCGAGCCGGTTTCCCTTCAGCCGCGCCCCATGCTGGAAGGAGCAGCCTCTTCCGGTCGCGTTCTCAAAGGAACACTTGCCAAGGATGTGATACTCGTTGCAGAACTTCTTGGCTTTGAGTACTCCGACGTCGGCGCCCGAGCACTGGATTGGCACGTCGATGCGCTGGCCGGCCGCATTGCGGACGATTCTGCCCCGGGGGCTGCCGTTATGGGCGCTCGAGGTACCGTTCGTCGCGGCAGCTTAGGCCGCGGGATTCGAAGCTACTGCGGCGAAGTTCACGGTGCGAACGGTGACCGGCGGCGGCGATCGCGGAGGAGTGATAGTACCCAGCGGCTGGGCGACTGTGAGCTTCGTTTTACTGAACACATCCTGGCAGTCGAAGGCTCCAAAGTGTGAAGCCAGCTCGACCAACTCTTTTGCAAACGGCGGACCCTCGATAAGCGCAACTTTGGCGGATCCGCGGTGAGGTCCGAGAAGGCGCGCGTACCCGTTGTCTGCAGATCCACCGAGAATTACGTGCCGGCACTGGACGTTGTCTATCGCCATCTGGAAGGCAGCTAGCTCAGTCAGCGATCTGTTGATAGCTCGTGGTGAGCTCTGACCCACCCTTGATCTTCTCATCCGCACACTCCTTCCCGTCGCCGGCATTCACAAAGTCACAGAGTGCATCTTCTTTGTTGAAGCCATTGACGAAGGCGCCGAAGTCAGCAACGGTATGGAGGAGGCCGGCGTCGCGATATGCCTTCGAGAGGCCGCTGAGGTTTGCGTAGACACGGATCACAACCTTGGTATTGGGCGGCAGTTTCTTGTCACCAAGGTGTTCGAGTACACGAGCCTTGAGGAGGCGTGACGCTTTGCGACCACCTTGTTCGCCAGGCGTTAGCAGGCTGCTCACAAACTTGGTCTTCATTAGCACGGTCCGCTAGTAAACTGGTGCCACTCACCGGCATACAATCGCCATCAACCAACACCAATACGTAATTCATCTGGGCCTATATTATACAGTTAGCCGATTCCCTTAAATCCTAATGAGATGCCTACCAGGCTCTGTTTTACCGCCCCCAACTCCCCGTCCTTCTCAATATGCCTCTGGTCGTACATATCCGCTAAATCGCGCTTCTGCTTAAGCCTCTTCTCGGTGATGGTCAACCTGCTCTCCAACGTCTTCACCTGTTGAATTAAATCCTGCAGGACCCGATGAGAACCAATCAAAAGAAACGTCGCCACTGATCGTCGTACCTGAACCAGCGCCGTCTTATCATCCTCGATCGCCTGCAGTTTGGCTAAACGGGCCTCAAACTCTGCTAACCCACTCATGACTGCAACACTGGATGGGGCTCTTGAATTCAGGGAAATGCTCTGCATGTGGAGCTGGGGGAGTCGCGATTTTATGCAGACCAGATGAGGGGTAGGTGCAGTTGTCGCCAGAGCGTGGGGTCCTGTCGCTGAGTGGACCTTGACCAATTAACCGCGTCCACGCCTGAAAGCCTTCATACTCATGGAACACCATTACTCCATTGGATATCGTTCGTCGTACTCGAATTGATTGGATGTGGGATCCCTTCGATGGTTGCACGTGCTTCCATGACTGCGCCGCACGCCACAGCGCGTATGCATAATGCTTGCAAGGATCCCACAGTCCGCGAGGCAGAAGCGTAGCTGTATTTTCATCTGTTTGTAGGAGTGAGGATGAATTCATGGGCTTGTGAAGTCGAGTGCCACAATCGAGGCTGCTGCGAATGGTAGGGTGGAAACCGATCCCGAACCTCAAGGCCTCACATCCTCACCTCCCTCCATCTCTCTCCACCTCGCATTCCTCAGCCTGCAACTCCACAACCCCCAACCCCGCATCCATCTCCTCCGCACATCCCTCCACCCACAGCTCCCTCACCTCCTTGCTGTCCAGCTCCGGCGTCCCTGGCTGCTCCAGCTCAGCTATCTTGTACTCCGCCGGCAGCTCCAGCTCTGCCTTATCACATCCTCGTTCCACGTCTTTCACGTACGCCGCACGTCTCTTCATCTCTTTCTTCCTCGCCTCCCGGTCCTTGAGCACATGGTAGCCGAAGATCCACGCGATGACGATGAAGATGAGCACGGTTACGCCGACGAAGACCACTGCGACGAAGACGCCGGCGTCGATTCTGAGCTCGTTAGATCCGGGTGTGGACATTGCGGGGAGCTGAAGCGGGGCTGAGTTTTGGCTGGGTTGAGTGGATGAGGTGGTGCGCGGGTGCTCGATTGTGTCCTCGAGAAGCTGTTGGAATACAGGGCCAGGGGAGTAGGGCCATAGCCCCAATTTTGAGGGATCGGCGTTCTCTTGGAGGCTGCGAGGCAATCAACGGTATATCTTCGTGCAGCGTAAGGCGTCCGACGCGGGCATCTACCCGTCCCCTTGGGATACTCAGTGATCGATATGTTCTCCAAAGCAGACCCTCCCAAGCCCAATGCAATACCTTACCATCCAGTGATGGCCCCTAAAGATCCTCACGGGTCCCTAGTCCTCTGGCCGAAATCGAACGGACACCGCGTACACTCCATCTGGAGACTCCCGGCCTTCGAGACGAAGAACCGCTCGGGCATAACCCCAGATAGCGCATATTAACCCATATACAGGTAACCATGGCGGCGGGAGGACCCGAGAGTTGAGTCGGTGCCAATATGTGCATATAATATTGGTTGGCTGAATTCGAGAAGGACCACGCTTGTGCAACGTGGAATAAATTGCGGAACCACGTGCTTTGGCTTCAAGTCGCGTGCTTACATGCGGAGGTCTGAATGCACCGCGGTGTTCAAAACTGTGCATCGTGCCTAGGAAATAGGTTGCGGACTTCACAGGCTATACACTCGCGAGCTGCTCCGTACTTCGATCAACGTCTTGCTTAGGCCGTCCTATTCGCTTCCAGGGCTTGCAGCGAACGCGATCCACATACGGACCAATTGTAGACGACTGACCAAGAGAAACCAAAGCGGCCGAATCGAGCTCAGAAGTCGAGCACCTCTGGTAGTCTAATGTGCCACGATGAGCGCGCAAAACCAATCGCCGAACTATATCGTAAAAATCGACGACGAAGCCTTTGTGCTCATCATAATCGTCGGTGCCATCGCGCTGAGCTTCCTAGTCGTGGCCTGGATCTTCGTCTATCACGTCCTCAAAGATCGCAAAAGGGCGAAGAAACGGCAAGCCGCAAAGAAAAGATTATCCGATGACATTGAATGGGGCGGAAAACCGGAGCTGTCCGGGGGAGAAAAGCAGGGCATAGGAGCGCACGAGCTAGAGCAGCCAACGACACTGGAGCTTGATAGTAATGAGGTGCGAGAGCTGTGGGCTGATGAGGTAGCGGAGGCGGATGGAAAACCAAACCTCGTCGAATTTGCCGCTACCTCGTTTTCGAAACCCCGGTCTTCGAACGGAGCTGGCAAGCCGTGACGCCAAAGAGGGTTCCGAAAAGCACTGGAGGTAAACATTCGACGGTATCGGCATGGGAAGCATTTGGAGAGCCGCGGTGGTTGTGGCCGCGACGCACACAGCTCTCCACGCTATGCACCTGCGAAGATTCGGAAGAATGGACTCATATTTTTGCACCTGATTGGACTTCGACTGGAAGAAGGAGCCCTCGGCGGCACGATGGCGCGCATCAGACCATGTAGACTGCTCAGAGTCGGCTAGGGTAGGCTGAGGTACTGGGAAGCGGCCCGGCCAGAAATCCTACACATCGCTATATTTGCCGTCGCGCCTCATCCTATGTATGGTTGGAATCTCGCCGACCTATGGCTCTACTCGACAACATGACGCCCAAGAGAGATCGTCAGGGACCTGGAAGGCTGAAACTCTCACCCTGCGAGCTGATGCGAGAGGGCGTGAGGATTGGATGGGCTGAGAAAGTCACCCTGAGCAGCCTGATAAGAGCTGGAAAGCAAGGAAAGTAAGATCCGCTCTGTATGGGTAGACCGTAAAGTGAAGGGGTATCCTGTGGCAACAGAAAGCAGGCCTAGAGGCGGAGGGAAAAGACGCCTGAGCAATAGATCGGGTGGACGACCAACACTCGTGCGAAGTCGCCGGCAAACAGAAGTAAACCTTGTTGATACGATCTGACTGCAGATTTGGTGTCATCGCATTTATGAAATCCCGGCATGTGCTGGAAACATACTGCCGTCCTGTTATGGCGATCCTTCACCGGCGGCCCATGCACCGTTCCTAGCCATCTCCAGGGCTCCCGCGCATGCACGTGGCTAAATGAACTTCCGGATCCAGCATCCTCTGCGACTTGCTGGTGGTGTGTTGCGTTGGCAGCTCTTGGAGCTTAGCGAAGGCGTGCTTGGTGGTTTACGCATCGGCGTTTGCGGCCGGACATCCGTCGGAAGGCTGAGACATCCGAAAATGCGTGGATGCGAGGGCGCAAATCGACCAGCGCATTCTGCGACAGTTGAACAACTCGTTGAGCAGCGTCTCTGTTTAGTGAAGGATGGAATGCGTGAACATCTCGCCGACTGCCGTAGAATGCAAGAAGCGATACTCGCCCATAATCCCGAGGCCCTTCAATCAACGCCGAAGCGTGGAATAGATTGAAGCTGATCAGCCGACAGTCCGGACACGACCCCTGCCCGTTGCCTTCTTGGGACCAAGGCTAGACTCTCCCACCTTCCTGAACCCATCGCGGTGGTTTGGGAAGTCCGCACTCTTGGCCGTTGCGGGAAGGTCGAGGTATAGATCTTAGTGGGATGTCTTCTGTCGCTGGAGATAGGCGAGCATTCTGGACTGGAGGTCACGGACGGGAAGGTGATTGCCGGCGGTTTAATCACGACTTGGTTGCGGGGAGTGCTTGCGTGCTGCGACCCCGAGTTCTGGGTCTGGCGTGTTGGCTTTTGAATGCCGCGGGGAGCTGCAGTGGAACCCGGGAAACGCCGTGAGCAAAGCCGTGGAGAAATAGACATCTTCCAGTGCTGCTGCTCGCACTCATGCCCGTGGAGGCTCCCTTTCCTGTCCAAATTTAGTGAGAAATTCGATGTTAAAGCGCTTCTTTGTATGCCCCGCAGTGTTGGAAACTTCAAGGGATTCGAACTTATCCGCCCCACGCAGGGAGGCCTCACCTCTGACCTGCCTAATCTCGAAGATCGCCCGTGGTCGCCGTCCGCTACCCAGATTCGCTCGGCTAGCTTCCTGGCCCATGTTTACCCAGCATGATGGATGCAGGACCCTTGTTCCTGAGCCACTCGACTGCCCTTTTCATCGTAGTGCTTGGATGCCCAGCTCGTATCCCGTGCGTTCGCCCGCCGTGGACGGACGGCGTATTTGAGGGCTTGCGGTCGCTCTTGGGGGCGCTCAGGTGTGGACTTGTTGCACCACCTCACAGCCTGTTTCTTCTGTGTCGAGCTGGGATTCCAACTGCCTCGATGCAACTGTCCATGATCGAACTTTTAACGGCCGTCCTCTGATTTCTTCGCGGCGTCTTTCCTGCCGCGAACGCGACGAATGTCGACACGAAACCCGTAGTGGGCGCCCGACACGAAATTGCGCTTGACCCGAGCCCGCGATCATGGTGGACCAGAACTCGAACGCGCCACAGCCGCAGAGCCCGAACGATGCAACGCCCTCCCAGGCCGCCAACCAAGGCATGTCTGCGCCGTCGGTGGTGGTTGCCGGCCAGATGATGCTTATCTTCGCGCTGGTGCTTATATTTCTCGTCTGCCTCGCTGTCGCCGTGCACCTGTACCTGCGTCGAAGGAGGCGAAGGAGGAAGGGAAAACCCAAGACCAAGAAGAAGGAGATGAGAAAGTCGGCGACACCACAGCAACCGGAGCTGCAGTCTCAAGAAAGGAAGATTGCAGAGCTCGTTGGCACACCACTATGCGAGATCGGGGATTCAGAGCCACGGCATGAGATGGAAGACGCCGAGGTCCACGAACGATATACCACAATCGATCTCCAAAATCCACGAGACAATCCCGTCCTTATTAGCCCGCTTGATCCCGACCTAGAATCAGGCACCTGGCCGTACGACGAAATGACTACCCCTTCGACTGCGGCTCCAGAAGCGAGAGAATACGCCGTGTACTGGTCTCGAGGGCTTTGAGGCCATCGTGTAGCAGCGCGGCTATTTTCCACAACTGTATACAGGCCCTGATGCAAGGCGCCTGCTTCCGACACGCGAATTGGCGAGTTGAGGCCGCGAACATGACGACTTCCTAGATCTCCTCCGATATGGAAAGGATATGATCGCGAAACTCATATTCGTGGGCGGTGGAAGACATCAAACTTGCCTTTCGGCCCAGGTACGTCGAACTCGTTCGTAGAAGTGACACCTGCATGACTCTTTCTAACCGGTATAGTGGTCATGTCCAAGAGGCTTCAAATGTCCGCGATGCGTTCCTCTTATCCGCGTCTCGCAGGTCGCTTCAAGCATGGTACGCAGAGCAACGATTGCAGGGTGCTTATCAGACGGCAGCCGACATGGTATTGCCGCGCGGCCCCTAAGGCGAAACCCTGATGGCGTAGTTGGTAGAGCGAAGGCCACCAATGACCCAGTGGTGATGTGTGTCGGTCCTGTTGGGGGTTGGCAGCATCCGGAAAGAAGTATACGTAGGTCTACATTATGTCAGCCCGTCCCAGAAACCATGTTCGCTATTCCCGCGTTTACAGTATCGTGTGTTACTTTGCAGCTTAGTGAGCCCGACCCGGGCTCATTAGTGTCTCTACGCTCATGCTAATCGCCTTGACATGCCAGCAGTGAGCTCCTCAGAAAGACGTCACTCGAATGCAGATACGGAGTAGCCGCAGGATTGCGACGTAGCGATATCGAGAGCTCCTCTGCACCTGGTACCGTCTGCTTCTCTCGCTATCCGATCCGGTTCGCATGCCAATGGTATCGGGAAGGACCGCAGCCAGTCATTGCAGTCGAACTTATGCAATGTTGCTTCAATTCTGATGCTGTTCGAGTGTTGGCCTTTTTCGCAGCGTTCAAATTATTGTGTACTTGTGTAGGTATGCGTTTCAAGGGCGTTGTTTCTTCCGGGCCCATAGCCGTGGTCCCACAAAACGAACCCGCAACGAGCAAAACATTGCGTTTCGAAACGTCATCCGCAGGGACACCATCGCACTCTTCGGCGAACCATCGTCATCCCTTCGAGGGTTGTGCACCGAACATGGGCCCACGAATTACCGAATTCGAACTAGTCTTCGCCGAATCCACGCGTCCTCGCACCGTCGCGCTGCCGACTTAGCGTTTAGACGGGGCTGTGCCAACAAATCCCTGGAACGTGACCCACCTGCCAACATCATGAGCTTCTGTCCCCTCAGCGTGTCTCCTCTCCTCCCTCAGGCTGCGATAGCACTTCTCACTGTCGGCGCGTGTCTTTTGTGATGTCGTCGTGATGCGCGTCCCCATGTTCTTCGTATCGCTCGTCCTTCTAGCCTTGTGCTCCGTAGCACTAGCAGGTGACTTCGTTGCCGATAATCGCATCAAGGTGTTTCTTTACGGATTCCCTTCGTTCTTCTCCGAGGTCGCCGTCGACGTTTACAACAACACATGTCTCGGCTTAGGGAATAACCTGTCAGTCTGGTTGCTCAGATCGAATGGATTGTGCTGACATGGACGCAGAATCGATGGACATGTACAGTCGATCCTCGTTGGTGGCCCCAATGTCGATGCGGTACTCAGCCGTAGTGACTGCTGGTATTGCATGTTTTACGAGTATGCTTGCGTGTTAGGACCCTATGTGCGACATCAAGCTGATTGCTCGACAGCAACTATGGATGCTCAGGCACCGACGACATGACGCTGACAATACCGGCTGGCGTGAACAATCTAGCGAGCGCCGGCTGGGGTGCGAGGATTCATAGTATCAGCTGCATCAACGAAGCTGCCTAGAGCAAGGGTTGCTAGCAGGTGTGGATTCCAGTCTTGTAGCGCGCGATCGAACCGAAGACCAAGCCTCAAGTGCTCCCGCTCCGCCCGAGGCCACCGCTGCGTGCGACAGCAGTTCGAACCGTCTATGTCGCGACCGCGCTCGCGACCGTTCGCTTAGTCTATCCTCCGTAGCCCCGGTTCCAACAATCCCGCGCAAGAGCTCCCGATGCATACATACGAAGTGGACGCCCAACGCAAGAGGAGCACTCCTCTTGCTCGCACACAAACCTGGTGTAGGAACGAGAATATATATGCAATGATATTCGGAAGGCCGAGGTCGGTTGAGGATAGCCGATAGATCCGCTCGCGGCTATTTCTGGAGCGACTACATTTAAGCAAGGAGGCCTTTCGAAAATGTGATGGACGTCGGAAATGATCATGAGAAGAAAGGGGCGTCCACGGGTTGCACTTCGGTAGATTATAGTGATGACGCCTGCGCACGGACCCGTTCATAAATACAGAAGCGACGGCTAGCTAAACCGAAAGGCGAAAGTCCCGGAAACGCGTGTTCAAAGGTTGCAATAGGCATTGGGAGCTATCGATGGGAAAGATGGGGTTGACAACTACTTGGGACGGAAAGTCGCACGACCGTCATCTATGTTACGTCAACGTCACCAGTCATTTTGTGCAGAAAACACTGTCATTATCATTACTCTACTGCGGCCGTAAAATAGCTCAAAGAATCAAGAATCCCAGAAGTTCCTGCGCCCAAGTGAAGTGTCATCCGTGACCGAACTCTGCTGCGCATCGCTCCAAATCACCGATGGGACCCTCCGCGCCCGCTCGCGCTACCTTTCCTCGAACTCGGGATCAAAATCGGACGTTGCAGCAGACAGCGAGGAGCCTGTGTCTAGAGCATGATCTTCCGAGGAAATGGACATCGAGGAAGTCATCCTTCGGAGCCGCTCACTGAGAGGGAGCAACCGACTTGGCCGATGGGGGACGTCGGTGTCGCTTCGGTGTTGCACTGTAGGCTCTCTTAGAGAGGCGGGGCCCCCCGACCAAGCGATATCTCTACTGCGTATTTTAGAGCTGCTTAATACGCTGGTTGTCGGTTGCGGCGAAGGCGACCTGTGGACAGCTAGAGACGGCGTTCCTGGGCGAAGTCCTCTTTGCGGAAGTGGGTACGCCCGTGAGCGTGTCTGCTGGGAGGCACGTTGCTCGTCTCCGTTCGGCAATGGGTTGGTCGGACTGAATGCCGGTCGACGTAGAAGCCGCCTCTCGCGTTGGACTCGCTCCTCCACCACTGCGTTAATATGATTCATGCGAGAGGTAGCGAACGCTCAGACTTCATCCTCCGTTCCACCAGGCAGTTCTACGGCCGCGGGATCTGCGCCTCTCCCAGCTGTGAACTGAGTATTGGTGTGGTAGGACGCAGGGTCTGGCAGATCATCCGTTTGCGCCGCTTTCGTAGCCGGTGGATTTGGTGGCCCTGCTATCATCGTTGAAGCCTGCACACGACGCTCATGCATTTGTACAATCCCTGAACCAGAAGAATGGTGTTTGTGACCGGCTGCGTTGTTACCAATATGTGGGTCTCCAACACGTGACTCGAGGTGGTGTTCCGCAGTCTTATGGATTCCAGGATATTCTTGCATGAGCTCGAATTTCCCTGAGCCACGCATGAGTTGCTGACCGGGAAGATTTGGGCCCGGTGATAGCTCATGTACCGCAATGCTACCTGCGCTTGCTCGCGACAAAACCGCAGGCTCGGTCACATTTCGACGCTCCGGTGCTTCGCGCTGTATGGATGTCTCCCCCAGGTTAACACTGCCCGTAGATCTGCGGGACTTTTTCGGTTTCAATCTATCAACAAGAGTCAATAGTTTAGCTGTAGGCAAGGGCACGTTGCCATCTTGGACAACACCTAGCGCAGATCAGCCGCCGATGTTCAAATACGTGGACATGAGGTTCATTACCCCTTTGTGACTCCTCTACCATGATAGCCCTTGGAAACCCACTGATTGGGTATTTTCCCTGAATACCGTCGCGGCTGCGAAGATGCAACGAGATTGTGACTTCCGTCATGCGCTTCTGCACGCGGATGTCAAGAGTACCGACGTCGAATGAGGACCTATTGCTCATCTCGGAGACGATGGTAGGTGAGATGGACACCTGATCGCATTAGCAATATCTTGAAGGCATTTAGGGTTACTTATTTGTACCATGTGAGCTCGGGTTAAGTCGCCCTCGTACTCGAGTTCGAAATAGGGTTCGAATTCGCCAGTCTGCTGCCTGTCTCGAAAATAGTCTCCGAGCTTGCGCAACTCTTCGGAACCGTTCTCGAACCTACAGCAAATGCGGCCTAGTAAACTCAGCAGTAGATCACAAAACGGTTATTAGGTGGTAGTTACCCAAGCAAGAGCACATGTTATCGACTTCGCCCCTTGGCGCCGAAGTTCTTTCGTAATAAAAAGAGCTGGGCACTAAAACATGAACAACCTTCTCGAGCTGTGCCTGACTATCTGATGACTTCAGCGAGCTTCGGGCTTCCTCTTGCAAGCGCTTCAGCTCGCCCACCTCGTCCAGGCGAGGTGGATCGCGTCCTATATTCGGATTGATGCGGACATATCTAGAAGAGCCGTGACTTGATGCTTCAATGTTCGCAACGTCATCGCAAAAATCTCTCCAAGTAATTTCAGCATCAAGGATGTTGTCCATGCGGTTGTGCTAGCGCATACAGCTATTAGCTCCGCCAATGATTCAGAGTGGGGGTTAGAGATCTTACCGCTGCCATGTACATCTGTCTCAGCCTCGGAAAAGGAGTCCACCCAGGCTTCTGGGCCTCGTCCTTTTCTGCGCGCCTCGCCCTCCTATACCCGCGTCAGGCTGTTACAATTGCACTAGCTCCGTAACACTTGAAACAGATGACCTACCTACGAGCGGAACGAGGGGAACGCGGTTCAACAGGGAGCTCCTTCTTGATCTGGTCTTCATTCTGACCAGTCCCGATGGAGAGAAGGATATCCGGATGCTTGTCTGCGACGTCTGGCCACAAAAGTTTTCGCTCCCGATTCGCTAACCAGACCGGATTATTGTGATAGAGCGCACCATCAAGATAGGTGCGCTTTGTTGGACCGTGGACAAAAGGCTTGAAGTACGAGGGTGCCGCTGAAGTAGCCGCTGCTGCTTCCCATACCTTCAACTCTAGATCAGGGTTATCTGGGCGCGGAAAATCATAATGCGCCTTCCTACGCTTGCTACGGCTGGTGTCCTCTCGGCTGTAATTTGCGAGGATAATTTCTGTCTTGCAGGCTTCATCAGTCGCCGTCACTGCAACCCTTGCCGCAGGGTGATCGGCAACAGCGCGAGTAGGCCCGAAGAGATAGTCTTGGCCAAAGGCTTCTTGAAGTGCGTTCCGGAGCGGCGTCGTCTCGTACTTAGCTGCATGCTTCAAAGTGATCATGCGCCCCAGGAGGGGTACACTGTGGAATGTGCGAGGGCAGAAAGCATTGTGGCAGAGCTTTTTGAAGCGGTGCGTGCAGCCTTTGATGTCCCAGTTCTTGACACCAAAACCGAGCGAGATGATGCCACCAGTACTGTTTGACAGAAGTTTATAACAAGCTTGTATGGGAGATCGCTCATACATACCTAGTACCCACAATCAAATCAAAGAATGCGCTGATAGGGATTCCTTTCAGTTGCCCCTCAATGACGCGAAGAACTTCAAGCTCCACGATCCCTCGGATTCCACCGCTGTAGTAAAGTAAGCAAGAACCTACGGAGGGCATGAAACAGACTGGCTGGGGAGCTTCGACATACTGCGCAGTGGCAGCCATAATGCTGGTCCGGCTTATGCGGGACGTGCATGCTCTCGCGCACAGCCGCCTGTTAAATATGATTAACGACTTACCCGTCGAGACACAACAACCGAACGCCGGCGTGATCCGGTTTCATACGGATGATGCATGGAGGGCGCCATCGCGTGAGCGCCGGATGCAAGGGACAGCACCGCATCGTCAAGACAAATTTGTTGCTCGCGGCACTGCCGTCTTGATTTGCGTAAGAACGGATGCAGCGCGTACAGAGCACATGACCGCAAGGCAGTTTATGTTGCGGAGCCTGCATGAGGCAACAGAAACAGGTGGAGTGGCTCAAAAAATTGCCGGCAGAGCCAATGCTCGCGTACAGGTGGTCCATGGGATCGCTGTGGTACTCCAAGAGATGCATCTCCTCTGTGACATTGGGGGCCCGCCTTAGTAAAATCTTGGAGTTCTTCATGGATGTTTCAGATGGCTTTCTTGATGTTGTTTCTCCAATTGGGATAATAATGGCTGGCTTGGAAGTTGGAAAAGTACCGTCCGCTGGCAATGATCTTTCCCTTCGCATTCTGGTGGCCTTTGTGCCTGTGCGTGGAAGCGACATTGACGCAACGGTCCCCTTTTGCCCGGAATTCACATGGAGCATACAGGTCGCAGAATTCCTCGAGAGCATAACGACAATAACCTTCGTATTCCGCGAAAAGAACATCAGGTTGCCCTGCTGCTATCAGCTGGTGGGAGCACCACTGGGGATGTGTTGCATACCTTTCCGATGGCGCACACAATCCAGCATCACGGTAGAAGCGACGAGGTAGGAAAGCTTTTTGAAAATCCACGCGCTTTCCCGGCGACGCCCATATGATTGCACGGCGAGAGCGAGCTGCAGTATATGGCCACCGAAGTTATCTGGAATCGGATTGTTCTGCAGAGAGACCTCCATGAAGTTGAACGGCTTATCCAAGGTATTGGCAAAATGACTGAACGCTGACTGCAGATACAGATTGAGCTCGTCTGAGCTCGAAAGCATTCGAGCCTGTTGTTTGGTCTTTTGGTCTTGAAAGACGAGTCGCACGAGTCGGCGATCACGCCACGTAATTTTCGGACTTGATTGTGCATCAATTGGAACCTACCCTTGACGGGTATTCGCACAACCTTGAAGGTGGAGTAGTAGCACTGAATCAGTTCCAAGATGGTACCAATGCATTTACCTTTCGCTCTCCATTCGTTCGCGAGTTGGGCGAAGAAAGGGTGGCCGTTGTCTAGATCCAGACATTCCCTGTTCGCCTCTAGCAAATTCCTTGTAGCAGACCGAATATCCCATTCATCGTCTGGGACGCCGAGGTCGGTGCTATTCAGGACTATTATTGCATGAGGAAGAGTAGGTTGGTTGATTGATTTCTCTAAGGACGCTGCTCCCCATTCCAGAAGCGGTCGGAGTACTGTTGATTCGAATGTCCTATACACCAAAATGTCAGCACCCGGAGTCAGTGGTAGACGGGAGCCATCATACTTCGCATTTCGCAGTACAAAGACGACTACGTCCGAGAAAGTGTAGAGAATGCGAGGGTATAGCTGCCTAACCACAAATTCTCGGTTCCTCCTCTCGCGAGTATCAGCCCACTTTAGTATCCGGGTCCGCCCGGGCGTCAATCGTGACAATGACGCTTCGGTGGATACCATGGAGACACGGTTCTCTATGGTTCCAACAGGTGGCTTCCCGCCTCCGTCGAAGCCTTCGCAGTCGGCGTAAAGCAATGGTGTCCGGTCATAGTAGGTCTTCGGGTCAGCGTAGAGGTGGACGTCGGCAGAGGTTGGCATGTGTGTCTGGATCGTGGAGCCGACAACGGGGGAAGGAAACCGGGCTGTCTCGTCGGCATCCTCGTTCATTTCGGAGAGATGGATAAGCATCTTGATTAGCGTGCTCTTGCCGGCATCTAGAGATAAGTAAGCAACGTAACAGGCTGACCTCGAGAGTCGAGATTCTACTTGTCTGCCCAATGAAAGAAACCAATTGGGGGATCCTCGTTCCCCCACTTGGGAGTGATTGTCCCATCAAGGCTGAGTAGGTATCATAGTCGGCAAGAAGACAACGGTCATTGTTGTCTCTTCGGATGCCTGCCGAACTGTTAGCGACGAGTAGACACAGATCGTGGCCGGGCGGAGAGCAAGGCTACGAGACATACCAAACCAGGTCGTGTCAAGATCTCGGCTATGAAACTCTTCGATCGCAGCTGGAGTTGGACACGAAGTCAGGATATCCTCCAGCTTCTTGACCACGTGATAATGGGTCTTCTCGTGCTCCAGGCCATCGCGGCCTCGTCGCCCGCCGCTGTGGGGAGGATAAGCAGGCCAGCAATTCTCACACAGCCAGCATGAGCAACCCACACAGTACCAGACCCTTCTTCTGGGTCCAGTACACGCGGACATCCCGCAGGTACCGGGTGTTTGGGGCGCCATTGTTAAAGACACGGTATATGTCTGTCGCGATAAGGTGATCCAAAGAGGATCGAGGCAGTCTGTCGAGGCTGAGATGAGATTAGGCGGCGAGCGCTCGGCTCAAGGCTGGATGTGCACAGCTGCATGGTGGCTGAAGCCGCTCGTTAACAGTATAGAGAGGCGCTTAGCGATACAGACATGGGGCCAATGAAAGGATGAGCGAAGGCGACGGGCAGCAAACATAGTAGCTGGCTGCGCCGGGAACTTATTCACCGGGTCTATACACAGTAGAGGAAGCTGTGAGAAACGATGTGGAGGCTGAAGGGCGTAGACGTGGGCGCACAGACCAAATGCGATGACAGTAGACAACGGCCCAGAGGGGAATGCATTCATCTAAAGAAGACATAGATATTGCCAAGGTGGAGGAAACGTACATAAGTCGAGGAAATGGGGGAGACGAAGAGACGGAGGGTGATCGTTTGAACGGCTACGTGCACAGACCACCTGTGATCAAGAAGCAGGCGACCAATGAAGTTCCTCGAAACCTTGCATTCACGGATTGGGCAGGACACGAACAGAAGTGTAGGCTAGATGCATTCATAATGTCATTACGATTACGGGTATCTCAGCGAAGAAACGCTGCTGCAGGTAATCGAAGGATATTCTAAACGCCACAGCCATGCAACGACTCGTCCAACAGTCAAAAACTCCTCACAGATCGATCAGATCCGGTTCTCCAGACCCGACTCCCCGCAGCAGGACAATCATATTGCCCGACTGGCATGGCTCCCCAATCTTCTCACTGAACTTCAGTAGCCTCCCGCCCTCGACGTGGAAAACGCGCAGCTTCTCTTCCTCTCCCCCACCGCGGTTGTTGACGTTCTGTACCTGCAGCGATTTTGCCGCCATGTCCAAGACGCGACCCACCGTCCAATCCCTATTGTAGAAGAACTTCCCCGTCGGGTATTTCGCTTTCGTTGTATCAGCCGAGGCTTCGACGTGCAGGTAGACACGCTTATCCTGAGGTACCGACGCATCGCCCTTCGCCGTCCTCTTCAACTCGTTGGCGGCCGCGAGCGCTTCCCTGGCCGCGGAGGAGCTCTTCGACCCTAGCCCTAGGAAGCCAGACTTTTTACCCTGCTTTTCCCGATCCATCTTCCGCTTCTCCTCGGCCCACTCTTTCAGCTTCGCAAGCGCGGAGAGCCCACGATCGCGCTGTTGTTGTAATGTAGTCCTCTGCCGCGCACCCGCTGGTATCACGTTCTTGCAGTCGTGGTCCTCCGGCATTCGATGCTTTAAGCAGTATGATCGGTTGCAGGTCGAGCACTGGTTCGCGGGCATGCGGGAGGTGTTGATGAGGGTCTTGCAGCTCTTGTCGTAGCATTGTTGGTCGTGGTCGTAGAGGGAAGGCTTCGAGGGTAATGATGCGGTCGTCGTATCTCGTCCAGCGCGTCGCCGCGCCCATTCGCCTTCTTTGGGGCATTTGTGTGCGGTTTCGCTGCGGTGGTCTAAACAGAAAGTGCTTGGGAGCGCATGTCAGTCTTGTCACATTTGACGTGTCCGGATGTTGACATACCCTTTGCAGCTCTCGCATCTAAACGGTAGGAAGTCCAACACATGGCAGTAGGGCATCTGGCAGTGCGCCCCGATAGCTTCAACATCGCTCTTCATCTCGGTGAAGCTCTGCGCGGGCGTGGAGCCTGTGGCGGGAGGTGTGGACGCCATTTTGTATGCTGCTGAACGAGTGTTTGAGCGCAAAAGAATGAGGGAGAAGTGGCGCGGATTATGAATAGCGAGCGACAGGCTGAGAAATTCCAAGAAGCCACGAGAAGGCGGCGGGCTTGGGCTCCAAGAGCTGACGATAGCGAGCGGTCGGAAGTCTTCAGGGTCTTAGTTCCGAGCCGCGGCAGGTTTAGCCGATGACTAATTTTGCCTCGACCCTTGTGCTCTCAACTTTCTTCCTTCACGCCTCAACCGCCTTCTACGAGCGAGCCGATGATTTCACATAAAGCGCAGCACGACTATTGGGAGGGCAAGTAAATCTTCAGCTAGATTCGCCCAGTTCGAGACGCCACCCGCCCGAGCGTTCGACTAACACACGCACCTAGCAATAGATCAACGAGATCCTAGCACACGATTGCACGGGAGAACAGAGAGTGACCAGTCAATACCTCTATTAAACATGGCAAGATAATACTAAGTGAGTGTCCTAGTCCAGTAAAACCCAAATCAGTCAAACTCCAAGCCCCTTCCTGAAAGAAAACAACAGTCTAATCTAAGCAGTATACACTCTAAGTCAACCCCCCCTAAATCGCAGTGAAGACCATCGTCACTCTAGCCCCATTCCAAGCTCCGCAGTAGAGGAACAGAAATAGATAGGCCTACCGCACAGCATTGCGGCGTGGAGAAAAGCCCCGAACGGACTCACGGTCATCCAGCCTGCCACAACACCCCATCCCCTACCCTGCAGCGGGGCCCGTGGCCGGCTGCTGTGGAAGCATATCAGCTGTCGCGACCAACTCTTCGCGCGGGTTGTCCCTCTCCGTCACGCAACTATCGTCGTTAGAATAAATGAGGCCGATCCAGGTGTGTAGCATCCAGAGTCGACACTGCAGACGATGAATGCTCCCTGACTGCTCCCTACTATGACGCCGTCTCAATGTTACACCATTACTCACACGTTGGATCAAGATCAGTCACCCGCCAATGGCTTCGAAACTAAGCCTCCGTGCACGATCTCCGCGGGGTAAGAATGGACAGCGGGGTGACGCTTCCCGATTTCTTGCGGGAAGTAATCATACCACTACACTCTCTATACTCGACTCCAGAACTGAAGACCGCAAACTCAACACCATGTTGAGCGAAATGCCCCAGCCACGGGCCCCTCTCCAACTGATATATATTCTGGGAGCGCGAGATGACGCGTCATGATTTCGAAGACTCAGAGCCGATAATCGGCGGGTTCCAAGTGGTGACTCGATTGGTGGGTAACCTGTGAACGGATCTCGGGAGTGTCTGCGCTCCTGGTTCGGAACCCACTCATTCCTCAGCCTCTCATACTCGCGTCGATGAAGAAGGATCGTAGCAACCAATGCCTCTACCCAGGTTGAAGTCCACGCGTTACGAACTCAAGGAGGTTGCTCTATTGCCATATTTCGATCTCACAAGTGCTCTACACCTTCGTTGCTACTTGGTCAGCGAAAGCACTTCCCCTGACTGGTTCAATATGCACTGGCCGCAGAACTCCCCGTCTACTCACTCACATTGGCACAGTCATGACTGGTTTCCCTCTTTGACTCCCGGGAGTCGAGTGTACAAAGGGCGAAGAGAGTGATTCAGTAGGTGCAGTCCTAGCTTTAGAGTCATGGACGAATATAAAAGAAGTCCTCCCGGTAGGTCTCTTCGTCTTTCTTACTCTATCAAAGTCTTCACGCAGTTACCGTATCTTCATCAGCGCCTCTATCTACTACATCTTTGCAAAGATCTATTTCTTCCAACATTCGCATCAATCGACCTAGAACACCCTCAACATGAGTACCGGCGATGTGGGCACCGACAATATCAGCGCCGACGATGTGAGCACCGAAGATATCAGCACCGACGATATAAGCTCCGAAAACGCCAGCACCGACGATGGAGTACTGCCAATATGGAAAGGCGAGCCTACGGACCACGCAAGTTTAGTCGCCGGCCTCAAAGAGCTGTTCGAGTCCATTACCGAAGCCCGTGCCAAAGAAATCTTCGAAGGGTGTCGCAATGAAGCGACGCTACGATGTATACTGAGCCAATATTGTCAAGAGCTGGGAGCCGAGTGGGATGAGATGACTGAGCAACTGAAGCAGTCAACTGGATGCCACGCCATGCACATCTGGCTCAACCACCGCAAGTTCTTCCCGCACGAGGAGCTTGAGTATTGTCTCTGTAGCCTTGTGGTCGTCGGCAGCGAGGTGTGCAAGGGTCCGCCAGTGGACTCGCTGGAAACCCAACAGGATTTTAGCACATACGAGCACATGGTGGTCATAGAAATGCCGGCAAGCAGATAGAGAGACGGCCTAGACCGCGTATGCTCTTACGCATGGGAGAGATGGAGTCGTGGGAAGGGCCTCACCCCATGTGAGGGTTTCGTCAAGGAATTGCCTTCCATGGCTTGGCTCCAAGCTGCGAACCACTCCGGAGCGATGGGTCATCCTGCCCTCCGGATGTGAGTCAATTACTCCCCAACTGCCCCAGGATTCAACTATGGACCAAAGCCGAACACGGGAAGTGCCTCATCTGCCGCGAAAAGGAGCGAGACCGGGAGAAACATCCCGAGCCCGAGTTTCTGTCTATGGATCCACGGAACCACTACGTCAAGATTGACCCGAAACGATACTTCGAGGACATGTTCGGATTCAGCAAATGGGTAAAGCCTAAGGTCTTCCACACAAAAATGCTGAAAAACGTAGTGGAGGAGAGGTTATTCTTCCCAGCTGCCGAAGGCCAGCCGGCCCATGCCAAATTCTATTCTGAGATTCTCGCCCAGGGCCGCGGAAGCCTCACTGCCGCGGAGAAAGAACAGCTCGAAGACGTGGAACAGAGCATTAAACGGCTCCAATATGCCTTGAACCAGGTCCCCGAGGAGAAGGTGAAATGCCTTACCTTGAATAGGCATTGGCGTCGTCAGGAAGAGCTCAGCAAATTCGATTCATTTATTAATGAGGAGCGATGCAAACAGATGGAGGACGACTTGAAGAATCCAACACATATCGTGGAGGAGATCGGCGAGGAGGGGACCAACGTGAAGAAGCCAGTGGAGAGGGAATTGCGCCCAAAAGAGGAGTGAACGGGCGCCTCTCTCCCCTATGTTTTCCTTAAGTCTTTCTTACAGTCTTTCTTTCAGTCATTCTTTCAATCTTTCTTCCAGTCATTCTTTACTCTTTCCTTCTCTCTCAAGCTTCATACCGGCGGGTGGAAATGATAATATGCGAGAGGCAATGGTAGACTGAAATCTTTTTCTAGACTTGGAATTTCGTAGAGTAGATAGATTGTTTTCAATAATAGAACGTGTGCTGCTCGATCACAGAACCCTACACACCCGCTTCCAATTTCTAGCCTTTGATAGCGCCCACCCCCAACGCGCAGTGCGCGCGCGCGTGCAGTCATCGATTCGCTCGACCTCGTCATAAAGAAGATGCGAGCATACTACATATACAATACCAGCAAAAAAGACGCTATATTTCCAAATCCGCACGCAGAAGGGGTATCATCCAAAGGCCCAGCGGTGTAGTAGCCCACCCCCAACAACCATGTGAGTCTTCTCGCGCACCACGAAGACGAAACGCCCTCGCGTGCTCGCCGGAGTGCTTCTCCACAGACGGCGCAAGCCAAGCTACTCAAACCCCAGATCAGCCATTCATCGTACGAAGATTGCTCACCCCGAGAGGCAGTGCCTCCAATATGAACGAGGCAGCCACGCTCTCGGACGCGGCACACGCTCTTATATTTTTACGCTCAGAGGCGTGTATTCGCCGTTGCGGCGGTGTGTAAAGGCGGAAACCTGCGGTTGCAGTCTCCTGCCTCTTTCCGACTTTCTGTGTATTCCTCCGCCCGAGCTGTCCAGAACGAAACAAAACAAAACAGCCCAAACCAAATCCATCCACTGCATGTACGCCAAACACAAGAGAACACAACACCGGCCCAGCCCAGCCTAGCACTACTATAACCACGGAGGGGGAGAGGACGACATGACGGGCTGGGGGCAGTTGAGTTGAGTTGGGTAGAGCCTTGTGAGCTCGCTGCTTAGTAGACGAGAGCAGAGGAGAGGAGAGGAGACGAGAGGAGACAGGCTTAATTATTAGCGGCGGTGCGCGCGACGCGAGCAGCGCAGCTCGTGGTTTGATGGACTGGACTGGACTGATACGTAAGGTACATATATCCGTAGGGAGGGAGGGAAGGTTTCCGTAGTCCGAGCATCCCGTTCGATTATATGTTATATCAATGAGAGCCCCGATCTAAGACGACTGCTGTTGTTGCTGCACACCTCAACTCGCGCTGTCTCTGACTCGGCCCAGTCTCCAAACGTAGTTATGCATCGCATTCGCTTCATTCAGCATCTACACGATGTACCTCCATGAATTCATGCGCTCCATGAACAGTCGTTATACAAGTGTGCAAAGAATCGCCAGTTCCGCCTTTTTGATCGCCTTTTGAACACCCAAAATTCCCGGTATTACCCCAAGCCCCACCCCGAGCTTAATAGTCTGCATGACCAGGACGCCCTTACATCCAGCCGCGACGCCAAACGCATCCCGCGAAGACCCTTCAAATGTCGTCCTCGTCGCCGTTGTTCTCGAATTCCATGACCATGTCAAACCACCCTCCACCGCCATATTTGCACGCGCTCGGACCCAGTTTCTTGAACCCCGCCTTCTCGTAGAACTCGACGAACCGCTCCCTGCATATCAGGGCGATCCTCTTGCCTATGCCGGCGTCTCTCATGCGCTGCGTCCAGCCCCTCAACAAAACTGCGCCAAGCCCCTTTCCGTGAAAGTCCGGGTGGATGCACAGCGAGTGGAGACATACCGTCTCGCCCTCCTCGTGATGGCCTACTGGAGGGCCGAGCTGGTAGTTTGTCCGCCAGTCGGAGGGAAAATCCATAGAGGAGTCGGTGACGATGTTGGAGGTGGTCTTTGTCGCTATGACGTGACCTAATAATAGCCGCTTCCGATCCGAGTCTGCTGAGTCAACCGAGGGGAATTTGCGCGCCTTTACCAAGGAGCCCAAGGGCCCAGTTTCGGTCGGATACGCCGAGGAGAAGAGGCCGGAGCACAGTTCGCCGCATATTGTTAGGCGGTACTCGAGCTAGACGTCGGTCAGTTGCGGCTCGTCGCTCGTTGAATGTGGGCTAGGGTTGATGGGGAAGGAACGACGCACGCGGGCTTGAAAGCGGAAAGAACATTGCCCGTTTCATAAAACACCAACAAACCGACGGATTGGACTGCGCAGAATACCGCCTGTATGCGCAGGTGCAGAGACAAGGAAGAGACTGGGGGCTTGCTGCAGGGAAAGACGAGATAAGGTGGTTCCAGTGACGGCGGGGATTTACGTTTGCACAGAAGATCAGTCGGAGATCAGGTAACGGTGGGCAGAAAAGGAAAGTGCGGCGACTGGAGGCCTGATGATAGCCCAACGGTGATACAGGTGGAAAATGAAACAACTTGGACGGTGCTATATGCAGAAATGAAGGCAGAGTGGACAAAGTGGGCTGGCGGGGCATCTCACCTTCTCTCGCGATGCCGCCTCATGCGGCTCAAATGAAGCGTGCTCGAGCCAGTCGCAGTCGTCGAGGTCGTCTTGGTTGAGCAGCAGGGCATAGGGATGCAGGTCCTTCATCTTCTTGAAGCGCTCCTCCAGCAGCGAGACGGGCATCCTGTAGAGGGGCATCGGGTCTGGGGGCGGGCTAGCGGCGGCGGGCTCTTTGGACAGCGGGGGCATCTCCTCCAGGGTCTTCTTGTCGGCCAGCAGATCCCGGGGCATCTTGGCTGCGGTCAAGCTCTCGCTGCAACGGGGTCCGAAGCAGATGGGCGGCGGCACAAAAGCAGGAAGAGGGGACCAGGAGTGCGCAACAGCTGTAGGAAGCCGAGATGGATGTGGTGGGTCAGTGGTTTGACCGGGGCGTTTTCAGGCACGAGACAGCATCGGGCCAGGCCCCGCGCCGTTGGTAGATCGGACAGGGCTGGGCGTCCAGGTAGCCGAGTCGATCCGCTGCGCCTAGACGGCTGCCGCTCTGCCCACCACCTGTCACTCAGATGTACTCATGAAACACGGCGCGCAATGCGGGCCTGTGTGCCTGGCGGAGTCGTCAGCGTTCACGGTTCACGCGGCGGACGCCTGGGGATGGACGGCGTCTGAGGGAGGGGTTTCATGGACTGGCGGCCCTGGCGCGGGAAGGCCCATGACTTGCAGGCAGCGCCATCTGGACCGGCGAACGACGAGAGCATTGCGCTGCATGCTAGAGACAAGGGACGGGCGCATTCTGCGGCGGCGGCATGCTGTGCGCGCCGACGACGCCCGCCGAGTGGGCGTGCCGCTGCGATGCCGGGCGCGCGAGGAGGGGAGCGCTCGAGGGCAGAACGCGCCTTCCGTCCTCTCCGTGGCGTCCTATTTGGGGCAGGAGCACGCCGCCGGGCCTGCTATAGCGGGATGCTGCAAAGGCCGCGCTCTGTGCTTTGTCCGGCGGCTGCATCGTCGCGCTTTGTGCTGCCCGCGCCGCCCGCACCCGTCGTGAATGAGTTCTGAGGCGACGCGATATGGCCCAGCAGCTGCCCCGCCGAGGCTGCTGCTGCTGCTGCTGCTGCTGCTGCATGCACAGACAAGGCACCCACACACCGCCCTCGTCCCGCCCGCTTACACCCGCCAGCACCGTTTCAGTGCTTCCAGGCAGTCTGTCCGCCAACGTCCTGCCCGGCCCTGTTGCCCTGCTCTGCCCTGCCCTGCCTTGCCCAACCCATCCCATCCCATCCCAACCCAACCTCCAACGAGCCCGCGCCCTCCGCTATAATACGCTGTCACGGCCGCCGCCCGCGCTCGAGTGACGCCCCGCGTAACCCGCACCGAGCAGCGCCATGCCTTCACCTCCTCCTTCGCACGCCCGCTGCTGATTATTAACCCGCGCGACACGGCCCCCGCCGCCTCCCATCACTTCACCCTCCAGCAGTGACGGGCGCCGGGCCCGCGAGACAGCTGCCGCAACGGCGTGCTCCCTTATAAGCTCCCCTCCGGGACACCGACGCCTCTTTGGGACATCTCGCACGGCCGCCCACCCAAGGCACCCCGCCATCGACCACCCAGAACCCAACCCTCTCACCTCCCTCCGCACACGGTACCACATTCTCTTGCCTGCTTTCAGACGCACCTGCATACCACGCAAGGAGCCCGCCCGCCGGCATCAGGCAATATGTGAGCGTCCCCGAAACCGTTCCTGTGCAACCCAGCCAAAACCGACGGCTAACCTTTGCTCAAATAGGCCACGCGTAACAATATCCATCAACGCGCCCCAGGAGCCGTCCGACCAGGAGCTGCTGACCCTCGACCTGCCGCCCGGCCTCACCGTCAAAGACCTCAAGGGCTTCGTCGAGGCCGAGACCAGCTTCCCCGCCGCCGCCCAGAACTTCTTCCTCAACGGCCGCCCGCTGGCGAGCGAGACGCAGACACTGGAGGAGGCCGGGGTCAACGATGGCGAGATGCTGGCTGTGCTCATCCGCCGCCGTGGGAACCGCCCGCAAGGGAACGTACGGGAAGCGCCCGCACAGGACCCGCGCCGCGCCGCAGCACCCGACCCAGAGGCCGTGCGACAGCACGTCTTGAGCGACCCTGCTGTCCAAAACCAACTTAGAGAGCGCCGGCCAGAGCTCCTCGCCGCCCTCAGCGACCCCGTCCGCTGGAGAGAAACATACGACATGATGCAACGCCAGGAAGAGGAGGCGGAGCGCGAACGCCAGAACCAGATCGCCCTGCTGAACGAGGATCCCTTCAACGTCGAGGCCCAGAAGAAGATAGAGGAGATCATCCGCCAGGATAATGTCATCAACAATCTCCACGAAGCGTACGAGCAGAACCCCGAGGGTGAGTATATATACCACGATCCGCACGCCATGCTGCCTGCCACCTTCCCCCGTCCATACTAACAGCAGCAGTCTTCGTCCGCGTCCACATGCTCTACGTCAACACCGAAGTGAACGGCGTCCCGGTCAAGGCCTTCGTCGACTCGGGCGCCCAGGCCACCATCATGTCTCCCAGCTGTGCAGAGCGGTGCGGCATCATGCGCCTCATGGACACGCGCTACTCTGGTATGGCCCGCGGCGTGGGCACGGCTCGCATTCTCGGCCGCGTGCACCGTGCCATGATCAGGATCGGCGACGCCGTCCTGCCCTGCGCATTCACTGTCATGGAGGGCAAGGACGTGGACCTCCTCTTTGGTCTCGACATGCTCCAACGCTACCGGGCGAAGATCGACCTTGAGAAGAACGCCCTGTGCTTTGAAGGTATCGAGGTGCCGTTTCTGCCCGAATCCGAGATACCGCAGAGCCTTGAAGAAGCCGAGATGAACGAGCCCACCGTCTCTGGGCCCAACGGTACTGAAATTGGTGCCCGAACTGGCGCTGTGAGACCGGCGACCGATCACAAAGCCGGCCCATCGTCCGCCCAAGCAGCGCTTCCTCCTGCCCAACCGACGCCCCCGGCAGCACAATCGTCGTCTTCGTCAGCCAGCCAGTACCCTCAGGAGCACATTGATCAGCTCATAAACCTTGGCTTCAAAACACGCCAGGCCGCCATCCAAGCCCTGCAGGCGGCAGATGGCAACGTCGATGTTGCCGCCGGATTTCTCTTCGACAATTGACGAAGCGGTAGGGACTACAACCCATCGATCCGATTGGACCCAAAATAACGATAACGGCACATTTTATTTTCCATACCGCATCCTGCATAGATTTGGCGAATTCGGAGCTGCAGCTTTTGCATGCATAATGGATGGACTCGGAATTCCCACTATTTCCTTGCTTCTGACAGAACAACAACGATGGGCGTCTACTCCTTCGGCGGCTCCGGCGGGGCTACGGGTTCCTTCATCCTTTCCACGTCTCTAGATCTGATGCGGCGACGAGACATGAAATTTCTTCATGAGCCTTCACGACATCACATCGTTCTGAGCCCTGCAGGCATCTGCGTAGCACGGTTCCGCATGTATTACCTAGCGATCATGGATGGTTTTTCTTTTCGAGGGCAGGCGCCTGGGGCAGTGAAGGCTATGTAGACCCGCGTAGACCAAGGCAAAGCAAACAAATCAAGTCATGGAAAATTGCCATTATGCCACTAGGCACTCAACCCACCCTTCTGCGTCGTTGGAGTTGGCAGGAAAAAGAGGGCTGGGACTGGGACCTGGAACAAGGTGCTTCCTTGCTGCATGTCTTACCTGTCGTCGCGTCATTCGAGCGGGACATGTGCGTCTGGAGGGATACGCCGGTCGGCAACAAGCTGCCGCGCCCGTGTCTCAGTTTCGTTTTTGCACCACCGTGGGCGTTCGTTCGGTCTAACTACCGACATATATAGGCTTGGGAACCTGCATTTGCCACTCCTAGTCCAATCCAATACAATCCCAATACAACTCCCAAGGAAAAAACAGTATGGAAGTATAGTGTATGGTGTATAGGAAGGGGCCACGGCACGGCGCATCATAGCACGGCGCGGCACGGCTCGGGTCGCTAATATTTCCTTCGCCGTACATCCATCCATACTGCAGGGCTCCATCCATGGGCGCGAATCTTGTAGAAAGCACCCTACCTACCTACGCACCTACGTCCCCATCCATCGTTCGTTCACATCTCACCTCACCTCCTGCGAAGAGGAGAAGTTCCGCGCGCAGGCACTAGTACAGTACAGTACAGTAGAAGCGCTAGCAGGTACCTAGGCACATATGGAGAAACTACGCGAGCGTTTTCTCGGGAGGGAAGCAAGCCGTCTCAGATCAGATCGAATCGGATCGGATCAGATCGGATCAGAGCATTGCTTTTCCCTTCCCTTCCCGCACCGCTCAGGCCCTCCTAGGTGGAGCCCTCAGACCCGCAAGCCACAACTCGCCTCGAGTACGCCACCAAGTTTTGCTTCTTTCTGCGGCGTGGGTCTGGACGAGACTAGACTAGCCCAGATAGATGACGGGCCCGGATGATGCCGAGTTTACCAGCATATGTACCTAGTGCGTGGGGAATAGGATATATGTACTGGACTGTTCTGTGCTGTACGAGAGGAGAGGATATGCGGTGGTGGATGGGATGGAGATAGTATGTCAAGTATGTCAAGTAGGGCAAGTAGGGCAAGTGTGCTGGCATTCCTGGTATGGATTTGCCGGATATGGTATCTGCTTCCGCGGGACGGAGGAGAAGGTTTATACTGGATAGATGGGGATGGGATGGAGTACATTCCTCAAACCCCTGGAATCTGCATCTTCCAAGCCAACCAGCCAGCCAAGACGGGTCTGGGAGCCGATTCCAGACCATGGCACGTCTCTCCGGCACATTGACGCATCACCCGCGCCATCTCACCATCCCACCAGCCACCCAAACCCCTTCCCTCAGCGAATCTTATACAAACACGGCTTCAGCACCTTCGCATCGGCCTCGTCACCCCCGTCATCCTCCTCCGCAACTGCAGTGAACTTCTTCCCCTTGATCCCCATCTTCAGCCCACCCTTTGGCTGAGAAGCAGAGGACGAGTTGGGCTTAGCGTTCTTGCCCCTCGTCGGCTGGGCCGCCTTGACGAACTGCATCTTGACGAACATTTTGTTGCCGAGGTCGACCGCGGCGGCGGGGCGCTCGGGCGGCGCATCGAGCAGGAAACCGTGTTTGCGCAGGACGGCGACGAAGGCGGATACGTCGGTGCCGTTCTTGGCTTCGGCGCCGTCGACGTGCTCGGCGAGGTCGAGTTCGTCGGCGCTGTCTTGGGGGCCTTCGGCTTCGGGCTTGTCGGTGCCGCCGCCCTTCTTTCCTTTTGTCTGCTTGTCGGCTTTCCTGAGGCTGCCGATGGAGTTTATGGGCGGTTTGCGGCGCTCCACGCGGCCGAAGCGGGACTTGATTTCCGAGACCCAGAGTTCGCCTTTCCAGCGCAGGATGCGGTATGCTTCGTCGATGAAGTCGAGCCAGTTTGTGCCCATGAGTGCGAGGCAGAAGATGGCGACGTCGACGGTGGAGTCTGGGAGGGGCAGCGCGGAGATGTCCGCGACTGTGACGAGGGAAGCCGAGGGGCCGGAGGGTTTGGAGAGGTCGAAGGAGTGGAAGTTCAGGTTGAGTGGTTTGAAGTGGGTGCGTAAGCGGTAGGCTAGGGAGGCGGTGCCGCAGCCTAGGTCGGCTATTGTGCAAACGCCTTTTACGTTTCGCGGCAGGGGCTTGATGTCACTCTTTCCGGGTGTAGGGACGGAATCGCCGGGAGAGTCTGGGCCTAGTCTACCCTTCTTGTCTTTCCACTTCTTGTCCTTCCGGGGATCTTTGCTCCGTACTTTGCCTCGTGTGATTATTGTCGATACGTAGCCATCCACGGGATTCTCCGGCCATACTTCGACTTGCTGTGCGAAGCCTCTGTGGTAGTCTTCAAACATTGAAGGGTCGTCTTTGAATAGTTCAAGCGAGTCCTTGGAGGGCTTTGTATAAAGAGTCTCGTTAAGGTGGCGGAATCGTGCACTAGCGAGCTTATTTCGCATAGACTTCTGCAGCGGTGTGAGGCCTTTCGGCTCCGGTAGGAGTAATGTGGGGTCGACAACTTCAGTAGCGGCCTCCATTTCTGATGTGCCCGGTTGGGATGCATGATCTGCTTTGAAGTCCTTCTTGCGCTTCTTTTTGTCGCGCTTGGATCCGCGGTCTTTCGCGGTCGTCTTTTCGGCAATTGGCTCCTGGGCCCCAGCCTGCGCATCTTGCTCAGGAGTGGCTGATTTTCGCTCACTCTTTGACTCCTCCTCGGCAGCCTTATCGCCTTTCCTCTTCCGCTTCTTCCCTCTCTTCTCTTCATCTCGTCCCGTCGATCGCGAGCCTTCATTATCCTCTTTCATGCTCGGTTCCGCGCCCTTCCTCTCCTTCCCCTCGACCACTCTCTCCCAGTACTCATCGATATTATGCTCATCAATCTGCCCCTCCCGTTTCTCCCTCCTCTTCTTCGCTTTCTTTCCTTCTTTTGCCTGGTCTCGAGGTGCGGGTTTGTCGACTTGGGTTGCGAGCGGCGCGGAGAGGTTCCAACCGGGAACGGAGAACATTTCGTGGTCGTAAATCAGGTGAAGGAGGGTCCAGTGGGGATTAACGGGCGCGGATTGGCGGACGCTTGGTTTGATGTTGAGGTCGGAATTTTTGAGAGCTTGGGCGGGAGCGGAGAATACGTTTTCCCGAGACGGGAAAAGTGGGGCTAGCGTTAAGGTTATTTGGACGCCCACTTCGACATCTCACATTTCTTCGGACGACGCCCTGCAAGCTAGGCGACGAACTTCTCACTCTCCCAATCTTGAAACACTAAACTCGGCGGTCCGCCCGGCTGCTGACTGGACGACCTGTCAAGAAGTACTTTAGCAGCAGGAATCAAGTCTGATGAAGACTGAACACTTGCTAGCATCATTGGCACGCTCATTTATCGAATCATGTATTCTATCCACTGTCTTCAGCCGCGCGAAAGATCCGCTTCCCTCCCCTCAAGAATCCGCACCACCCCACTGAGCACCCCCTCCACCTTCCTCCACATGAATGTCTGTACCTCGTCCATGAGACGCAGATTACACGCCGCAGCATCCACATCCGCTTCCCACTTCCCAATCACAAACTTGTTCTTCAGCCTGCATTTCTCACTATACACCTTCTGATCCATCAGCATGACCACGTCCCCTTCACTGCGACAGCACTTTGCCAGGTCCAGCGCCGCCTTATTCGCATGCTGCGCAGTGAAGTAGTGTCCTTTGATTATGGTCGTGTTGCTCTTTACAATGCGCTCTCTGTCGTAGTAGAAGAGTGTTAGTTGGATACGGAAAATCGGAAAGGAGGTGCGCTCTAAAGGGGTGGAATCGAGGGTGGTGGCGCGCGATCGTTGTGGAGATACCAAGGGTGAAATCAGGGGAGAGCCGATGCCAGACTGCGGATGCACGGTGGGTGATAGCGGTAGGAAATCTAGAAGCGGCCAGGGTTCGGGCGAGGAAGGGCGGCGTGAAGGAGCGCGCGGAGAAGCAGGCAAAAGCATGGTGTACTGGATTCCGTGAGAAGGCCCCCACAAAAAGACTGAGGAGTGAAAAATGTCTCTCTTCGGCAGCGCATCCGGGAGCCAGATGTACCCTTCGGTTCGTGAATGCGCTGTAGCCCTCACGAGGTAATCCGGCATTCAATCTTCCTCCCTCGCCACTTCCCCATTCAATCTGTCCCCCTTCAAGCATTCGCCGCTCCTGGCGAATTCTCTTCCTCCATGCTGACGACCTGGACACGCGCCGAGACGTCTTCTTTGCTCTTCGGCTTCCCGACCGCAAAGCTCTTCATACCGTCGTTTTCGCCTTCGAGCTTCACGATTTCGCCGTCAATGCGGCTCACCTGCGCCAGCTCATAACCAGCTTCGTTAGCATCGTTCTTCGTGGCGTAACGCTTCGCGAACGTCCATGACTTCATCTCCGTACGGTCTACATTGTAGACGCTGATGACGATTTGGAGGATGGACGGCATGTTGGGCTTGGATGTGTTTCTGCTTGTTGCGTTAGAAGAGGTAAGCAAGAGATAAGCTTTGTGACAGTGTGGTTGTTGTTGCGTGAGTAGAGAGGAAGAAAATGGCTTCAGAGGAGCTGGCCACGCGATTTTATGGGGGAGTGACTGAGCCAGCGTTTCTGCCTGGCGCTATTGTGCTGTAGCACGCGCTTTCCGCATCAATAGGTACAAACGGTGTGCCTAGATCATGTGCTGCTGCGGCCCTCCTGACTTCACTTTTGAGTCCACATCTGACTCACAGTCTGAAAGCGCGCTGCACTACACGTATTGTTATGTCTTATTGTGGGCATTGGGAAAGTGAGTCTGAAGATCTTCGGTACATAGAACAGGGGTCGATGTGCTAACAAACTGCCTTCCATGCCTCTCTCACGTACTATTATGTGGCCTCCTGCTCGGGCTTTGCAATACCATGCCTAGATGCCTTCAATACGTACATATTTCCCTTACTTTGCTTAGTTCTTTTGCCGTCTACCCATGGCCGGTGGTACTACGAATATCGCCAGCCTCAGCACTGGAAAGCTGAGCCAGAAGGCTTCCAGTAGATAGAACAGACGTCATCATGTTCGCAAATCGTCTCCTAAGCCTCGCCACAGGCACTAATGTGCAGCTCCGCCTCCGCTAAGGGTAAGTGTAACGGTCGTGGTCAAGCTGCCCATTCGGAGTGAACGCACCGGTCACCTTGAGCGATCACACTCCCCATCAAGGAGAGTAGGAAGTGCTTCGGCAACACAACGACTCTGAGAAAAAGCCGCATCCTTGACAGCTTCTGTTGACGTGTCTTCTACTCGCGCGGCATTCTTCGATACCACCACACTCCATAGCATGAAGCCACGCAAATCCCCACCGCACGTCCGCTTCACATACCACCCCAACGTACACAATAAATACGCTCTTACTCCACTTCCTAAACTCTCCTCACCCATCCAGCATACTATCCAGCCTCTGAAAATCGCATCGCATAAGCTCGAACCAGCGGCGCAGAAACAATAACAACAACGAAAGCCACGACCCCAACTATCCACCCAGAAAATCAAACCCACTCATAAACAAGCAGTAGTCCACAATGTGCTACAAAATCCACTACAAGTTCTCCTGCGGATGCACCAAATACGAGTATAAGACGGGATGTCAGAACCGCGCGGAGGGATTCCCATGCACCATGGGCTCGAGCGTGGTTGTGGAGAAGGTTGTGGGGATGTGTGAGATCTGGTATTGCGCAAAGTCTCGTGTTGGGCGGAGAGTGGGAGGACGAGGCACTGGTATCTGAAAGGAGAGAGAAGGGCCGATACAGCGTCGGGTCGAAGTGGGGGGATAAAGATGTCAATAAGGGGGAAGGAGTGCTGACATGTGAAGAAGACTGATTTTGAAAACTATCTAAAGGGTGTAAAGGTTCGAAAGTTATGGCTTAACCACCGTGGCAAATGGTAGCGTAACATCCGTGAGGAACGTCGTGCTATTCTGGCCTGTCGGAATCGCAGGATTCGTGACATTGCAGATCTGATAGAAATCTCCAGCCTGCTTTAGCTTCTTCTTGACCAGCGATTGATACTGACTCAGCGGGCACAACTTTCCAGGTCCACTTTGGCAGTTGGCGACGGGATACACGACATCGTTGAGCCGGATTCGCACGTAGGCGCTCGTCCCATGTCGTCCGCTAGAGCAAGAAAGCCGCTCGAACCCCACGGTTCCTCGCATGGGCACGATCCTGCTCGCCCTAAACAGCCTATCCTTCATAATCCTATTCGCGGGGAGCTGAGGCTCGTTATCGAACACGCCAATCGCCGCAACCAGCTGATTGATCTGCCCATCATTCGAGAAAGCAGCAATAAGCTTCGGAGGCGTAAACGTCGAGCCATCGGAGTTCGCATACGTCGCGTTCGGTCCGTCCACGAAGCGGTGAACAAGGCCATCCAGCACCGGCAGCATCATGTACTTCTCGATATCCGTGCCAAGGCCAGTACCGTACCAGTAGCGCAGGTCCTGCGCGTATTCGTACTGCAGGATTTCGTCCTCGGTGAAGACGGAACACCAGGGCGAGAGGGCGCCGGTGATCTGCGTCTCGAAGCCGCAGAGGTACGGAATTATGGATACGTCGGACTGGGTGAATTGGAAGCCGCCTTTTATTAGTTTGTTCAGGCGCTTCTGGATCGGCGGAAGGTAGATGTTGTTCCACGTGTCGATGGACGGGCTCCCGCCGCTGTCCTTGTACGCCGGACAGAGGTCAGAAGGCGCGAGGGAGTTCATGAACGAGCGCGGATCGCTGGAGTTGAGGGCGTAGATGGAGCCAAGCTCGGTCGCGTTCGGACCCAAAAAGCCTCGTGCGAAGAGTCGCGCGCTGTCTCGGACACGCGGGCTAGAGGAGTAGTAGTTGGACCACATCGTGAAGTCAGTGCTGTACGCGTAAAGATCAGAGTACCGTAGACGGTAGGTGGCGCCCATGTCGTAGAGCTCTTTGTAGCCGGTGGTTGAGACTTGTGCGATCTGTTGTTCTGGGTACTTCAAGGCAGGCGTCCAGGAGGATAGGAAGGCGAGCGTCGAATCGCGCACACTGAACTGAGCTGCGTGGATACGGGAAGAGAGGTTGGTCCACTCGGCGTACGCTCCGGTATCCGGGTAGCGGCTTCCATGGCGAGAAAAGAACGCTGCTTGCTCAACGGTGCAGCCTGAGGGTACCTCGGAGGAGATACCGGTTACTTCTGGACCTGCGCGTAACGTTAGCGTCGGGATGCAAATGTCGAACAGCATTAGCGCACCTGGAAACCATTGGCCGTTTCCTCCAAGATGCCGAAGGACATTAAAGTCTGCTGCAGCGCCTGACACGCCCAGTGCAGCGATTAGAAGCTTGATGAAGCGCGCCATGAAGTCCAACACGGTTTGCGGCCCTCTATCGCTCGAAGAAGTACTCGTCTGCACCGACCGCGTCTTGCCATCTTTATAGCTGTGCTGAGTGTTGTTGTGGAAGATCCTCGGAGATGACTACTGGCGATGTATCCCGTTATGGTCAAGAGGAGCAAGGATGTAAGGAACTAGGGACACACGTGGGGTGTGAACGCGTCGAAGACAGGTCGCGCATAGCGCAACTAAGAAAGGCGCCGTATGCTAATGTTCGAAGTCGGACGACAATACAGGGCAGAGGTGAACGTTGCCGCAATGGCAAACTATTCGAGCCGGAGACGAGGAGGACGGCCCTTGCAAACTACACTAAGCTTCATCGGGACTAGCTCAAAACGGTGCGCTTATAGATCCACGGATATCGTTGCGGGCCCGTTCAGTAGATGTCTCCAAGTCTCCAAGTGGGAAAGCCTCTACGGCGTCCTCCCGGGTCTGATGGAGCAGTCAGGACATATGACGCACAGTAAATTTAGTGGCGGAATCAATTCTATAGCCTGGTTGGATTCAACGCGCAATCCGTGGATCTACCTGACGACGAATAGCACTCAACATCACTCCAAGCCTCCACAAAAGTCCTCTGACCCTCCCTACCCACACATCACTCCCCCGTCCACGTTCCCTCCAACTTCGCCTCCGCCTCCTTCCTTGCCTTCTCCCGGCGCTCCTCCTTCGTCATCCGCCTCTCCTTCTTCTCCGGCACGAACACCGTCTCCCTCTCCAGATCCACATCCTCGAACTCCACCGCCTTCTCATCCGGCTCTTCCTTGGCCCGCGCCTTGCCCTTGCTATCCCTTTCCCGAGCCGCGAAATCCTGCACTTCAATGTCGTTGTCAGCTTTCTCCTTGCCCTTCCACTGCTTGCCGAAATATTCTCTTCCCTGCGCATCGTCATGTCCAGAATAAGGCGTACCATGGTGATGGACCTCATATACGCTTCGCTCCTCACTCGGGCCCGCGAAATTGTTTCCAAATCCCGGCAATGCGCCACTCATCATATACGCAGCATCCTCCACCATGCGCGGAGGAGCAGGACCCACCCCCTCGTGCGTATTATCGTCCATAGCGATGGTTTGCCTTTGATTCGGAGGCAGGTTCTGCATCTCGATGTCCTTGGCGCGGGCCCATGGGCGACCAATCGCGTTGTCGCCCTTGCGGCGTCGGAGCGCTTGGTAGACGGTGAAGCTGAGTATGGTGCAGATGGCGATCGGGACCGCGACGAGGCCGACGATGAGAACTGGGTTCACCATGGCGGGGAGGTCTTCGGGTTGTGTTGCGCTGACGGATTGGCTTGTGGGGAGGTGAGTGGAGGTCTTCTGACGTGGTAATGCGTGCGCGCTGGGCTGGCTTGCTTCAGGTGGTTATACGGAAGGCAGAGTATCGCGCCTGGCGGTCCTGAGGGGCTATGCGGTGGTGGATGGTTTTACGCGTTTTGGATGCAGTACGATAGATTGAGTGGTTCTGAAGGAAAAGAAGCGAGGGAGGAAGTAGGCAGAAGAAATGAGCTTTGCGCCTTTCACCGCCGCCCTGTTTGCGCACGCAATCAGTGCATGAAAACACCAACCCAAACATCCATACACTGCACGTTGTCCTTCCCGCCCACGGCATCGACAGCGGTCTTCACGCTGTCCAGCATACTCTGCAGTAACGTGTGCACTTTCTCCTCGTTGATCTCCCTCTTCACTCGCCTCATAAACAGATTCTCCCCATCAGCCTTGTCCTCAAGGAACAGCATTCCCACTTCCCACTTCGCATCATCCAACTCCCGTCCAGGAGTTAAGCTCGCCTCGCTCTGCATTTTCCACCCAGCTTCCGCGGCGAGCTTTTGGATTCCTGACGGAGAAAGCAGCGTCCGAATATTCTGATCCGAGTCCGGGATATGCGCTTCACACGCCGCGCGCACCAACGCAGCCAACACATGCGCCTCTGCGTCCTTCACGCCGGCCTTCAATGCCCACTCCGCGATACAAAGCCTCTCCGCCTTGCCCCTCGCCGCTTCAAGCGTCCTCTTCACTTCCTCCGCGCCTGCGAAGTACCACAAACAGTGGCACAGGATCGCCACGTCGTACCGCCCATCCTCCACGCTGGCTAGGAAGTCCACAGGCGTTGCTTGGTGGAAGGTGATGCGGTCGCCGAACTCGTATGCTTTGATACGCACCTGTGCCTGGCCGAGAGTCTCTGGGGCGCCGTAGTCGAGCGGCGCGGGATCTACCGCGTCGATGTGCGAGTGCGGATAGAGAAGCGCTAGGACGGCTGTGCAGTCTCCTTGCCCACAGCCGATCTCTAGGATTCTGTCCCCGGGCTTGATACCGGAGTTTCGGAGGATGTTGACTCGATGCGTGGTTTGTGAGGGGAGTAGGCCGTACCGCTCTGCGATTTCTGAGTGCCTAGACGGATCGTCCAGAGCAGAACTTGGGGAACTCATGGTAGCGGGTTAGCATCCAAAGTGATGATAATGTGTCGGCGGCTTGGGTAGTTGTGAGATTGATGTAGGGCGCACACGGCGTGCTGGGCGATAACTCGGTGTCCTGTGACTCATGCAATTATATGACTATGCATGATTGAGAGCTGCATGCATGCATGCATGTCAGCTGCCAAGGATGCCGCCTTTAGGTAGTAGTACGCTCAAACAGAGAAAGAAGAAAAAGAAGTGAGATCGAGAAACACGACTAGTGATACAGGGTACGCTAATGATGCAGGGTGATGAGCCCCTTTTAAAGAAATATCGCGATTCTACTCGCAAGTTGTGGACGTACCTACCATGACAAGTACGGAAAACTTTTCCTAAGCCGATACCACAGAATGCCATACTGATTTAACCTTTTTTTCCAGCACTCTGTCGCCTACGGCTGTTCGCCCAGCGCACCGGGCGGGCCTCCAGCCACACCTGCAGGCCCAAAGTTATTCTTCCGTCCTTCCACGCTGCTCCTCCTCTCACTACTTTCATTCTGATCGAAGGTAGCATCGAGCATGAAGGGACTGCGCGCTCTGATCTGACGACCCTTGATCACCAGAACAACAGGCACCAAAGTGAGAGCCGCGCCAATGAAACCAAGAAGACTGCCAGCCCAACCATAACCCAGGTTTTCGAAGAGCGAGTACGACGCCAGAGGCAGGAGGGCTCCGAATGTGTTACGACCGAGCGAGGCGGCTGACAGCGCGGACGCAGCGTACTTCTCATAAGCATCAGTGAGGTAGTTCACCACGGCCATGTAGATCGAATAGATTCCGAGGCTAACAATGGTGACGCCGATCGCAGGAACAATCCAGTGTACGTCTGGCTGCGAGCTCCAGCCATACATGAAGAGCCCACCTGTAAAGAGGAGTGAACCAGGGATACTCGTGTAAAGGCGGCCTTCTGGGATCGGTTTACCGGGACGCTCGGTATTCTTAGATGCCGTGCAAAGGTATAGCCAGTCCTGGAAAGGATTAACCAAAGTACCGATCACGGCACCAACGGTAAGCGCAAGCACAACCAGGCCGGTCTGGAATGTGTCCCATCCGTAATTAGTGCTGAATGTCTGCACGACCGAAGAGAAGAAAAGGAACAGTATTCCCCAAGCGAAACTGATCCACAGGGTGAAGAAAGTAACGACAGGCTCAGTGAGCAGCATCTTCGTCGGCCGCTTGAAAGAGAGCTTGAGCAGTGTGAGGATGGATGACTGTTCAAGCTCCGATTCGGCATATATAGGACGGCCGGTCTGTTGGCGCAGTTTCTTAGCGCGCTTCTTCAGGATGACATCGCCTCTGGTTTCCTTGAGAATGAGATAGAAGACGGGGATTAGCGCTGCGTTGTAGATGATTTGGATGTAATAGATCCTAGTAGGGGTTTATCAGCACATCAAACTATGGTAGGGGGAAGAGGGACCGGGATGGGGACATACCACCGCCATGGCGACTGCAGGCCTCTATCTGGTTTATGGATCTGGACGATAGCGCTACCAATGAAGGGCCCAAGCGCGATCCCAGCCACACTGGTAAAGCCGAAAAGTGACATAGGCAGACTCCTGGCTTTGTCACCTTTCCACACGTCGCTAATGCTGCCACCGACAATATTGACAGACACGGATGATGCCCCTCCACCGAAAAACCGCGTCACTACTAAGGTAGCAAAATTATCTGCAAAGGCAGATCCGAAGAGGAAGAGCTCGAAGACTATGTATGCAACCTATCTCCGGTTAGGGAAAGTCTCATGGTAGTATCCGGTAATGTTTTATAATTACTCACAAAGTAGCCAGGCATACGACCTGCGGTACGGTTAGCAAGCGTCAAGTATTCCTACCTCTGGGTCGGCTTACCAGCGTTCTCAGTCAGCGGGACGAATACGAGGGGGAACAGTGCAGCGCCTATGTTCCAACTGCATGTGGCCCAGAAGAGGTTGGGAAAGGGTTCGTTTTGCACATGGAAGCGGGAGCTCATCCAGGCATTACCAGCGCCGTAAGATCCAGCTGGGAGACCTGTGAGGATAGAAATAAAGCAAACGGTCAGAGTCAAGACAACCTTGTACCTCGTGGACCAGTTGAACCTGTTGCCGTGTTAATCGATCGTTCGACCGATATACAAACGCAACGTACGGGTTTTCTGGATCGTCCGGACCGTTCCATGAGTGAATCTCAACCTCTTTCCCGTCTATCAAGCCCGTTTCTGCGTTGCCTCTCCGAGTGGGACGCTCGCTTGGCTCGCTCGACTGTAAGCCAATGGGCACGCGTTCTAGGCTCAGTTAGCTTCTGAAATACAATTAAAGGAGACTGGCAGCGTGACCATTCCGACTCACCCTTATCTTCATCTAGAGATGGAGAAGACATGTTGTGCGAGGTTATGCAAATACTACCTTACGATGGAGGGAAGAGTAATGATAGCGACATGGAAAAGTGGTCTCGGCGGATCAACATTTATTTAAAGAAGGCATAGATCGAGTGACTGTTGCGCGGGGTGACCCACATGGTCGAGTGCACTTGTAATCCTTTGGTCGAGCCTGCTGGGATTCCATTCTTCGAACGGCGCGATGATGTAAGGGAACCACCTCACCTCACCTTATGGACTATTCAGATTCTGGCGCACAACTTTCTGCGGACCCTTGCGGAAGATCCACCCGGACCGACATGGGTCCAGTTGCGATTCGAAGCTCTAACTCTGCTAGGTAGTCATATCGTTAGAGGCATAAAACGATGCATGTGAGAAGAAAACTCTGGTGAGGCAGCACACGGAACCCCTGCAATCGGACACTGTTGTGAAGGCCCAGTAGCTGCAAAGGTATAAACGTATATAGATAGCGAGAGATAACAATGACTCTTAAATGAGGCATGGCGGTGGAGATGGAATCTGTGCTGACATCGAAGATGCGGAGTCAAGGCTAGCTTTTCGTATGACTAAGCCGCCCCACCACCACGAGACCATACCGACGCGTCAATGGTTATGGTTTGAAAAGTATGTACTGTCTCTAGCAGAACGCCATCAGCGTACGAACAGATTAACGTCTGGAGACCCAATCACGTGTTGTAGAGCGGACTCGGCGGATCAATATTTCGCCGATGCCGCCTTGGCAGACGTCCGGGGCTATCGGAGCTTTGATGATGTCGAGATTTTGGGGTCGCTGATCAATTGGAGTCGCCACGACTTGACCCTCCATCTTCTCACGTCGCGCCCGCCCATTCGCACCTGGCTCCTCTCCCATCCCGAGGAGCTTCGCGGGCGCTTTCACTCCCCCTCCTTACAACAGCGGCATACCCCCCATCCGAGGTAATTTGCGCCCTGTCTCTCGCCATGCTTCACGGAACACAGAATCTGCCATGGCGGGCAGCCCTCCGTCAGGCTTCACGCTCGACATCTAGGATCGCTGCATCTCGCGCATCCTCGCCCTTTCTTCCCGCACAGTGCACCGCCGCGTCTTTCACGCGATGTACGCGCAGATATCCGTCTCCACCCGCCGCGCTACTCTCTTCGCGGAATTTTTCTACGTCATTAAGCAGACAGAAGGAAAGGAATTCGAAAGTGCCACCGGAGCCGCTGGAAGAAGTGAAAGAAGAGGATGCAGAGGAAGAATCCAAGCAGCCCAAAGCCCAGGAAGATGCTGAGGACTTGGAGGCGAAAAAGGTTCCGGACCCGATTCCAAAAGGTAGCGATGCGCGCGGAAGTTCAGCAGGAGAAGGCGCGTCAGGGGCAGCAGGTGAAAGTAGCGGAAAGAAGCGTAAGCAGGCCGAGCGATCGCTAGTCAAGCCGTCGATACCGGAGGTCTATCCGCAGGTTATGGCGATACCCATCGGAAAACGCCCACTATTCCCGGGGTTCTACAAGGCTATCACAATACGAAATAAGGAGGTTGGCCAAGCAATAGCGGACATGGTGAAGCGTGGACAACCATACATCGGCGCGTTCCTGCTCAAGGACGACGATGCCGATAAGGATGTTATCGACGATCCGACCGAGGTCTACGACGTCGGCAGTTTCTGTCAAGTGACGAGCGCATTCCCCGTTGGGCCCGACGACAACTTCGCCATGACCTGCGTTCTATATCCTCACCGGAGGATAAAAATGACTGGTCTAAAGGCCCCGAGCCCCGATAAGCCACGAGAAACCTCTACCGAGGGCGCATCTGTGGTGGAAAGTACACTTGGGGAGGCCGCTTTGAAAGAGAGTGCAGAAGGAGACCAATCGAAGGGCGACGTTGTGGCAAGCTTCGAGGAGAATAGCCCCGACGCTATGAAGGCACCACACTACTACGAAGCTACATCCTTCCTCAAGGATCGAAAGGTCAGCATCGCGAACGTCGAAAACCTTGCAGAGGAGCCATTCGATATGAAGAACAACAAAGTCATCCCGGCTCTCGTCAGCGAAATCGTCAACACTTTCAAAGCAGTAGCGCTCCTGAATCCCCTTTTCCGCGATCATATCTCGACATTTTCCGTACAAACGACAATGAATGTCGGCGAGGACCCCGTCAAGCTGGCAGATTTCGCGGCTGCTGTGGCGCAGGCCGATTCGCACGAGCTGCAAGAAGCGCTTGAAGAAATGAACGTGGAGCAACGGTTGAGCAAGGCTCTGATCGTGCTCAAGAAAGAGCTCATGAATGCTGAGCTGCAATCGAAGATCGTCAAAGACGTGGAGAATAAGATTCACAAGAAGCAACGCGAGTACTGGCTCATGGAGCAGATGAAGGGCATCAAGCGCGAGCTCGGCATCGAGTCGGATGGCAAGGACAAGCTTATCGAAAGGTTCAACGAGAAAGCCAGCAAGCTTGCAATGCCTGAAGCAGTCAAGAAGGTATTCGAGGAAGAAATGAGCAAGCTTTCCCATCTAGAACCAGCCGCATCAGAATTCAACGTCACACGGAACTATCTCGACTGGCTTACGCAGCTGCCCTGGGGACAGAGAAGTGCCGAGAATTTTGGCATCAATCATGCTCGCGAAGTGCTTGATGAGGACCACTACGGTCTACAAGACGTCAAAGACCGGATTCTGGAATTTATTGCTGTCGGTAAGCTTCGCGGTACTGTTGAAGGGAAGATCCTCTGCATGGTCGGACCTCCAGGTGTCGGCAAAACATCCATTGGCAAATCGGTCGCGCGAGCCTTGAACCGGCAATACTATCGCTTCAGCGTTGGTGGTCTCTCGGACGTGGCGGAGATCAAGGGACACCGAAGGACTTACGTTGGGGCCTTGCCAGGACGTATCATTCAAGCGCTCAAGAAGTGCCAGACGGAGAATCCGCTCATCCTCATTGACGAAGTGGATAAGATTGGCCGCGGCCACAATGGTGATCCCGCGTCAGCATTGCTTGAACTGCTTGACCCTGAGCAGAACAACAGCTTCCTAGATCATTACCTGGACGTGCCAGTCGACCTCTCCAAAGTTCTGTTCGTGTGCACGGCGAATATGACAGATACGATCCCGCGCCCGCTCCTCGATCGTATGGAGATGATCGAATTGTCCGGCTATGTCGCAGACGAGAAGATGGCGATCGCCGAACGATATCTTGCACCTCAAGCAAAGGAGATCAGCGGCTTGAAAGACGCAGATGTTATGCTCGAGAAAGAAGCCATCGTCGAACTCATAAACAAATATTGCCGCGAATCCGGAGTTCGAAATCTCAAGAAACAGATCGAGAAGGTTTATCGGAAGTCCGCTCTCAAGATCGTGACCGATCTTGGCGAGGAGGTGCTTCCGGAATCGGAGGCGCTGACCGACGAGGGCAAAGCCGCTCTGGAGGAGGCGAACAAGGATGAGTCGGATATAAAAGAAACCCCAGAGAATATCGAGAACGAGACCGCCGAGAAGCCTCGAATAGCGTTGAAGGTCCCAGACAGCGTCCACGTGTCCATCGGGAAAGAGAACCTGAAAGACTATGTCGGCCCTCCCGTTTTCACCTCGGATAGGCTTTATGAGGTCACGCCTCCTGGTGTGGCGATGGGCTTGGCCTGGACCTCCATGGGCGGCGCCGCCCTGTACGTCGAATCGGTACTCGAGAAAGCACTTGCAGCTTCTGCATCGCCAGGCCTTGAGCGAACTGGTTCTCTCAAATCGGTAATGAAGGAGTCAACGATAGTAGCCTACTCCTTCGCCAAGGGTCTACTCGTTCGCGAGTTCCCAAAGAACAAATTCTTCGAGCATGCGCGGATCCATCTACACTGTCCTGAAGGCGCTGTACCAAAAGACGGACCAAGCGCTGGTATCACGATGGCGACGAGTCTGCTAGGCCTTGCGCTTGATACTCAGGTCAAAGACGGTGTGGCTATGACGGGTGAGCTTACGGTGACTGGCAAGGTGCTGAGGATTGGCGGCTTGAGGGAGAAGACTGTCGCAGCGAGACGGGCGGGTGCGCAAACGATCATTTTCCCACAGGACAACATGTCGGACTGGCTGGAGCTGCCCGAGGTGCGTAACGTTTGCCAGCGCGAAATAAGAATGCATGCTAACATATCCACAGAACATCAAAGAAGGCATCGAAGGCCGTCCTGTATCCTGGTACTCGCAAGTCTTCGACATCGTCTTCCCCAACATCGACAAGGAAACCGCCAACAAGCTGTGGGAGAAGGAGCTCAAGGGCAAGAAGAACGAGCGCAAGAAGAGGGACTACAAGAGGAAAGACGAGGAGGAGGAAGAGAGCGGAGACGAGGATGATTGAGCAGCGCTTCGAGCGAGAATCTGTACGATACGATACCGTTTTGGAGCACGTCGACGCATTCCTGGCGTTTCTGGCACAGGCACTTGCATATGAGGTCTGAAGAAAGATCACCCCCTTCATGATATAGTGCATCTTGAGGAGGGTTGGTTGATTGCATGTCGGGATACGCCATCTCTTCTCCAGCATATAGATAGATATCGAGGACGCCCCCGGCTCCCTGCGCAGAGGGCAAGCGCGGGCCCCGAACTTTGCATGTAGATAGATATTCGATGAACTTGTACAATAATAACCCCGAGAGATATGGGAAGCCATCCTGTGACTTGTGTATCAAATACGCGAGGATGTAGGCAGATGCAGATGCAGTGACGCTCAGCGCCGGCTTTCTTCCTGGCATCATCCCTTCTTCTTTCCTCTGGGTTGCCGGTTCGCGGGTCGGTCCGGACCTAGGTACTGTACTGTAACTTAGGTACTAGCCAAAAACCGTCGCGCACGATAATATCGCTCGCATGAGCCGCCGTCACCTACTCAGTATTCCTTTTTCCTTGCCGGCTGGCCTTTTCATTCATTCTTCCTTCTACGCGTAGTAGGTGAATTCGAACGATCCCTAGCACGGATTGAAGGCTCACTACTGGACGCGAAACGAGGGGAACCCTTGTTCGCGCAACGCAGTTTTTAGTGAGGGGCCGCAAGCCACTTGCTGCATGCGAGCGACAGGTTTTCGTGCAGCGAAGACTGATCGCGGCGGGATAGATGAAAAACGGTCCGCGGTTTTTGCTTTTGCCGTCTTACCCCCCGCTCGCCGCTCGCCGTTGTTTGGCGGGCCGAGAGGGCGTTGGGCGGGGGCGTGTTGTTGGGTCAGCAGAGATGAATTGCGAGTTCAATGCAGTAATTGCGCCTGCGATTGCCCTTTCCATGGGAATACTGGACAGCAATGGAGAGCAATTGCAAGCGCCGACACCGGATTCTTTCTTTTCTTTCTATTTACAGGAGTGGGAGTCGGGGGCGTGGGTGATTCGCGGGCGGAGCGGGGAGGGCGCCCGCGCCGCATGAACGGTATTGACGTGTCAAAGGGCAATGACGCAGCGCGGTTTGACAGCGTGTTGATGCGAACTTTTGTGGGCGAATGGGGGGGATGGATTGAGGGCGGGCTGGGGGGTTTCGTGCGATGCGCTTCACTTTTTGGGCTGCGATGTGCGTTGGTTGGGGGAGGGAGGCTGGATGTTGGGATGGGAGTTGAGGTTGAGGTTGGTGATGGATGGCGGGTAAGGAATTGAAGATGCCTCAGGCGTACATTTTTCGTTCGTATCTTCAATTGTAATGAGGAAAGCAGAGCGCGAATTGACGGGTTTCAATTGCTGCACTCGTCAGGAGCCGAAGGGGTTCTTCGCATTCCTTTCTCAGACGGCCGTGCAGAAAGCGGCACCGGAGCATGCAGCTCTGCCCAGGCCTGGACAGCACGCCCCCGGCGAATGTGGTGAGATGCGTGCGAGGTTGGTGTCGCTCAGAGTGGGGCCACTTCATGTACGGGTACATAACCGGAGGTAGCGCTGCGTATTGCGATGAGGTGCAGCGTGTTGGACGGGGCTGAGCTTAGCATGCTGGGCTAATGTATGCCGGATCAGAGGGAGGGAGGTTAGTGAGTATCAGGTTGGAAGGGGGGCGTGTGAGGAAAGGGGGAGGGAGATGGCAGTCATCAGAGGGATGGCATGCTGGAGAGATGGTAGGAGATGTTGGTGGAGAGGGAGGGGGTACAATTTTGAGCGCCGGCGTAAGACTCTGTGCGACCTCACCGCAAAGTGGCTGCCACACCGTCGGAGGCCGGCCTGTCATGGCCTCTCTGATGTGATTGATGAGCTCGTTGCTTCTCCACGCTTGGGCCGGGACTCCGTCTGCACGCCTGTCCAATCTGTTCGCACTGCTTGACCGCCACGGCCGGGGGGGGCACTTTCCTGCTTCCACAAAAACAAAGCTGCGCTGGCGGGCATCCGGCGTCAGTCACTTTTCTGCGTCTCCTCGCTCGCTCCCCGTCGCCGCACTCTGTACCAGCTACGGCAGCCTGTGTAACCCATCAGCCTCCTTTTGTTGGAGGAAGCCAGGAAGCCTGCTAAGCCGGATCGTTTTCGCGCCGCTGGGCCCCGCGGATCTGCGCGCTGATTGGGCAGCCGCACGCCCCAGCCTCGCTGCATCTCTCATCTCACATCAATCCGACTCATCCCAAGACTCGACGACGTGAGCGTCCGCCAGCCCGTCAAGCCTCCTCCCAGCAGCAACCCTCCCGCCGACTCCCCCAGCCTTCTCGCCGCCGCCCTGTCGAGCCTCACTCGGGAACTCGCCGTCCCAGTGCTATTTTTCGACGTGTCCGATTAGGCGCCAGCGCCTCGGTCGGTTGCTGCTTGGGCGTCAATATTATTATACAAGACGGGGTGGGAGCCTCGGCCGCGCAAAGGGTCGAGCGTCTGAAAATACTTGCAACACGCAAATTAGAAGAGGCTGGAGGGCGACATACCGCACCGTTTGCCAGCGTGTGTATATGCGGTGGATGCTGCGCAAGACATGACCTAGATCGATGGATGCAGGAAGCCACCGTTACACACGTCTACCTCCACGGCATGAACCCGGCGCCTCGATAGCACCAACCCCGTCGACGAGTCTAGAGCCTCCCCGCAGCGGACGCGCCTCCGTCACATCGGCTTTGCTTTTCGCGCCCGTCTTTCTCCGCGAATCGACGCAGGCTGAGGACGAGGGGATAAAGGCTGTGGGGGCCCTGAGCTGAACAGCACACCCGAGCCGCGGAGAGCGGGGGGTGTGCGACTGAGAGTGAGAGAGCCGGCCATGCCTAATTTTCTCGCTGTCGAGAATGGCGAGTCGAGTCGGAGCCGGAGCAGGCAGCGCGCCCGGACAGAGGTCAATGAGCATCGGAGTGTGTGGGATCGATTGAGCCTGCAGAAGATAGGGAGCTGGTTGAAGAGGGAAGAAGAGGCGCCGTCACTGGATAAGGTGGGGAGACAAGCGGATGAGGACGACAAGGAGAATGGGAGGCCGCATTCGAGCGGCGAGCATGCTTCACGGCCAGGGGGCTTGCTGCATAGGCGAGGGAGCAGGAAGGTTGTCCCTGGACTTCCAAGACCGCTTACATTCAAGAGGATGAACAGTGAGAAGCGGGAGAAGCTGTTGCCCGTACCCGTAGAACCTGAGCAAAGACGAGCTGCGTCGGCCGACCGAAGACTGTCCAAGATCGCGAGTCGGACGCTTTCGCCGCCACGCATATCCGTTCCTTCGATGTCCGCCCCTGACGTCCTCAGTCCTCACAATAGTAATAGCCAGCAAAAGCCCGAATCGACGATAGGCGGCGGCCGAGATTCGAATATACCAGCTGGGGCACGCCAGGTGGATTACGGCGTGGAGGAGAGCATAGACTACCTGTCTGCAGGCGAACCGCCCCCTCTCTCCATAGCAGGAGACTCATACCTGGAGAGAGATTCACAGCACTCCGGATCTGGCATCGATGACCTGCAGCTGCAGGAAGAGCTCGAGGCGAAGTGGATACTGAATCTCAGCATGCACTTCCGCGACCTGTCAGATCGAGAAAAGTTTTTTATTACCTTCGCCGAGGAGCCAAACAAGTGGCGAAGAGTCACTGTGTCCTGCGACTACCGCCAGCTCGAGCCCGATTCGCTCGAAGCGGACCTTAAGAGCCTCCACTACCAACGAGATAAGAGTGCGAGGATATACGAAGCTATCCGCGACTCGCTACCAGACATACAATTCTACGACACAGTTACTAATCTCAAACTCCAGACCTCGGACGGCCGTCTTCATGTACATGTCACCGAAGACGTCAACGAGATCATCCCATACCCCTCGCTCTCCGCTGTAGATCACCTCACGTGCCACAAATTCTACGAACGATCCGTTTGCTTCGATTCCCATATTTCCGGCTTCGTGTACAAAGTTTCGGTGGGCGGCAGGACGTATATCAAGAAGGAGATCCCAGGTCCAGACGCCGTCGAGGAGTTCCTCTACGAGATCAATGCGCTTTGCAGCTTGAAGGATTCGAAGTCGGTCATCAAATTTGAGGGCATTATTGTGGACGAGAAGAGCGAGCTGATTAAAGGATTGCTGATCAGCTATGCGGACCAAGGTGCGCTGGTTGATCTGATATACGATTACAAGAACTCGGATCACATGCCGTGGGAGCGCCGCGAGAAATGGGCAAAGCAGATTGTGGAGGGCTTGTCGGAGATACATGAGGCTGGATTCGTACAGGGAGATTTCACGCTGTCCAACATCGTTATCGATCATTACGACGACGCGAAGATTATCGACATCAACCGCCGAGGATGCCCGGTCGGATGGGAACCCCCAGAACTTGCACGGCTTATCGAGAGTGGTCAACGAATATCTATATATATTGGGGTGAAGTCGGATCTTTTCCAACTGGGGATGGTATTGTGGGCTCTGGCAGAGCAGCACGATGAGCCGGAACGCCAGGAACGACCACTCACACGATCGCTGAGCCGATATAACACAATACCTGAGTACTTCAAGGACATGGTACGAGTTTGCTTGAGCGACGCTCCTCGAGAACGGCCGTCAGCGAAAGACATCCTCGCGAGATTCCCAGATCGAAACACGGTAGAGCATCAGCCAGCCGTCATGGTGGATTCCAGGCAGAGTGTTTCAACGCATAGGAGCGATAAGGAGTACATCGATCCTGCTACGGCGGTGGACCTAGACGATATCTCGAAGCATCGTCACCACTCGCGATCCCGGTCTTCCTTTTCAAATATCAATATGCCTTCAACGGAGTACATTGGATCATCTGGCTCTTATATCCTGCCAAACCCGGCTGATGGTCAGGGAAGATCACCGAGAGGTCTCAGCAGAAGCAGCGTGAATCAACGATCAGAGTGCTCACCCTACCCCGGACATCGCTCCGTTATGTCGCTTGACGATTCGGAGCTCGAGAATGAACTGGCCAGCCTGCCGGCAAGCCGGGAGACCAGATGGGAGCAGGTTTATGTGGATGGAGACACGAAGCTTGTTCAGAGAGGCGGAGGAGAGATTGACGTACAGGATTTCGCGAATCAGGACCCAAAAGATGTCTGCATTACCACTCCGCCTGGTGAGCTCGAAAACTCCTTCATAGGCAGCAAGACGTCCGATGAAACCCCTCTTTCGCTCTCAACCGTCGCGGAACTACAGTCCATACAGCCTCAGCAGCTTTCGCAAGGTACAGACGCAGCACGAGAATCAGGCCACAAACGAGGCATAGGAAACAAGGCCTCCTTCAGCGACCGCGTCTATCAGCTCGCCGATACCTCCTCCCCCAGTAAACGCAGCTCGCAAATCCCCAACTCCTCCACCCTCGCAGATCTCCAGAACGAAGTCGAACTTGACTCTTCCGTCACTTCATCTGCAGCGCCGTCGCGCGTCAGCACTGGCTTTTCGGAATTCTTTCATCGGCCCATCCATCAGGACTCTGGGTTCAGCGAGCCGGAGCGTGTCAGCTATGAGAGCGAGCGGATTCGGCAGAGCCTAGAGGAGAATATGGCGGATATCAAGCTGGCGATGCAGGAGGAAGAGAGGGTTAATGAGCGGCTGTGGGATGAGAAAGACGGTACGTTGATTGGGGATGGCGTGAGAGGCGAGCAGCTCGTGATCAAACCGGAAGCAGCGTCTTCCATCGCGTCCACATCGACACCAACTGCGGCCTCATCTATAGGTCCTAAGGATGTAATCCGCACGGATGACGTGCAGGACAAAGCGCTGGAAGAGAAGGTCTCGAACACCACGATCCGACCGCCGAGCATCTTGATTCCAGAGTTCCATCACGGCATCCCGAAACCCGTCGATACGACGCCGCCTTTTGCTACACCCCCTACTGGCCCTTCAGAGCTTGCCACAGACAGCCCTCCGCAACATCCGGCTGACTCTCAACCAGAGTCTTCTCAAACACACAACATCAGCCCCCAGTCGGCGCAGCCACCAAAAGTCTAAAACCCGACATACCTTCCGCCGCTTCATATTCTTTCAATCCTCACCACCCGCATCGGAGCCATTCATGCTTCCTCATCATCATCACTAGTATACACTACACTTTTTAACTACTGCCCACATTACCATTACCATTACCATTACAAATTCAACTTTCTTTCCAGTCTCGGTTCTGTTCTGTTCTCTCTCTTGTGCTGTGCGTGTTTTCTCTCTTTCTTCTCGAAACGAACGAACGATACGAGGATGATTTGTAAGATTTTCTTGGAAAGACTCTCACGGATATGTTTATGAGGTTCGGTCCTCGAGCACATCCATTTTACTATTTATCCATCCATCCTTCCATTCTACATTCGATAAATTAAATTAAATGGTCCGAGTTTACTTTACTTTGGGCATTTGGGTTGGGAATTTTGCTGGGATTGTTTCTTGTTCTTGTTTGTTTTTGCGGGGTTGCAAAAGGATGGGATGGATAGGGATAGGGATACCAGGTTACTGATAGGTAGGGTAGGGTCGGGTAGTCTACCGTGAATTTACTAAGTGGCTTTGGTATTGCAGCTTGGATGGATAAGTGCTGTGAGCTGATTGTGCTTGTGATTGTTGTGATTGTGATTGTGGGTCGTGGGGGGCTTTGATTCGGGGTACGGAGGGAGTTTAGACTTGTGAATAGGGAGGTTGAAGGGCTTTGGTGCGCAGAGCAGAAGTGAGCGAGTAGGTGAGTGAGTGAGTGAGTGACTGTTTGAAGATAGTATGGAAGGCTTGTTTGGATTGGACTGGATTGGATTGGATTGGAGAAGAGGAGAGGAGAGGAGTAGAATACGAATGGCGTTTCCCAGCGTCATTGCGCAGCCTAGAGGCCTTCAACGCGCTATCTATCTATCGATCGAATAGCGAGGCTGTTCGTTCGTTGTTTGCCGTTGGTAGGTAGGTAGGGAAGGTAGGTAGTGGCCGGGCTAGCCTGGGTTTGGAGAAGTGAGCGAGCGAGTGATTACATGGCCCGGGGTCTTCGGTACGTTTAGCGGAGGTTGATGCTTGATTCTACCTGTTCAATGGTAAGTGAGTAGCTTGCCTTTTTCTTGACGTGTCGAGTTAATACCTAGCCTGGGGGACTTTGGCATGTTTCACAGAGATCACTTCCACTGCTCTTCTAAGTGGCGGAGATGCTTCAGATAGGTAAGTCAAGGCATGGCAAGGCACTGCAAGGCACGGCACGGTAACACGAGCGGGCAAACTGCTCGGATTTCTCTATCTCTCTCTCCCCTCTCCCGTTCCCTCCCTATCCCCCACCCCGTCCCCCCTCACCCCCTCTCTCCCCTTCTCCTCCCCCTCGCTCTGCTCACTGATCGTCGGCATAACCGCCACCCCGCGGCGGTGCCACTTCTCGCGGGACGCGCGCCGGGCCCGGGTCGTCGCTCTATACTAAACGTCAGCACTCGCGGAGGCTACACAGGAACGGGAATGGAAAGGGAGAGGGACTTACGCGTCGTCCTCGTCCGCGAGGATGCAGAAGACGATGGTGGTGAGGAGGACGAGGAGCGCGAGGGCGATCTTGGTGGCGCGCGGGGCGGTGGGCGTGAAGGTTGGCGGCGGGGGAGTGGGGTGCTGCATTGTGGTGGTGGTGCTGTCGGATGGTGGGTCGTGGTTGGTTGTTGGTTGATGGCGGCTTGTGAGCGGTGCGAAGACGTGGGATTGAGGGCGTCGTTGACGGCGGGTTTGGTGGTGATGGCGTCCAGGTGAGGGTGTTGTCACTGGGGATGGGGTTTGGATTTCGAGAGGGACTAGCTTGTGGCGAAAATCTGCGGTGAGGAGGTCGTGGCGAAAGCCGATTTGGTGCGCAGCCTGCCGCATATCGATGGGAAGGCGTGCTAGATCGTCGTCAATCAGTCGACGGTGTTCCTAGCTGGGCAGTTCAAGTCTGTTGGCTTCGGCGCTTCACCTTGCTAATTATTCCCCTCCTCCTCCTATTCTTCTTCAGAGAGGGAGGTGAACTTGCCGGCAGGGTTGACAGCTTCAAGCTGGTCGGATCCGGCCGTACAACATGGAAGACGACCTAAGAGAAGAACGATGTCCGCGGCTGATGGTCGCTGGAGAGGGTCCACATCGAGCATCTGCCCTGTGAGATCTGCAAGCCCCCACAGACTTTGGCTTCCATCCCTATACACCCACCTGATGAACTGCGGATTCCTCTCCAAGGTGCTAAGAGAATGCAATTGGTCCAAAAAGCTTCGAACAGCCGTCAGATTTGCCTGATACGAAGTGTCTCCAAAGTCGTTCGTCGCAAGTAGCCTGCGCAATGCGGAAAGATGATCGCCACACCCTCTCCCAATCTGTACTGTATTCGCTGAATCCAGTGCATTGAAATACTCCCTTATGCCAATTATTGTCGCCAGGATCTCGATAAACACACAGCCCATAGAAAAAACGTCGGCAGAGAGCCCTCGTTTAGCTTGATCAACTACTTCCGGAGCGGCGTATTTCCGAGTGAACCTGGTGGGGCCATCGGTCTCCGTTTCTTCAATGGTGGTGTATGATTTCGCAATACCGAAATCTGCAATGTAGATTCTCCAACCATCGGACGCGTCCACGCCGAGAGGGGTCGTTTTAGTCGTCGTTCGTCGGACTAGGAGGTTCTTCGGTTTGATATCCATGTGTTTTATCTTTGCGCTATGAATGTAATCCATGGCACTGGACAGACAGCGGAAGAATCGACGGAGGGAATCAAGCCTCCTTCCCAGCAGGAATATGAGCCAATACTCTTGGGTTGTGTATTCCTCAAGGAAACTCTCGAGGTTGTATTCTGCCACGGGATAGAGGAGGATGGAAAGATCTTGACCCATGATATAGGTTCCAATGACTCGTATCACATGTGCGTGATTGATCTGATGGAGGTGCGCCACTTCATCGACTGCTTCCTCTTTCGTTAAGTGGCGGTTGCAGCGGATCGTCTTCCGGGCCAGGAGGATTCGCTTGCACTTGACACTCTGCACAACCGCTGAGCTTGTGCTCCCCAAAAGCTCCTCGGTCTTTAGGATTTCATCGACTAGAGGTCGTTCTTCCTTTTGGAACTCAGCGTGTTGACCTCGGCCCGACCAGTCTTGTTCAATCATTGGTTCTACAGGCCATAGTCTCCTGCTCCGAAGAATCCTAGAGTACTCATGGTCACTACACACAAGACGAACGTTAGCTCGCTTCTCAAAAATCATCGCGGAGGCTTACTCTTGCAGTCGGGAGGGATGGTTGCCAATTTTCTCCCCCGTCGGCTGGTTGGCCGTGTAGAAAGTGCTCGTGGATATAACCGATTTTGCGGAGAAGAAGTCGTCAATGTTATTGTCGTTTCGACTTTCTGAAGACGGGGAAAGTCTGCCGATGTCGGACATGTCCAGGACATTCCAAGGCACCAGTAGTGGAGGGATATCCCGCTTGGGATCGGGTTCTTCGGTACCGGTCCCATCGTGGTCTGGATAGTAGGATTCCATGGGGGTGAGGAGCAAGGTAGGATATACGTGTGGAGACTAGTTCCTAAGACTCAAGAAACTGATACAGGAAAGGGATACAAGCCTTCACCGCTGTGAGCGTGAGCGCGCACTCACGCGCGCTTCAGCCTTGCACAGGAGCAGACGATAAAAAGCAGAGAAGAATGCAAACAAGATGGTTTTGACCAGTAGAGGAAGGCTAATAGGATAGCTGGCCGATTAGAAGGAGCGGGTATGAAGAGGAGGGAGGAATGTCGACGCGGGACGAGGTCTGTTTTTTTGCTGTGACCGGTGAGGGATGCAACGCACTATACCGCTTCCGGCTAGCGCGATCACATGGGCTATCACAGCCCGGGAGCACCCCAGCCTGATGTCATTGTTTACGATGTAGGACAGCAACTATGAATATGATCAGGCGCCGGCGATGATAGCTAGATAATCTGGAACCCGAAGGTGTTTACAGCTTGCACGTGTGCGAAATCGTTTGAGACCTCTGGCGGGGTCATTCAGGACGGCAAGGAGTCTCAGGTACTGTTAGTATTTATTTAGGCTTCACCTATCCGACTTTTCTACCATGCCTCTTAGGTTATCATCATTTACCCACTCCTAGCCTTTCCCCTACCTCGACCTCTTCCCCTTCCTCTCCCCCTACCACTCGCGCCATTCTTCTGCGGGCTCATATCCGTCAAATCAGTCTCCTCCTCACTCCCTTGTGCGAAGAAGTGGCTCTTGACCTGTGTGTCGCTTTTCCTACCCGCCTTACGCTTCGGCACTGCGCGTGGTGTAGATGCAGCCGGCGACGGAGCAGCCTTGCGCTTCCCGCGTTGAGTAGGAACAGGCCGATCAGATAGGGAAACGCTCGAAGAAATATCGGATAAGCTGGATTCATCGTCCTTTTCCGATATGGCTTCGCGGGAGGTTGAGGTGCGTTTGCCGCCGCGTCCGTGGCCTTGGGTGCGGGACTTGCGGGCTCCGCGGGTGCGACGGTTTGGTTTAGGCTTGGGAAGTTCTTCCTCTTCCTCATCTTCGTCACTATCGGTTTGCTCGTCCTCGTCGCCGTCGGTGGCGGGTTGCTGGAGTGCGGATGTGAGGGATATGGGCGTTTGGTATGCATTCTCCACCGTGGATTTGCGATGTTGGGGCCGCTCTGCGTCGCCGTGATCGATGCTCAGCGCCCCATTATGAGACGGTTCCTCCTGGCTTGATGCAAGAAAGCCTCCTGCCATATCTTCGACCCCGTGAAGTCCATCTCTATCCTCCGGCAGGAAACCACCAGCGGCTTGTGGCTCGTCACGTAAGAACCCGCCTTCAAAGTCTTGGTGATTCTGGAAGGTTTCCCACTCGGACTTCTTCGGCTCATCATGTCGAGGTACCTCCTTCTCGGGCAGCTCAACCTCCTCTCCGTACTCTTGCTTCATGCGCTGAACAATGCGCATGCCGGTGAAGAACTTCTTCCATAGCCCTAGGAGCAGCTTCTCCCTCTTGTCTTGCTCCTTCTTTGCTTTCTCGGCCTCGTCGGCTTCCCAAGCATCAATGACGAGATCCTCATTCTCCGCCGCAACAACGACGCCCGTGAGAACAGGCACAGCACGTTGCTTGCCAAATTCGAAACCCGTGCATGCCTCGGCGAAATCGATCTTAAGCTTCTTGCACACTCTCGCCGTGCCTCTGAGAGGAATATGCACCGCGCCTTTGGGTATCATCGTGGGGACGTAGACATCGATGTTTCCGAATGCATTGCGTGGAATCTTCCCGTCGACGATAGGATCGGGAATAATCCAGTCCGTTTGCGCTTTGGAGTAGAGACCCTGTTTCACTTTCTCGCCTTCTTCGCGTTCGCGTTCTTCGATCTCGCGCTTCCGGATGACAGTAACAGCGCGCATAGGCACGTACTTGAGCGGCTGTTCGCCTTCTTTGACCGCTCGTCCCTCTTTGTGATACGATTCGACAGACTTACAGATAACTATGTCTTTGCGACGGTAAACAGGCTCCTGCTTCTCGTTGTCGCCTTTGCCGGTAGTGAAGTAGCGAACGATCTTCGCCCCCGGCTTAATAGCTTCCTCTCGTCGAAGATGTCGTTCCAATACGTACTCGGCTGAGTTCTTGTAGCCTTGGAGGGTCTCCTTGCCGCCTTCCTCGTCCATGTCTTTCGGTTTCTTAGGCTGAGCGGGCACCAGATCCCCCTCATCCTCTACCTCGTCCCACGGTTGCCTCTTCTCCAAAGGGCGAGCGTAAGGGCGCAGTACGGATTTGAACCAGTCCCATTCTTGCCACCTTTTGACCTTTCCTCGCTTGTTGTGTATTGGGATCTTCTCAACTGGCATACGGAAACCCTTGGTTCTACCGGGCCATTGGTGCTTCGGCAGATACCGCGTCGTAACGTCTTTGGCAGTCCCATCCGAGGAGAAAGCGATCAGGTAGGCAAACACTTGTTTTGCTTTGTCAGCCGCTGCCCCGCGGCAGTAGAAGTTGACGAGCTGTTCGGGCATCGCTGAAGTGGCTATCAATGCGCGTGGGAGCGGAGAAACCGCGATGGGCGTGTGGGTGAGGCCTGATATCACTTCGGTCCAATAACTGGGGTGAGGAAGCTCGTCGCCATATTTGCGGACCTTTGGAGACTTCTTCGGTGCCTTGATGTCGATTTCTGAGTCGGAGGATATAGAGATTGCACTGCTCAGCGAGCTGAGTTCAGAATCCGACAGATCGATGGGCGTTTTCCTGGAGCCTTTGGTGCCTCGTGACTTTCCTTTCTGTTTGGCCGGTGTTGCCGATTTGGATGCATCGGCCTGTGGAGCTTCACCACCTATTTTAAGCTTGCTTAGATCCTTGGGCTTTCCTTCTTCGCCTTGGCTCCAGCCAAAGCCAGCAGGCTGCAGACTCGCCACCATGCGGGCTTCGATGCCGAGACCACGTAGTAGAGCCGTGAAGAGTTGTTGACCAATATCCCTACTGCCCTCACAAGCGCGTGCTGTCTCTCGGAACGCTTCGAGGCTCTCTACGCGCTCACCGAAAGCGTCTGTATCTGAATTGTCCTGTCGCCACGCTGCAATTTCTGCTTCCAGAGTTGCCGGGGCTAGATAGCCACGTTTCCGTAGACAAGGTACCGTAATCTTGAACTTGGCCTTCCAATATGCCGAAAGGTACTTCAGGAGCCGAAGCAATGGATCTCCAGCCGAGAGGTTCGGGGTATTCGGTTCGAGACGGTCGGACGTAGCGCCCCAATCACGCTGGTTCCGGTCGCTGCTTCGTGTCTCCTTCCCCTTGCATTTTGATACGCCAGCTTTCTTCTCGGGTTTTGATGCCGCGCTTTTGCTCTTTGGGCTTTCGTAGAGCTGAACGCCCTTCTTGCCGCTCTCTTTCCACGTCCCAGCGTTCTCGATCTCCCAGGCGACCTTCTTGGTCCAGCCGCCTTTTACCACCCGCTCAGCGCCATCCGCAATCCCGGAATCTCTCCAATACCGATCCATTTCCTTCCAGCACCCTATATTCAACCCGCTGACCAGAATCTTCTGCACCTCCCCGTCTTGTATCCAGGCATTCCGTATCAGATTATGGAACATGAGAAACTGGACGTGCATGCAATGTGTAACGCTCCGTATGTGGCGCTGGATCTTCGAAGGGCCTTTCTTGCCGTCTAATTTCGAGGAGAAGGCCGCCTGTGTGGGCGCGGAGAGCGTGAGCTCGAGGTCGCCTGAGATGACCGGCGCAGGCTCATCATCGTGCTTGGTATGGTGTTTTGTGCCAAGTGCATCTTCCCATTGTTCGTCCTCGCTCTCTGCGCTGTCTTCTGCAGCCTTCGCCTTTCCCTTCGCCTTGTTGCCCGCTATCGGGACATCCTCGAATTCATCTGCGCTGCTCGCCAGTTCTGAGAGTTCGCTCTCATCGTCTTCCAGCTCCAACAACTTCTTCGTCTGCGAAAGAGTGCGATGGACGGTCGGAGGCGCATCTAAGGTCTGGAAAACGGATTCTTTGCTGCGACGAGGATGCGGTTTGCAGGCGGGGCGTTTCGGTGGCGGTTCCGGCTTCGGGGAGTCTGATTTCAGCCGTTTTCTGGGAACGAGCGGAGGCATTATGTCGAAAACATAGTCTATAGTCCCGAAGAGCAGGTGTACAGGTCAGGATGTAGGCTAAGAAAGCGCCAGCGCAGACAGTTCGAAGGCACAGAAGGTGTAAAAGTGGTGACGCAGTTGCCCCTGTCAAATTCCGACGGCGCGGGACACTGCCGAACAGATCCACGCGACGATCGGTGCTAGGGCCAACGACCACTTCCGGCCCTTTCACATCTCAACCACCGTCTTTCCTCCAGTCTCTTGCATTCATCAAAGTTTCGTCTCCTAATCTATCGGCGGCTTATATGGGGCTCCAAGTCATGGAAGTTCATCATGCGACCCTTCGGCGAGGCCGGGGCCGGGGTAACCCCAAGACGCGTTTCGACGCGTTCCCACATGATCTCCCATCTTCTCGATACCTCGGTGGTATCCCCACGAGTATCGAGCTCTCGTATCTTGGCCTTGAATATTCATACTGTACGAGCCCCGGAAGTTGTCCTACTGACGGTGAATTCACAATGTACAGTTTCTTTGTCCCCCAGGATATTTAGGCATGCTGCATCCGTCATGGCTTCACTATCATATCTTCCGCAGGCTCAACGTATTCGATACATATTGCGCAGGCCTATCTACAGTCCCGCAACACCACAACCACAGCTACTGTTGCAACCCATCCCGAACAGTGCAACATGGCCGACCACCACAATTCAAATGGCGCGAATAGTTCTGACGCCGCACCAGTAGAAAGATTAAAGCCCAAATTCAGCCTCTCCCAAGTTCTACGGGACCATCCAGAGCTCACCATGGACAACGATCCCGAGGAATACTTCAGATCCGTCCCAGCCAAGATTCAAGCTTCAATCAGAAAGGATGATTCGTCTGAGGCAACAGGATCCGATGTCGACGAGAAACAGGCGCTGGAAGTGTTGCTCAAAGTACTCCAGACACGAGGGATCGATCTCAATCTGAGCGAACTTAGGAAACGGTTAAGCCTTGATGCAACAGAGATCCCCTCGCCTGACCCCCCTGCTGACCTAGAAGCTGGAACGAATGAAGATATCGACAGCAACACCGACACCAATGGGACCCCAGACCGACGAGATGAAACGAATCTTGCAGCAATACCAAAAATGACCTACAACGATCTTCTCGCGAAGATCGACTCGAAGCTGGACAAGGTGGACGCAGACCTCCGATTGAACATCATTCTTCCCCCTAGCTCCTATAACCCCTTCTTGACATCTCTTGGTTCCATTCTGCTCCAGCCACGAGCCTCTGCCACAAAAGAACCCCCAGTATACTTCAAGGTCCACAAAGTTCTCCTCACTGTGCATTCGCACCGGCTCTACGCTCACCTCCAGGTAAACAAGCATAAGCATGAGCGGATATTTCTCGTAGACACCGATAAGCAAACCCTCAGCCGCGTGATCGATTGGCTCTACTATCCAACCGACTACGACTTGCGCTCCCTCCCTACCGACACGCTCCTCAAGATCATCGCTGTAGCAGCTATGCTCCGCATAGCAAAGCTGCATAACAGCATCGCAGAACTTCTACTGGAGCGACATACGCGGCGTGCGCATTTGTTTTCGTATCCGCCTGCGTTTGCGCCGTCGAAGCGAGCGTTGAGAGAAGTATACGAGCGCAGCAAGGATGGCGACGGTATTCGCAAGCTATGCGGGTATCTCTTTACCAGAACGGGACGGTTGCACTACGAGGCCGAGGAGGACTGGGAGCTTGCGGTGTCCCGGGACGTGGAGCGTTGGGTGGAGGAGAAGGGTAGATTGGGCGATGATTGGAAAAAGGTTCCCGCGAGTGAGTTCTTCTTGGCCAGTAGTAGAGGGAGTACGAAGGGCAGGGAGGTGGGCTCTGAAGGGGCCCCACAGACAGGCGCTTTGATGAGGACATAGGGCACGCGTTCTGCAGCCGTCAGCCCGACGAGGTCATAGGTAAAATCGCATCCACGTCAATCCTTTGAGAGCCTCCGGGCTGCCTTCTAGCTACCAGACCAAAGTCATTGATAGAGTAGGCATTTTCCACTCTGGAAATCGAAGCATGGAAGTTAATGCATGTCCTCGCCAGAATTCGTTCTTGCTTCGTCCGTTATCCTGTTCGCATCACCCTTCAAGCCCCCTCCTCCTTCTTAGGCACTTGCTCATGAAGCCGCGCCATCGCCTCCTTCACGGGACTAGCATCCATCCAATTCTCAATACTTTCAACCCACAGCCCATTTACCCCTTCGCCTTCGTTTGCCTGCGCACGCGACAGTACACATTAGCAAATGGCCCGAACCCGAAGAGAAAACTTTTAAAAAAAAAAAAACGCATACCTTGCCCAGCTTCATAACCGTAAACTCCGGCACCACAGCCGGCTTATCCTCCGCCTCCTTGAATATCGTCGTAGACGTCCAATCCATCAGCACGTTCTCCTCGGTGACGACCCACACGCGGTTGGCGACGTGCCAGAAGCGGAGCGCAATTTTGGCACGCATGTCGAACATGGGCGCGAGCGAGGAGAAGGGGACGGGTGCATCGGCGTTGGTTTTGACGGTTGCGTTCGGGGAGAAGTGGGCGGTGCGGTGGGCGTGCGAGGGGCCGTCGAGGGCGGGGACGTAGGATTTGAGAAAGTGGAGGGCTGGTGGGATGTTAGCGGGTGGGACTTGTTGGATATTGGGTCCTCTAGCTGACCCAGGGGCCAGGCAAAGAGGTAGCTCTCATCGCGAGATAGCGAAGATAGCGAATCGGGATACGTGTTGCCGAAGAGATCCACAGCCCCGTTGACAGCAGGACTTCTTATTGATGCCATTGCACATACCTGGTGGAGCGTCGTCCGGGATCTTGTCGATGTCACCGATGTGGATGTAAGTGGAAGCCATGTTGATGGTCGCCTGCGAGAGGCCGCCGTGAGAATCAGCGTGAGGCGATAGTACGATTGGCTTGAGACGATTCGTCCAACGCTCACCCGTGGTTAGCAAACGAGAGGCCTGCCGTACCCGCCTTGTTAGTCTGACATTGAATGGATATGCCTGCACTATGCCGCACTTACAGTGTATAAATGGAAAGCGCTCGTATGCAGAGGGCGGGGCTGAAACTGCTGCCTTGTTCTGACTCCGAGTTCTGTGCCGCGGGCGGAGGGAAGGGGGGAGTATATATACGCGCCTTTTGGTCCCAGTGAGCAAAGGGGACATGCGACCCTCTGTTATTTGATCGTTGGTCGTTGATCGTGGATCGTTGATCTAGCGTCGTATTCGCATTCTTGCCTTCGTCGAGACGCGTCTGCCTCAGGCCATGCCTTATCGGAACGCCAGTGAAGAGGGGTTGCAGCTAGGAGCTTGAGGTCGACATGCAGCCAATGGAAGGACGAAGTGCAAAGCATCCGCTCTATCCGGCAACAAGCGACAGTTTGGTTCAAGACCATGTATTGTCGCGATACACGGTAACGCGCATCCACGTGATGAGGCATCTAGAAGCCGGCGAACACTTTCCCTAGTACCTTACTTGGTATCCATTTTCATACTTTTCGGCATCACAGTCAAACCAATTGCAGGCTAATCGAAACACCCAGATGAATTGCACAAGTCACGGGAATTGCGGGCTGCAATTTCCCCTCATGGCCTGCCTAAACGGATTGGCTGGGTTGTGGCGGCGCCCCTTGGATAATGCACTCCGCCGACGCCTGTCACTCCATCCCTCCCACCGCTCTTCCACACTCTCACAACGGCGAGAATTGCACTCTCATCACTGCTAACCCGTCAGACTAACAGAATTGCAGCCGCAGAGCCGCATCGCGCGATGAACGCTGCGCAGAGGGACTTCCGGGTCACAGCCACACCCTACACCCCACTGAGCGTGGCTGCCCCAGGCGGCCGCTCACAGAGGGCGCGGTCATCCTTCACCCACACGCCCGCGCTGCATCCCTCCGCCTTCTTCACGACTTTTCTGAGACACTACTGATCGCCCTCCACAGCTTCCGACATTCTCGCCCGCCTTTCGACGTCGCACTCGCCGTCCGTTGCGCACTGTTCTTCGCCCTCAGCTGCCCTCGTCGTCTCCCTTCACGGCGTCCTTAGGCACCGACAATACTCACAGTAGCATGTTCACACTGCTCGTGGTGCTACTGCTACTTGCTCTTCTGTTTGATTTAGCGGCAGCGACGAGTCCCGTCATGGACCCGACTCTGGCTGCAGCTCCAATGGAGCCATTCTACCCCGACCCGGACGACCTGCTTAACTCCGTCTGTGACCTCTGCCAGTGCACGTTCGAGTACTGCGCATGTGCTTTGGTAGGATACCTCCTAACGCGCAATCGTCCAGTCACTAACAGCCGCAGGCCAACCCACCCCAACGAGCGCCGACCTTCACCGCTGAGATGTTCTACTACCACCCAGAGTGGCCGGCGGACCTGCCCGTGTTCGACGAGCCAGAACGAGCGCCAGAACCGCCTGCGTACCCGCCGGAAGCCGGCAGGCAGCCACTCGTCGACGAGAACGTGCGACAACTAGACAACAACGAAACCCGAATCCGGCTCAGCACTGTTCAAATGCACGTCGAAGATATCTACACTCCTGGGGATCGACGATTGGAGGCAGCGTCGCGGGCGGCACGGCGGCCTCCACACAAACGGCAGGCCCCGCGCGTGGGTGGCTTTCCATGCACCATCGAGGGCTGTGGGGCGAAGCCCTTCGATCGCTCTTGCGACCTAAAGTGAGCACTCCTCTTTCCTTGCCATCCAACGTAGCAGGCCCAGTGCGCAGCGCAGGCGAGGAGAGCTGAGGTTGTTGCGCGTCGCTGGGACCATACCCAGCAACGTCTATCGCCGTGTAGTGGGCGCTCGTTGGTGGTTTATCTGCGTCAATGCCGCGCACATGCTAACCCTCACGTAGACGTCACCAGAAGACCCACCTCCGGCGCTCTGAGCGGCCTCACAAGTGCTCCGTCTGTAGCGAGGGCTTCCTCTACCCAAAGGACCGTGAGCGCCACGAGCGAACCCACAACCAAAACTCTTCGCCCCAAGCCGTGCTCTACTGTCCCGTGCCCGGCTGCGCTAACGTCGATGGCTTCTCTCGTCGCGACAACCTGCTTCGACACCAGCGAAGGCAGCACCCACACCTCATCCTCAGCTCCTAGGCCAATCGCCTAGTCGGCGATCACGATTGCGGCCATTGCTTCCAATGGTCGTCCGCGTCTGCCATGTTGCACACGCTATCCGTCGGCCAGTCAAACCGTTCGCGGTTCTTTTCGACTTCCCGCCTTCCGCTCTTCACGGCCTTTCGACTTTTCATTGCCTGCCTCAAAATTGGGCTCTCTGGCAGGCACCGGCGTTCCGCTTTCTGCTTCGGATCATTTCCGACCGCGATGCTATTTTTGGCCCGCCCCACGTGCACTATTTGCACGTGATTATTCCTTACAATTCTCTTCTTGCTAATACCCCTCCCAAGCACTCAGCATATGGTGCTGTTGGTTGAGATTTACGGTCGGTCTTGATGCTACATGATTTTGCTCATGCTATCTCATATCATACGGTTTGTTCCTTTCGTCATTTCATCGTCTACGTTAGTAGGAAAAGTCTTTCCTTCGCCCATACACAAGTTGGCAATTCCCAGGTCCCGTACCTTGATGCCGGAACATTCTCATGTCGTCTATATTTCCCCTTATCGCTATTTTACGTTTGGTTACGTCACCCTCCATGTCTGCTTTGAAGCTGAGCTCGACCTGAGTGGTGTGGAAGGGTCAGGAGTGATGAAGCTCTGGTAGCGGATATAAAAATACACTCTTCTCACCATTTCTCGCTCACCGTCCCTGAATTGACCATCTTCCTTGCCTTGATAGTGCTGGCTTCATCCTTTATGACTGCGCGCCGTTCCCTTCCTGGTCCATTGTGTTTGCTGGTTTGGCTTTGGTTCTGTGATGTTCGATCTCAATGTCCCGTTCACCACTAGAGACCACCGTTTGCACACTACCCTGCCAAGCCATAACGCCTGTTCCAACAAATTCACATGGTTGCTATGACGGTCCCGCTCGCGCTTTCATTCTCTAGGCCTTCGTTTCCTTCAAGGCTTCGTCGATAGAAACCGCACCGCAACCTCTTCGACCGATCGCTAACTCGGCCTTTGCCCATTATATCAACCCAACGCAACTCAGCTACCTGAAGGTCTCCGCGCACCATTTCGCAAATCACAGCCAACTCTCTCTCTTTGTTCAGACAGCTCTAACCTTCATCTCCCAAAGCCCGCTCGCTCCACCACCGCAACCACGCAATCCACCTTCGAATACAAACATGCCACCAGGTCTCCCCTACACCAAATACATAGGCTCCTTCCAAGGCGCCCCCATAACCTTCCTCCTCGGGCCCTCCCAATCCCGCTTCGACGTCCACAGCCTCCTCCTCAGCACCCTCTCCCCGCTCTTCCGCCACCCGAACGGCTTCCCCAAAACCCCCCGTACGCCCATCCGCCTCCCCTCCGTCTCCGCTCAGGACTTCCTCGCGCTCTTCACCTGGCTGTACGAGCGCAAACCACCCTCCTTCGCCAACGCCGAGGGCCTCAAGATCCTCGTGCGGCTATGGATCGCAGCGGGCAAGCTGGGCGTGTGGAAGACGCAAAACACGATTCTGCGGCTGGGCATGGCGCTCATGCAGCCCGGCGACTTTGGCGTCGATGTCGAGACCGTGCGCTGGGTGTACGAGAACACGGCGCCGGGGAGCAAGCTGCGCGGCTTCGTCATCGCTGTCTTTTGCCAGCGGCCCGCGGGCGGGCAGGTGGAGCGGCGTTTCTTCCGCCCGTGCTACGAGGGCTTGGGCATTTTCCGCGACGCGCTGGCGTTCTTGAAGGTCCTGGGGAAGGTGAGGCGCGGGAATCCTGTTGGTAGGGGGGGATATTGTCTGGAGCGGTTTAAGCAGGAGGGTGGGCTTGATGAGGAGGGAAAGGTGGTGATGAATTATCTTGTTACTGGCGGGACGGAGATCGATTGGCGGAGGGTGGAGTTTCGGCTCCCTGGGTATTTGGTTTGGGGGGAGAGGGGCGAGGATTTGCCGGATGGGTTTTTTGTTACGGAGGAGGAGGCGGCGGAGGCGGCGGGCGAGGTTGCGGCGCAGATGTAGGGGGTTGGTGGAGAGTGGGCCGACGGGAGCGCGATGTGGGGAGGACTTAGGGGCCGGAGGGAGATAACTAGACAGCTGTGGTTGAGGCTTTTGCTCAGTTACGCTTATGTAAAACTATACCCAAAATCGACTTGAGAGTTGCTATTTATTGGAATGGTTTTCCTCACAGCAGCCCCACTGGCTGAATGTCAAGCTCTAGCCAGAGCACTTCGAAATGCAGGGTAAACCAAATTGAAATAGAGCACCTGCTCGTAGGATCATTGGTACTGTATCTCCCTACCTATTAAATGAACGCATTCAAACCCCTTCAACTCTCCTCCTATCCGTCACCCTCCCCTTCCCACCTCCCCTAATCCCCCTTCCCTCATACAACCCCCTCCTCCTCCAAGCCTTCACGCCACACACCCCAAAAAAGCCCACAGACCCCAAACAAACCGCCCCAGTCCAAATCTGCGCCCCCAAAAACCTGCCCTCGCCCCCATCCGCCGCAGCCGCAACCGGCGTACTAATCAACAGCCCCACGCCCGCACATGCATACAGCATGCCCAACCGCGTCCCATAAATCGCCATATTATCCAGCACAAACGGAAGCACGCTCGCGGGCAGCGTCGCCACCATTCCCGAGACGAAGCCGTAGACGATGCTCCACGGGATGAAGCCGCCCAGGTTGTGCACTGCGATCCAGCAGAAGCCGAGAACGCCGGCGAGGAGTTCTGCGAGCGCGAGGAGGACTTCCGGACCCAGGTAGTGCGGATGCGTGTCGGTGTACCAGGCTGGGATGAGGCGGCCGAGGAACTGGGCGGCGTTGAGGATGGGCAGGGTGTAGAAAGCTGCGTCGTCCGAGGTGTGGAGGGCGGAGGTGGAGAATGTGGGCGCGAGGAAGAAAGGGACGAGTATGGCGGCGTAGATGAGGAAGGCGTGCAGCATCATGAAGAGGTAGGGGATGTCTTTTATGGCGGAGAGGTCGATGAGTTGGCGACGGGTGCGGGGGCCGAGCGGTTTGGTTAGGAGAGTGGCGAGGGAGAGCGTGACTAGGGCGATGAAGCCGATTACGCGCGTTGCCCAGGGGAAAGAAAGGCTTGAGAGTAGGCGGCGGAAGACGATGGGGTAGATGATGCCGCCGATGGAACCTCCGCCTGTTGCTATGCCTAAGGCGAGGCCGCGATGCCGTTTGAAGTACACGGGAATAAGGGCTACGCTGGGGATGTAGAGAAAGCCGGAGCATAGGCCCATGAGGACCCCTTGAGAAAGCATGATCTGGTAGTATTGCGTCGATAAGCTGAGCATCATGATTGCGAAGACCAGCCCGATGCTTGACGTAATGAGGAGGAATTGGAAGTATCCGCCATCGAAAAGAGGGCCGGAGATCGAGCCAACGATCAAGAGAAGAGCACCCTGGAGTGTCCCGATAATGGCAATTGACGAGGATGAATAGTGCCGCAGTAGATCTGTCTCGTAGTACGCTTGAAAGACACCAAAGGCGTTGACGAGTCCCCAGTTATTCACGTTAATGAGGAAGGAAGCAAGCACTTGCAGCCAAGCCACAGTGCCGCCATCCGGCTGGAATACCGGGCCGCTGTTCGAAGATTGAAATATCTCCTTTGGTGTCCTCTTCGGCCTGCCGACTTCCGCGACGTATTCGTTGTACATTTCGTCCATAGCGAGCCAGGCCTCTTTTTGTGCCTCGTCGTCGGATTCCCAATCCTCGTAATGGTGCACCGCGGCTCCAGCGTGCAGCGCACTAGCGAGGCTTGCAATCGTGGGATGATCGTAGATCTGTTTAGCCTCGATAGGCTCATCGGGCCGTGCGTCGTTGATCGCTCTCAGCAGGTTTATCAGCTGCAGCGAATCCATGCCCTGCGAAAAGAAATCGTTGTCGTATGCGAGGTCGTCATCTTCGAGAACGTCTTGCAGGAATTTGCAGAGAGAGCTTTTGGTTGATTGGACGTCGTGTAAATCAAGTTGTATAAGCCCGCTGCGGAAGGTTGTGGATCCGGAGTCGATACTGCGATACGCGTCTGCGATCTCCGCGGCGTACAGTTTGTTAGCTGCGGCACGTTGAATTGTTCCTTTGCCGGCGCGGGGAAGGGGTCTATCGCGGTCGGTGAAGCAGACCAATTCCCGGACTATTCGGCCATGTTTCACGGTCTGCTGGTTGGCCCGCTGGAGATATGGCCATACTCGCTCGAGCAGCTGTTCCCGGTCAACGTTCTCATCCGAAGGTTCGATCAAGCAGGCTGCCTGAAATCGCCCTTGTCCGACGATGACACATCCTTTGACGTCAGGAGAGGTCGTTATGAGACTCTCCATCGTCACTGGATTGAGTTTCTCTCCGTTACTCAACACAATGATATCATCGAGCCTAGATACGTATTTCCATAGCCCTGGTTTCGACGGATGTTTTCGGAAGAGGTCCTTCGTATTGTACTCCTGGAGCTCAGGGAAGGTGATGAAGATGGCTTGCACAAGGTCTAGCTCCGGCCGCCTAACGAACACCATCTCGAAGAGACCCTCGTCTCTTTCGCGAAACTCCATGCCCACACCTTTCTCGTTGAACTTGAAGTATGGCCAGTCTTCCACCTCCTTCGGCAGCAATGGAACAGTTTGATATTCGGTGGCTCCGATATTGGTCGTCAGCTTTGTCCGTTGAGCGATCAATGAGCCCGTATCTTCTGGAAGCGGTCCACCGGCATAGTTAAGCCCTCGGAGTCGACTAAGGTTTTCCAGATAGTCCTCGTTCTTCGCGAGGTCAACAACGAGCGACGGGGGTATCGAGCTGAACTCTACATTGCCATAGACATGGCAATCGTTGACCACATCCGCCGTCATGGGCCCCACTGGAGGGAGAACCACAGTGCTGTCGACCCAACACGCGACTGCTAGAATATAGATCAGACCTGCAACGTGGAACGGAGGGAAGTTGCAGAACAGTCGTAAATCTCCGCAACGCTGCGCCAGCTCATTGGCTTCAAGAGCCTGGAAAGCATCAATGCAGCAGAAGTTGCCGTGTTTGATCGTCATGAGTTTCGGAATGCCAGTAGAGCCAGAGGTGTGGATTTGCACGAATGGATCTAGCCGGGCTTCGGCCCACGTCTTCCCGTATGGGACTGGGGTAACCGGCGTTGCGTCGAGGAGGACCTCGAGCTCTGGGATAATATGTTTCTGCATTTCGGAGCGGTTCGATAGAATATTTGCCACCATTGGCATTGGCTTCGCCGTTGTAATGAACTTGGTCGCCTTGCAGGAATCCAAAAGAGAAGTGAAGGCTTCCATGCTGTTTCTTGGGGAGGGTAGGAACATCTATTACAGCAAATCAGCAGATCGTCCCTAGTAGCGGCGGCTGCCAGCAAACGCACCACGTGCCCAGTCTTGACCGCAGCCAGGATCAATATTGGATATCTGAGGTCGGTTGGCCCCAAATATGCAAGCGATTCGTGCTCTGTGGAACGTCCGATATTTTCCTCGATCCATTGCGCACATCTGTTGACAGCATTTGCAAGTTCGAAATAAGATATGTCCCGAAATCCGTCGGCCGGTTTGTTGGTCTTTGGAATTGAGTAGAAAGGTCGGCTGTGCTTCGCTTCGGCTCTTTGGTCAATAAGGACTGGCAGTAGTCGCTTGCCGCAGTTGGGCGGAGGCAGTGGAACCGTAGTTGTAGGAGGATGCATTTCGGGAGTCGGAGATATTGATCGCATTCATCGAGTCGAACGGGTGGATGGATATGAAAGTACAAAGGGTTGATATGCGCAATTCAGTAATGCGAGGACTGCGTATCAGATAGTTGTTGATCCATGGACGTCATATTACCTACTCATTCGGCCCCCATGAGACGCCTTAAGCTTTCGAAGCTTTCGACGAACCGCCACGTGGAACGCCTTATGGGTTGCGTTACCGAAACAGCAGCGGCGTCGATCATCTTTACCCAAAGGGGTTGAGATGCATCAGGCTGAGGCGCTGGCTCCACAAACTGATGGTGAGACGTCAGCCACATTACCCTATAACTGGTATTAACTCGCGATAAACATCGACCGTCGCGCGTTTTAAATAGCAGAATCTGCACCTGAATGGGAAGGGGGAAATTCTAAGAATGACGTATGACTTGGATGCACGTTTACATGTCTTCGAGAGAATTCGAACTTGCCTCCGTCCTATTCAAGCCCGTCGAAGCCTTATTATGCACCTTTAAGTATCAGCTAGACAAGACGATAACCGGATTCAAACTCACGAAACCCCACAGATGCCACCAATGCCATTGTCAATGACAATCGCCTTGACAGGTTCGACGTCCAACTTCGGCACTTATATATTGGATCTCCTCCTTAGAAGTCCGAATGTTGCCAAAGTATACTGCCTGAACCGGTCGGCTAATGCCAGGGAGCGCCAGGAGGAAGCGCAGGAGTCCCGAGGGCTATCAACATGTTTCCCGAAAGAGCAAGTAGAGTTCTTCCAGGTAGACTTCAGCGCCGAAAGCTGGGGCATAAAAAAGGATACATTCGACGTCTTCCTCAGGGAGGTGGATGTCATCATCCATAATGCTTGGGTAAGTCTGTCCTTAGTCTTGATCTGTATCTTGGCTTTAAGGTTGACGTTTATACAGCCCGTCGACTTCAATCGCAACTTCATCTCTTTTGAGCCCCACATCAACGGCGTGCGAAATCTGATCAATATCGTCCGTCATCGCCAAAAACTATATCCCTCAGACCCTCCGTCAAAAGACCCAATGCGTATCCTTTTCATCTCATCCATGGGAACGGTGTCCAACTGGGCTTCCCAGGCGCCCACATCTCGCGCCCTCGTCCCGGAAGCCGAGCTCACAGACTGGAAACTGGCGCGCACAGGCTATGGACAATCGAAACTTCTTTCGGAACGCATTCTCGCACACGCGGCACGGTGTTTCGGCATCCCCGTAACCATTGCTCGGGTAGGACAGATGGCCGGACCGGTATATCGAGGAGAGAAGGGAGCATGGCCGGACAAAGAATGGCTCCCATCGTTGATCAGGAGCTCTGTTTACTTAGGGGCGGTGCCGGAAGACCTAGGTCCGATGAGTAGGGTTGACTGGGTTCCGGTTGATGTTGCCGCGCAAGTTGTGATGGATCTGTTAACGAAACGAGCCGAGGATATGGATGGCTGGGCAGGAGAAAGCAAACGAAGAGGAAGGAATCAAGAAGCCGAGTTCTTCCACATTGCGAATCCTCGAGCGATTCTGTGGTCAGAAATACTTCCCGCTGTGCGCAGATATCTGCCTAGCAATATCCGTACGGTGCGCATTGAGGACTGGGTCGACTTGCTCCGTAAAAGCGCTGAGGCCGAGAGCGCCGGAATAGACGAGGGCGTCAATCCTGCGGCGAAGCTGATGGATACTTTCGACCACATCCAAGACAGAGCGATACGATTTCCAAAAGCTCGAGCTGCGATTTTGGATACGAAGAATACTATCAAAGCAAGCGTATCGCTGGCTGATTTGCACGCGATCGACGAAGAGTGGATGGAGTTGTGGATGAGGCAATGGGCGTTTTCGCAGGGTTCGTATTGGCGATAGGATTATGTAATTGCTTAGTCACATTCTCTGCACCTCCTCAAGGTGAGCGATACTGCTCAAATCATGGCATCACTTTGGCAGAAATCGACTCGGTGGATCGAGGGCTGGAGCTCTTCAATCATTGATCCCCGATCCCAGCCAACTTGCCAGCGGGAAGCCCTCAAGCCCTCAAGCCTGTACACCTTCTCTCCGCAGTATATATCTTGTTCCAATGTTCCACCATCGAATCGCTTTGCAGCAGTGACTAGAAGCATTCCTTTCGGCTGTTAAGTGCTCGTTGGATGACGAACGAGCTATGTATTAAATCTTTCACAGTGACGTCATCCGGCCCGCATTCACCCATCCTACAGCCTCTTTACCACGCCATTCAGCCATATTAAGTTTCCGAGATAACCATAAAATTCAGATTCACCGACCAGATCCGACATCCCATCATGACCGACCCAGCAAACGTAGCAATCGGCCACAAAGCCACCATCACAAATCCGCGTACGCACAATCCACAATTCTACCCCCCATATCTCGAAACCAACATGTGTACTATGTAGGTACTTCAGAACAAGCGAAAGACCACTCGCGCAAAGTGCTTGAAGAAGAACACCGCGACAAGCTGTACGAGATGCAGAATGAAGAGATTGAGGCGAATAAGAATAAGACAAGAGTGTAAGTTGTCAGCTTCAGGGGAATGGAGACGACATTGGGGGGCTGGGGTGGTGGTGATGTGGTTGAGTAAGGCTGAGGCTGACGGTGTGGTAGAGCCGGGGGACTGAAGGCTGCGGTTTCGAATCCCTTGGTTAGCGAGGAGAAGAAAGAGGAGGCGAAGAAGAAGCTGGAGGAGATGTAGCAAGGCTTTCGGATCTAGCCTGGATATTCAGAATGTTCCTGTGGACGTGAAGCGGGCCCGGCATTGTCTCATAATGCGTGCAGCTTTTGTACCAGCTACGGGTTGCCGACAGTTGGACACGCGCACGCTTGATATCGAAAAGAGTTTCCGCTACTCAGTCATAAAACTCGTGCATTCTTGCTGATACGCGCTGCGGCTTACGAAGTGTAAAGGCATACAGAACGGACGCCGCGATCTCCAAAATGCAGTCAAGCCCCTCGCTGGCTACCGAGTCCACGTTCAATAGAAATCCCAAAGGTAGGTACAACGCCGAATTACCCCCCAAGACTCTAGCTGCTTCTTCTCTATATCATCGACCCCAAAGCCCCTCACTTCGTATCCGCCCTCCAATTCCGGTCTCCAGCCAGCCTAGTCACCCTTCTCGTTCCGCTTATCAATGGTCGTTCTGACGGACACACCATGGCAAATGTGTCGAATGTAAGTTCATAAAGATGTAGATAGTAGCCGAAAGCCAGAGGTCGTATCGGGGCGCCATACGCTCCCCGCAAAGCGCACCATCGAAGGGTCCTGGAGGTATTCGAGGGGCCATGGCGTGAAAAGAACGGGAAGAAGTCATGGTCCGAGAGAGCCAAGACCTGCCTAAATGGTGGACGAGCGCTTGAAAAAAGCGTCGAGGAGCATGGAGACAAGAGTAAGATGGGCGGTGGCGAATTTCTTACAGGCGATGTTCTCCAAGAGCGTCTTCCAGCCCGTCATCAGTCGGTTCGTAGTTGGCACCTGGACAGTCGTTAGCGCCAGAGAATAAAGTACCAGAAACTCGTAATCAGTCATACCCACTCCCTATGCCGTAACCTGCTTTAAATTTGTTGGTAAACGCCGTCACCTTGCCCACAAGTCACCAGGAAGCATGTATTCGTGGAGATATAGCTGTCCCGCGTCTTACCCTCCACAAGCATACCAATCTTGTCCACCCACTCGTCGAGTCATAGGGTACCCAGCAGTGCTTGTTCATATATACGGCTCATATATGTCGTGTTCCCCCCCATGCCTATGGGAGGTCGCTAGGGCCAGATATGCCACATCGCATGTCTTTCTCCCTCTGCGCCCAATGTCAGTCCTCATGCAAGACTGGGGCTTACAGCACATACGCTCTGGACGCCTCAAACAATGAGCTTCGCCGGCGGCGCAAACCCCTTCACGCCGTAGGTCGACCGAGTATAGTCCAAGACTTGATGGCGTTGGAAAGAACGGTACATGTGTATATGCATATATAGAAAGTATAGAGGGCGGAATCGGTCTATCGAGTTTGTCAACACCTGGAGCGTATCAAATAGAAAGGTTCCGAGCTTACCAGGCGCCCATGAACCATTTCCAGAGCTGGGATTGGAATCCAGCTGCATTTTCGAAGAATTTTCTTATATAGTGGTCGAGACGCACAACGGCGATCAGAATTGGGCAGGTGTCCGCCGCATGTTGTTTGTCTGTGTCGCCGAACCTGACTGGCTTCGGGGTATCTGGCGTGCGTGCACCCGCGAGGTATACGACGATTTCGTAGTGGTACAGCGCGGTTGCAAGCCGCTGAAATTTATATCTCCCAGGCGGAATTCCATGGCGATCGCCTTGACAGGCTATTGCGGAAGTGTTCTGCTGCTGGACGAGCCGCCGCCGACGAAAATGATGGGAACGTGTTGCGAGGTGCGGTCGGACGCCGACGACTGCGAAGGGAGCAGAGTTTGGATGGGTTCCGCTGGACAGAATGCGGCGATTCGTGGCTCTGGTGATACAACATAGCGTATATATTCAAGGTTCCTTCCTAAGCGAAGTTAGCAAGTCTGAATTAAGCGATTTGGGGAAGAGCAGTACTTTCGGGAGGCAGCCCATGGGTCATGGATGAACGGGTACAACCATTGCTATCCTGGTGCTCTTCTTCGGACATTTTGCTCGCTATGCGCGAACTCTTGGGTCTAATTGGGTCGCGTAGTTGGTGCATTTTGGGAGGGGCGTGTTGAGACCATAGAGGTGCTCAGCTCGACACGGCGAGCGCAGGAGCTCCGGCTTTGCGATGCACACAAACCACCCCATCCAGATTTACCACATGCATGCTGCAGAGATCCAAACCACTCCACCCCGCGGGCTGGCAAGCCGTCGTTGAAACCAGATCAGGATATATATAGAAATAATGTTGGCCAGCATCAGGTTTCGCTCACTCTGGAGACACTCATCCTCATCGTGAGGAGGCGGGGACCTTCATGGCCCTGGAAGGCAGCCACAATGGATCAATTGCGGGGCATGGCGCCGCGGAAGAACTTGACCAACAAGAAAGCACGAAAGCGCATTGCACGCCTCGAACGAGTGCGGGGACCGGTGAAGACCATGAGTTGGTAGTAGTGTGGGCTGTGGGGAATATATAGGTAGGAAGGATGGAATATATACGGCGGAAGCCACGAATGTGATGAAAGGAAAGAGGCTATATAAGAAGACGGGATAAAGAAGAATACGTGGAGTAGAGGAAGAGGGGGTGACAGAGGAAGGACGAAGAGGAGGCGAGCAGCACTTTATACGAGAAGGCTCCAGAGCTGATGAAACTTTCCGATGGGCCTGTCCCAAGAGGAGGCTGCCCGAGGAACGGACGAAGGTAGAGATCGGCGATGCTGACCCTCCACAGGATAGAGGAGCGCCAATGGGATGAAGACAAGTCTGGCCCGGAGAGGGTTTGCAGGCTGCTGCCTTCGGGAACTGGACAGAAAAAGCAGACTTCTGAAGCAAGGAGGCCGTGTTGAAACGGAAATCCATTGACAAGACGGAAACCGACCTACTCTCCATCCATTCTGGCGAATATGCAACATGGGATAGGTAGAGAAGGGGCTGATTGGTTAGAAAGGTGATGCGTACGGCTGGAAGAGCAATGTCCCGAAATCAATAGTCGCGGAAGAGTCCACCCGTGTGCCGTACACAGTACTATGCATAGAACACGGGAGCCTTCTGTGCCTGGCCGAGGGTTAAACTCGGGAAGCTGCGCGAAGGAGGCTATGTGCGTGATGTGCCCAGAGACGTGATTGGTAATAGTTGCGTTAAGTGGCAGGCCAGGTTCCACATGGGGTCTACTGGAAGTATGCAGACTCCCACCGGTGACCGCACTATTGGGACGGAAGACGACTGCTCTTGCGCAGGCTACCAGGGTACCGCCTAATGGCTTTCAAGGATGTGGGCCGGGACAGAGGAAAGGAAGGAATCCGCGACATACCACAAGTGCCTTCGTTCCGGAGGAACCCCAATTGCATTTGATAGCTCTTGAGTGGGAAATTGCGTAACGCGTCGAAGGAATAACGGAGCGGCATCCTCGCGCCTCGACTACCATAGGACTCTGAACCCCTTCAGGAAGAGATATCCTGATTCTAATGCGAGCAAGTATAACATATGGAGGAGCTCATGGCCGGTGATTCTGCTACGCGAACTGTTGCTCCCACGCTCGCGAGGATCGGGCGGAGTCCTGGCTCCACGGTGAAGACGATTTCGGAAAAGAGAACGATGACCCAACGACGGGTCGATGCAGCAGATTGAGACCTGCACATATGCGTCTATGAAGCAAATGAGCTCAAATCTGTAGAATCGAGAGTGATTGGGCTGCCCGGGAGGTACCCACATTTCTGTTTGACATCGTTGCCGCCTCGAACGGGAGGCGCCCATTGAACCCGAGGCTACTCCCGAATGTTTTGGAGCATTATATTTCCATATGCTTCGATAGAGAAATGATGGTATCTCATAATAATAAACAATGGCGTCGTGATAGTGTGGGTGTTGACGTGTGAGGTCTAGCGAAAGGCAGGCCGTCTCGGGTTGCCGTGGCTTCGCCCTGCTGCGCCACAGCTCTCATTCGCAGCGTGCGCGTCTCTGCAGTCGCCCACGAAAGTTGAAAATGCCGCAATCCGGTTTCATGATGCGCAGCGCACAGCAGCCCTGCGCGGCAGCAACACTTGAATGGCAAACGGAAGCTCTGCGAGATTGAATCTGGACCCTGTGGTGTGTGAGGACCTAGACCCCTGACTGAGCTCTTTGGATTGCGGAGAGGGCTCCGCTTGGTGTCCGCTCCCGCCCATCGACGTCACCGCGCGGATCCCGAGCGCGAAACTGGTTCTATGCGACTTGGCGACCAAGCCCGCCAAGCCCGCCCAGGGGGTCAAGCACCGGGGAGTAGTGAGCGAAGCTTTGGAGGTTGCTCAGCAAGCAGTTTCTGTGGAGCTTGGGATGAGCTTGAGATATGGATTGAAGATAGACGTTGAGACTTCGAGCAGTGATGCGAATTGTCGATGAAACCAGATTGAATTCTCCGTAGGGGAGATGCGGCTAATGGAATTGATGGCCGGGGCTTGTTTAGCGGGCAAATGTGAGCGATCCACGCCTGCACGTCCCGCAACTCCTGCAACTACCTTGGAATTGCCAGCAGCGAGACGCCATGACGCCCGCCGCCAAACAACGGCGATCTCACTCATCAGTTGCCGAGCATTCACCTCTTTTCCTTCTACATCCACCTCTTCTTTTCTGTCCTCTGTAGTCCTCCTTTCCCCGCGGCGTGCCTCCACCACGCGCGCTTTCTGAAACACCCTCCACGTCGCCCTGGCAGCTCTCCCTATGCGCCGAGATTGAGCGCTCACCTCGAGAATCTCCATGCCAACCTCGTTTCCTCCAACACACCACACCATGGCACGCCGTTCACGATCCTCGCGCGAATACACGCAAGAACCGAAATCAGAAGCTACCGTGCCGCCGCACTCGTCGTCAGGGCATCGTGGCATGCACCTCCCGCGATTCAACCACAATGGACACGAAGTAACGCCGGGCATCGAGCCTGAGGGCGAGAGTGGCAGGAGAGGCATACACCCGCTCAAGTTCTTGAAGATATGCTTTCGGAGTACGAGCACCATGTCCATGTTGGTTAACGTGCTTTGGCCCCTTGTCCCTGTAGCAATTGCTCTGGTATGTGCTTGGACAGCCCATGCCTGTGATGAGAGGTTTTGCTGACTTTGACAGCACTTCGCCCGCCCGGAATGGCACTTAGCCATCTTCATCACCAACTACATCGCCATGGTTCCCGCTGCCAACATGGTCGGCTTCGCTGGTTCAGAGCTCGCGCGTAAACTGCCCAAGGTGTTCGGAGTAATCCTGGAGACAACATTCGGCTCCGTCGTCGAGATTGTGCTGTTCATGGTGTTGCTCAAGACCTCCACCGGTGATTCCAACGTTCCGGTTATTCGTGCTGCTATCTTGGGTTCCATTTTGGCAAACATGCTCCTGTGCCTGGGCTTCTGCTTCTTCGCTGGCGGTCTCAAGCGGAGCGATCAAGAATTTCACCCGGCTATTTCCGAGGCAGGCAGCGGATTGATGTTGGTCGCTGGAAGTACGTGCCTCCCCCCATCCAACAGTCTTCAGCAATGCTAACCGATGCAGTGGGTCTTGTGCTCCCCACCGCCTATTCCGTCGCTGTGTCTGGCAGGACTGATCTCACTATTACCGACGGCGAGATTCCCGGCTTCACTCAGAAGATCTCCCGCGCCACTGCCATCATTCTGCTCTGCGCCTATATTGTCTTTATTTTCTACCAGATGAAATCGCACGACAACCTCTACGGCGAGATCTTCGAGGCAGACGAGCACAGGGACAAGGACCGCCATAAGGAGCTGGCGAAGCCGAAGCTCACGCTGACCGAATGCGTCGTCGCTCTGATCATTTCGCTCGCCTGTGTCACGCTCATCGCCGTTTTCCTGGTCTTGGAGATTCCCTTTATGGTTGAGGAGCGACATGTCAGTGATGCCTTTGTTGGTCTGATTCTCATCCCGCTTGTGGAGAAAGCAGCTGGTATGCCCCTTTCCGTCCCTTTCCCTTTCGTTGCTGACGCTTCGCAGAGCATCTCTTGGCCATCGATGAAGCCTATGATAACCAGATGAACCTGGCGCTTGCCCACGTTCTTGGTGCCTCCATCCAGACCGCCCTGCTCAACACCCCGCTTGTCGTCCTCGTCGGCTGGGGTATCGGCGTTGGCATGGACATGAACTTCGAGATCTTCGACGCGGTTGCGCTTATCCTGGCTATCCTCGTCGTCGGATCGTTCCTTCGTGACGGCAAGTCGAATTACCTCGAAGGCGTGCTTTGCATCTTCGTCTACATTATCATTGCTATCTCAGCCTACTTCTACCCTAACCCGGCTGGACATGGAGCGGCTGAGGGAGGCGAGGGAGGACATTAGAGGGGATGCTTGACATATTGCCAACATCAAAGGGAGAGAAGAGCGAGTGCAATTCAATCTTCTCAAAACGATGTGGAGACTGGAGGCAAGGTATGAGGTCTGTGAGTGTACAAATTTGCATTACTGGCACGAAGCGAGCATCTGCGATGCGGCACTTCTTTAGTTGTTTCTTTGTCTGTATTTCAGCGAGCGAGAGATACCGGATTTAATGGCCTCAATGAGAACTGCATTTTACCTTCTCATGATCTTGTTGGCGTTGCGAACGTTCTGCTTGCGCCTGTTTCCAAAGACCTCGGGACCTCGGGATTTCATTCAGAGCGATCGGCGCTAATCCGCGCATGGACTAGCGCCGCGCCGAAACTGCGCACGCTCGCTTAGCGAATTTCCGCAGACCTCAACCGCAACTTCGCGACTCCGAACTTCGACAGCGACCGACCAACCCGACAGCCTCTCCTCCCGCCGAATAAAGTACACTTACGAAGCTGCAAACATGGGTCGCGTTCGAACCAAGACCGTCAAGAAGTCCGCCAAGGTGCGTTCTCCCGTCGCCGCCGTCCTCCTTCCTCTCGAGAAGAATAGTCTCATACAAGATGGGAATCGGGCATTGGCAATTGGAAGGACTCGTTGCTGACATCCGCGGAATAGGTCATCATTGAGCGGTACTATCCTAAGCTTGGATTGGATTTCGAGGTGAACAAGAGGATCTGCGATGAGGTTGCGATCATCAGCAGTAAGAGGCTGAGGAACAAGATTGCGGGGTACACGACGCATCTGTAGGTGCTCATCCAGGAGGACTGGGGAGGAGGGAGAAGTGATGCGGACTGAGTGGAAACTAACTCATCCCAGGATGAAGCGCATCCAGCGGGGCCCGGTCCGCGGCATCTCCTTCAAGCTCCAGGAAGAGGAGCGTGAGCGCAAGGATCAATACGTCCCCGAGGTCTCCGCCCTCGACTTCTCTCAGCAGAACGAATCCGGCTCGCTCGAAGTCGATCAGGAGACTAAGGACATGCTGAAGAGCTTGGGTGTATGTCTTCCCCAGCGGCTCTCATTGTGTAGGCACAAGGCTAACGACTTCCGTCACAGTTCGACTCTGTCCCCGTCAATGTCGTCCCCGTCTCCGCTCAGCAGGTTGTTGAGCGCCCCCGCTTCGGTAACCGCCGCCCTGGCCAGTAAGCGCCCGACTCGGCCCCTGGTTCTTCGGATTGGTAATTGGTGGTGCATGGAATATGGAGTATGACACGACTACAGGTCTACCGACGGTTACGGACGGCGGCATGATGATCAGGAGTAAATGAAAAGGTTTCTCCCCACTAGGTGTCGCTGAACCTGAGGCCCGAAAGGACCAAGGGCGAGGCTCGATCGCCAGGCTTTATGGCCACCTTTCCCCATGCTTCGTGATGTAGACGCTGCCCACTGTTGTGGTTGGCCAATCCACAAGGAACGCGTTTGGTGACTTCAGGCGAGGTAAGTATCGGGACTGTCGAGTTGACGTGACCATTTCTTGTTTGTGATACCCTTTTAGCTTCTCGCCATCTTTGCCTATGATCTGAACCTTAGAGGTGGTATTGCTTACTTTCAGTACATGATCGTTGCTGATATCATTCGAACGTCCTGTGACTCTACTTCCGTCCTTATCCTTCTTCGTCGAATTACGCTCTTACTACCCATTCTTGATTCACATATTCCGTCTTCCTATTCATTGATGTTCCACAATGAAACTAGATACGTGTAGTAAATAGGGGAGCGAATACTCTTGCTGGATCTCGCATTGTTAATCGAGAACAGCACCTCTCCATCGCATATGCTATATAATAGCATCTCAGCAGGTAATTCTCATCCTCATCTATCTTCCACTCTGGGAAAACCACCAAACAGCCACGCCCAAGATGCCACTCAAGGTAGCCCACGTCGTCCAATACGACCGTGTTACAACGCGTTACCTCCTCCGCGACGGATGTGGCAACATCTGGTGGGGTTCTTCAGCCCGCACTATATCCTCGATCTGCGCCGCTGACCCGACATGCCTCCCGAAGCTCGCTCCTCTCGACCCCGAAGCGTTCTATCCGTGGGCCAAGCCCGGAACTAAGGAGTATAAAGGCGCCCTCGATGATCCAAACGTGTTCATCAAGAAACAAGATTTCCTGATGCACCGGTGCTTTGATCAAGGCAAAGCGCCCGAGTACTTCAAAAACCTAATGGTGCGCGAAGTCGAAGTCTGCGAGCTGCTGGCAAAGAACCCCCATCCAAACGTGTGCAAGTACCTCGGCGTAGTGCTCGACACCGCTGACCTCATCACCGGCATAGCCTACAAGCGCTACGACTCCGATCTCTTCACCGCCGTCGAGGAGAAGGCGTTCGACTACGCCAGGATCCCGCACGTCGTCGCCGCCGTCGACGCGGGTATGAAGCACCTGCACAGCCTCGCCCTTGTGCACGGCGATCTCCGGCCCGAGAATATCTTCCTCAGGGGCGAGGATGAGGTCGTCGTGGGAGACTTCGATGCGTGTTATTGCGTCGGAGAGCCGCTGGAGCATAAGATTGGCGCGCGGGACTGGTGGCCGGCGAAGTATGGGCGTGAGCGTTACGCGGAGGTCGAGATTGACTACTTGACGGTGGCGAAGCTGCCGTCGTGGTTTAAGGTGTGGAGTGTGGAGCATGAGCGTAGGGGAAAGGCGGCTGCTGCTAATGGGCGGGCGTATTAGGTTGATGACGGACGAGTGCGTGGAGGATGCGGGCTTCGACTGGAGTCTTTTCTCTTGAACTCTCGTCCCCGTACGATGAAGTTGACACTGCGGTCGGTCGAGAGTTAGCTACGCGGCGATCTCTTCGTCTTCGTCTTCGTCTTCGTTCTCGCCCGGCTGAGGCTCAAATCGGAAGCTTGGAATCTTGAAACCGCGGAGGGTACTCTGAAGAATAGAGATATAATACGAACTGTGTTTGGAAAAATGCGATGTAAGTACTGATGTCTCTTGGTGATATGATGCCCGCGTCTTCTTCGTGACCAGGTCGAGCGCATTGAACGACTGCCCGCCGCAACGTAACACGCCCCCTTCAAAGCTGAACGGAGATTCGAAATTGGCTCCTTCCATTCCACTCGAGCGCCGGGTCAAACGTCACTTCGACTGCCTCCGTATTAGTAATCTAAGCCGTTTGCATCACCGCCTTTCCTCACATCATAGCGGTTGTCGGGTTGGGGGTCATCCGCTGGGCTTGTGTTCTATCATGTTTGTGACGTTGTAGTGTCACGTGAGCTACATTTCATCCTGTTAGTTTAGCCTCTTGGGGGTCTTTGGGTTCCCCGTTGGCGAGTTAGATGGGGAGGAGGATTGAGGGTTGAAGGCCTCCGAACTCCAGTTTACATTCTGGCTTCTGTCGTGTCTTTCTTACTCGTTGTCTGCTTCCAGGGTCAACGATGTTATGGTCCTTGGTCGATGAGGTGCCGAGAATAAGAGGACTTAGAGGTTTGAGCCCCTTCGAGCTTCTCGTTGGTGGATTAGCTAAGGAGGATTGAGCATTGAAGGCCTCGTGGCTGTACTTTACGTTGGTGGCTTTTTCTATACTTTCCTTACTCTGCATGTCTCTTCTGAGCTTGACTTCGCGATGCCGGTATGTCGACCGGTTCCCAGCATAAGAGGATTCAGATGTCCGAGAGCCTTCAGGATCTACGTTGACGAGTTGGTCAGAAATGAGAATGGGCTGTTTAAGGCCTTCAGGCTTTACTTTTACCGTGCTGGTCTCTTGCGGGTTGAGTAGCATCTGCCCATCTTTGGGGTCTTTTCATCCCGTGTGGTTTTACTATACCATGATGGATTTATTCTACTTATGATATCTGTCAATAAGTCGAGTGGTCCACAGATGGATGATTTGAGCAGTATCAGATCATAGAGTGTGGCTGAGAGATACAGGTGATGTCCAAAAAGGTCCTTAACGCTGATTCGTCAACGCCCAAAGCGGTAGCGAGATCACCCTACCCAAGCTTCGTATATCCACATCTCCCCCCAACGCCACAACAGGCCAAGACTACTTCACGAATTATTCTCGTCCCCGAATGCGAGAGACACGAGACGATGCAAGATTGACGAATCGCGGAGGTTGCAGCTGGGCATATCGCGCGACTGAGCTGGAGAGCGGCTGAACTCCGCCTCGCGTTGGGAACTCTAAAGATGGGGAAGCGGACATCAGGTGCATATGCGGAACATGGAATGACCTAAGAACTAGAATCAGCTCTGGAGGATACAAATTCCCGACTTGAGAGCCTCGTTCTCAAGCGATCAGATCAGATCCTCCCGCATCCACATCAGCATCGTCTATCTACTCCTCACTCGAACATCGACACTCTTCGCAATGGCAGACCGAGAAGGCCGTGACCACATCGTCAAGGTTCCCTCGTGGTTCAAATTCCTCGTCGCCGCCAAAATCGTCGTCGCGGCCGCCGTCCTCGGCCTCGGTGCATACGGCGCAACATTCCATGATTGGTTCGGCGGCAATGGATACGCCATTTTCTGCGTACGCTGCTCACCTCTTTCCTCATTTTCCGGCCCACTAACCTGTTTCTCTCCATAGGCAGTCACCATCTTCCTGACGGAGGGCTACTACCTTGTCTCCACCCTCCTCGTCCCCAATGCCTACAACTGCTGGGCATATCTGGTATTCTCCGTCTTCCAAGTAATCTGGTGGCTTGCATGCTGGGCCGACCTCGCGATATGGGCGGCGTCATACGACATCACGATCGGCGGCCTCAACTTGGGCGACGTCATGGAGTACTCGTATGACTGCACGCTTGATGAAGAGACGCTGGAATGGACATGCCCGACAAAGTACAACCGCAAGAAGCATAGGAATGTCATTGCGGCTGCGGCGGGAGTTAGCGCGTTGGAATGGTACGTCAATCGCGTAAGATATTCGTGGACTTGGTGGCTGATAGTTGGACAGGATTCTGGTGATTGTCTCGTTGGTGGTTTTTGCCATTCATGTTCTTCGCCATAGGAGATCGGGTGCTCCATATGCCGCAAATGGCGGATGGCGCACTACTCCTCAGAATCCGCGCGGTATACCCGGTGGGGCAGAGGCGCAGAATGAGCAAGGAAAGGGACCGATGCAGCAACCGCAGATCTACCAGGTACGTATGCCGCAAATGAAGCACTAGTATGTCAGAGTTTTGGCTTTGGGAATCCACTCCTGAAGGCCTTCGGGGGGCGTTGTTCCACGCATACTCCGAAGCTGGCGCCTATGATATAGGGCTCGTGCTAATGTGGCGGCAGATGTATCCTCAACAGCAGGATGCCTACGCTGGGCAACAACCGGTGTACCAACAGCCCCAGCAGGCATATCAGGGCTACGTAGTGTGAAGAAGAAGCCGAAAGTGCTACAGTCATTACTGGTATAGGGACGAGCAATGCCTTGAGAGATCTCTTCATTTCTGTACTATCCTTCTCCCCAAGAGTCAGCCTGATATCCTTCAGCCAATAATCCAGATAGTCTATGTTCATCGCCGATACCGTTCCTCCCCTTCCACCCCACCTCCGTATCCCCCAGCCCGAAGGCCTTCATACCGTACTCCTCTCGCTTCTCCACCCCCGTATCTCCCAGCCTGAAGACCTCCACACCCTAATCTTCCCGCTTGCCCAGGTCCCTCATCTCGATGTCCTCGACTGCAGCCTCCTCATCGGCTTCGCAGATCATCCGTAGAAGTGAGACACGCTTTTTCCTCGGAGCCGAATTCTCTTCGCGGTGCCAACGGGGATGAGAAGGTTGTTCGCGATTCCCCCTGTCGTCGGGGACGACGGAAGGAGGTAGATGTGGCCAGCGAGGTGGGATGGGCGCGGTGCGAGCGGCGTGCTTTGAAGCTGGGACGTTGCCATTGTGGAGCGTTGTTGGGTGGGAAGTGGAGAAAAGTTGGATTGGAGACGGCAAACGCCTGGTGTGGAAGTGGGATATGGCTTTCCGTGAGCGTGACCGTTTAGCGTTTCTTGGCAGACTGATACCGAATGAGCGCTGCAAGGTCGTATTGGTGAAAGAGGGGTCGAAAACGAGGGGTTCCTGCGTTGTGTAGTGACTTGGCAAGTGCACTCCTTGCAAGAGTACTTGAAACTGCTCACTGGAATTCACCGTGCTTCACGATCCCTCGTCCGCATCAAAGGATATATTGTGCAATTTGGCTCTATAAAGTTCCGTCACCGCCTCGCTGATCACAGAGTCCGGCTCCCAAGCAACCGCGGACGCCGCATCCACAATGTCACTGCACCTCAAAGCGTTCCTTGGCTTCAGCCGTACTGCTGCCTCCGCTTCGAAGACGTCATCAGAGAAATGCTACCTCCTACAGCTGCCAGCGGAGCTACGCGTAAACGTTTATGACAAGATCGCCCTGAACGGCTTTCTCCCCTATGCAGATCCTCGCGACTACCAGGGTCTATTCCTCTCCTGCAAGCAGATCCACGATGAGATGGAGCAAGAGTGCTTCCGAGCAGCACCGGGCGTTCTCGACCACCTCCAATCGAAGCTAGATCACTTCCTGAATCTTGAACCACTTCAGCCTAAGAGCTTCAGCGAACTGATGAACCTCACAGTCTCTATCCCTCGCTGGGCATTGCACAGCCCGCGCAAACAAAAAGCCATGATTAAATCCTTAAAGCCCCTCGCAGCTCTACACCTAAGCAGCCTAAAGCTTCTCCTCGACGAACAACTAGAAACGCGATCCATTCTTACCTTGCGGGACCAGCTTCCTCACACCGACTGGCTGGAGTTCCTCCGCATCGACGCCATGTTCTACGTTCTGGTGACGTACGGTGTCAGCGACGCCGTCACCTCGCGTGGCGACGAGCTATACAAGCTACGAACCACCTATACGGATATCATCACCTTCGCTACACGCGTAAACTGCCTTGTTGCGCCAAACCTGTGCTCTCACGGGCACCACAAAGATCAGAAGCGGCTTCGTTACTGCATCTACTACGGCAAGGGCACTGGAGATATCCTGTCGCCGATGCCGTGCAACGTCCGGAAGGTGGTCATGCCGCTGAAGAAACTTGACCCGGAGACGCAGTGTCATCCGGCTATATATCCTTGGGGCCTGAGATTGGCCCGGTGGAGCCCTGGTGTTGAGCAGTATTATTTGAATAAGGAGGGCTATGTTTGGTGGTGGTCTGATCAGAAGGGGAAGCATGGGAGTCTGCGGAGTCGGTGGAGTAAACGGATGCCGAAGGAGATGGTCTGGGAGAGGGTGGGGAAGGGGAAGGCTGGGAAGGAAATGGACGGCATAAAACTTCTGGCACGTTGTTGCTAGAAGGAGGGTTAGCCGGAAATAGAAAAAACTCCGTCCAGTATCGCTGGAGGATCATATAGGATAGTGTATTGAAGGCCCTCAGGCCCGGCTATGGAGGTGCCGATTCATGTGTGTAAAGCTGAGCCCAAGAGTCGTCAGTGAATTCACCGTCTTAGAGCTGAAGCAAACGGTCGAACAGACGGTAAATCTTCTTCTCCAACGTCTCCAGCCACCAATTCAGCGCTGCCAACTCGTTCCGCTATGTATACTCCGCCATCTGATCGATTTAGCATTCTTTATCTCATCAGCCCCAATCTCCGTATCGACATCAATATCCCCACCGCAATAGCGCAGCACAGGGCATTCAAGGACTGGAATCCCCCCATATGTGCTGTCGCAAAATCCGTACACTCGGGGATCGAAGTCGATCTCAGCATCCAGAGTGTTTCTTGACGTATTCAGCGTTCATTTTTCGATGGGTAGACTTGCTGGCGAAGTAGAGCTCTCCGAAATAAGACGGCGGTGATACCAGGGCGTAGCGACGTGTGAATAGATTTGGAGACGTAGCACGGCGGGTGTATCCAACGAGGAAGAACTTAATGACGTGGACTGCACATTAGCAACTACCCTATACAATGCAATAGGTTGAAGGCCTCTGGGGGTAAACATTAGATCGGATGAGCTCTCGGGTACGTACTAGTCATAGATGTATGCCGTGATCGCTGACGACTGCGGCGCAACACTTCCTTAAGGCCAGTCACCCTGGATCGCCGCGTTTCGTATGCCTGAGTCTGAGCTCTGCTAGGAACGTTTGGAGGACCAGGTACGAAGCTGTGTAGATTTGCGAAGCTGAAGAGGGAGCACGAAGGAACACCCACGTAGCCACGGCGGCATGAATAGAGCGTTCGGCCGCTAAAACTGCTGGCAGACAGGATTTGACAAACCCCAATAATTAATTTTACAACAGACACTTTCAAGACCTCCAGCCAGAGTAAAAAGAAAAGTCGGACTCGCTTTCGCGCTCTGGAGGCCTCCAGGCTGAGCAAAGCCCAAGTCAAGCTACGTGCAGGAGCATCAGACAACGTACGGACTCCCCCAAGGCCCCAGATTCGGAAAGCCGGATGCGGTGAATGTATGCGCACGTGACCAGTCGACAAGAGCATCCTTAAGTCCAATGCTATAGCGAACATTTAGATGTTCCTGCTCCCTGAAACTCGCATTCCGCGATCGCGAAGGCTCGCAGAAGGCGAGAGACGTTGCTCGACGACCTTTAGCTGGGGGGTTAGCTGTAGGAGTTATTTTCCCATTCCAATTGGCATCGAAATAACGCCAATGATTTTTCATGTTGAGTACTTCGTGCTGCGATACGGTGTCGAGGATGGCAAATACACTGTGGGCACTTCCTTCAGGTTGCCCTGCGGGAGCGCATGCATTCACGCCCCTGGATGGTCAGATGTAGACCAGCATGGCGCCGCGGAGGTAACTCCAATCCCGACTAGAAGTGCGATGGTACAGGTCCAAAATTGGGATGGCTGGTGGGCCACCAGATGCACGAAGGCAGGAGGCGGTGAAAGGAAGGCACCGTGCACGGCCGGCGCGTGAAACAAGCGAAGACCCCGCACACGTGCCAGCGCCATTCACGAAAACCAACAGAGGCCTGCGGAGACATAGATTGGACTACTACTACCTAGATACGTGCAACAACGTCGATGCACACTGAATCCGCCTCCTATTAATACTTTTCTTATGCTGCACAGTGTAAACTAGAAGGCCGAAGCCCTGAAATGATGCCGCCCACAGTATACTCGCACCCTGAATGCGCCGAAAGCAAGGGCGAAGACCAGACGCCGGTTGTATATGCGCCGTCGCTGCCAGTAGATGCAGGAAGAGAAACCGCACCCATACGCCGAAAGTAATGCAATAAATATCACGAAAATGAAAATAGATTGTGACCGTAATCGTAGAGCGGTGCGCTCAAGACAGATCCATCGGCTCTGCTGCGCTGCTTCCTGGACCGCCTTTGGATTTCCGAGGATCTGGATTGGAGGGTTTCTTGAAAGACATTGACGAAAACGCGCGCGACGGGGGAGCCGGGATATTGATGCTGCTGTTGGCGTTGCCATTAGGGCCTGTGATACGGTAGCTGACGCTAGGGTTCCGACTCATGTGACCGACGGGGCCGGAGAAGAAGCCGATGGGAGGAGTAGATGGCGTGGCAGATGTAGAAGACTTGCGCGACGGCTTCCGAGCATTCGAACGCGTTGGACGAGGGGCGGGGAAGCAGGCGTTCTTGACGCGGGTCTGAAGCTCGGTCGCGACGTTATCGAAGGGCTTGCGCTCATCGGCTGTTCTCCAACCCATCTTCTGCTTCATGCACTCTGCACGGCGGTGGCTGATCGTGGAACCTTCGATGCGGATACCGTTGTTCTCGAATCGCCTGCAGATCTCCGAGCGCGTCAGGATGAGCAGGATGACTAGAAGGCTGATGTTGTCGTTGTCGAGGAGGTGCGGAGCGAAGTCGCAGACGTCGCAGGCAAACTGGCGCATCTTCATAAGCTCCTCCGTATCCGTACAGCCGACGAACTTCTGCGCCATGGCATACGGGCGCGTCATGTCTCGGCAAATGTGCGTCATGAGGATGTGCGCCACAGAAGATACCGAGACAGGGTAGATGGTACCTCGATCAATCCTGCTCGTAGCCGTAGAAGAGACAGTGCCCGGGATGTAGATGATCTCGATATCGTCAAACGGCCCACGAAGGTTGTTGCGATCCTGAGGTGCTTGCTTTGAGCGGACTGCTTGACGGCGTGCAGCAGCGATAGCTTCTCTGGGGGTGTAGAGCTGGTGCTGCGCGGCAAGCTCCACGGAGTCCTTGTGCATTTCGAACCTGGATAACTTGCGCTCCACATCGTGAGGGCGAATCCATTCTTCTGACCAAGGCTCCTCGGCAAGAACTTTGTAGAAAACCTTGGTAAGGGCCCGTAGCTTAATGTCCTGGTCGCTTAGGTGGCGGTCTCCAAAGAATATTCGGTCGGTCTCGTAGTAGGAATTGTCGATGAAAGTCTTTCGGTCCTTTTGGGTCAATTGGCCGGAGGTCGGGTTATCCTTGAATTCCTGAATGATCGCCATGAACTTGGCGTGAAAGATATCATCGAAGTCGATCGGAGGGACAGGAGTCTCTTTAGTGGAGTTTAGCTTTCCATGCATGTTATGATTGAGGTATTCGGCTCACTAAGAGGTGGTGGTGTGGGGTTTGGCGGCGACGGTGAGGCAGCCGCGTCCTGGGTGATTGGGGCAGGTGACATCGTGCCCTGCACGCGGAATGCACCTTTATATTCCGAATCGGGCTCCTGGGGGGCTGCGCTTTGATAGTATTCGCTGTATGAAGTGTCGTATTCGATGGAAACTGATGGCGTTGTGATGGTGGGGCCCGCGGGAGGCGGAAAGGAGCGTGGTGGTTGAGGAAGGTCCAAGTCGAGGTGTGAGGTAAAAACATTCACGCTCGCGTAACTAGCGCCCGCTAGAGGTCTTGGCGGAGCATTGGCCGGTCACATGCCCACGCGAATGGTGATGGAGCCAAACCAGAATCGGAACTCCACGTCATTTCCGCGATATTGCGATTCCTGTAACTTAGGACGACCACGACGCCCTTTAAGAAGCAGGCGATACGTGTGTGGTCTACTGGAGGTATCTTCCCCTATTTTGACATTACTGCCGCCCCTGAGAAGGAACGGCGCAGGATCATGCCCGAGCGAAAGAAGCGTAGACCAGGCCGGCTCAAACAGCGTCAGCGATTTCTCAACGTACCCTTTTCTCCGCCATTAGGTTTGCTCTCCAGATAGAGCAGGAATCATCCAGTTTCCAATGGGTAGCTTGACGGGTTGCGGTACCTGGAATTTCAGCTCAGCGGCTGCGCGAAGCCTGACTCGCGCGCGGTCCACAATTTGATGTAGTCCCTTCATCGTCCTCGCTGGCTGTATTCGTTCTCATACGGAGTTCTTGGGCAGCTCCCTCTCCTCGGAAATGACATAGACGAATTCGCCCCTGGCTCCCCATCCCCAACGTCGCAATTCAGCTCTATCACCCCGGAGAGTGTCTCTTGGAGGAATTTCCGTACGCATATACGATGGGTTCCCATAACCACGCTGATGGTCCGGACGCCTCAGCTCAAGAATAACCCTTCGCCCATTATTCTTCTTCTGACTTGGTCGTCGAAACGCGGCGGGAGGCCTGTTTATGCAAACTGCCGTTGAAGGTGGTGTGGCGCCCGTCTGCGCAGATTTGAGGAGCAAGAGGATAGTTTATGCGCGTCGCGAGCGCTGCGAACTGAGAGTATGGAGTCGACATGGAAGATGCGCGATCACCGTCTTACCGGAGTCTCAGCCGCGGCGTTCTGGTCTGCTGCGTTTCCGAAGATTCGAATCGTCAAAATCTCGAGGTGCAAAGCGAGAAGGGGCTTGAGCGAGGAGCAGCTCCTGGCCTGGTGGTGCGTTAAGAACAGCGCTAGTCATGGAGCGAGCAGAGTGACACGGTTATTGACCAAAAGACCAGAAACTAGAGCATCCCAGTATCAATCCCGGATTGATCTTCATCAATTGACGCGACCTCCGCAAATCAATTCCGCATCTACCTCTTCTTCGATAGTCCTGCATGATGCGTCACGGAGGAGCAGCGGGATCGGACAATACCGGTAGATCTAAGGCGAATCTACCTGCACAAGGTAAGCCTCCGCAAGTTTCTGAACTTGAGAAAGAGGGGAATCAGGCGCAAGGATGTTTGATCGAGCACCAACTGCGAACAGTCTTCTAAGGTGGTTTCCCGAAGCCGAGCTGAGAAAGTAAGTACACCGAGACCCTACGTACTTCATCAGGCAGCGGGAACGGTGTATTTTCCTCTCGCTGACGGGTATGGTACTGATGCTGTGAGGGTGGGATCTTCATAGTTGCGGAGCGAGTCTCGAGTTAACGGAATCAAAGTCGTGCGAAAATTTCCAGCGAAACTTTCGCTGGGTAGAACTAAGAGCGAGGACGTGGCGTAGCCTAAAGGTGGTCTAGCGCGAAGCCACTGTTTCTGATAAAGCTTGAGCCTCTTCGGTCACCGCATCTTCTCTTCGTTCAAATTCGACGGGTTCTCTTGAACTATTTGCCCAGCTCATGGATGACATTCATGCACTGGGCCTAGATGAGTATATAGTCATTAGAATTCTGCGGGCGCGCAGTCTTGCAGTTTGGCATGAGGATACGCTGCCACTGCACCAGAGACAAGCCATCTGGCATGTTCCGCAACACTTTTAAGATCCTACCCAGTGCCCAATCCTCTTCCACATACCTTCTCTCAGCCCTACTCCACAACGTATGACCAGTAGACCCGCGAACGCCGCGCTCGTCATCCCAAGTACCATTTCAGGATCTCACACCCCGATTCTGAAGGCTTCGAGCCCGCCATCCGATCCTCTTTAGGAATGATATATACACGCCCTTTGAACTCCTCCCTCCCGTCCTCCTTCCCGATGCGCTTAACAGCTAAACAACAATGCACGACAACTTGATAAAGACGATATAGCCTCAATCAAAGTCCGGCTATGCCGAACACCGATGCAGACAGAGGACTGTCAGCGCGCTCTCACGATAAGCGGAAGCAGTAATACCCGGACTACAGATACGATCGCGACCAACTGTACCCAGCGCGGATACTGCTACACTACACTACACTCCTCCATACATCCATACATCCTGGCATTCCATTCCATCCTATTCCATCCTAGTCTCCTCCGTCCTACACCCGCCTACCAACCCTCCAATCAACCAATGTACGTAAATCGCAACCAACAGACCCGGTAGACGCTAAACTTGCCCAAAGGATTCGAATCAAAAAGCCCTCCTCCACCACAAGAGAAAGATATCATCCATACCTCCCCCAATCGCGTCGCGCTCATCATACGTACTTGGAAGTATGTGATACTTCCCCCACCACACTGCTGCCCAGTCCACACCTGCGCACCCACGAGCCTTTTCTTTTCAGGCGGTCCAATGATCCTAGCGAGCTAGCTAGGTCGTTCATCATCGCACGTCGCAGTCGGCTCAATCAAATCTCCATCCACGTATGAAATAAAATATTGCCCCCACGCGCCGATCCCGATGCCGATGCAGCACCAGATGCAGTACAGTGCAAGAGGAACAATGTAGTATTCCAGAAAGTCTCGAAGCGCAGTGTGGTGCGGCACTGAATCCCCTTTCTAGCTTCCTGTTCGTAGAGTAAGAGCTCACGGTCAGCATGCCGGAGAGGCCGGAGAGGCCGGGGGTGGCTGGTGCCGCATTTTAGACTTACCTCGGCGTGACACCGAGCATGGCTGGCTGAACCACTTCAGGAAGAAAGGAAGGGAGCGAGGGAGGAATTTTTGGGAGAGTCTAGGCTGGACTGGGTGGGATGCTAGAGAAAGCTGGCGGTCGGCGGCATGCGGTCGGTGGGGAGGACGTTTGAGCTCTACGGCACGGCGCGATTGCCGAGGGTAAGACTACTCGAAGACACTCTCGGAGGCATATCACATACGGCACATCGAAGACGTGGGGAACAAAAAGGTGGAGCTGATAAGATTGTTCAATTCTGCACCAGCAAGCCGTGAAGTAAGAAAGAACGCTGGTCTACAGTACGTGATGACGCAAGGGTATATGACACGAAGGAAAGATGTTTTGGGGGTATATATGTATAAGAAAAGGAAAACTGCCCGCGAGGACACTACAATGTAATCGGGTATAAGAGTGTGTCAAGGTACGACGGTACGTATACATACAACATGAATGCGAGACCGAGAGACTGACTAGACGTAAGAACAAACGATCAAAACGCCTGGTCTATGTACGGTCTATGACGGGGAGTAAAGAAAGAAAGTCCGAATGACTCTTCCCAGAGTTCCATCTCATTTCCCCTGCAGACGGAAAGGAAGAAGTTTTAAGAAAAGGAAAGAGAAGACGGAGCTGCAATGTGCAGGCAGCTAGCGAAAGAGAACAAACCCCTTTAATTGCCCGCCCTCCTCTTGCCGCCCTTGCCCGGACCGAGCCTGGCACTATAGCCCGCTCGCCGATCTTCCTCGTTCTCGGAGGAGCTCTCATAGTCGTTCTCGTAGCCCACAGCCTTGCCCATAGCGCGCGTTGCCTGCTGTGCGGCTCGGGTATGGGCCGTATGGCCATGGGAGCGGTCGTCTACAGGGCGGTGAATGGTATGGTGTTGGCTGCTGGTGCGCGCAGGAAGGGCCTCACGCAAATTTCGAGCATCCCATGGATCAGCGGTAGTCGCGGGTGGCGAGTGCAGGACGGATGGCGGCTGCGCGAAGGGGTTGTCCTGAGTGTTGTGGGGCACTCGAGTCGGGGGCGCGGCGAAGGGGTTATCCCGGTGATACGACGGATGACGCGCGGAAGGAGGACGAGTGGAGTCGGTGTACGACCCAGGCGAGAAGAGCGGGGGAGGAGGGCCGTGTGAGCTCGGCGGGCGAGTATTGTACTGCGGCTGTGCGAAAGTGGTATTGATGGGCGGAACTTGCTGAATGACAACGGAGCCCCGGCGGGTGCTGTTTGATCTGCCAAGAGGCATAGAGGGGGGAGGAGGATTTCCGGAAATACTTCCTCGGCGGCCATGAGACTGAGATACCGAACCGCGGCGGCCAATACCGGGGCCGTTGTTGGCGACAGGGAAGCGGTCTCCACCACGCGGGTCCCAGTACGCATTTTTTTGTTGCTCCTCTCGCAGTTGCGCAGCTCGTTCCTCCCGCTCTCGCACCTCGGTGGCCATACGCTCGCGTTCCATCTGGGCCTCTGTTTCCGCAAGCAGGCGATCACGCTCTTCTTTTTCGGCCTGGGTCATGGAATGCCTGCGCGGGCGACCGGATGGCTTGTTGTTGTTGTAGGCTGGTGGCGGCTTGGTCTTTTCTCTTCTTGATTCCTTTGCAGCCTTCTCCTCTTGCTCCCTAGCTTTTCGCCGCCTTGCCTCTTCCCTTTCCTCGGCCCTGCGCTTCTCACTCTCTGCAAGCTTTTGCTCTCCGCGCTGCCGTTGCCTGTCCTCGGCTCGCCCGAGCTCGAAGCGGACTTGCTTGACCTCCTCCTGCTTTGCAAGGTCTTCAGCGTACCGGCGATCAGCTTCCTCCTGGCGCTTCTTGTCGTCTTCCTTCTGCTTCCGTCGACGTTCGCGATCGACGGCGCGGTCGATGATTTCGGGTGCCACGGCCCGGCCAGAGCTGGCATGCGAAGAGGCTGAGCGGTCATGGAATTCAGTATACTCAAGGGGTGTGAGACCATCCGGGGCAAGATTGTCGTGCGATGAACCTTGCGGTGCCCGGATCGTGGTGCGATACGGGCTGGATGGAGCAGGAGCGGAGCCACGTGATGCGGTCGGCGAGGAAGGCGCGACTCCGGGGAGAGTGTTGTGCACTATTGTCGGAGGGTACCGAGGGGCGCGACGTCCTGAGGGTGACTCGGGTTCCGAAGTAGCATAGAGAGAAGGGGGCTGGCTGGTCGTGTAGGATGAGGCTGATGAAGTGTGGCGGTGGTGGCTTTGGGGCACTGCCGGCCTGGTCGTGTAACCGGGCGCTTGCCCAAAAGGGTCGGTCGGAGGAACAGGCGCCTCTGGGAAGCCTGTTCGGATGGGATATGAAGCGTCTGATCCAGGAGATTCGACGGCGACTTCGTTCGAACCTATGGAAGCTGTGCCGAGTGACGATCGCTTGTACGATTTGCTGGCGGAGAGCGAGACATGTGGATGTGGATACTTCTTGCTCTTGTCCTTCTTAGCGCCGAATTCAATGATAATTTCGGGCTTGAGTGCAGTCACCCGTTGCCCATCTCGGGTGGAGGGCCTGCGCGCGACTCCTGAGGGCTCACGGCGCTCCACATAATAGGTTCCGGTTGGCGTAGGCGGGTTGTTTGAAGCCGGTGAAGATGCATCGTCGCGGGAGACTTGCGACGGGGCCGGTTTAAAGTATTCAGTCGTCCTCCTCTTGACCTTCGAGCACAGCTTCCCGCGATGGGCCTTGTCGCAGTGGTATGTGTCCTCAAAGGTCTGGCGCCGGCCGTCCGCCGTAATGTAGACACGCTCCTCGACCCGGCACATGGCGGCGGTTGGTGTGGAGATTTGCTGCGCGACTCGGTGTGAGAATTCCTGTCCTCAACCTCCTGAGAGGCGAGGTTGGGATTCCCTGGGTTGGTCCTGGGTTGGTGTTGCGGTTGCGATGCGCGCTTATCCCGAAATAAGATCCGAAGCCCGATGTATAGTAGAAATAGATTGTCCCGGAAGAGTTGACGAGGGTGGAAAAAGCTTCAGGTACCTCTGCGGGTGTCGGCGGTAAGGAAGTACAGAGCCGGCGGTCACGTAGATATCTCCTGTGGTCTCGAGGTTTGGAAACGCGAATGTACTTAGGTAGGGGGTTGATGACTATTTAAAGACACAGGTGACGGCCCAACTGAGACAAGGTGTGGCTAGTGAAGGGTAGGAGTAAGAAGAGGCGTCGAGGACGAATGCAGAAAGAGGCAGAGAGGCGAATGCGAGCAAATAAAGATGTCGTGCAGGAGGAGGATGCAGGTAGTTATGCACCGTGTAAAACAAGAGTAGTAGCCCTACCGGGGCGTCGCTGGTATTATATGGTGCGGCGCGGATTGGAGCCTGAAGGGGGGCGCTGCGAGTGGCCAGGGAGAAATTGCACGGTGAGGAGACTAGGAGCGCGAAACAGGGCCTCGGAAAGAAAAAGAGAAGCCAGGCCGCAAGACGAGCACGATGGGCATGCATGAACGGGGAGCCGGCCTTCGTGGGGTCCATCTCGTCTTGGACGGGCAGCGCAGCGACGGTGAATTGCACAGCCGCAACGAGCCCGCGACCCAGCCACGGGCCGGCCTGCGCGCCCCTGCTGCGACCGGTCTGCCGTCTGAGCGTGCCTGAGGAGCAGAGGGATAGAAGCCGGCGCGCAGCTATTGGAGAATTGTTGGGGGTTTCGTGTCCGGCCGGTCACTCGCTGCCGCTATGACACTGTCTCAGACTCGGGCTTGGGCAGCTATCGCGACGCTGCTGCTGCCCCGGGGGATGCCCGCCATCGTCTGCCCGCCATGGCAGCAGCGATGTCGCGCGATGCGGCGAAGAACTGGCCGTCTTGTGATGCGGCGGCTGCCGATGCCAAAGGATGAGGGTCGAATGTTGCTTTCAGCGCAGGCAGCTGAGGACGAGCGAGGCCGGCGATGTGGAGGCGATGCAGTCATCTGTCATCCCCCTGTCACCAGCCACAGGTCCCTCGAGCCAGGCACGAAACGGAAAGTCTTCATCAGCGCCCAATGCCCGACGATAGTGGCCGTATTGGCGGATGAGACGGTGGGCTCGGGCCTGTCCATTCGCTGGTGGGGCCTCGAGATGCAGCGGGCGCTAGGGATCGCACCGCATCGGCCTGCGCTCTCGAGCAAAGACTCACCGTTCGCAGAGGTCTGCATCTTGCGGCATCGCAACGTCCGCCAACTCCCCCGTGGAACACCCTCCTCATCACAGAATCATGCGACTACCCGTCCGGCGTCCAGCGACCTGCGATAGATTGCCGTCCAGACGCAAATATGCCTGCCCGCGTGCGTAGTTGCCTGGAGCGCCGGCCGAAACCGGGCGACTCGACGTGAGGATCCAACCACCATATCGCAGCACGCCCACGGCCCATGGCCAGACACAAGCCTCTGTCATCAGCGCCCTCTCTGTCGAAGCGCGAGGAACCTTCTTCCTGCTCGCGCCGGCCCGTATCCGCGTGCCCAATGGCTGACGATTCGCAGAACGAGCAGTCCTGTCTCCCAGTCCAATCTCCACCACCGTCATCAGCTTTACTCCAGCAGTTGCACAGGCGCCTCGATATGCGCAGGGCAGAAGACGGTGTGGCCTGCATGATTCCCGTTTTAGTCCCACCCCAAGGATCCTCTCGATCCTCAGCCTCGCGCCAAAGCCACAGCTGTACGTAGGCGGTGGACGGCCGCATACCGCAACTTGGGGGCCGTTTCTCTACATGCTACGCTACATGCTACCGAACGCTCTCTCATCGCTTAATTGATTTCAAACCGGATTTCGCATCAATTGGAGGCGATTTCACCGACTTGGAAAGACGAGCGGCCGAATTGGGCAGGGACGGTGCATAGCCACAGATATAAGCAGCCACAGCTTGGCGTGGTGTTGAGGGGACACGAGATGTTCGCAGCTGCGAGACGTCGGAGATAAGAAGGCTGCGGAAAGAAAGGAGCATTTCTCGCTCACGCACCTGTTTCTCCTCGTCAGGGGGTTCCAGAGCGCTCTCCTGTCATTCCTGCGTGGTGCGGCTGCTCTGATTTGACCGTCGCCAAAAATAACTCACCACATATCCAAACCTCAAGCGCTCCGCGACAGATCTCACACACAAACAGCGACTTCTCGGGCTTCACATGGAAGCCACACTCGCCTCCGTGCCCAAACAGATTATCCCAAGAAGAGCTCAACTTCCGGCTAAACAATGCAGCTGCCGGCCGTGGAGGGATCGAGGGACGATACGGCGCTGCATTGGCCAACCATCAGCCACGCAGCCACACACCGCTAGCCCTCGACTGGCCTAAGGCGTGGCACAGCGCCGTGACCTCACCTCCAACCCTCGTGAAACCTTTCCCTCCGCAGAGCGGCTTCCGTCTCACTCGGCTCGCCTCCAGCGCTCTGGAGCTTCAGATCGCGAAGCAGGTACCTGGTTACATTATAGCGTAAACGGTCCTGGTCGGAGTTAAACACTGCTTCGAGACGGCAAGCAAAGATCACCGAAAGCAGCGAACAACTTTGCCGCCAGGCCGGCTTTATCAGCCCCAGGCAGCTATCAATGAAGCACTCGACATATCGTACGATATGTGAAATCTCGCGCTTCTGGTCTCGCCGCCGTATCCACGACCGTCACGGAGAGCGAAGCCGGCAGCGCGACCAGCTATCGTCACACGAGATACGCGTACGGCACAGTCAAGGCTGTGAACTGATCAGTCATCCAACAGGAAGTATTTCCAGCCCATGAAGTGCCACAGTCACACTGCATTCTGTGAGCAGTACCCGCTGTATGGCAAGAAAGAAAGATGGTATTCGTAAGCAAGTCCTTTCTAATCAGTCTCACGAATTGCCAACTTCTTCAGCTCTTGCCGCGAGGCCACCAGCCAGGCAGCTCTGCATAGACAGCATTTTGCCCCGCTGATTAACAGCACCTGCACCGTCGATTTCAAACGTTCCAAAATCTCACCACCTTCCGAAACACTCCGTGAACCTCAGCCTCACATTCCCTTCTGCACATCTTGTCGATATGCATGCACATGCGATTTCGCCGCCCCGAATCCCTCCGGCGGAGATCTCAACAATGCCGTATGTATAATCCTGTCGGCTATACCTAGCGTATCCGTCAGCCACAGAACTCCTCTGCTACGCCTCTTTCACTCCTCCGCGCATTAACCTCCAACCACAGCCCCCGAATCCATATATCGACGAGGCTATGCGCGCTCTCCCGCACTTTAGGTTACAGGGAGGAACAACAAGCTTTTGAAATAACCCTTGTCCAGCTGAAGTTGCTGCTCAGGCGTGCTAGAGGTGCGGGATTGAGCGTTTGACGAGCGGGCTGCAAGGCTGCAGTGCAATCTGAGGCGAACACCTTGGTTGTCGGATCTCGGCCCAAGGAGTATGCTGGAGATGGTCAAGTGGGCGTGGACTACGCCGTAAGTCGTGGCTCGGAGTTATGCTACTCACGTGAAAGCAGGCTGCTGCGGTTCATATCGCTCCACTACTTCCCGCTGTTTCGACCGTTGGCCTCAACAGAGAGGGCCCCCACCCTGTTAGATGAGCCGGACAGTAGGGTGAACGCCCACGGCTTCAGTTGGCTTGAGGGCCACCCGCGCATGCTTACTCAAAGACATCCCATGTGCATACCTAGATACCCACCGCCAGCATTCAAACAACCCGAAACCGACCTCAACCTTCAGCTCGCTCCCTAAGAACGAACCAACACACGCCCCATCAATCCGTCTGTAGCAATAAAGCCCGCACCACCGAGCTCCACTCCACGCGATCCAACCTGCTTCCGGGGCGACTTTCTATCTCGCCTTCATCATCGGCTCCAGCGTTGGGCAACTCCACAGCTGAGCCGGGCAGCTACGCCATTACCGACCAACCGCCCGACGCCCGAGCAACGCCTTGCGTGCCGCCTCGCCATGCGCGTCGCGCTACCGCGGTCTCACGTGGGGCGCGTTTTGCCGCTCGCAAGGTATGCGGAATTGGGTATGTGCATATTGCGCTCGCTGATGGCCACTTGTCTCGGGACTTGTATGCTGCTGCCTTGTAGTTAGATAATGGCGAGGAAGGTGGGAAGGCAGGTAGGTTGAAGAAGCACTGTGCGTTCCCGCCCGCCCAGCAATGAATGAACCCCGCTCTACGAACTAGGCAGACATGCTTCTATCGGAGCAGAGCAGAACAGAACAGTCCTTCCGTCCTGGACTGAATAGTATCCATCTCCATACAGTTAGGTAGCAAAGTCTCGAACTAATATCAGTATATTTGTTACTACCTTGCATTTCCATCGCCATTCGCTGGCCTAGCCTGCGGCAGCCTTCTCTCCACACGAAGCAGGGTCCCTTGTATCATGCTCATCTCACAGAATACACACCGCCCCCTCACAGATAGGATAGCCTTTTCATTCCATTACGCACCACAGGTGAAATGAACCGCTCCGCTCCCTTAACCCCACTTCCCCCTCCTCTTCTCATTACCATCCCAATCCCAACCCACCACACCGCCCGACCAGTCTCTCCAGGCCTGTCCTCATTTTCCTTTCCCTTCCTTTTCCCTTCTTGCGCGATTGACCGACCAATCTCAACGTTCGACTTGTTTCCTCGCCCCGGAATATTTTGCTTTAGGTGCGGGCAATGAACATTTCGTAACGGGCTGTGGATAGATATCTAGATCGGTAGATTTGCCAGCTGGATTCGTTGCTATCCCGACTGCCTTGCTGATTCTGTCTACCTTTTTGACAGCCGTGCCTAAGTCGTGGCCTTCCATATCCGCATACTTTGACTGCAGTGGTTAACAACGCATCACGTAAGCATAGCGGAAAGAGAGGTTATCAGAAAGAACAACGGGATATACAAACGTCCACATTGCCGTACAAATATGTACATATTCTACAATCCACGCCTGCCTATCTTACAAACCGCTCCATCCCATCTCATTTCAACTCCTCGCATCTCCCTCACCCCTCGCAGCCTCCTCCACGCCGGGCCTCACCTCCCCCAAACCGCGGCTCCCGCCCCCCTGCTGCGCAAGGTCGTGCAACATATTCGCCAAGTCCTGCGCCTGCGAGCTTTGCTCATCCAGCTCTTTGATTCCGCTCTTCCCCATGCCGCTCGTCAAATCAGCCATAGGGTCCTGCTCCACTTTCTCCCGCGCCGGCGGCCGGTCCTCCAGCTCCCCCCTCGCAACCTTGATTTCTGAGCCTGTAGCGCGATCCAGCTTGATATGGATACGTCCATCGTTTGTCACGGATGCATAGCGCGGGTGCACATTGACTTTTGCGCCGCCCTCGGTGTGCACGTCGATGAATTGCACGTCATTAGGTCTGTGGTAAAAAGGCCGGGCGCTGGAACCAGTGTTGGAATAGTCGTCGTTTGCGACAAAGCCCGCCACGCCGAGCCGGGCGTACTTCTCAGTTGATGAGTTTGTCTCGAGGGGCTGGACGACGCGGGCGCTTACTGGCGTGCGTTCGCCTTGCGGGCCGAGGATGGGGTGGTTGCTGAGGTAGGCGTTTGTGCGGAGGTAGCCGAGACCGGCGGAGGGGTGGGTGGATAGCGGCGCTCTGTCGTCGTCGAAGCGGTACTGTTCGATCTCGTTCTTTGTGCTGTCCATGTGGAATGCTGTGTTCTTGAACTTGATGTTGGGGAGACGGAGGAAGGGGATTATGAGTCTTTGGACGAGCTTGGATGCCAGTGGGTCGACGGCGGCTTCTCGCCGCAGGGCTTTGATGCCGGCGTTGATGTCTGCCGAGGTAATGTTGGCCCATTGTTTTTCTTGGGCAGCCCGTTGTTCTTCCGCTTCTGCTTCCTCGAGCGCCATGCCGGAATTCCGTGATGAGTTTTGGCGTATTGTGTAGATTTCGTTCTTGACATATTGGACGAGGTATTGGTTGAACTCCTTTCGCCGGGCGGTAAGCTCTTTGGTGACGTATGTGGTGAATTCGTCGGCGCTCATTCCGGGAAGCCAGGGTCCGTCATGTTTCCAACGACGAGCGTTGTGTCGAGCCGGGTCGGGGTGGGGTAAGCTGTAGGGAATAAATGATGCCGGGGGAGCGTTTGGATCCCGTCTCCGGGCTACCGCGGCCTTTGCCTCCTCTTGTATATTTGCTTTCACACTTTGCTTGACGGTCTCCAGGATCAATCCAGCCTCATCCAAGCCCTCGTCGCCCTCGTACGATGTCACATCGGACCGATGCTCGAATGCGCCACCGGGCTGTATATTTCCTACGCCCGTCTCCCTCATAGCGGCCATGCCCTTCATCATCGGAATGCCCAGCTCTTCCCACTTCTGCCGTGTCCGCACATGGTCCGCCGCCGAGTCGAAGTCTGTGACATGCTCAATGGTATCGAGCTGCTTCACGCGCACCACCGGGTTGCTCGTCTGGACAAGATGCGACCGGGAGGGCAGAGGTCTTTTCAATCCCCAATCTCCACGAGCGAGGGAGCTGGGTGTTGTCGCGATGGCCTGGTGCGTAGGAAAAGGGAGCGTTGCGGTGTCGGAAACTTTCTGCACGCCTGCGCCGTACGTTTCGGCGACGTTGGGCCGCGGGAGGGGGTTCGGGAGGGAGAAGAGGCGCGAGTTGCGCAGCAGGTTTGCGGTGGGCGACAGATTCTGGCGCCGGAGGGCCATGGCGATGCGGCAGCCGCTGGTGGGGCGTCAATGGCGGCTGGAGTGACGATGCTCGTCGGGATGGACGGTGCAAATCGTAAATCATGAAGCTTAGCCGGATCAATGTTTCGCCGTGGTCCGTGCAGGGAGCCATTCCAAGGTTAGATCGAATGCATCCCGCCGACATCACGGCATATTCGCGAAAGCGTGTGAGGGCTGTCGAGATTGGTATTCATTTCTATGTCTACTATGGGCTGCCCGGAGCATCCTTGTTGCTGCATCTGACCTCTCCGGGTCCGTTGTCTTCTACCCATGCTTGCATCAACTCAGGTTTCAGCATTCAAGCGGAAGAGATAATAGGTCTCTATCCTGCAGTTGCACTCCTCAAAACAGTGCTTTTCTCCGGCGTGCTGGAATTATTGGTGCCCGTAGCTGGGCTATAGCATTGCACCGAAGAGCTGGCTTCGGATGGCAATGCAAATTCTCAGATGTATGTCCATGAAGCGGCAGGTCGTTCATCCAGGCAGGTGCTTGTCCCAGTCTCGGTCGTCTTCATCTTCGTCATCGCCCTTCTCAGCCGTGGTCGACTCATTCCTGTTCGACCTGGAAAGGGGAACATGTCCCTCGATGACCATGAGAAGCGGTCCGTAACTCGGTGAAGGCGGCACGGGAGGCGCACTTGCCACGCGTTCCTTTATGCGCTCCTGGATGAGGTCCTTGCTTGTCTTGCTCAGCCGGCCTGGCGTCTCTCCGCGTTCGATGGCGAGGTCGGCCAGGGCATCGTCGCGTGCTGCCCATGCCGCCGCGATATCCTCTTCTTTTGGGGGTGGCGGGGTCGCAGCCCCCTTCTTGAGCCGCAACGGCAGCCCCTTGCGATGCTCCTCTGCGTTATCCACCATCAGCTCGATCTTGTCTCCGTATCCGCCCTGACGCAGCCATGCCGGCTCTTCGTTCAGCTGCACCTTGACGTAGAGCGCCCGCTTCGCGCAGTCGTCCGAGCACCACACCTCCAGCACCTTCCGATCCACAATCTCCACGCCCTTTGCCGTGTCGATGAAGTGCTTCTTGGCCCGCGAGGGCGCCTTCCGCTTTGGCCGCGGGCACAGCGCATAACCGCACTTGTCGGCAATATTGCGTTCCTCGATGAGCGAATCGTAGTCTGCAGGCTGAAAGGGAATCACAGACTCGCAAAAGCAGAGAGCGTCGGAGGCAGAGGGCCGGGTTGGATCTGCGTTGGGCGCGGTAGGAAAGTCCATCAGCACCAGGATAGCGTCCAGGACCTGCTGCTCGACGGTCTTGCGCTGCTCGATGATGTTTGCATGGTGGAGCGCGAGATCGAGGTGGCGCTGGTTGACGGGCCTTGCGGACGGCGGCGCGTCCGCGGACACGGCTGTCTTCTTAAGGATCGACTTTGGCGGCATGCCGGCGGGTTGCGCGGTTGATGTGAAGAGCAGTCGCTGATCGTCGTCGACTACGAGCAGCTGCTTGCGTGAGCGTGGAGCTCGCGCCAAGGCCGGCGCGGGGCGTTTTGTCGTGGCTTTGCATGACGAACACTCCGGCCTCACCACCGAGCAACGGCCAAACAGTCTCCCCTTTCCCCCATATTCGCTCGCACAGTGCTCTATGGGAGCTCCCCGCAAAGGTGAGATTTCCCTGCTTCCTCCCCGCACCCCGCACTGTGTCTGGGCTGACAGAGTCGCTCCCAGCCAGCGCCTACGCAATATCCCACGCACATCCGCGCTGCATAGCCGCCTCTGAAACAACCCTCGACATCCGCCATAGCGCCCCCTCGGCGGCGACAGGAGCTGTGTTTGCCTGACCGCATCCCGAAGCTCCGCCGGTGCCTCTCCGCCGCCTGTGGTCGTCGTCGCCATGCCGGGCTTCAAGGTCAAGGCCGTCTACGAGTACTCGTCGCCGCACGAGGACGACCTGAGCTTCCCAGTAGGCCAGGTCATAACCGTGACCGAGGAGGAGGACGCCGATTGGTATGTCGGAGAGTACGTCGACAATAGCGGCACCAAGCACGATGGCCTGTTCCCCAAGAACTTTGTGGAGAAGTACGAGCCGGAGCCGCCGCCGCGGCCCAACCGGGCATCGAGACATAGGCCATTGGAACAGCCCGCGGAGCCCGTAGCACCCCCGACGCCTGAGGTGCCGCAGCAGGAGCCAGCTCCGGTGCACCAGGAAGAGCCAGAGGCGCCCAAGCCGCAGCCCGCGCCTGTCGAAATTCCGCCGGCGGCCAAATCGCAGCTGTCTCCCACGTCTCCCGAGTCCGCCCAGAGCGCAAGGTCCCAGGAGCTTCCTAAGCAACCCCCGCCGACTCCAAGACCTGCTCCAGCTGAGCCGGCCACTGCTCCGTCCGCGAAGAAGGCACCTCCGCCCGTGGCCGCAAAGTCGAGCTCCTTTCGTGACCGTATTGCAGCCTTTAATCAGCCTGCTGCCGCCCCAATTCAGCCCTTCAAGGCTAGCGGAGGGCCTCCCAGCAACTTCATCAAGAGGCCTTTTGTTGCTCCTCCCCCAAGTCGGGATGCCTATATTCCGCCTCCACGTGAAGCTCCGCAAGTGAAGACGTATCGCCGTGAAGAAGATCCGGAAATTGCAGAGCGCCAGGCGCAAGACCGGGAGAACGCGGAGCGGGCCGGGCTGGCTGGTCATGGTGCTGCACCCACCAACGAAGGCGAGGAAGAGGACCAGCCCAAGGTTACCAGCTTGAAAGAGCGCATAGCTTTATTGCAGAAGCAGCAGCAAGAGCAGGCAGCACGTGCAGCTGCGTTGCACAAGGAGAAGCAAAAGAGGCCGCCAGTGAAGAAGAGGACCGAGTCTCATGAACGTAGGCCAGAGGAAGGCGACGGTGCAGCACTCGAGAAGGTTCTCAGCGGAGAGTCGAGAGAACGTGGATCGATGGAGCACGCTCGACCGCCCCGATCATCGCACAGCATGAAGTCCCCGGATGTGCAACATCTAAATCGTGAGCTTCTGAGTGATGCGAACGATGCGGACCAATCAGGAGCCGGTGATACGGAAGATGCGGAGGGCACGTCCACCAGCGTCGAGGAGGATGACGAGCACGCCAAGCATAGAGCTCCGCCTAGAGCACCTACTGCGCCAACCAAAGAGGCCGATGTCGGTGACGAGAACGAGGAAGATGAAGACGAAGAGGACGAGATGGACGCCGAGACAAAGCGGAAGATGGAGTTGCGCGAGCGCATGGCCAAGATGAGCGGAGGAATGGGCATGCCAGGCATGAGCATGTTTGGCGGTGGTCTCCCAATGGGTGGCTCGTCGCAGAGGAAGAAGAAGGCCGAAAAGAAGTCCACTGAAGACAGCGACGAGTATGTCATGCCGCAACAGCGCGTCCCCATGTTTCCAATGGGAATGCCACCAGTCAAGAGTCCGGAGCCTCAGGAGAGGCAGCTTGGCGTGGAGAAGGAGGACGAAGAGTCTCATCCCATTACCGAGGCCCGTCCTGCAGAGGAGGTACCGGATGTCGAGGATGTGACCCCACAAACTCTAAGGACTCCGACTGCGGAGCGTCCACCTCCTGTCCCAGCAGAGAGTAAGTTTCTGATCCCTCGAAAGCCTGTTGAAGATGGTCCTGTTCGCGAGACGCTGGACCGCTTTCAGCCATCATCGCCTGAGACCGTGTCAAAGACTTACGTTGCCTTTGACGGGTCTTCGGAGTATATCATGACTGTTAGCGTGTGCAGTATGTTTTGAAAGACATACCATCCTTGCCTCTCCCTACTGCCGAATCGAGCGCTGACAACATGTAGGACGGCCAATTCCTCCGCCAATCCCCACTGGCGATCGACCAGCCCCTCCTCCAGTTCCTTCAGCTTGTAAGTGTGATGATGTGAATGCGTTGAGAAGATGTTGACGTACATGTAGCTCGTCCTGCGCCGCCAGAGCAAGTTCGCTCTCCCAGCCCTGGTTCTGAGTCTGGCGATGAGATGACGGATGCTCCAGCAGCACAGACTGTTGCGTCACCTAGGACACCGTCAGCTCATCCGCCTTCGAAGCGGAGCTCGTACCTCGCATCAGATGAGATGTCCCAGGATTCGCCAGACAAGCGTGTGCCACCAATCCCGTTAGGAAGCCCAACATTCTCTCCAACATTAGCATCTCGGCCGCCTCCACCACCTCCTCCGGGCGCTCCTCCATCCCGACAGCCGACCATGGAGAGCGTGCCCAAGAGGATTGATCGTAACGAAGGTGAAACCGATTACGAGGGCGATTACGATACCGATATCGCTCCGGGCGCAACGCACAAGGACGCGTTGAAGGCTCATGCGAGAGAACCGAGCATGGATGACAGCACCACAGCTGACGAGCCGTCCTCTGCTCGCTCTCCAACAACTCCAGCTGGTCCTCCACCATTGCCGCCGTCCGTCTCTCGTGCTGTTCCCCCTCCTCCCCCGCAACAGCCTCCAAGCAGAGTGTCCATGGATGCTCCGCGAGGTGCGCCACCCCCGCCGCCAGTCCCACCGCCGGCGCGAAATGTTGAAGAGGATGACGATGATTACGACCCGTACCGGTATACCGGGCCTCCACGAGCGGTTCCGCCGCCACCCAGGGCAATGCCTCCACCGCCTCAGAGTCAACCTCCTCCACCGCAAAACCGGCCACCGCCACCGGCGATGCCGCCAATGCCTCCCTCAATTCCACCGGTGCCTCAGCACCAGGCTGCGGAGTCTTCAGATGAGGACGATCTGTATTCATCACCACCTCCTCGCAAGTCTCATGACCGGCCGCCGCCACCACCGCCTCAGGCACCCCCTCACCAGTATCGACCGGAGAGGGCAGCTCCTCCTCTTCCGCCACAAGAGCGGGTCGTTCTGCCTCCCCCACCACAAGAGCGAGCAGCCCCGCCGCCTCCGCCACCGGAGTCCGCACAGCAGCATAGGGCGCCCATGGGTCGGAAGTCTCTTGACGTGAATCGAGCAGTTCACCAAGGCCGTCCTTCAACTGAACAGCCTCGTCCCTCTGCTAGCCAGGAGTTTATCGCTAGCGATATCGATCTTGGTGCGTCGACTCACTGGTGGACCCAGCCGAACATGGCACCGCCGTCTCTTCAAGGCCGCAAAGACGTTCTTGTCGAGAAGTATGAGTCGAGGTCCGGCAATACCGTCGAGAAGGCCATCTTTGTTCTGTACATGGATTATTCGCAGACTGTCGTCACGGCTCGCTTCGAGGCGAATGACGTCTCCCATGTTGAGCTTGAGCAGCGTCACGAGCCGCCGCCTCCGCGTCTTCGACAGGATCAACTCGAAAACGCTCATGAGCAGTACGGATTGAAGATTGCGAAGGATGTCGAGTCGAAGCAGGGCTCTGTTGTTGGGAACGGCGCCCCGCACGACCTGATCAGCGTGCTGCTCCGGCCATACGAGGACGCTCTGCCACCGGTGTCGACGCGCTCTTTCGGTGCCCTGGTGTATGTCAACCTGGCAAACGCGTCGACTCAGCAGTACGATGAGATCCGCCCTGGCGACATCATTAGCTTCCGCAACGCGAAATTTCAGGGCAAGCATGGCGCCATGCATGCAAAATACTCTGTGGAGGTGGGCAAACCGGATCATGTGGGCGTTGTGGTCGAGTGGGACGGCAGCAAGAAGAAGGTTCGTGTGTGGGAGCAGGGTCGCGAGAGCAAGAAGGTTAAGCCTGAGAGCTTCCGCATGGGCGACTTGCGCTCGGGTGAGGTGCGTGTTTGGCGCGTCATGGGCAGGAGCTGGGTGGGCTGGAATTAGCGGCCTAGCTAGCCGGTCGGTGTTTGTGCGTGCGAGATTAGGTGGTGTGGGTCAGTGAAAGCCGTGTGTGTAGGTAACCCATTCTTGGCGTCCTGTATGTTTTGCAAATTGTACAGTCTCTGCACCTCACGTCCACATCCACACACGTCGTCATCAGCGTACTTTCCTACCTGCTATACGCATCACGTACCCTGACGACCTCCAAGCCCTCATCACACGTCACTTTCCACTATCAAACACCTATCTACAACACCATGGCCGCCCCCCGCCAGCAGCAGCAACAGCAGCAGCAGCAGCAGCAGCCGTACGAGCTCCGCCCGACCCTCGAGGCCCTCCACCACCCCCCCGCCCGCCAGGCCCTTGCGGCCGCCATCTCGGCCGCCATCTTGGCCGGCCGTTGGGACCTCTTCAACGCCCTGCTGGCCCCGTTCTTCGCCGAGCAGCGCGCGCAAGATGCTGCCGCTGCCGCTGCCGCCGCCGCCAACGCCCGCGCTCAGGCCCGCGCCCGCGCCCTCGCCCGCGCCCTCGCCCTCGCCCACGCCAACGCCGACGCGGTCCCGCGGATGCTGAACCAGCGGCGGCAAGGCATCAAGGTGGAGGAGGGGGAGGAGGAGGAGGAGGTTGCTGGGGAGGGGAGGGAGACGAGGAAGGAGAAGAAGCGGAGGAAGAGGAGGGGGAGGAAGGAGAGGAAGAGGATGGAGAGGAAAGGGGGGCAGGAGGGGATGGGGGGTGGGGAGGAGGAGGAGTGAGCGGGGGGAGGGGGAGGATGGGCGGCGCTGGCTGAGCGGAGCCGGCTGGGGGCCTTCGGGCTGGTAGTTGCGGAGTGGAATCGGAGTTGGTTTGCTTCTGGGTGATATGTGTGTCTTGCTTGTGTGTGTGACGTGATGTGTGTGATGATACAGGCTGTTTCTGCTATACGCCCACTATTGTGCTACGTGTTGAAGACTGAAGACCTCCCGGCTGGGGATTACGGAAGCAAAGCCGGCTTGACGTGACGCCTGTATCGAGGTCTCCGGGTAGGAGGGTTCTCCTAATCTATCTGTGTCACTGAGAAGTCCCGCCTTTATTTAAGCGCCTGGAGAGCTTCGGGCTTGACTACGGCTTCGTGGACTGGGGGATGGAATACGTACCGAAGGCTATCAGGTGGGGCTTTACGAAAGCCTGCTTGATGGCTTTGTCGATGCTGTTGGACGGCAATGCTCCTCCTATGTCTCTACATCATTGAGAATGTCTGGCTTTCTTCAACCGTGCGAAGGCCTTCAGGCTTTCCGGCACGCTTTTCGCAGTGCATTGAGGCTCTCCCGTTTTCCGATATGCTGGTAGCTTGAAGAATACGTGAGACCAACCCTGGACTAGGCCGCTGGTGTGGCTTGCTGGACTTGAAATGTGAAAAGAGTGATGTTTTTAAGATTTGTCATACATATTTAAGGATTGAGAGTGTTGGACACGGGGCGAAGCATCTATCTATGCCTGTTGTTTCTGAGGACGTAACATGTATGCCAGGGGTCTTGAAGGCAGGATATCGGTGTCATCTAATTCTCATATGATTCGTTGAGTCTCTCCAGGAGTGGCTTTTGCAGGCCCGGGCTAGGGTGTATCAACGTATGCGCCGTAGCATATACAGTTCACGTTCGACAACACGAGTCTGCTATTTGGAGAGTATCTGACTCAAATATAACAGCACGGGGAGATGTACATGATATAACCTTTAATCTCGAGAAGATATCAAGGTGTAAGTTGGATTGATAGCTACCCTACCGTGTCTACAAGACTCAGTAACTTCCGGACATAATTGTTATTTTAAACCTCTTGAAGCATGAACTTCGCGAAACGCTAGGTGGCCAGCACAGTTATCGAATCTTTTAGCCTCAAAGCACAATATATACGTCTCTAGGACGAAGACTGTAGTCGTTAGTAGAAGATATGATGCTTCGTGGAGCGGAAATTAGGCGTTGCGCCACAATCCCATTAACTGTGATGCACACCGCCACAGGTAGCAGCGTAAACTTTTGGAGCCGCGCCCGCTTCTTACCTGCTCTTTGGCCAACACCTCACTTTCCGGCCCGTAAGTACTGTCCTGATTCCCCGTTCAAGCCTGCCTGTGGCGCTATCTAGGTAGAGTGCGAAGCTAACGTGACGCCTCTGGCGATTTGCTATGTAGATATCAAGACATACGTTCTGTCCGCGTCCTCTCCGCCGCCATGACCAAATACACGCCCCAAGTCGTCCAGCTGAAGGACTTCTTCCCCTCCATCGTGCCGAAGCGATGCGTTTTCTGCTGCGCGCCCGTCAAGATCGAATTCGATACCACAAGCTGCGTGCCGTGCACGCTGAAGCAACTGTCCAAGGACGAGGAGGATGTAGAGGAATTGAAGTTTCGAAAACACATCTACCACATCTTCAACTTCTATATCGACGTTCGAAGGAAGACCTTCTCGGACATTGTAACTTCCGTCAAGGACAGTCACGGGGACTACATCTTCTTCTTCGAGCGAGGAACCCCGGGCGTGAAGACTTCCTTGCCAAAGATACCAGGGCTCAGCATGGAGAAGCAGCGGGAAATAGATGAAGCGCTTCTTATGGCGTTGGAGTGCGATCACGTACTTACTATGCTGCATCCAATCTTGCAGAGAGAGTTCTTCGGTTAGTCAACCCTTCATATCCTCGTTCGATTTCGAGTCCGATCATGTAGAACAAGCAGCTAATGGAATAAATACAGAATCTCCAAGTCCGGTCAGGTCGATTATCGAAATCGGCTTTAACACCACACATTATGATGGCAGCTTCCATTATGTTTACAAGATCGAATTCTACAACGGTCGTCTCTTCGCCGTAGACTTCTCCGGGCGACAATGGGGCTGGTGGCCTTTGGTACGACCGTGGGACGAATACGCACGAGAAAACGTGCAGGAGATCAGCGATACGAAGCCTTTCGGAAATCGAAGGGAGATGCTGCAACGAACGTGCAGCCACATCCAAGGGGCGATGAAGGCAGCCGTACTTCCTCCGTACGACACTATATATGGCAGGCAGCCATTCGGTTGGGATCCGGAGAGGGGGAGTGTAAAGGAGGAGCAGAAATTGGTGGAGATTTACCGGTGGCATCTCGCTGAGGAAAGGATGCTGGAAGTGTGGGAGGAATGGATTTGGGGAGAGGAGGAGGCATAACTTTTGATAGAATAATTCATGAATACGGAACCCGCCAGCATCTTAAGCTGCCACTCTAGAGAATTCCAAATTCCCTTCAAACTCAGTACAAGGAATTTCGAGTTATGAGGGGACAGAGCGAAGAGCGTGAATAGATGGAGATATGAGCATATTAGTTCAACCTTTCCGAATCCGGGCATACTTTTCCTGACCACCAATTGAACAGACGAGTTTAGTCCTGCCTTCCAATCACGAATCTAGCTCACTATCAAAGTACTCTGATCTCGACGGAGAACAAGGGAAGGAGATATTGAGGAATAATTTCAAGGAGTTGTGCGATGGGAAGCTACCTCAAGCAATATCTCACCAGACGCTCACGGACCTGGCTAGTGAGATGCCGCACCTGAATGGCCGTCAGATCAAAAGTCTTGTCTCCTTTGCTCGCCTGGTCTCGCAGGTGGACACGAACGTCGGCTGGGTTGAGGCTATCCGAAGCATTCATAAGCCGAACCAGAAAGGACAGCCTGTCAGGAAAAACCCCGATTCTATATCGCCTGCCCATGAGACGGAATCGGGACCATTCAATAATATTCCCTATCCGACTAGCATGGAGATGGAAGAGAACGTCGACCTTGTACTTTTGGGTACATCGACAGAACGGGAAGTTCAGGATGCGAGAGAATCACCAGTGTCTCGAAGACCGTCAATGGCGGCTGGGCTACACGTTGAAGGAAGGGACCGTCACGCGAGATATACGTTAGCAGCGAGATCCGATGGATTAGGTGGAAGTAGTGATGGGGGAAGAGAAGTGAATTGACCACGACCAATACTTCACATGAGAACCACCACATTCTAAGCCCACGTCACTGTCTTTTGAGAAAAGGGGTGGATAATGGGACCTCGAGGTCGGTACGTAGTGTCTTGAGTACCATTAAAGTCTAAGGCCGCTCATCGTGCCAGCAACATATTAACTGAAACCATCAAAGAACTAGCCAACATGAGGCTACCTAGCCAGTACTGCGCACGTACTAATATCCTTTGCCCTTCCCCTCCTTTCTTTACCTCTTTCTCTCCATCATCCTGGTCTGGCTGAGCAGGATCAGAAGAAGGGGCTGGTGTGCTGCCGTATAGTCGCGATGCAATGGGTCAGGGGGTGTGTCCACGAGATTGGAAGGGGACAGGCTAAAGGAACTGGAGCACCGGGATAGCTTGAAGGATTTGAATGCTGAAAAGAGGGTGAAGCGCTTCAGGATAGGCTTTACCTATTCAAAGATTGAGGGTGTCGAACACACTGACGCCGCGTCTATTAGATCGGACCTGCAATGGGGTGGGGTTTGTTAGCATCTATGATGGCTCTAAGAGCCTGCGCTCCCTGTATATGCCCTTTCCTTTCTAGCAAGCAGGAGACAAGGACAGCTCCTTTCGGGTCCACGGCAGGAATATATTAGACCTTGGGATGGTATCCAGTGTTTCCAAATGCGTTATTCAAGCTCAGCCCGCTAGGCGACTGACAGCACGGTATCGTCCGGAAGCGGTACCTGGAGTGCTTCGCTGCCAGATCTCCAATAGATGCACTTTGCCAGCCTGCATTCTCCTAGTGCCACTACATTCTCCAAACCAGGTCCCGAGGATCTGTCTGTCTTTCCTATCAGTATATTGTAGAGAGTGCGAAAAGCTGCTACGATTTGGGAACGGTCGAGGAATGTATCGCCGGGGCGGTCAACAAGTACGGGTCGAGGTGAGGTGGGAGAACTTGACAGTCTCCTTTCAAGGTAAGCGGTGTTAGTAGGGCAGACCTGTCGAGGCGTGAGCAGCAGCTTAGGTGCAAAGGTGGCAATTGAAAGCTATAGAGGAGCAGCGCGCAGGAGAAGGTTGGCATGGAGGTCGTAGCGGAAGCGGCCGTGGTAGGGTAGAGTCCGGAGACGGCATCTGTCTCGCAGTTAGCTTGGGATCCAAGAGTGGATCGGAGTCTGGAGTTGACATTGCAACTTAGTCTTATCTGCAGATGATAGAAGCCCAGGCATCCAAGAGCTTCGAGGTCGCGGCTGCACCTATCTTTGCCTGGGAGAGGAGGAAAATCGGATACAGATAGGGGCTGGCCACGAGTTCTAAAGAGACTAGGCACAAGGAAACAGCCAAAGGCCAATACTGAGGGGTATGAGATGGCGGTTATTCGGAAATTAAGGTTAGACCTTCTCACTTCACTTGTGACGTCGCATCCAAACACTAGCTAGCAGCCGAGCCGCTCACCCACAAAACTCGCCACCACCACCTCGAAAAAGCCTTTTACTCGCCTATATATATACCTTATATTTGAAACCTAGATTGTAAAAGTCTCCCGAGATTAAATCCGATTTAACATCGGGATTAACTTCGGGAGACTTTTACAATATTTTGGCTATTTTTTTTTATGGCCCTGGTTCGACTCTGGCTTCAATCCTTTGATTTTTAGCATAATTGCCTGTTCCACCTTATTCTGTATAGTGCGCCTTCCCTGTTAGGCTTTGACTCTGCCGTAGCCTTGAAGCGCTTCTCTGTAAACATAGCTCTAACATGACCTTCATCAGACTAGCAAAACGCCTTCTAGGTTGCCCTCATCACCTGTTAACTGCTCGATTGGCCCTCTGAGTTATGTACTAAGGCTCTCCTAGCTACCTGATCACAAGTGCGAGAGAACTATACAACATCCTGTATTCTTGGAAGAGCATAAGCTAGTGCAAGTGCTATGCTGCAATGCATTCTACCTATCTAATAAGCAATAGGCTGCTTTGCGGAATTTGGGGATGCTCTCCCCTAACCGTGAGCGATCCTCAATTCCTATCTCTAAAATTGAATTCGCCTGATCACTGTAGCAGCATAAGCCGCTTCTACCTGAATTTTGAAGACGGCATTGTGGTGCCGTATGGAGAGGTTTTAATGTTTTGATGGTGGCCATCATTACTTCCACCATGGCGCTAAATCTGAAGGCCCTTCACTTCGAGACGCACAAAACCCGTCGAATATTTTGCTTTGCTGCCTTACTCTCTCTGACTCCACGACCTCAATCCTCTTGCTATCTCGTCCTGAGCGTATTCGCCGCCAAAAACAGGCCTCTCTTCGTCATGTCTTCCAACGCATTCTCCGGCCACAGCGCCAATCCTCGCACCAAGACCGCCGTCCACGAGCGTCTCTCCAAAGCCCTCCTCCTCGTCGCCCAAATTTGGGCCCATTTCCTCTTCCTCGCGCCGTGCCGTTTGGTCACGCGAGTCATACCCATCGACGAGGTCGATGAGATTGTTCTCCTCGGCCACCGTCTTTATCAACATCTCGACAGCACAAGCGGCTTCAAGATCTGGGAAGAGAAGCACCTCGGCTATGCTCGGTTTGCGCCCGGTCTCGGCATCGACAAACGACTTCGTAAGGCGATAAGAAATTATCGCCAATGCCAATCTGCTTGCTATGCGTTCTGGGACTTCGTCCGCAAGCTTTTGAAGGGTATGACTATTATGTATAACCTTTGCATAATGTGGCTTCAGTACTGCTCACATATTTCTTTATTTTAGACGACCCCGACGTAATCGAGATCGAGTGGAAATGCGTGGTCGTGAAACCCCTCCTTGCTCTTTTTGAAAAAGAAATCGGGAGCCAAGGCGTTTGGCTCCACGACATTATCTTGATCACATGCGGGAGTGGAGAGAAATTCGTCCTAGACCTTACGGGAAGCCAGTTTGGCTTGCCGGGCTTCTTCTTCACCTATGACGAATACTCGGAATATCTGGAAGAGCGTTACGCGGAGGAGAGCAGGGATCCAGAAGAGGAGAAGGCCCGGTTCAAAAACCGGGCTTTAAATGCCAAGGACCTGGAGAGCTTTTGGCTCTGGTTATTGCGTCTGCACCTCGGCCACTTCACGGTAGAACAGCATAAGGAGCGGGTAGGCCATATACAGGTGTAGTGACGCTGCGTCACTCGGAATAGAAAAGTTTGCTGCGGCCTTCGGGCCTTCCCTGCCTTCACCTTCGCTTTTCCGAATTTTCTCACTTCCGCTTCTGTGATACCTACATCGTGACAAAGCAAACTCCTCTCTATTATTAAAGACCGTACTGGCGATCCGGTCTTTTTCCAAAGTTTACGCCCCCCGCCCGCACGGTCTGACGCTTCCATGGCAACCTCAAAATCTCGGTCACCATTGAGAGGAGCGGCACGTACAAGGAAGTCGCTCTGGCGACCGGGCAGCTCATCGACACAGACGAGTGCGAGTTTGCGAGAGACGACGACAAGCGGGCCGTGGATCCGCATCACCCCCAGCCGCGCCCTGCTCGGGATGACAACCGCTCAGAGGACCGCTCAGAGGACGAGCTCCCAAAGCTCTGGGATGCTGAGCTTGACGGCCCAATGGGACGCACTGAGCGTGCCTACGACTTTGTGAGATACTTACGAGGAGTTGTCGATGGACGGGAAGCGGTGGCTGCCAAACCACATTGAGGAGACGGCGGACAAGCGTCGACGACGAGAATCTCACAACCTTGTCGAACGCCGTCGTAAGGACAACATTAACGAGCGAATCCACAACCTTGTCGAACGCCGTCATAGGGACAACATTAACGAGCGAATCCACGACATTGTCGAACCGTCGTAGAGACAACATTAACGAGCGAATCCACGACCTTGCCGAACGCCGTCGAAGGGACAACATTAACAAGAGACTACCACAAGCCCACGTACATCGAGGAGACGGCGCACAAGCGTCGACGACGAGAATCTCACAACCTTGTCGAACGCCGTTGTAGGGACAACATTAACGAGCGAATCCACAATCTTATCGAACGCCGTCGTAGGGGCAACATTAACGAACGAATCCACGACCTTGTCGAACGCCGTCGTAGGGACAACAGTAACGAGCGAATCCACGACACGCAAGGTCACCTCCAAGATGATGATGAGAGCATGCAGCTGAATCCATGGGACGATTGCGCTACGCCTAGGTATATGGGGATTTACGAGGGAATGGGTTTGCTGGGGTGCGTTCTGGAGCTTCGACATACAAGTCATCAAGCTATGGTCGATAGAGTGATCAATGAAATCATCCTTCTTGTAACTCGTCCGTGCGTCGTTGTTCCGTTGACTTGACCCCAGGACTGCTTCAAGCTAGCCTTGTTTCACACTCCCGTAATTGGGAACGCTATTCCAGAAGGCATACAATTGTCTATTCAGAGTTTGCTGTCGTTGCCATAATGAGTTGAAGTGCGCAAACAAACTGTTACAAAGGCGGAGCTGAATGCGCTGCGGGGGTTTGACTCCACATTTCTGGAAGGGTCTACCGTGCACGTCGTCCATCTAGCCCGCATTGGTGCTTGACGATTAACAAAGGAGCGAAAAAAAGAGCAAACTATACGGAAAGTTATATACTTACTCCAGACACACTGGCAACTCTATCTGCAATCCCCAAGCTTCATTCGAAGACATGGCACGGATAAAGGATACGACGAGAAAGCCGGCAATCCAGCCCACCGCAAGCCCAGAACCGGCACCGCCTCCAGATACGGTTGACGAAGGGCTGGAAAGTTCAGGCTCAAGCTATCGCCCAGACCCCGATGATGATTCAGCATCAGATACAGCTCCGAAGAAGGTGGCAACGCGTGCAAGTTCCAAGAAAGATCGAACGATGAAGAACGTCGCGAAGGAGACCAGAAGCAAGGCACCGAGGACCCGGAAATCCGGAGTCGATGATGACGAGCCGCACGAAACTGCGTCGAAGAGAACACGACAGGCCTCCAGCAAGAGCAACAGCAAGAGTCCGATCGTCCTTTCTTCCGACGATGATTTATCCAGCGCGGAGGACTATGAATTTCCGGACCAGTCGGAGCCGAGCGGGCGAAGCCAGAAGGAGAAAAGCGTACCCGGCGGCCGAACTCCGAGCAAAGACGCGCCTTCTCCGGGTCCCGGTAGACCGAATCCCCTTCTCCATGGTCGCCCTAGACCGTCTCGCGTCGGTGAAGCCAGCCAGGTCCCTTCACACCACAGTGGTCCCCGGCGCGGGACCTCCGGCGAGGCGGGATCCGGGGAAGACAACATAGAGCATCCACCTCGTCAAGCGGGCACCGCTCCATCTGACGAACCGGAGCAGACATCCCTCGTGCAACATCAAACGGGGGAGGCAGCTCAATCAGGGGCGGAACCTTCAGCAGAAGACGAGGAGGTGAGTGTTCCGGCGCGCAAGAAAGCCTTTTCAAAGACCAGCATGTTTGCTGGATCAATGGCTAAGTGGGATGCACAGAAAAAGGCCGAGGACACACTGGCTAGCCCGACGACGGTCGATGCATCCATACTCCGCCCGCCGCCAGCCCAGGAGAATGCCACTCAACCCATGGACCGCCAGCCAATCGAGCCGGGACAAGCAAGGAGCACTGGGTCTCCGGGGATTGGAGACGGTCCAGCTCAGGAAACCCAGCCCAGTCCTCGCCCAGGCGAGCGAAAAGTAGCTCTATCGCTACCGCAAAATACTGTCTCGCCGACAATGCCAGATTCAATGGCCCCGGACAGTCTGTCGGAAGACCACGAAGCAAAGGACATGTTCGCCAAAATCCTAGAGTTGGCCAAGGAAGACACTCAGTGGCTGAATACCGTCAAGCCTGGTGATTATGACTTCGCGGATGAGGAGTCAAAAGACGCTGCGGTACAGCACCGGTACGGGGACGCGCGTGACTTGCTGGCCACTTGTTTCCGCCTTCTCCGCGATGATGTGCCCGTCAGGGAAGTTGAGCAACTGAGCTACTTCGATACGATCAAGACGCGATTCGTGGGCCAGCTGGGACGCATCCAGGACGGCGAGGGCTCGGCTACCGGGGATCTCCAGCACGACGACGAAGTCTACACGCCCTGTGAGAGATGGAGCACCTACTTCGAAAACTTGTCCAGATTTGATCCAGAAAACTGGGTCAGTCGGGAACCCCATGGCGCAAACGAACGGCACAAGCTGTGGCAGCTCGTTATCCATCGTACTCCTCACCTCTTGCAACACCGGAGCTGGGTCTTGCTCCTGGTCCTCACGCTTGCCCCCAAAGTCGCCCTGCTGAGCGAGATGAACCGCCTGGGTATGAGGGTTGACGAGGACTGGTACGAAGACGCTATTTCAGACCTGCTCAAAGAGTTCCGGAAGGCGTGCAGAGATAGGGAGTACACGACTGCGAAGGTGGTCAGGCTATTCGATGCGGTTTCTTCGAGATTCCATGAAGCGGAATGTCGATCCTTGGGACAAGGGGGAACGGCGGGAAGGAAGCGCAAGGCTGATAGAGATAGGACCGGAGTAATTGAAGGAGAAGAGGAACGCGAAGCAAAGAAGGCCAAGATAGAAGAGGCGCCCAAGGACGACGGCGGCGGGGGGAATGGAGTTGAGGGTGCTGGAAGCTCGTAGATGGAGGACGATCGACAGGCCGATGAGTCGGAAAGTACATCTTATGGAACTAGCCCAGCTATCCTCCTATATAGAATGACGGGTTGGCGAGAGTCAGTCTCAGTCTCTGAAGGCCTTTCAAATCGTATCATGCAATATCAAGCTATCCCACACGGCCGAATAGTGCCTGACGGCGGTCGACATGCCCCATACCGTCGTCGCCGCCCTTTCTGTGACTTACAAAGCGAGAAAAAAAGATAAAGGCGCCGCAGTGCTGATTGTCGAACATGGGATGAAGTCTGACGAAGCTTTTTGGGAGGCCAAAGCGCGACAAGGGCATTAATAATCGATCCGCGTGTGAGCCAAGGTTCGGCGGTCGCGCTATTCTCCGACCGAGGCCTAACAGCGCGGAATCCGCGACCGCGATGGCACGGTGCATCGCCAACTCAGCAACAGTCATCCATCGTTCGAGCGTTCAGCCTCTCCTCTCTCACGATACTGCGCGTCATCACCAGGAGTCGTTCTAAATTTTGCAGCATAGAGGCATTTGGTAGATTCCGGTTCCGCCCTCGGCACTGGTTTCCCGTCGGCTAGCGCAGATCTTGGAAACTTTGGACCCACAGATCTAAGGGTATGATGCTTAAGTCCATGCAGCGCACCGGATATAATTCACAAGTCCATTATCCACTATGCCGCCCTACAAATACCGCTCGCGCCCCCGGCTAGCGGTCCACGCATATCGCAAACTCCGCTACAGCCCCAATGGCGGCCGAAATGACGTACCCAGCGCCTGTGCTCTCCCACACGCCGTCCAATCAGTCGTCCGTTGATGCTACGCCGCAAGCCGACCGCGGTACCCCGCAAAAGAGCTTCGACGACCTCGCAGCTTCCAATGATGCGCTCGGGGATGAAGAGAAAGATATCGAGAAGCAGAAGGAAGACGACGGGGAGGAGCGGACGGGGGAAAGGAGCTATCTCGTGGAGTTTGACGGCCCGGGCGACCCTGGAAATCCCAAGAGCTGGACTGCAAAGCGCAGATGGGCGATAACCGTCATGATGGGATCGCTGGTGTTCACGGTCACGTTTGCAAGCTCCATCTTCAGCGTCAACATCGCTGTGGTGCAAGAGAAGTTCAATGTCTCAATGGTCGAGGCTACTTTGGGTGTAGCACTTTTCGTTCTCGTATGTCGTCCCATGCTAACTCGCAATTCCAAACGGATGCTGAATTGAGCTATTTCAGGGTTTCGTCTTTGGCCCTATTGCTTTTGGTCCCATGTCAGAGGTCCTCGGACGCCGCATACCCCTGTTCGCCGGATACGCTCTCTTCGCAATCTTCCAAATCCCCGTCGCGCTCGCACAAAACGTCGCTACAATATGTGTTGGCCGTTTCCTGGGAGGATTCTTTGCAGCAGCACCGCTTTCGGTAGTCGGTGGTGCGCTTGCTGATCTGTGGGATCCTATTCCTAGGTCCTACGCTATCTGCATATTTGCCGCTGGTGGCTTCGCAGGGCCCGTAGCCGGACCCATTGCTGGTGGGTTTATTACCGAGTCGAGCCTTGGCTGGCGATGGACGTCTTGGATTACCTTGATTATGGCTGGCGTCTTTGGAGCAGTTGGGATTTTGGTTATACCTGAGACGTCGCCGGCTAGAATACTCCAGTTGCGGGCGGCCAAGCTGCGGAAGGAGACGGGGAATTCAGAGTACCACGCGGCGGCCGATGCGAATAAGCTCACCATGGATAGAGTACTGAGAGTCTACTTGATCAGGCCTTTTCAGATGTTCTTGCAGGAGCCGATTCTCGCGCTCATGACCGCCTATATGAGCTTTCTCTACGGAATCGTCTATCTGCTTTTCGAAGCCGTGAGTCACAGCATGCCTATACCGCTCAGTGCTTCTGCTGACCAACACTAGTTCCCAGTGTCTTTCTACGAGGAACGCGGTTGGTCCCTAGGCGTGTCTCAGCTGCCTTTCACGGCCTTCATCTTCGGAATCGCCCTAGGCGCAGCACTGATCGCCTACAGCGCCGCAACAAACTTCACACGGGCCTACAACAAATACGGCAAAGCTATACCCGAAGAGCGTCTCCCACCAATGATCATCGGCGCCGTTGCCTTGCCTGCTGGGCTGTTCTGGTTTGGCTGGACCTCGAATCCGGACATCACATGGGTGCCGTCTGTGCTTGCCACAGCGCTGATTGGCCTAGGCTGCATGGTGCCCTTCTGGCAAGGCATGAGCTACCTCATTGACTGCTACGGCTTCTACTCGAACTCCGCCATCGCGGTAAATACTTTCATCCGCAGCTTCTTCGGCGCTTTCTTCCCACTGTTCACGCACGCCATGTATATTAATCTTGGGGTTCCGTGGGCAAGTAGCTTGCTGGGTTTCATTTGCGTCTTGTTCCTTCCTGTTCCAGTACTTTTCTACATCTACGGCGCCAAGATAAGAGAGAAGAGCAAGTGGGCCCCTACCGGCTAGTGGACTGGGAGCAAACGGATGCACTTTGCTCTAATTGGACGCCGTCCGCAGCAGTGAGAGCGCTCATCTGCTCGGTATTCGAAGCTGCCATGGCTGCCTGTCGAATGTTTTCGAAGAGTAAACTGACCTTCACTCCGGCAACGCGGCGAACGGACCCTCTCGGTTAGCTGGTGCCTCGCCGCCTATAATTATTTCGATTTTGGCTGCTGCTGTCTCTTTTCTTTTCTTTTTTTCTTTGGTCCGGCCCATTTCTAAGACGGTGTGTATAGCTCTCTGGTATAGCAATTTGACAGTTACTGATATGAAGTAGATCTACCACTCAAAGATCGATCTGCCGTCAAAATGAATACGTCCGCGCCAGCCTCCTCCGCCCCGTCCGCTGCGCCCAGCGGCAGCAGCAACAACAGCAACAGCAACAGCAACAGCAACAGCAACAGCAACAGCAGCGGCAGCAGCAGCAATGCTGCTCCGCCACCGCCTCCACCGCCGCCGGGCCCACCCCCGCCGATTCCGCCACCGCCCCCCGGCCACCCGCAGCGGGTGACGTGCGACGCCAAGGGCCTCCCGGACCCACGGCGGGATATGTTCCTTTGCTGCTCCTGCCCCGAGGGCAGAGCGAACTGCTTCCGCCGGGCGGCGTCGTGCCCCGGCTGCGGGCACCGGGAATGTCACCGGTGCGATTGGTACCTGTGGGCTACGGCCCAACCGTGAGCGGCAGCCACAAGCCAGACACACTCGAGCCTAGGCTCACCACCGGCATCGTACGGAATTCGGATGTAGCTAGTACTTCAGCTTGGGGTCGGATGCTTTTTGCCTTTCTTTCCGAGTGCGCAATGGGCGCTGGGCGGTAATAAAAGTTTTTCTTCATCAGACATGAACACTTCTCCTTTGCTATGTGATATGCGCCTTGTATGATCGAGTGACCTTACCATGTATGACTTCCCGAACGTATTCAGGCTCTGATTTGCAAGAACGGAAGCTTCGTGAAAAATTAGACAAAGAAATTCACTTTCCATGGTGTTCGACCGGTGTGTTCAGCTTGTCTTACGGGTTGACGCAGAAGCAAACATGCAAAACGCTTAAAGCCAGTCCCACAGCCACCACGCTTCTCGCAACGCATCGACACTCCCAGCATCACCATGGTCTATCGTGTTCATTCTGCGATCAGCAAAGCGGCCGCGATACGCCGCCGCAACCACCAAATCCCTCGCAAGCGCCCCACCAAATTCCCTCCTCACAAACCCACCTCCCGCGGTGTTGCTCGTCCAGTTTCTCCTCCAACGCCCAAGAACCGCCCCGTCCCCTCCCCAGAAACGAGGAAGAAGGAGCCGAAACCCTCCAAATCCTCCACCCCTGCCCGTGGTGAGAACCGTACCACTCTCCCTGGAGTTGACACCGCAAACCTCAACGCCTGGCCCGTCCGCCGCATCCTCGCCTCTCGCAAGAAACCCGGCGACCCCTCCAGCACCGAATACAAAGTACAATGGGACAGCAGCTGGGAGGAAGCCTCGACGCTCCGGGGCACCGCGCTGCAAGAGTGGAAGGACGCAGCAGAGAAGGAGGACACGTTTGAGTATGTCGCGCAGGACGGCGGAAAGTGGGAGGTGCTGAAGGACGAGCATTGGCTGGAGAACGATAGCGAGGACTCGCAGTGGGAGATGTGGATGGCGATCTGGCGCAACGCTATTGAGGAAGGGGAGAAAAACTGGTTTGCTACGCTGAAGGAGAATGACTTCGCTTTTGCGGACGAGGCCGAGGAGAAGAAGGCCGCATATCTCGCGGGGAAATGCGGCTTGGATAGGCCGGGCTCTGCGATGGAGGTGCTGGCTGCTGCTTGGAAGGATGGTAAGGAGAACTCACTACGGCTACGGAATGATCGGATTGTCTACGCAGACATCAAAGTCCGTTTCGTCGGCCAACTCGACCCTTGGTACGACGACGACGATATCGAAACCGCATCCCACGACCCAACGCCTAAGCCACACCCTGCCCTCACCGTCGCACACGTTATACGCTCCCTCCACACGAACGCCTACTCGCAGCTCCGCTCAGACGCCTTCAGCCGCAACCACGGCACATACGCCAACTGCACGCACTGGCGAGCCGTCACGAAGAATCTCATCCACACGGCTCCATTCATGTTCCGCAGCGGCACATGGACGCAGCTTCTTGCGCTGCTGCTGCTGGGCGGCAAGACGCTCAAAGCGGAGTTGGAGGCTGTGGGTGTTCGAGTCAAAGAGGACTGGAGTTTCAGGGCGAGGGAGTACTGCATGCATATGTACTATGAGCGGATTGTGGACGATCGGCCGATTCATGATATACAGGAGACGTTTTTGTGTTTGAGGGAGTTCTTTAGGGAGCTGGGGCCGGATGAGGAGGAGAAGAGGGGGGAGACGGCTGCGCAGGATATGGATGAGAGAGAAGGCAAGAATGGAGGGACGGCTGGGCTAGATATTGGTGAGATTGACAGCTTCGATATCACGCAGGTTCCGGCTTCTGACTACGCCTCGTGTCGTCCTCGCAAATTCGACAGCCGCCTTTGCCTTGATGAGATCGACGACAAAGCCGGTGCGCCGAAAAGAACTCCGTCCGGTCGCTCCGAGCCCGTCATCTATGCTTCCACTTCGAACTCACGCAATGGCATCAATCCTGCCCTATCTCCAGCCAGCGAGCGTAGTGACCTCTTTGTCCCAGACACCAACTCCGACGCCTCTACCACCGACCCCACCTCACTCTCATCTCTCGAAGAAGTCGATGACCAGGATATCGATGGACCCATACACGCACATGTTGGTGGGCGGGGAGAGCGGGGTCGCTCGTATACACACAACACGTCGAAGCCGAAGGCAGTCCAGGATGAGAAGGAGGCGCTTGAGGCGCGTCTGGCAGCGATCTACATGCGGGAGGCCAGTGAGCGGATAGCAGAGATGGTGCAGCAGGAGACAGTGCGGAACTCTGCAAAGCGGGCTTATGGCTCTATGGACCTTGCGTGTTCCCAAGAAAGAGAGAAGAAGGGGCGTTTTGAGTAGAGGAAAACGGTACTTTGAAGCGTATTACTGGGCTTACAGACCTTCAACAGATATTCCGAAATGATACTTTGCTTGTTCGTGATGTTCTATTTCTGATGACGCAATATGTGTTATCGCTGCGGCGACTTGATAGCCCAGTGTCTGCGGTGAGTGCCAAGACTGCGCCTAGAGAGACTGACCGTAAGTCGCCCAGCAGCCCACCACACTCTTTCCCAAAGGCTTTCAAAACAGCACCGCCTTCTACCCGCTGTACAATCGGTTACAGCCCACGCAAGAGAACACGGAGCGAAGAGACAAGTTTGTCAAGAAGCTTAACTCTTGTCAGCTGCAGCCCTACAACATGTCTCTCCTACAGTTCCTCTGCGATACGCTCTACTACATCACAAACCTCTTCGGGAAGTTCCGCGACCAATCTCCCTCTACCTCCGCAGACACAACTGGAGCCCTCCCGCCTCGCGCTCTCGCGATCAAGCGAAAGCTTGGTCTGCTTCGCCGCCTCTTCCTCACCCTCGTCGACGGCGAGTACCGCCAGGTGATCGACGACTACTCACAGATCTCTCCTCCGGAGCGCCTCCTCCCCGCCGACCTCACTATATGGAAGCTGCACCCAGCGAGCCCCTTCCGCTACTTGCGCGCCGGCGATGACGAACTCGCCCCTCCCCACATACGGTCCGCCTACAAGCTGCTCAATCTGTGCGATGCCAGCCTCTGGGTGACCATCAAAGCAGCCACGAAGGCCTTCAAAGACACCGGTGTAGCGGTGGCCTGGTATCTCGTCCAGCCCCAGCCCCAGCTCATCTTCGTCGACGAAGACCAGGAGCCGGTGATCACGACCCACTCGGTATTCGTCGTCTCCGATACGATGGACGGCGCTAGATACGTCGCCGACTTCACCATCGAGCAGTTTGGGCACGACGCCGGCGCGTGGTTCGGCACCTGGGCGGAGTACACGGAGCGCTTCACCGCTGGTGCCGAGACGTGGCAAAGGCATTTACGCTCGGAGCGGAAAGAGATCAACGAGCAGATGAAGATGGAGGAGTACTGGGCACAGGGAAGAAAGACTTTGCGGGTTGTGCTTGCGGGCTTGGACTGGGCAGACTTCGAGCGCATGAGCGACGAGCGCCGCCAGTTTGTTGAGGAAGAGATGGTCGTGCGGGTGGAAGAGATGATTGGCAAGTACCACAAGCAGCCCGGGAACTGATTTGTTCCGCCTGCGGTTTGCCGGTGCCATTTGCTAGGCGAAATCGCAGCATTCGAGATGCTCGGTGGAGGACGGCGAGACACTCCAGGCTACGATTAGCCAGCTGAAGTCCCCAAGGTCACGAGTACTGTGATGAACGACCACCTCTCTAAAACGACGGCGGAAAAGCGAGGATTCAAGGAGCTGTACCCGGTAGTGGAGAATCTCGGTCGGAGGATGGAGGATTGGAAAAAGAGATTGGAATAGTCATGTCTCTATAATGGATGCACGACCGCGGATCCAATCGACATCGATTACCCTCTAAAGTTTCTCGGGTTCCTTGGTGTGATTGTGAAGGTGAAGTCCGAAGCGTGATTGATTTTGACGCATGCCAGAATCCGATGTTTGATCCGCAGATTCCATCCCGAACATCGACAAACCAACGACACGGCATAACACACAACTCGATTCGAGGAAACGACAATCACAATCACTGCGTGACCGCACAAGCACAATTTCACAATCGAATCGAAATGGAGATAAAAGAATCACTTTTGGCGGGCAGAATTGGAAAATATCGGCAACTCGAAGAACATTGACCATGGCGAATTCACCTTTCGCGGGCGCTCTATTGCCCGACAAAGAGCAGGGCAATGGAGAGCCCTTCGTTTATTTTCTTTTTTATATACGCAACTTCAACTGCGACTGCGACTGCGACTGCTTTGCGCCAACCGAAAGCCTTCGAAGATCCGATACACGAAGCTCCAACTGCGACCCCCATAGCACTCTACGCAAGCGCCTACTATACTATCCGGCCCTCGATCGACCGTGCGAAACCTCCAGCCAAGACGCTCAGAACATGGCCAGCCCAAAAGGAAAAGGGAAAGCGCCCGCCGCCGCCTCGTCCTCCTCCGCCACCCCCTCGATCCCCCTCCCCACCAGACTCCAGCGAAAGCTAGCGCCCTTCCGCAAAGCAGCCCTCGGCATCGCAGAGGGCATCCAGTCCACAGCGGAGTCCGCGATCACCGACATCGTCCGTCAAGACCCGGCCTACGACCACCTCCTCCCAAAGTCCACGTACTACAAGTACGTCGAGGACGACGTCACGTTCTACGAGGTGACGAGAGAGCCGCGGGCATCAGGTGCAACGGACTGCAAGGGCTCGGTTGAGGCAAGCTTGTGGCGTGGTGCGATCATGCATACGAACTGCCAGAAAGCGGTATATTGTCTCCTGGAAAAGGTCCGGGAAGTACTGAGCGGTAAGTTAAGTCCTGTTCGCATTCTCTCCCTCGCGCGATCAACGGAGCGCTAATACATACAACGATAGGCGACCCTGACGTCGAGCAAGTCGACTGGCTCCAGCGCGTCATCCAGCCGACGAACGTCTTCTTCCCATCCGATCGCGACGACGAGGTCCCTATATACACGCACGACATCATGCGCATCAAGTCTCGGCAGGGGTCGTTCTTCGTGCTAGATGTCACGTTCGACCAGTTCGGCCTCGAGAAGTGGTTGTTTACCATGAAGGAGTACAACGACCTCGAGCTTATACAAGTCATGCGCCCCAACAAGGTCAAGGAGGACGCCGTGATTGCTGAGCTGCTGAAGCAGGGACCGGGGCTGCCGGCGGTAAAGGCTGGAGTTGAGCGGGCGATGGCGGAGGCTGAGACTGAGTGGGCGAAGGAGGGTGTTAGGTGGGAGAACTTCGAGACGCTGACGGATCATCAGCGAGAGCGACTGCTGAGCGGTCTGGCTGATAGGGTGCAGCAGCGCGTTGTGGAGGCGAGGACCTCTGCTCCTTGAAGGATGTACAGCCTTGAAGAAGGATATACAGCCCTGAAGAAAGACACACAGACAACTATATAGAGGGTTGGGGTGTGAGGGAGATAACATACACTGAATGCTTGACGTTGGTCAGAGACTTGGGTGAGATACCCCTAGGGCGAGTCTAATTCCTTCAAGATATCTTTTAATATGCATTCTTGATTGAGTACGATGACCATTGCGTGCCGCGCTACAGTAGGTTAGCAATACCAGCATACGCATGTGAACAACTAGCCCCTATCGCTCACATCTGCTTCACCGTCCTCTGACCCTGATACCTCCACGGCTTCTTAAAGAACTTCTCCGGCTCATCCCTCGCCCCCTCATTCCAATACTCATACTCAATCCACGCATCCTCAGTCATCTGCTCCTCCATCAGCGCCAACCACCTTCCCAACTCCGGCGCCAGCGGTATAACGCCTGTCTCAAGCACATACTGCTCCCAGAGCTTCAGGAGCTCATCGAACACTGCTTTATACTCCGGCTTTTCCGCCAGGTCGTAAACCTCGCCAGGATCCGCACGCAAGTTATACAGCTGCCACTTCTCCGTCCCGCGCGGCTTCGGGATGAAAACGATCTTGAAGTCGCCCTTGCGCACCGCCGCACGCCCACACGTCTCCCAGCCTTGGATGAAGTCCTCGGCGTGGATGCGCGGCGCACTACCCGTGATGAACGGCATCATGGACTTTCCGCGCATCCCCACGATCTCGCGTCCTTGGTAGCTCGGCGCTGGATGCTTCACACCAGCCATGTCCAGCACCGTGGGCATAATATCCATAATCGTCGCAAACGTATCCGATACGCTATTCTCCCTGCCCTCCTGCAACACGCCCTGCGGGAATTTCGCCAGGCAAGGCACTCTCACGCCGCCCTCCGTCGTATACGCCTTGTACAGCCTACTCGGCGCGGTCGCCGCTTGCGCCCATCGGGGCCCGTACCATATGAACGAGTTCCCGTTGCCGAGATTCTCCAGGCTGTTGTCGTAGTACTTCTGCAGGTGCTGCATCATCTGGCCCTGCACGATGGGATACGATTCGTACGCTGCGCCCTCGGCGCCGTTGTCGGACATGAAGCAGATGAATGTGTTGTCGAGCTCGCCGATGGACTCGAGGTGCGCGATGACGCGACCAACGTTGTGATCGATGCAAGACACCATGCCGGCGAAACATTCCATCGCGCGACTCGACATCTTCTTCTCGAAGTCGCTCATATCGTCCCACTTCTTCACCTCGTCGGCGACGACAGGGTGTGGTGTTACATCTTGTGGGATCATGCCTAGATCTTTGAGGCGCTGCAATCTCTTCTCCCGCAGCGCATCTGGACCGTCGTCGTACAGGCCACGATGCCTCTTGATGAACTCTTGCGGAGCTTGCAGCGGCCAGTGCGGGGCTGTGAAAGGTAGGTATGCGAAGAATGGCTTCTCGCCTTTTGGGTTTTCGTCTTTCCATTCCTTCAGGTAGTCGATGAGCTTGTCGCCGTAGCCGTTGCTCGAGTACCAGCCGTCGGGAAGCTTGCGCACATACTCTCCGTTTTCGGAGTGCAGCGCGATGAACGACATCGTCATGAAGTCGGGTATGTTGTCGCCGGCAGCTTTGTCGAGTTGTGGCTCGTATGCATAATGGTTGCTAGGGGGTGCCAAGTTAGTGAATGGAAGAATCACGTGAAAAGTGGCCATTAGATGCAGTCGAAATTCTACGGAGCACGGAGTTAAGTAGCTCCGATTATTACGCAAAGTAAAATTTTGCGCTGGAAGAAAATTTTTTCAAGCTCAAGGTGAAGGCGCTTTAGTGAAAGGCGGCGCCGCCGCGCGCCAAGACCTTAGTGAACTCACCTGCAAGCAGGAAGGTGCGCGAAAGATTTTTCAAAGCCTCGGACTTTGGGTGAGCGGTCTGGTGTGAGCCCTAAATGCCACTTTCCGGACATGAGGGTCGCATAGCCAGCATCGCGGAGGACTTCGCTCACTGCACGTGATCTTAGCTTCCGGACCACAGAGACGTACAGTAGTTGGAATGTTCCAATGCTCAGATGCCTTTTCGATCTGATTCCTGGAATAAAATATTCCTCATAGAGCTTTCTTTTACGGCGTGTAGATATATGAAATGTTGACATACCCGCTACCACTCGCTCATTCAGATATCCTTCGTACCCGGGCATGCCTCTCTGGGGAGCGGTAGACATCTTTCCATTCGGATCGTTCTGTCCGGAGATGTTGGTCCATTCAATCAGATTCCCCAGCCCTGCAATGTGATGATCCGTTCCCGTCATGAGCATCGCTCGAGAGGGCGAACATGCTGCCGCGGCATGGAAATCTGTAAAGCGTACGCCTTGCTTTGCAAGCTGTAAAGACGTGTTAGCCCCTGGGGTATATCCCAAAGTCCTCTCTGAGCTCCTGAATACTAGGAAGTAGCACCGGCCCAGAGGGATACCTGAATGAAAGTTGATTACCTTGTCTAGATTCGGGGTTTCGATCTCTCCGCCAAAGCATCCAATATCACTAAACCCCAGATCATCAGCCAAGACGATAAGGAAATTGGGGCGCTTCTTGTCCGCCATTGTGACTGCCTCGGGTAGTCTGTGCGTATGGTGGGTGTCTGGGGAACGACCTCGATGACCGTGAAACCAAATGAAAGGTACTCGAACAACTTCGGAGTCTTGGGTTGAGGTGGGAATAAGCTCGAATTAACACGAATGGCGACCCAAAAGCTTCCTAAATTGGTATTCCGTACCGTTCCCTCCCCGCCAATGGCCTCGAGTATAGTGGAGCTCCCCCGCCGTTGCTCCCCGCGCAACCCCTGATGCACCAAACGCTCCCAGGTTGTACAGTACATGCAAAGCTCTTGCTCGTTCTTCCATCGCCGTTCGTCGCCGGGTCGTCGCGTAAGTTAAGTCCACCTGACCTCTCGAGATGCGAGCTCGGTCAGAAGTCCCGCGAGGGGATGGAGTCGGGATTGCTGGTTGGTGTAGTATTCGAGCTAGATGCTTAGTAGTCTGCGCGGGGTTGATCTCGCGCTCCAAGAGCCCGGCAATCGTGCTGTCTCGCTGCTCTTCATACCCGGATTCAGGAAGATGACCTCCGCAGCTTGCTCGCCTCGCGGCGCCCTTCCGCATCCTGCAACCCGTCCGCTTTCGAGTACATGTGTCTTAGGGATGCTGATGCCCTTGGACCCGGTTCTTCTTGCTGTGATGACGCGCCCCATGTTGTATTTCGTGAGGCCGCCCACCTAGCGCGGTTGAGGTTGCACCGGAAGACGCTGATCACCCCGCATTCTCCCAAACTCCCTGCGCTAGCCATTGCCATCAAGGGCAGCGTTGTAGCATCGAATCCGGGACTGAGATTGCGTGATGAGATGGTTCTGGAGCTCAGCGCACCGAGCGCAAGCTCTTAAGGCCTCTTGATGCTGTGTTGCGGCGGCCTTGAAGCTCCGCAGCCCCTCGTCCTCGAGCGCCCACGATGCATCCCTCGACGCTTGGAAAAGTCCGAGCATACTGGCTTGGCTGTGTAGTATGCATTGGCGGGTTTCTTTTCGGCTATGACAGCGGCATGTGAGTGTCCTCGTCTCCTTTGGTTGCGTGTTGGGGGAATGGCGGAGGTCGAAGGATCGGGGGTCACGGCCGCTCCGTCGCGCAGCCTCAACACCAAGATCGCATACACGACGCCCGCCTTCCCTCCACCACCCCAACCCACTCACCCACGCCGACAACGCCAACGACATGAGCTAACCCGCCGCGCCAGCGTCGGTTCGTGCCTCTCTCTCCGGAGAAGCGTCCGCGCAGGCTAACCGCAGAGGCATGTAGGGGGCGTCCTGACGCTGCAATCGTTCGTCAACTCCTTCCGCTATAACACCGCACACAAGACTCGAGTCAACAGCCTCGCTGTAGGCCTGCAGCAGCTGGGAGCTTTTCTCGCCTGCTTCGTCGCCTGGCCGCTCACGAACCGCTATGGCAGACGCAAGGCGCTGATGCTGTCGTCGGCCGTCTTCGTGGTCGGCGCGATCATACAGACAATCGACACGCACTCCATGGGCGCCTTCTACGTCGGGAGAATCATCGCGGGCATCGGACTCGGCGCTGCGACTGTTGTAGTTCCCATGTATAGCAGCGAGATGACCCCGAAGGAGCTGCGCGGCAAGATTGGCAGCTTTTTCCAGCTCAATTTTACCGTGTGAGTACCCGCTCCCAACCTCCGCCCCGCGATGCGCGCCGGGAACCTGCAGCTGACGTGATACAGCGGCATCTTCGTCTCCTACTGGGTCGACTACGGCGTCCTCAAGGGCGTCTCCTCCTCGAAAGCGGCGCAATGGCAAATACCAATCGGCCTGCAACTCGTCCCCGCCGCCTTCCTCGGTCTTGGCATGCTCACGCTGAAGGAGTCGGTCCGATGGCTCACACAGAAAGGAAGACATGAAGAAGCTTGGGAGAGCCTGAAGTGGATCCGCGCCGACGAATCGCAAGCGACCCTCGAAGAAATGGAGGAGATCCGCACCGGTGTCGAGATCGAGGAGCGCGAGACCGAGGGCTTCCAGGCAAAAGGTCCACCAACCCCAGACTCGGAAACGAGCCGATGCTGACATGAAGCGCGTAGAACTCCTCGAATGGTCCAACTTCAAGCGCATCTTTACAGCCTTCGCCGTCTTTACCGCACAGCAGGCCACGGGCGCCACCGCATTCGCATACTTCGGTCCGCAATACTTCAAGCTTCTGGTCGGCGGAGGAGACAAGGACCTTCTCCTGACGGCCATCTTCGGCGCCATCAAGGTCGCTGCGTGCGCCTCGTTCGTCTTCTTCCTCTCGGAGCGAGTCGGCCGCCGACAGGTTCTCATTTGGGGCGCCACATTCATGGCGGCATGCCAGATCACCACCGCCGCCGTCGTCAAGGCTATCCCGTCTCCCGAAACAGGAGCAGTCACGTCCAGTGGGATTGCCACGGTCGCTCTGATATACCTCTTCGTGATCGCGTATAACTTCAGCTGGGGTCCTCTGCCTTGGCCATACGTTTCCGAGATCTTCCCGACACGGATCAGGGAGCCTGGAGTCGCAGTCGGCGTGTCTTCTCAATGGCTCTTCAACTTCGTCTTCTCGCTCGTCACCCCGTACATGATTGACAACATGGGATGGGGTACGTTCCTCTTCTGGGGTATTGCCGACGCGGTCATTGCCATCGGTACGTTCTTCTTCCTCAGGGAAACGAAGGGCCTCTCCCTTGAAGAGATTGCGCATAACGACTATCATAAAGCACCAAACGTGAAGGATCTTGACCCTGAACGTACAGATCACGTGACCATCAAGTAGCGGTCGCTATGGATTGAGGTCGTCTGTTTCCGCCGATCGATTCGAGACAGATACATGCCGGTCTTGGCCCGTTTGATCCAACGCCGCGAACGCCCTCAGAAAGAGCATGGAATGAGCCCTCTCGAAAGCTTGAGCGTTACGGATAGTAGCCTGAGGCGATAAGTGTCGCCGAATACATACGGTTCAGAACAGCGTGTGCACCATGAGTTAGCAGCTGATTACCGTCAATATCGAGATCAAGTACTCACCAAGCAGCATCGCATCCGCGAATACTTCTCCGGGTCCGATAGATTGATCGCCCTGCGCTCCGCTCCTGGATTTTCTTCATCCATTTTGTCTACTCGATCACCAGATCGGCCTTTCTTTTCGTCCAGTCATAATTCTGCTCTTACCCCTAGGACTTCGGTGACGCATGCGATTCCGATATCATATTCGAATCAAGTCAGGTGACGCTTCCTGGAATGAAGCCGGCAACACATACCGTCGAAAGTTCCAATATTGGCTTGAATCTCTCAGGATTATGCCTGCTTCAAGCAGCAGACGATAGCTTCCCGGATGTCCGGATAGACCCCCTCCCGCACGACGATCCCAGATGGCCAAGTATCAAAGTCTCCTTGACCTCTATTCTCTTACGTCTTCTTCAAACAGTAAGTCATTGATACTGGATTTCCGCGTCCCTGTTATTGCGTTAGCTCTTCATTATTCGTCATCAGTTTCCAGATACTTCCTTCTTTTGCTTCATATCCCGACCTCAGCGTTCGTCTGCTTCATTCGTTAGTCGATTCCTCATTTCGAACCATACCCCTTGGCCTTTTTTCTGGAGTTGTTTATCCTCTTCCTTCCGTCTTCGTGTTTTGGTACTTCCTTCCTCGCCGTCCATCGTTCCTTCCCCTAATCGCGCTGCGGTCCCAGCGACGCACAGACGCAGATCATCTCGTTTCTTTGCTATGACGCCTTCGTCATCACGCTTCCGCGAAGGTCATCGGTCGTTTCATTCACGTCGAAGGATTCTCTGGCTTACCAATCGTCCCTTCTTCTTTGGTTGAAGGGTCGCATTCGTCTCATGTTTCATACGCCTGTCCGTTGCTGTTAGCTCTCTGCTTTCCGCGTTCTCATACTAATCTCGCGTAAAGCTCGTCTGCCGTTTATTCCCGATGCCGCTGGCTTTAAACGCCTGCTTTCCACGTCCCCATCTAGCGAGGAGCCTATTCGACATCTCCAGTGGACGCATCGACTTATGGTTTGCCGGAGTGTGTGATTGAAGTAGCGTCTGGCGCCTCGGTACCTCTTCGATAAGTTCTTTAAGAGCTTCTTTCGAATGTCGTGGGATCCAGGCGTTTACTTCGGTCGCACGCTACGAACGCCGCAGGATCTCAGTCAGCAAGCAAGGGCGTCGAATGGCTTTCCGGACGATGAACCGACCTACGCACTCCCGACACCCATCAGGAGCGTTCCTGAACGAAGTCATCATGAATGTATCAACTGCTCTCAGGAGGTCTAAGCGAAATTCTGCTTCGCGTAGACCTTGCTGTCATCAAACATACCACTAACGAAACTCACTCAAAGCTCACCCCATCTCTCAAAACCAGATCACAAGGCCCACTCACAACACCGTACCAAGCAAGCGACCTCTGCCAAGTAGACCCGTTCGGCATCGAGGCCCAGCCAAACAGCCACGCTCAGACCGGTCACATCTCAGGCCCATGTGATGTGCCCAGACCGGGCGAAGCATGGTGCTGGCGCCTGATGTGGCTCGGGGTAATGCCAGATGCTACTTGACGTGTGTGCTTAGTAGGCTGGTGTCCTTCATTTGCGAACCTACGTCTCGACGGTACATAGTGTGCACCCTATTGTAAGGGCGGTGAAGTGTTTGGGTGCGGTTGGACGGCGCTTGATGGCGTACGGACCGTGGAGTTGTTGTGGATGGTTTCTGAGCGGATGCGTGGCCACATAGAGAGCGGAGAGAGAGGAGTAGGGCGTGGTGTCGTTTGAAGGCGGTGAGGAATATCGGAGTGGCGTTTGGCGAAGAGGTCCTTCCCTTGAACTGTTAGAACATTGCTAACCACCGTACAGGTTGTACTTATTGTCGATTCCCGAGGCAGATCAGTCGACGATTCCATGCCACCAAACGAGCGGATATGTCGAAACACCTCAATCTCCAGCTTTGCAGTCCAGACGGGAAAGCATGGCTTACCGAGCCGCCTCTCCTACTAGCGCATCGCTGCCGATTATAAGCCGGTATCTCGGAACATGTATTTTGAGCTCGGACAACGGGCTCAGAGACGACAGACTAGAGTATAGCACCTATGCGCGCATCAGCGAAATCCCCTATTTGCGACCTTTCAAACTTAGCCAGGAGTCTGGCGGCTCTCCGACATGGGACACCATTCCACGATCGACCGAACTTGAGATCTGAAACTGGTCAGGTGATCCCGGCCCTTCGATCTCTCTTGTACCTCCACACTTGTCGGCTATCTCCATGATCCTCCTTGTCCGTTCGTCGTCGCCCTGCTGGATCGTTCGTCTCGGGTAGGCGCTGTATCCCATGCGGCTCGCTACGAAAGGAGTGCGCGCGTTCGATCGGACACGACGACCGGAATCCTCCTCTTTGCCCGCTGCAAAGGACGGCGTCTGTTCTGCCCCAGAATCTCGGCTGTGCCTCCACCCTGCCGGCGATCGTCCATATCCTGCTCTTGAAACCCAGTTGTTCCTGCACGCTATCAAAGGGCTTTCATATCCGGTCCTTCAATTACAGTTGTCCATTCCCACCGTTATCCATGTCTCCACTCGGCACACTGCTGTCGCACTACCGGCACGTGCGTTAACGGTCGATATCGGTCGATCGGCGAAATATGACGCGACGGAAGGGGACGAGTTCCCCGTATTTCGACCTACATCAGAGAAGAAGTAAGCGCAGCTCCGGATCTGACCTCAGGCATTGGTCTCTGAGCCTACCCTGTCTACATTTGCTCTCGGCAGCTATGCTCTTTACATCGGCAATACTCTGTCGCTTCGATAGCAGCGCGCAAGTCCGGCAACGTTCGCACTCTCTTCGGTTATCCATATTCGTATCGGTTTCATGATCGACGTAGCGGCTCGCGCGTGCTCTTCGTATTATGAGGGGTTCGGCTGAGGACGTGCCATTGAGGAGCGAGAATTGAAACGCCGTCCGAACTACACTAGAGTACAAAGTCAGCGCAGCACTGATCTGGGCCTAGGGCATCTGGTCTTGAAACTCACCTTGGATCAAGTGCCGACCTCCGTCGTCGCTGTGTTACCGTGCACGATGGTGGGGACACCAGGTCAGGCGTCCTCGTAAGAAGGACGGCGGCGTGGGCGCATCGCGAGCACCCGCAATGAGAGTTGAACGGCCGTGGGTTTCGGCTGGGCGTCACTCACGGCCCGTAAGTGCCAGCGCAATAGGTCCTTCAAGCAGGATCGGAAGATGCTTCCTGAATTTGGCCGTCGACTGGCCATTGCCGGGCCGCATGTCGTACACGCTTCATCAACGACCGGGCGTGATCACGTAACAGTGCGAGAGACTGAAGCGGTCTCTAAGTCAGCGTCGGCTCTCGACGACGGCTCTGATGGGGACAATTCTCTTCCGGCCTTAGCTGGCAGGTGGCGCTGCTGTCTGTTCGTGCCCCGCCTCTGCGCAACCCCCAGGAGTCTAGCGGAGGTATCATGTGGCTTTGAGTGACGCAGAAGAATTCCTTCGTCGTTCCAAAGCTGCTGAAAGCTATCGTGCCGGGCAGCTATGCGGCCCTGCTGCGCGCTCTGGATTATCGGCGTGACGCGAGCGGAGGTGTCGAAGCGCAGAAACGGTGCTGTCGCGGCCACCCCAATGGCCGCTGGCTGCCCAAGATGTACCAAACCAGACGCAGGTCGCTGTTCTGCGGGAAGCTTGGTGTCGGTATATTGCACCGCGCAATGTCTGTGTCTAAGGTCGCCGTGGATATCGCGTCATCGGAGGCGATGCAGATGAAGCGGTGTCGGGGAACCGTGGCGACACAAGGGACATGGCCGCTCCTATCCTGCTGGCGATATGAACATGAGAACGGTTCTGTTCCAAGTCGGAGAGCATCATTGAGCGCAACACGGCGAGCTCGCCTGCTTGTCGCCGGTGTTAGTGAGGTGGAAGTGCGACGGATACCGGAGTCACACCGCCCGCTGCACTTCGCGAAGCGCCTTATCTTGTAGCGATTGCAAGTTGGCCGCGCCTTTGAGGAAGTCGCCATGCGAAGAAGTGCTTCGTGTATCGCCGGAACTTCCATTCTGAGCCGATAATCGTCACTCCAGGTCGTTGTGAGGGCGTCGCTGTCGGGCAAGCAAAGTGACACCCGCGATCCGAGGGCGTTGTACCTCCGCAGAAGCTCCGTCCCGCTGACCGCCCTGATTTTGATGTAGACGGAGGGGGTGAAGTCATAGTCGTCCTCTGCGTCGTTTCGAATTACCGTACCCGTTGTTGTCATGTGATGTCGGCGCAGAAGGGCGGCGGACCGGATAGCCATGTGTGTCGAAGTTTGCGAGCCGGCAAACAAGACGCTATGAGTGCACTGAAGCTCATTCAGCGTGTCTATGAGGTCGTCCGCAGCTGCAGGAAGAAAGTCAGTACAGACGGCTCACCAGAATGCGCTTCTCATGGCAACGGGGACGCGCTCGCCCCACAGCGCCGCCGTACCTCCGCAGAACCCGTTAGCGCTGCTCAAAGGATCACGGCCAGCTTGAACTGCATCAGAATCATAGCTGACACCTCTTCTGCGGCGCGCGGAAGTGTTGCGGTGTGGGACGAAGATGATGCAAGGTCGACGGTGCGGTCGACGGTGATGCGGTCGCAGTGAAGTCCGACTGCAAAGCAAACCCGCGAAGCCAACGCAAGTCTCGGCACCACAAGCGCCACGCCCATCCACATAGCTGCAAAAAATGGCGACGGCGTAGCTAAGCGCCTTCCATGTCATAGTGCAGTGGGCCACTGAAGCCGGCGTAATAAGCCAAAGGTCTTCCGGCTCTGGCACACGTTTCAACCATACCTGCAAGATCCACGAGCCCCTGCGCCTGCTCCGAAGAGATTTGAGGCGGTCTTTCTGGTTCTACGCTGATTGGGAACGACACACGGCCATTTCCGAACGCGACGAAAGCAAAAGCCAGCTCCTACGATCCACATCATCACTTTTTTGGGCACATACATTCAAAATGTTCTGGGAGCCTCCATTTGTAGATTGCTATCTTGTCTCATGGTATTGTCACCACCACCACCACCACCACCGTAAGCCAGCCCCGAAATCCTGGGAAAGGTTGGAACCCTTCCACCGGTTGTCATCGCCAAAGCTCCCAGAGCTGCACCCATTCGAGCCCATCTTGGAGCTCCCTGCAGCCGTCCCTGATTGATCACTACCAACCACCCATCCTGCCCATCAAAGCCGCGTCACACAGCTGATTGCCTAAACCGTCGCACCGCTCGACAAGCCATATCATCTCAGCGACTCGCTGATCCAGACACATTAGAGTAGACCATATCCGGTCAATCTCCCCCCTCAGATTCTCCATTTTGTCCTGGAACGCCGCTGCAACTTCCTCAACAACTCGCGAGTGTGCAACATCCCCCATCCCCCAAACCCGCCTAGGTCCACCGTACCGCTCGACTACCGGGAAGAGCGCGTTGTTGAGCGTTCGTCGTACGGCCTCAATCTCAAGTGCACGGATCTTTTCAATCCCCGGAGGGCCTGCAAGTAGATCCACATGTTCCTTGAAGCTCCTTCCAAACGCGTACTGCTGAGGCCTAACATCGGCCCGGATCTCGGAACGGAGGTGTTGCGGCACGTTGCGGTAACCTTGTGGCTCACCGTACTGCGGCCGAGAAGGGTCGAATAGGATACCTTGATCGGTGCTGGGCAGTCCTCGGATTGCGCCAGTACCCGGCATGGCCCTAAGCATCGTGTGCCACTGGTCTTTGTTGATCCGCGAGTAGGGCAGCGCTACGCCCGGGTCGTTGGTGTATCTCCAGAGTCGCAACGGATGGGCAGGCTCTGGTATGGTAAATAGCTCGCTGAAGTGCAGTGGTATGCCTAGAGGAGTTAGCAGCAATTCGTGCTAGCATTCGTAGTCCTGCATACCTTCGGTAAGATAAGCCAACGCCGCCATGGACACGACAACGGCTCGGATACAGCAGCTATAGGAGATTGAAAATAGCCTCGCCTCCTGAGATATGTCGTTTTTGAACAGCGGGGGACTTCCACGTATATAATCCCCCCAGATTACGTCGATTGCTCCCTCGGCTGCCCGCCGACCATACAAGACCTCCTTGTCGAACGACGAGCCCCGGTCAACCAGGAAGATTTTATTGATGAAGCGATCGAGGAGAACCGTGCCCCGGTGGAGGTCCTGCAGGATACGGGCATGCTCGAAGAGATGGGCGGGGCAACAGTAGCCGTAGTTGCTGAGGGAAGAGTCGAAGTCGCACGGCGGGATGGCGAAGCCGGTGACCGAGAAGGCTCGAACATGGCTATTGCAGGTAGGCAGCCCGCATATATTGGGGATATTAGCCATTGCGTGGTACAGTCCTGTGTGTGGTGGAGGTTGAAGGCAGGCGCGGTCATGGCGCCTCACAAGCAAAAGGGCATAGTGACAGAGGGTAGAGACCTTGGCGGGGTTCACAGATCAGCAATGAGGCACCCTTCATGGCAAGAGATTACTCTTCGAGTTGGAATACAATAGAAGACAAGGGGCACGCAGACTATGAGAGGAGAAGACTGGTATTTGGCTCTGTGAAGACACTACCCCCTATGAGGGCGCGCTACCTTCCTATTCCGATTGACCATGAGGTACGAGATCCGGGATTGCTTTACCTCCCACGCTTACTGCAACAGAGCTTGCCTGAGAATATCGACCCCGTGGCCATCATGTGCCTGGCAAATATCCGTATACTGGTGTATGCGGAAGCCCGGGTCGAAGACACACTCCAGCTCCGAGCGCAAACCGTCGAAAGCCCTGTCTACCGCGTCGACAAAGCGCTGCTCCCGCTGTAGAAACGTGGCGTGGTTGCAATAGAACAGCAACCTGGAGTTGGAAGTAATTGCCTCGGCGTTGACAGCATTGCAGAGGGTTTTCATCGCTGCGTCCTTCTGGAAGAACTCCCTAGAACCCGGTACCCATCCTCGGGCGAAGTCAACCCATGCCGCCTGGTGTTCCTCGTATTGACCGCCCAACCAATCCGGGTCAGAAACGCCTTTGCCGTCGACGAGTTGCGTCTTGGTAGCGAAGTAGTGCGCCGAGTCCTTGTCGTAACCGCTCTGGAAGCCGAACTGCGCGAAGGTGGGATCCAAGATAGCTCCGTTCCCGTAGGCGCTCAGCCCGTTCTCGTAATCAGGACTGATCTTGAAGACAACGTGGCGGGCATCCGGTGGCTGGCCTGCTCCATCGTCGTCCGTGTCCTCCTCGGTCTCGCGCAGTTCTCCTTCCAGGTGTTCTTTCATGCCCGTGACGGCGTTCCAGAGCTCGATAGGGCGCTCGGGCTTCGGAATCAGCCCGCTCACCTCGTAGACCTTCACTTTTGGCAATGCTGTCGGTGTCAGCTTTGGCGCTGTAATGCTATGCTCTCTGGGTACTTACAGATCGCCAAGTACGCAAGCAGTGGAGCTCCCACCACGGCAACCGTTGCGCTCATGTTCACGCTGCGCGCAGCCTGCCTCACCTCCTCCGGAACACCGTCGGCGAAAGGCCGCTGGTTGGCATTCTGGAGCTCGCGCCGAACAATCTTGAGCGTACCGTCTGCTAGTTCCTCGTAGTCTAGCAGCTCGTACCAATGCAGCTTCGCGAGGTACAACGCCATGAGCCGAAGGAAGACACTGCCGAGACGAGCGATATCTCTAGCGGTCTGACGTCGCTCGCAGACAGTCACCCGATGAGTCCCGAAGTCCTCGCGGAAGTGCTCCTCTGAGCAGTAGCGATAGTACGTGAGGGCGGAGTTGATGTCGTTCCGCGGGAGTTCGCCGCAGAGCGCGCAGGTCCTGCTCGAATCGTCGACCGGAAGACCGCACCCTGGGAGCCCGCAGACGGTCTCGCCGAGTACCATCTTGGAAGGAGAGAGGGCGCGACTGACCCAAGCAATGAGTCGGAGGATTAACTGAAGAAAGAACATGTTGGCTGGCGTTCTTCGAAATCGAGGTTCGTGGAAATGGAGGTTGGAGGAGTGGGGGTGAGAGGGAGGAGGGCCGACTAAAATACCTTGACGGCACGTGCAACGACCCCGAAAACGGCAAGTGCAGAGATTTCCGTGACTGAGTTCGTCCCCGCTCTGCCCGACGCAAGCCGACGAAACAGAGGGTGGTCAAACTTCTTCAGAGGGATGCTATTGCTTTAGACGACATTCTGCTGTCTCTCTGGCTTTAACCAAGTCCCCGTAAGGTAGACGATGAGAGATCGACATAGGCATGCTACAGCCTGCACTGGTTTCAAGCATAGCTTCATGGACAAAAGCTACTACCCGGATTGCCTAGCTTTGTAGACGAAGACTAGCACCCAGATTACCTATCCAGGGCGGACTCGGCGCAGTTTTCATGTCCTCCTGAGATTCTAGTTTGCAGATCGAAGTTCGCCACGGTATGTCATAGCGAGCGGGAAGACAGGACAAGATTTTAGATCGCTTGAGGGGATTCGACACTCTCAATACATCCATGATGTCTCTCCATCCAGCGCGGGACCACCGGAGCCCCGTCCCTATATGGTGTTTATTGAACCAAATCCGAGATTTGCTGAGCCACCCTCGTTGTGTCAGTATCTTTCTTGCCTTCTTTTACTTCTGTGGAGACTCAGATCAGCTTGGAAACAAATACCATATGGGCACTTAGGCAATGATCCTGGAATGACGAATAAAGGGAAGATTGTAGAAACTCATCACTTAAGCTGGAGAAGTTCAGAGTAACCTACAGGTCATGTCGGGCAAGGAAGCCGATCTTGGATGCATTCTATGAAATGGAAAGCGAAATGCCTCCAGGGTCCACTTTTCTCAGCTAAATACCCCGATCCTCCTTACCAACGCTCTCATGCAAACTTCGTTTCCTATCCCATTGCAGGGCGGAAGGAAGCTCCAAAGTTTCTGCAAGCGAAGCGCCATCTCCTCGTCCGGATCCGCAAACCAAAGCTGGTCTATTTCCTTGCGCCGATTATCCAATGCCTTTTGTAAATGAAAAATAATCTTCCGCTCTTCTCTCCGGAATGCTTCATGAGAAAACATTTTGAGCAGGGCATTACGCCCCCCGGCAGCGCTGATCTTTTCGTAAAGGACATTGTTGATTATGCGACGGGATGTATCCAGAAAGTATCCTGGTAAAGGGGCTTCGTTTATCCGGTTCATGCTGCTCCGAAAGCAAGAGCCAAATGGAAAAATATGCGTGCGAGGTCCGTTCGGATTGATCTTCTTGTTTTGATATGCGAACCAGTCATCGCAGCCCTCGGCATACCCGAACTGCATGAAGGTGGAATCAATTACGATTCCAGGCGCTGATGTCCAACCCGCGATGCTGCTGCTCGGAGGCTCTGTGGATATCTTCAGGATTGTGTGATAGGGGGCTTGGGTATGGAAAAATTTCTTCGTCCGGCCGTCCTCAGAAACGAATTGAATATTTTCCATCGGATCGATCGCTAGGGGCGAGACGTAGAGTTCGTGGATAATGACTCGGAGATCTGAAAAGGTCAGCAATTTCCTTTTCTTCTTTGCCAATGATCTTACCTTCCAGCAGCCAAGCAAGAATTGGAGTCGCTTCTTCGACGGAATATACGCAATTTTCAAAAGAGTACCACCGCTGCCGAATGTGCTCTGGAACATCCTGCGCAAAGAACGGTTCCTCGGCTCTAGGCCGCGAGCAGCAAGCCGAGCGCACAAGGAAACCATCTTTGTCATTGATTTTTGTCTTGCTGACTTCCAAGACAATGTTCCCCAACATCGCCTGGCGTGATGCTGCGAATACCTTGTTCACTAAGCTTCCAATACGAAAGAGGGCCCTCCTCTTCTGACGTGCCTCACACTCAGCATAGTGCCACTGTACATCAAGCTCTAAATGCGGTACAGAGCAGTATTGGACGTTGGGACCGAGCGAGTCGATGTCGGATTGGGGGACGTCGAGGCAGGACGAGCAAGAAACGGCCGGAGCGGGGACTGGAAGCAGGCATCCAGGGAGATGGCAGACTGGCTGTACGAGAGACATGGTCACGTACGGGATCGGGGCTTCGAAAATTGTAATCGTACCTGAAGCTGTACAGAGGAGGGTCGGCCGGTTTGTTTGTTGGACTCGACATTCCCTCAGCGATGAGCAAAAAAGGTTTAGTGGGATTTCAAAATCTGCCTTCACTCCAGGTACGCACTACGTAAAAAGATACGAGAATGCACTCTGGCACCGCCTTGACATTATCAGCAAGCCATTACAACCTCAAGAAGCACCCCGATACCTTTCTGCCTAGCTGATCAAATATATGTCCTCTGCTCGTTTGAATGTGCGTTCTCGGACATGTTAAGCCAAAACACCAAGCATTAAGGCCATGATTTTCTCACAGAGCAGAAAGCTGTTGACTGAGAGATCTCTCCGTAAAAGGTGTCGAAGGTAGACAGGAGGCATAGGGTATAAGAAGAACATATTCCCAGCTCACTCAATAAGGCTCTCATGAGCTTAAGGTAGTTCCAGGATCATACTTCATAGTCGCCGTGACTCCTTTGAGCGAAGCTCATGAACATATATGAGCACCTGTGGAACCGCTTTCAGCACGTCGATATGACATGTAAAAGCACCCTGAATCCCTCCAGGCTACGTGATTGCCTGTCTTTTTCCCACCATTGTACTGCTAAGTGAAGCACATGAAAACTATTTGCGGCGGTTGTAAGAGTATGATTCTCAAAGCAAAATGCTCGAGATTGATTCTCCGAGAGTCATATTTGTACGTTGGAAGTTGGCAGCGGATGAATAGAAAAAACGGAAGCCGAGATAGTGGAGGCAATGGGTTGGAAAGCAGGCAAATGAACGCAAGCGCGAAAAGGTCCAAGGTAAGTAAGTGTAATAGTAGATGTTAATTGTGTTTCTGGAGAACAGTTTCAGTTTCCAAACCGGCTCGGTACTATGTTGTTTTAGTCAAGCCTACATAAGGCCATCGATCATGTATTAACACGGTCGCCCGGCTCCTACACTGGAATCGCCAGTGCTATAGGGGAGAAGCAGCGCATGGGTTACCCGTCCTAGATGGGTTCAGGGTATTTACAATTGTCTCTAAGATACTTAATTTCATATCCGCGCCCAGCAAGGAAGGGTATACGAACTTTTCCGTTAGCAAAAGATTGTCCCAGTTGATTGATATGCTAAGGTAGCGGGACGGCGACAAGTAATCGTTTGTGTAACACCGTAATTGACATCTTGGACTTCTGTAGTATATGAGACTGCTAGTAAGTGGCCTTTAGCCCAGGTGTCTGTTAGGAACGGTTTGCTACTGGAGAAGGTGGCACATAGGTAATATCGGAGATCTTCGTAGTCATACCACTTCACGCAGCGATTTAACAAGGCAGAGATGTAGGTCGTCTGGCTATTACTCCGTGTCTAGGTGTCCAATTTCCGATATTGGCCAACTGCTCTCGACGCACTCAGAACGCCCACGACGTCTCTCCAGCCAGTCAGCGTGACTACCGGAACCGCCTTCTCATAAAGATTTATCAAACAAGATACAACTGCCCCTGCCGAGCGGCGCTCGCTGTATCATATTTGTCTCCCGAGATTTTCGATTCCGCTTTCTGCCCTAGATCATGTCAGTTACGGGCAATTGCAAGATTAAAATTGCGGCCATAGAGACCTACCTAGATGCGGTCGGCTTCTGTTGACCTTGAATCCCCCGTCTCGTCCTCACCCTCTAGTCCCTGTTCTTCCTCATAGGCATCGGATATGGGGCTGTAGTGGTTGAAGAGCGCTCGCTGACAATCGATCACGCCGTCCAAAGCGTCCATGAAGATCTCGTGTTCCTCTCCGCCGCTTCCGTGTACTAGTTGCTGAAGTTCCGCTTTCTTGACAGAGCTATCCTTGTCCGGGTCCGAGAATAGCACCCAATCCGCCTTCGCGCGCAGACGCTCTAAGGCAGTCCCCAATACACCGTAAAGCTGTTTCCGCCATGCCCTGAACTCTTCATCAGATGAATCCCTAAACACAGCTTCGCGGCCTCCCAGAAGCGAGATCTCTCGGTAGAGCACGTTGTTGATCGTTCGAATGGTTGCTTCGGTAAGGAAGGCGTGGACAGTCTCGCCTCGCTGGAGATCCGCCTCGTGCTCGCTGAAGCAAGTACCGAAAGGTTCCCACCAAATAGATTCGCCCTCGACGGCCCTCCTTTTAAGATAGGTATCCCAATTGGCACAGCTGTCGCCGAAACCAAGCTGCCAGCAAGTGGAATCGATGACCATGCCAGGCGCTGCGTCCCAGCAATCATTTTCCGGCATCTCTGTGACAACCTTGACAACCGTGTGGTACCGGGCTTGGACTTCTCTGTCGATCGCTACGTTATTGTTGCCGTCGCCGTCGTCGCGGCTGCGAAGTAGATATGCTACCATGGGAGATCGGGTGACGGGCCTGAGGGATGGCTCTTGAATGATGGCGTCCAGACCTGCGGAGATCAATTAGCAGATTTCCATCTCACTGTGTAGCCCGTTTTTATAGCAGTTGAGCGGTCATACCTTGTAGGACATAAGCTAGAGTCGGCGAAGCTTCCTGAATAGCGAGACGACAGTTTTCGAACGAGTACGCTCGCAGCTGGATGTCCGTCGGTATGCCAGAGGGAAACAAGCGCTCCTCGGCTTTGGGCATCGTGCAAGTCTTCCATAAGAGTATGTCGCCCCGCCGTAAGTCGACCTCGGCCGCGGTTGCCCACCTTAGGAGGACATTCATGTGCATCACCCCCCGAGTCTTGATGAAGAGTTCGTTCAGCATGTGTCCGACGCGGGCGACCATTCGATCCTCCGGCCGCTTCTCGCCGCTTGCGGGATTGGCGGAAGCCATATTGTTTCTGTTTTCGCAATCTGTGGTGGAGGGAAGAAGTGCGGCGGCGGCGCGACCGCCGATACGTTCACCTCACTCGTGGCGGCCCAAAACGGTTTAGGTGGGGCAATCAGATTACATTTCGTAAAATCTGTCACTCCAAGTAAGCCTTACAGATGTATGAGGGCCCACAGGAGCCACATTGACGCTGCCAGCACGAATTTGCAAAGCAGCCCAAATCCCTCTAGGCTGCTTGATACACTGGCTGTTTTCCGCTTGTTCAATACTGTATCTAGCGCACCACAAACATTCTTGGCATCTAGAGATCAAAAGATATGGGTACGTCTCCCAGAAAAAGTGCACGGCAGTCGAATTGGACATGTCCACGCAAAAGACCCCGAAGACCTCTAGCAGGCATAAAGAAAACCAAGATTCTAGTCCCGGACGCCCCTCCCTATTCCTCTATATTTGGCACGAGCCTCTCCTTTTCCTTCTGCTTCTCCTCTGTCCCGATCAAAACGTAATCGATATCGTCAAACTCGGAACGAAGCTTGCTCAACTCCTTCCTCAACGCCGCAACGACCGTCTCTTTCGCCTGCTCAAACTCCGTATAGCTCATTGAGAGCAAAGTATCTGCGCTGCCCAGACGTTCAAGCTCCCCAAGCAATTATGCGGATAGTAGCTTCTTTGGTGAGAATGTGATGATGCTCTTCTTTTGTCCAGTCAGAATTGCTGAGCTCGCGTTGATATTCCTTCAAGAAGTATCCGAAGCGAAGTTTGCATTGACATTTATCGTCCGTCGTGTTATTGAGGTAGTATTCTTCGGCGCGGGCGCAGTATTCGTCAAAAAAAAGCCCAACTGGGCGCAGGAGGAGTCGAGGGTAATTCCATCTTGGTCGAAGATGGGACCTTGCGAAGGCAGAAAGCTCGGGGCCAGTCGATGGACGGTGTGCGTGTATTCTTCGATTTGGATGGCGTGGCCGCTCTCGAAGCGGGCTTTGGCGATGGTCTGCGGAAGAGGCTTGATGTAGAGATCGACGATACGAAAGGGCGAGTCTACACGTAAATATTAGTGTTTTATCTTCGAGTTCAAAGAAGTCGGCGTACCTTTGGTGATGTACCTATAGGCGAGGAATGGAGTTGCAATCTGCACGCCGTAGACGCAGCCATCCAGACTCAGAGTGCAATGCTTGTTCTCTTCGTTAACGTCTGTGCCACAGAAAGCTTCCTTAGATGCTGGCTTGGTGTAATTACGAAATACGAAGTTTCGTGCTTCCTGTACGTAGTAGTTCTTCTCTTGCCTTACCAGCACACGCTCGTACATCTCCTTTCTGGCGGCTATGAAGATCTTGTGGTAGAAGTCGCCAATGCGGGCGCCATCGCGGAGCCAACGGCGGTGGCGGCAGGTATCCTTGTGGTCGTCGGCGTCCTGCTCACCGTGGGCCTCGCAGCAGGAACGCACATCCTCGAGAGGAGTACCGGAGAAATCAGGATCTGGCGCATCGTTGCAGCCGGTGCAGGGGAAGTCGAGGGCAGCCTCGTCGCAGCTAGGGAGTGCACATAGCTCGAGGTTGTCGCCGCCGAGCTTCAGGATCCGGAGGGAGCTTTCTGCAAGGGACATGTTGATGCTGTGAGCTTGTAGAGGTAGGAGATAGTGATGAAATGGAAGTAGCCTAAGCCGTAGTGCGGAAAGGGACTTCGAAGGTAGATGGTGGTGCTAGAGGTAGAAAATTGAAGAGGGGCCTAGGCTGGGCTACAAATGCTGAAGCCATGGTGAAGTGAACACAGCGTCCCACGTACCCGAGGCAAATTAGCCCTGGAGCCTTTTGGTAGCCAATTTTTAGGGCATTTCACGCTAGTGAGTCCCCTCACCAGCCCCAATCTCCTTCCCACCTGCCCAAGTTCGAACAATTAAGTGTATATAATATATTCAATTTGAAAGCCTTTCGCCTTCGGGCAGTCTTGTATATTAGTCTTAGATAGCGTAGATAGGCAGTTGGCAGAGTGGCAGCTAACCGTGATGTAAACAGATTACCAAGATTCAGAACTGTGCTAACAAGTCGACTTAGGTATCCGGAGAGATGTAGCCGCAAGGTGAACTCTTTTTTGCTACTCATCCAAGGTTCGATTCCAGTATTGGCTCCTTTTCCTTTTTGCTTTTACTGCTGTGTTTTTTATGGACGCAAAGGTGGCGGCGGCAGGGGTGGGGTGGCGTTTGCAGTGAAGGCGGACGGGGCAACCGACGCGTTGCGCGGGCTGGAACACCAAACACCTAACATTGCTACTCGAAAAGAGACAGTTCTAACTCTAATCCTCCTCTACCGATGCACTCCTGCAGCTCTCCATTGCCAATAACGGGTTCACGCAGCACTGTCTCCAGCTCCCTCACTACCCGATCATCGCGGAACGCTTCCCCCAGGTGCTTCGCAATACCGCCCCATTTCTCCCATACGACCTCCAAGCTCCAGGTCCAACGCTCCTCCACACCGCTCTCCACATATGCATGCACATACTCCAGAAACTGGTCAGCCTGCCCCACATCCGTCTCACTCGCAACCGCTCTCCCCCCACCATCCACCCTCCGCTGTCCCCCAGCAGCTCGACTCACGAAGAACAGCACATGCTCGCAGATCTTCCAATCTCTGGATGCATTATAGCTCTTGACGCCTCCGAAATCGACGAGTATCACATCCGGGAGCCCGCCCTCATCCTCTCCCGGCCGCAAGATAACGTTTCCGCCCTGCTTGAGATCGATATGGCAGAGACCTCTGGTCTTGAGGTGGAATTGCGCTTGACAAAGTTGGACAAAGACGTGGAACAGGAGGAACGGAGGCAATAGGCCAGATGTGACGAGAAGCTGCTGAACGCTGAGGCCGGAGACATAGCTCATGGTGTACCATGCAAGGCCGGGATCATTGTCAAGAAATGAAGCGAGAGGGTATTCGGGATCGTTCTGAGCGGACTTGAGCTGGTCGAGGAAGCGGGAAGTGACAATACCTCGCTTTTCAGGATCGACGACTTTGAGGGCGACAAGCTGAGCGCGGAGCGCGGGCGCTGAGTTTTCGATCTTGACGGTTGTGCGGGCTGGTACGGCGCCTTTCCTTTCGATAGCTAAGAGAATAATGCCATCGTCGCCTTTGCCGATGATCTTGAGGGGCAAGTACTTCTCAAAAGCGGACATTGGGACTGTAGGCTTGACGTCGGTTGCCATTGCGTGTGCTGGATTTACGTAGGACGTGGAAATATCAGATGAAGCGAAGAGAGTAGGAGTGGGAATAGAAGCCGTCAAAAAAAAAAAAAAAGGACACGTGATTGCAACCCGAAGTACGCCAGTAAATAGATTATAGCCTCAAGGACAGAGAAAATGTTAAGTTTGCCATCATTGCTTGGAGCACTTCAGGCCACCAAATCTCCAGTCTAACTCTTCGCCTTAGCCTCAGCCTGCTCGCGCGCAATCCGCATCCAATTCTTCGGGTATCCTCTGCCAATCCTCCACTCCTCGCACTCCTTCTCCACTCTCTCCAGCAGAGCCATCCGCCACCCGCCCCCCGAGTCTTGCATTCTGCTGACCTTTCCATATGCCCAAGAGAGAAATCCTTCCGCCCTCGCTCCATCAGAAGCCTCCAGCACCCCAACAGCAACATCCACCATATGCGGACGGTCATCCACCGCATAGAATATACAGGCCGAGCAATTACCGCAGAAGTATCGCTGCACGTCCGGAGAGGAAGCGTAGTACGTGAGGGTGCCGATGGACGGGTCCTTCGCATCAACTAGAGCTTTGAGGTCAGTAGTCTGCTTGGGAAACGCCTTATCCGTGGACGGTGCAAAGGAGATGTTCTCCAGCTCTGCAAAAGTCCAGGTCCAGACATCGACGCCGCTGAACAGCCTGCAGGATTCGCAGCCGCAGAAACCAACAAGCGGCTTGTAGGTAGCTGGATCAATGAACCATGGGAGTTCCTCTCGTTTCTTGCCGTCGTAGCTTCCCCGGTGGAGGACGAGATCGACGCCCTTGCATTTGCAGCGAATCGGCAGGGAATCCTCCTTTCTAGCCTCGTAGCCGGTGAACGAAGAAGCGGCCGGCCAACCCCAGGGATACTCCTCAACGTTGTCTCCCTTGCCGCGCTCTCTGAACCGCTTCGCGTCGGTGCCATCCTCGTTCGGTTTACGCAGCCACATCGTGGCGCCGCCGTCGGTCGTATCGCCAACGTAGATATGGTCGACTATCTTGATTGGGTTGACTGTACCGTTCTGCAGCGTACCAGTAAAGATGCCGAGCTCGCCATCGGGCTTCTGAGAATGTGCAAAGAACATGGGTGTGGAGCACGTGCCGCAGAAGAGGATATCGATGGAAGGCGAGAAGTGGAAGGATTTGAGCGCGGAGGTGTCAACGTTCGGTCGAGGCTCGGGCCAGGGCGCGTCGATCGAATAGAGGGCACCTGTAGAGTGGCGACATGAGTCGCAGTGGCATGCGTAGGCTGGTAATGGGAGATTGCTTCTCGAAACTGTCGTCGTGAAGACGTGGGCTTTGCAAAGACAGTGCGCCGTAAGAGTCACAGTTTCCGCCTCGGATGCCATGACGTGGATTTGGTTCTCGCCGGACGATGGGAGGATAGGTATGTAGGAACATGGCAGAGCGGGGGATTGACAATACTTAAGAAAATGAGGCGCTGCGACTCAGAAGGGCGCGCATGCTGCATGACGCAGACAGCTGGCTAAGCGATTGGTGGAGCGGCTGCGGGGGGCTTCGTATTCTCGTATTAGAACAGGGCATGAACGCGAGAAAACGTGACAGCGCGTAGCGTCGTCGACAGCCACTCAGACCGATTAGGGTATATGCAGGGATGGGAACTTGATCAAGCACATAATTCTTAAAGTAAATAGATCTCCCCGTGGGCTTACTCCTTCCCAGGGTTAGTGATCACGCCAGTGAGCATGATAGCATCGTCCACCATGTTGTTCAACTGGTCGAATTGTCCCTGCAGCCACATGTCCAACACCACCTGATCCTGGCTAACAAACGAAGTGCGCTCCGGTGGAAGAACCTTCGTGCACTCCTTCAGGTCATTGATGTTGTTGACACCAAGTAGCGACATACGTGTGTACGCTTTGGCATAGTCCTGTAATTGTCAGCGGGAATTTTCAGCGTGTCTGAGCAGTACAATAATCCACTTACCAGATTCCAAGCATTCTGGCCTGTAGCGCCGGCGCCAAAAGCTGCCCAGTCCGCCTTAGTGCGCGAATCCCCGCTAAGATTGATGTCGCTCTGAAACTTGAGCACTCGAGGTGGCGGGTTCGCAGTTGTCTGCGGATAGAATGCGACATCCCAGATTCCAGGAGTGGTGTCCTGTGGGTCACCGTCCCTTGCGGTATCGACGAAGTGCTGCTGCGAAGTGGTATGGGCTCCGACCAAAGCAATGAGATCATGCGCATCGATCGTCTTTGCGGCGAAGAGCTTGAGGAGCTTGTCGGCCGAGTCGGTTACAGCAGGCAGCAGGCCAGTCGGTCCGGCTTTCGAATTGTCCTTGCGACCAACGAAGGATCGGATCCGTGGGCCGAGCGGACAGACCACAGTAGCGACATTGGCGCCGAATTGAATAAGATCGGCCATCGAGGCGCCGTACTTGTTGTACTTGTTGTACCAGGACTTCATTTGGTCTGCAATCGCTTCCAGGCCATCGTTGTCCGCGCGATCCATCTCGTTGGAGAGTAAGATACTTCCATCCGCGCCACCCGTGGTACTCGTATTTGTCCAAACTGCTGCGTCGTGGAAGCCCAACCGCACCGCTCCTCGTGCAAACTTTGTGCAGCGACCGGAGGTGCCGTTGAACTTTGCAGTCATTTCGTACGATATCCACTTCCACAAGCAGCACGGATCCGCTTTGCATGCAGCACTATCCACGGTGCCCGGAGGTATGGAAGAGTCAATCTCATTGGAGCGCGCGTCTTTCGTGTAGAGGAGAATGGCTTTGATATCTTTGCCAATAGCCGTGAGCTGGGAATCTTTGAGCGTCTTCAAGTCGCCGAGGAGCTGCTTCGGGTCAGCCCGAGCAACCAGGGCAGCCCTTTTCATCTCGGACATTGCCTCTCCCATGCCTGGGTGGGCGAGCGAAGAAGGAAAAGAGGAGAGAAGAGTATAGCTCAACAATATGACGGGCTTCATAGTGGAGAACCTAGGCCTGAAAGAAGAAGAAACAGAGAATCCTCAGCTAGGGGAAAAGAATGATCGTGACACAAATAGCAATGACTCCAGAGCTATCGAGCTACTTATACTCTCTCGATTGCGCATCGTGGGCCAGCTAGTAGAATGACCTCCAGTCTAGATGGTGCTCAAGAGGCGGGACAGAAGGACAAGACGCCGGTAGTCCCGTTCATCATGTTCCAAAGGCGAGAGAATAAATGAATACGACGTCGCACAGAGGGCACATGGGGCCTAAAAATACTCGAGGGATACCATCTGCCCGTCTTTCCGCTCGCTTGAGGACTGGTGTAGGTGTTGAGCAGAATTTCTTCGCTAGTAAGGTTCGCAGAATGATAAGAGCTGACAGCCAAGAGGGCGAACAGAGGCGAGATGATTGGTCCGACCTGCGCGCGAGGGTGAGTAATGCAAGCCCAGATTCGCCTACTCAGTATACGAGCTGCGAGTTCTGGGTACTACAGGTACTTCAATACGTACCTTATATTGCACCTGCAGCAGAGGGCGTTCTTCTGGAAAGTGGTACAGAACCGATGGACGGCGACGAGCACTGCTAGAAATCGCATGAATCACAAGGCCCGGGAATCTCCTGATCCGTGAACTCCAAAACTAGCAGCTATGGCAATGAGGAGGTCTTGGGGTCGTGAGGTTGTTTTGAAGTTCCATCAAACTCGACAGTCATCGCTTTGGCAGTGTATGACGGCGACCATTAGCTTGCGCCTGCGCGGAAGCTGATACGATATGGCCGGCAGAGATCGCGAAGACGCTCGTGGACTTGTAGCGGCCCGAAGAAGTGTCGCGCAATATACGGTCACGTCTCCAACGATCAAACAAAGTCGGCAAGTTATTCTTGGTGTTCGTGGGGTGTGGTCCCTGGCTAGGAAGCGGTAGATCGTCGTCATTAATATCGAGCCGTGTCTAGTCTGCAAAGATTTATTGCGCAGTCAGCCTCAAAAGTGAGCAAGGAGAGCTCTGGATCATACCATGTGCGTAGTGCGATAAGCTTGAGAGACTGAGCTCATGTAGCTATTTAGCCGGATAACGCAAGGCGCCCGAAGCTGTATCTGGGGAAAAGTCGATATCGGCAACGACTTCGTGTAAAGTACCGGAGGAAGAACGACACCAAGGACCCGGATCCAATGCATAGAAGCCGTAATGGTGGGTTCAAGCTCAAGTAGGGGCGAGCATCCGTCGAACAACTGCTATTAACCTGCACGCCCAAGAAGTCCCTGCCTAGCAGATAGAGCCGGAACTGCCACGGCAATCGCAATGTAGGTTGGTGGGCTATGAAATCGCAGGGGCCGGCTCCCCACAGGAAAAGTGTGCTTGGCCCAGCCATCCGTGCCCGATCTGGTAATCTCGTATGCGGTTGCTCCGATTCCAGCGAACTCTCCATCCGAACGCAAGATTCCGCCTAGCCGAAAGCCGTATTCGCTAACAAAAACCAGGACATGGCTGAAGGGCTCTGTTGTACCACATCAATACGGAACCGTATTCCATCGAGCATAACGCGGTCCCAGGTTATCCCTCTCAACTACCGGATGGGACTTCTGGTGCACATGTAAGCTCTGTACCACATCTTGTGGTGCGCGCAAAAGCAACAGCCCATGGTCTAAGGCCAGCGTTTGTCGCCCTGGCACGCTTACACACAGCCGTATTGGGTTCGAGAGAAGTCAGCTCGAGTAGAAAACGTACTGGGAGCCCACGTATTACTCCACTGTATCCGTCCATCTGGGAAGTTATACCAAGGTTAGCAAAAATCCACTAAAGCCGTCGGATCTCTTCATGACGTGCAATGAGCGCGTGCGCAAGAGGCGTCCATACCCCACCATACATGGACGTGTCCTGAATCCGGAGGATATCGTGTCGGGGGCTGGACTGTGGTTGTTATGCCCTAGTGCGAGCTGTCGTCGGTTCCTGGTGATTGCGTGCTTGCCGCGCGACGAGACTGTGGTGCCAAGTCGCCGGAGCCTCAAGGAGAGCAGCGCACGAACGCAAGTCGTTGTAGACGGATGATCCGAGCATGTTAATAGGTCGGACTTTGTCTGTGAATAACGAGTGCTGCCCGAAGTATATGAAATTGGACGACGCCGGGTTGAGGACTGGATGAAGGTCTCGTAAAAGGCGGACGGCGTCCATTCAGCTGAAGCGCAGCAGGTTTCTTAGGCGGGACACGAGGGTCAAATGTGCTGCAAAAAGACCTGTCAGTGCCTGTTCATGGGGAGACGCAATGCTTTGGATGATTTCGAGATGGAAGATGCGGTCTGGATGGCCGCGGCGGCACCAGTCGAGAACGGGAGGGCCGGCTCTCGTCAGCAGCGCCATCCCTGTTCGGGTTAGATAAATTCACTTCGCAGAAAGCCACTCTACGCCCATCCTCCACAGCACGCTCCGCCGCCATTCAGCGACGGCCTCGGCATCCTTCTAGCATGCCGTGGAGCTTCGAGATGCGGCTTACCTGCACGATTGCTGTAGGGTAGGGCTGCGAATGGCTCCCGGGCGACGAACCTTGGAACACTCTGTCCGCTTCAGCCAGCCGCAGCGTCTGCAATGGGCAGCGTGACGTGCTTTTGAATATTCCGTCCGTAGCTACGGTATATCAGGAGCTGTTCTTCCCACCTTGTGCTGTAATCTTTTTGGCTCTAATTATTCCATTCTACAAACATCTCCAGCAGACCCCCATATCGACAGAAGCCCTCTATCCCGCAGATACTGGCATAGTTTCCTTCGGCCTCCATTTGCGTTAGCTCTCTTGTCGCTATTTTCGCTATTCTTCTTGTACTCAAGTCATACTCATCTCTGCCTGCCGCTGCCTTCCCAGCGCATCTCCCGACATCATCCACCATGAAACGCCTCTCAGGCCTTTTCTCGGCACCCAAAACCTCCTTCCAGATCCTTTCGGACCTCCACCTCAACTACGAATCCCAGTATCTCACCTTCCACATCCCAGTCACGGCGCCGTACCTTATCCTCGCCGGCAACATTGGTCGCCTCATCGACTACGAATCTTATCTCTCCTTCCTTGTTCGGCGCTGCAACCTCTACGAGAAGGTATTCCTCGTTCTTGGGTCACTCGAATTCCACGGTCTTGGTTATCTCGACGGCCTAGAGCTTGCGGGAAGACTGGAGAAGGAGATGGGTACAAAAGGGAAGCTTGAGGTGTTGTGCAGGACAAGATCGGATGTGGCGGGTACGAATGTCACGCTACTGGGGTGCACGCTGTGGAGTAAGATTCCCGAGGCGGCGGAGGCCGCTGTTCTCAACAGGATCCCGGAATTTGACCAGCAGGAGGGAATACGCGACTGGAGCATAGCGAAGCACAATGCTGAGCATGCCCGAGATCTCGACTGGCTACGCCATGAAATTCATAACCCTAGGAGTTTCGCCGGCTCGGAAGCATCCGCGTCGTCGTCTCAGCTGGTAGTGGTCTCGTCATTCGCCCCCGAACTTAGAGAGACCCTGCCGCCGTGGCAGGTGGCATCCCCATGGTCCACGGCTTACGGTACCGAGTTGCTTTCCGGTAATGATTGGAACGGGGTGAAGGCGTGGGTGTGCGGGGCTACGGGCCGCAGCGGCGAATTCAAGAAGTATGGCGTGAAGGTCGCTAGCAACCAGCGAGGTTGTGTAGGAGAGGAAGTCACAGGGATACTGGAGGATGGAATGACGGAGAAAAAGAAGAAGGGGCTGTTTGACATTACGAAGGTTATCAGGGTATGATGGCAATATATCTTCTCCGGGGAGGCTCGTTCGCAACCCAGTAAGATTGGTGACCCGAAACACGATTTTGGGCGTGAGGCCCTCTAGTAAGGGGCAACTCCCAGCCCAAGACATGGGCACGCCAGGGTCTTGAGGTCTCTTGCAGCGCCTTCGACTTGTTGCCAACTATCCCCTCTCGTCGATCCGAACCCTCAAACCCCCCTCAATAATGGCCGCGTCAAGCTCTTCGTCACTCATAATCGGCTTCGCGAGCTCCGCTATCCAACAATCCGGAACCTGCACACCCACCGTCCTCCGAAAAGCCTCCACCACCTCCGCAAATCCCTGCCACAGCCGATCCAGCGCTAGCACCGGTATCCGCCTCTCCCTCTGCCGTCTGCCCGCTCGGACGAAGAAATAGAAATCGTCCGCAGCGGACACCATACCACGCTGCTCTTTCGACACCTTAGGGAGTTCCCGCTCCTTAGAAACCTCATGCATAACCGTAAGCAGCGTCAAGCAAGCATACTCCTCGCGGGCCCTCGTGTGCGGCCTGACGCTCCCGGGGTCCAACAACGTCATGCTGAGCGGCTCCGCGACTGCCGTGTCCCCAGATACCCCGTGCAGCATTATATTGCTCGGCGACAGATCCGTGTACATCATTCCGCGCGCCCGGATCGTCGCTAAGGCTGTCACGAGCTCGCGGAAAATCCAGAACACGAGGGAGCGCGGGAGCAAGGGTTCAATCTCAAGCAGCGTTTCTAAGGTCGCCCCGTGAATGGCGCGCATCGCATACCATGGCGCGTCCATTGCGCGGGACAAGCGAATTGGCCACGGCAAGAGCCTGGTTACTGGATCCCATGCCGTAGGGACCCCTGATGTTCCGGACGCTAGGGTTAGCTGTAGGTTTTGGATGCTGTCTAGCTCGGCTTGTGGTTGCGCCCCGGAGTAGGTCTTGAGGAGCTTGACGGCGACGAGTTTCTGGCGAAGAGCGGCGTATTGATCGCTGCTTTTCGGGGGCTCCTTCGGGAGGTCATGGATGGGGAGGGCGAAGTAGACGAGCCCACGGTTTCCTGCACCAGCTACCTTGAAAGGAATGTATTTGTCTCGCGCAGATCGCGGGAAGTCGATAGCAGAATTATCTTCCATTATTTTGTTTCGTTTCGTTTTCAAGGTTCCTTCGATGCTATGGTTAGGAATTTTGGAATCTGAAATGTGCTATGGAGCGGCTGTTAGGCTTCATGGTACGGTGAATTTATATCGAGGACATTGTCACACGACCGCTGAGCATGATCATATATTTCGGGTTGGCCGGCCACCGGAGCGCTCGCGACGAAGGTTGAGTGCCTTGATCATTGCACCGTTTCGCTTGACCGAGATAGGTTTCGCCCAAAAATTCACATTGAAGTCTAACCATTGCCCTCCAACAGTTTCTCAATCATCCTTCTTCCCAGATTCCTCATCCGCTCCCGCCGCTCTCCACGGCTTCCGCTTCCGCAGCCGCGGATGCGTCCTCCAAACCGCCAACACAGCTACAGTCAGTGCTATAGTGATGATCCAGTACAGCCACACCCACTCCGACACCACCGAGCCACGGTTAGCCGGACTAAAGTCCCAGAAGCTGGCGCTGAAAAGCGTAGCGACGAAAGTGCCAGGGAGGAAGAGCAGTGTGACGACGGCGATGACGCGCATGTCCGCTCCATAGCGGCGGTTCAGCTCGTTGTCTTTTTGCGCGAGAAGCGCGTACACCTTCGCTCGGATATCAGTTGCAGGTTTCATGGTAGACGGGACGGAAAGGATGGGACTTACCATCTGGACCTGCGCCTTCACAGACTCCTTGATGTATTCGTTCCTCCTCTTCGTGTTCGCGACAATCTGCCGCATCAGCATCAACCGATCTCTCATCTGCACGATCAACGCGGCCTCAGCGTCGTCAACATCATGGCTCTGCTCAATCTGCTCACTCATGTGCTCTATAACCCCTGCCGTATGGAGCATAGCAGACGTGTTACTCGCGACCGCGTTCGCCAGCGCGGTGAGCCTCCGCGGCATCTCGGTGAGGTCTGGCGCGACGTAGTCCTGTGCGAGCTGGAAGTACATGTTGCAGCCCATGGCCTCGCGGACGGGGATGTGGTCGTCGTAGATGGTGTGGGAGAAGCGCTCGAGGCCCGCGAGCGTGAGGTCCGTCATGATGAGGGGTGCGAGGAAGGGCTGGAAGGCGTCGTTTTTGGCGCGCTTGAGGCGCGCTAGAAAGGCGGTTTTGTCGGTGCGGTCGGGGCCGTAGCAGACTGCGTAGGTTGTCTTTGTGCTGCTGTTGTGGGCAATGCAGAAGGTGCAGGTAAAGGGGAGGCTGTAGATCCAGCGGACCATGAAACCTGCTGCATTGTCACTATTGGGCAGGAGCCCGGAGCAGAGGTATGATACATACCGCTCCAGGAGGGATTGCAAGGAACGGGATTGAAAGGCATGCTGCATGAGCTGCGGTCGCCGAAACAAAGAGCTGAAATGCGCCAGTGTTTCCCGAAAGCGTCTATCATCTTCGTCGAGTACGGAACGTGTCTTCTCGAATTGCGATGATACACCCGGGTAGTAATCAGGCTGGAAAGAACATCAGCTGGAATTAATAAAAAATCATAACGAGGACCGTACAGTCGCAATGCCCATCTCGCATTTGGGTCGGTCGCTGTCGCGCACAAGGCTGGGAGTTCCTCTCCGCTCTTTGGCTCCTCGGAATAACTTACTTTCGCCTAGATACTTAGTATGTTACGTGCCAGAAAGACTGAGAGGACTTACATTTACCTCCTTGATCTCTACATAAAGATGTTCATCGCTTGGCTCGAAAATGCCAGGCTCATTCAGCCAAGCTCGGTCAAAGCTGCAATCTCGAGCTGCAGACATTGTTGAGCGCTACAGCGGACTCATGGTATGCGGAACATAATGTGAACATGCGGTGCGGGTCCGGAGGGAGGCAACGGTGGCAGGCACCGGTGTAGGCTGAAGAGCTGAGGTTGACAGCGGAACACGAGGCTGAAGACGCATTTGGCTTGGCCTGGGGAAGCGATTGTGGCGTGCATACTCCTTCCCTATTCGTTCATTAGTGACCCCATATCCCCTTCAAGGTCACGGAAGGGCTCATAATGTCGATTCCAAGGTTGTTGCCCATTTCTATAAACGAAAAGGGACGGCGTTGGGCCATTTCAACCATAGAATGGGAGAGCCTGGTCGCTTTCAGAGGCGTATGCTATCACGGAGAGGCAGCCGCTTCCTTATGTAGGAGTGCATTGCGAGCTCAGAAACGGTATAGGAGAGTCTGAAGGCGTTTTGTTGCCAGTGCCAGAAACAGAATGAACGAGAATAGGAGGGCAAGCTTGGAAGCAGTATGGGAGAGCCGTGGAGACATCTGGGTCTCTCTGCAAGGTATAGGATTAGGGAGAACGACATAGCGGACTTTGAATCCGTCTGGAAGAGCCTGGAAGCCCTCAGCATCCGGAGAAAGGCGCGAGATTTGTCGTAGCAAACTGGTCTGTGACCCACCGCTCTTTTCACCTCAGTGTCTGCTCGCGCGGTTGCGTCACCGCACGACGACGACACACTCCCCCGACACAAGTTCTCCAAAATTCTGGATCTCAACCGCCAACAACACACCACCGCCAGCATCGTCAACGCTCACTCCGCAACTCCCAGCGCGAAGCCCTTCAAAGCCGCGTACATCCTCAGCTCTGCCGCCGCGATACTCCGCCTGAAGGCGTCCAGCTCGTCCAACGACATCTGCACCTTCGACGCCGCAAACCCCACCCTGACGCCCTCCAGCTCCTCCACCACAATGAGGCCCCCAGTCTCCTCCTTCCGCACCATCAAGAAGATCTCCAAGGACGAAGGCGGATCCGTATATCTCTGCCTCCTGCGCCGTCTCGATGCCAATACCGACCACCACGCTCAACTCATGGTAGTGAAGCAGCACGCGCTCCCAGAAGCCGTGAGGAAAGAAGCCAACATCATCGATTTTCTCCACCACCCTGTTCAGAGCGACGACGTCGTCGGATCCTTCATTCTTCGAGAGCAGGTCACCAGTATCGCTGCTTCCTCTTGGCTCTGCTTGCGTCCTATCTTCGGCCGGAATCTGCAGGACTTCGGCGTTCTGTGCTCAGATATCGCGGGTATCCCGAGCTATTTTTGCTGGCACATCTTCCTGGACATGGTCGAAGCCGTGGAGTACATCCACGGAGCCGGAGTCGCGCACAACGACATCTGCGCTTCGAATATCATGATCGATCCGAACCACCCGCTGAACGAGCACCACTTCCACGAATACCCGAACGTTGTCTTGATCGACTTCGACAAAGCCTCCGTAATCTCAAGGGAGAAAGCGAAGAGCGATGTCCGCGGGTTATTGATGGTGGTTGAGGAGGTTGTCACCAAGTGGAGCGATCTGGCTTCCGTTCTGGACACGCTCGAGCTCAAGTCGAAGAAGACGGATCCGCTTGCGCGGTTTGAGCGGGAGGTCTGGACTGTCTTGAAGCGGGAAGAGGAGATGACGGTGGAGGGGCTGAGGAATGAGTGGGGAGAGATGGCAGAGGCTGGAAGGGACGCCGGTCCGCTCGATATTCCAAGCTGGATGCAGCAAGTCATCCACAATGAGCTTGCTGCGACGGATGAGATGAACAAGGCAGCAAGGAGCAAGGAGATTGTCATCAAGTTCAGCAGGAAGATTTCGGAGTTCGGCGCCATCAGTGCTGACTGAAGGATATGCGATGACGAGACGAGAAAAATGAGGAAAAGCGAGCTGCTTACGGCTCGTGGGATTATACCCTTGTATGCATAGCTACTTGAAGGCTCTCAGGACCAGTTCTGCACCGCCCGGTAATATAGATTCTCATAGCCATTCCCTGGGAACGGCTCTTTCCGACCATGTCCTCTCTCCTTCCCAAGCCAGCCAATCTGATCTCGTGGTTGGCAACAGCCCCATGGCATTGACCTTCCATATGCCCAGTGCCAGCATCAGAAAGTTCATGAGGACATAGGTAAGCTTTACGGCGATGAGGCGGTTCCTGGTGCCGGGCGTCTCGAAGGGGGCGAAGGACTTCTGGATAGCGAGCACGGCCATGACGGGCGTCTTGAAGAGGGTGAAGACCATGAAGATGGAGAAGATCTGGAGGGTGTTGCCGGTCATGTACATTCCTTGATATCTGTTAGCATAGCTCAGTGTCAGCGTGTTCGGTGGGGATGTGAGCGTACCGATGGCATTCATAGGCAGCTGCTTCGCGGGGGCAATGGCGAGCTCCCACGCCTTCTTCATCTTGAGCGTGTCCATCTCTTCCGTTGTCGGCGCTTTCCTGGCTGCGTTCTTGGATGACTGTGACCGCTCTTTCCGGGTGAGGGAAGCTGTGTAGCCTGGTGGATCCGCGATGGATGCATTTTTCGGCGGCTTTGTGGCAGGGGTAGAGTTGAGGTCAATGACCCATTGCGGGGGCGGCGGAGGCGGTGCAGACATGGTGGTGTCGAGAACACAGCGGGCGGGATGCTGGGCCGGGATGCGTGCTCTCGTCGTGAAGCGTGAGGTTTGGCGATGTCGCCGTGGTGTTGAGCGGCTGTCAGGGCCCACTCGGCGCCCGCCTTGGCGCTCGCACGCCCCCTTCCGCACCAACCCGCGGACCTGTGAACGTCTCAAAACATTCAATTCACACAATTCACACCGTTCCCGCCTCCAGAACTCCCGCTGTTGCCCTTCGCGCAGGTTATTTTGCCCTCCCGATATGCGCAACGCGGTATTTGCCGGCTGAGGACCGTTACGCCCAATCAATTCTGCTGCATCCCGCGCAGTCGCCAGGGAGGGCGGCTAAGACGGTCTACGAAGAGGGGAGCTGCTGCTTGTATCGTGCTACAGCTGGGCGCATGCATCCCGGGACAGCACAGCCAGCGGACACGAGATAGCTAGCCCACCATGAGCACCGCCGGCCAGGACGCGAAGCTCTTTGCACGAGTACGTCCCTCCTTCCCCTCTGTCTCCCCACACCGCCTTCTGCTCGCTCTTGAGCTTCAATACATCTGTTCTCCTGTCTATTCCCCGCCTTCTCGCCGTCCTTGCGTCGCCATATCTGCACGGTATCGCCAGCATACCCAGATCCCCTGTAGCCTTACCATGTGTCATGATGTTTATCCCCTACGCTTTCGACAGCGCACGCTTACAATACCTCCGCTCCCCGCAGGGCAAAGTAGCTGAGCTGCGCCTCGAGCTCAACAGTGGCGGCAAGAAGGACAAGAACTTCTCCGCGAAGAAGACGGCCCTGAAGAAGATCGTCGCCAACATGACCATGAGCAACAACGACATGGTGGCCTTGTTTCCGGACATTGTGGGCTGCATGCACATACCGAGCCTGGAGATCAAGAAGATGTGCGTAGGGACCATATTGAGCCTTGAGAGGCCATGGCTGACAGATTCAGGTGCTTCTTGTATCTGGTCAACTATGCCAGGATAAAACCCGACATTGCCCTCAAGGCTCTCCCCATCATCCAGGAGGACATGCACGACAGCAACCCTCTCGTGCGCGCCCTCGCCCTGCGAACCATGTCCTACATCCACGTCCGCGAATACGTCGAGGCGACGGTGCCGCATCTGAAGAACCTGCTGCGCGACAACGACCCCTACGTTCGCAAGACGGCTGCTTTCTGCGTAGCGAAGCTGTACGATCATGATCGGCACATGGTGGAGTCGTCAGAGCTTATCGACAGACTGAACGGCATGCTGAGGGATGAGAACCCCACCGTGGTGTCCAGCGCCTTGGCAGCCCTGATGGACATCTGGGAGCGATCAGAGAGCATCAAGCTCACGATTGACTACGCGAGCGCTTCGAAGATCGTCTCCATTCTGCCGGACTGTTCCGAGTGGGGTCAGACGTATATTCTAGAAGCAATGATGAACTACGTCCCCCAGGATACAGCCGAAGCCGCCCTGCTCGCCGAGCGAATATCACCCCGTCTCTCACATTCGAACTCGGCCGTTGTTCTGACCTGCATCCGCGTCATCTTGTACCTGATGAACTACATTTCCGACCCAAAAGTAATCACATCATTGTGTAACAAGCTATCCCCACCGCTTGTCACCCTGCTCTCGAAAGGGCCTGAGATCCAGTATCTAGCTCTGCGGAACGCTCTCCTAATTCTTCAGCGGAGACCTGAAGTGTTACGGAACGATATCCGCGTCTTCTTCTGTAAATACAACGATCCCATCTACGTCAAGGTCACGAAGCTCGAGCTGATCTTCATGCTGGCGACGGAGAAGAACATCAAGGAGGTTTTGACGGAGCTCGCTGAGTGAGTCTTTCTCTTTTGCACGTGTTGGTCATATCTAATAAGGCACTCAGATACGCAACGGAAATCGACGTCGACTTTGTTCGCAAATCCGTCAGAGCCATTGGCAAGCTCGCAATCAAGATCCCTCCAGCCAGCCAGCTCTGCATATCGACACTCTTGTCCCTTGTCAGCACGAAGGTCTCCTACATCGTCCAAGAAGCCACTGTTGTCATCCGCAACATCTTCCGCAAGTACCCGAATCAGTACGAATCCATCATCTCGACGCTTTGCGAGAATCTCGATTCGCTTGATGAGCCAGAGGCGAAGGCCGCCATGATATGGGTTATCGGCCAGTATGCCGATAGAATAGAGGACAGTGATGTGCTATTGGACGACTTCCTTGATTCTTTCCGAGAAGAGACACATGAAGTGCAGCTGGCGCTGCTCACAGCGACCGTAAAGCTCTTCATCCAGCGACCCACACGAGGCTCAACGCTGGTCCCCAAAGTTCTCAAATGGGCTACCGAGGAGACGGACAACCCGGATCTGCGCGATCGAGGCTATATGTACTGGAGACTGCTGTCCTCAGCACCCGAGGAAGCTAAGAAGGTTGTCATGGGCGAGAAGCCGGCCATCACAGCAGAAGAGTCAGAGAAGCTGGATCCTGGGACGTTGGAGGAGATGTGTCTTAATGTCGGCACACTCGCCACTGTATATCTAAAACCCGTGAACCAGGTGTTCCGATCTGCTCGCCCAAGGAAGTTGCAGGATTCGGTGGCGCTGCAAAGGCATGAGCTACCTACGGCCAAGGCTGCACAGCAAGCCCGCGAACGCGCTGCCGCAGAACGCACGAAGCTCGACACATCAGCAACGAACGGGAATGGCACGAATGGAAACAATCTCGCTGCTGCTGCCGCCCACGAGGCGGATATATACTTTGCTGGCGTAGGGCGACAGAGTACATTTGGTGGGAGTCCGATCATGGCGGAGCAGGGCGGGGGAGGCGGCTGGGTGGTCAATCAGCTTGCGCCGCAGCAGGCTGTGATGTCGCCTGGCGGTGCAGATGGCAACCAGGATCTGCTGCTGTGAGCTAGTAGGGAAAGGGAGTCTCGGATGCCTCAAGGTACTTCGTATATCCAGACATCTGGATCACGACAGAGGTAATAACATAAAGCGGGGCAGCATAGTATGCACCTTCTCCCAACAACTTCGCAACAGGGATCGTGAAAGCCTTCAGCGCCTTTTCCGCAGCCTTTCCGCTACCTAGTCTCGTGGTACCTCTTCAAACTTGGCGTATACAGCGAGTTCGTCTAGAGCCCGTCTCGCTCCCGCAATGCATACCCTGATGGCCCTCAGGTCTTCTCGCCATCGCTGATCCAATCCAATCCGTGTAAGCAGCGCGTCGTATGATAGGACAATGCCCCGCTTCCAGCCATTCTTAAGGTTGTCACAAGATATGCAGGTCTCTATGGTTTCAGCGTCAGAAGCGAGCCATTATCCAGTAATTGGAGCGGAAAGCAGTCATGGGGCGTGGTTTGCGTGGCGCGAAGCATGGCGGCGTGCGGGGGAAGGAGCTTGGACCCCTGCAAGTGCGGTGCAGGGGTAGCTTTTCAAATGACGTAAGTTCAAAAGGGTGACCTGATATTTCGTGCAAACGTTCTCACTACTGCCTGGAGACTTCCTTTATTTGCACGTTTTCGCCAGCGAAAAGTCGTCTTTGCTCTATCAACTACCTCCCTTTTTGATATTTTGACAGATTTTCGTCGAAAACTTCGTCAACATGTCCGAGAACGGCGTTGCTGCTAGCGGTGGACGCCGCCGTAAGTATACTCTTCAGCTTCTTTACCGCCTTTGAGCGTTTCCAGCGCTTTTGCTTGCTTTCAGAGCCTCAATCTGAGCTGTTTCTCCGTTTTTGAGGACGTCCGGGCTGACAGACCACCAGTAAACCCTTTCTCTCGCCGCGAAGAGTTCTCCCCGCAGGCGCTGATCCTGCACCGAGTCTGCACGCTCGTGACCTACCTCGTCTTCCTCATCACGGCCATCTACTACACCTTCAAAGCGCCCGGCGAGGGCCACAAGCCGCGCCGCACCATCTGGGGCAACAATCGCCCAACGGCATTTGCGCAAAACAGCGTCATTACCTCCATCTACTGGTAAATATACCGATTTCCTGTCAAGCCTTAGCTTTGTATTCGAGGCTGATTTGAGAATAGGATCGTCATTTTCATCCTCCAACTCGTCTACGCCTGGTCGCTTTATTCGAGCAATGTCGTCTACGTCAATGCGGCTGCGAACATTGGCTCGCACTACATTGCGTCCAACCTGCTGCTCTTTGGCTTTATCCACCTTTGGGTTCGCTCGTACTTCTGGCTCGCGCTCTTGCTCATTGTCATCAACTTCTTCAACATGAGCGCGGCATACTTCCGCCATTCTACCACGCCAAGACTCATCCACATCGGCACCATTGCGGGCCCGCTGGCTTGGAATTTCGTCGCGCTGTACTGGGTCGGAGCGATGGCTGTCCACAAGGATAATCTCGCTGCGCGAATCGTTGGGAATATCTTCATCTGGGGCTTTGCTGCGTACGGCATCTTCTTCCTTGCCGCGTTCAAGGACTACACCATGGGTTTCTGCCTCTCGGTTCTTGCGTTCTGTAAGTTTGTTCCTGTTTCTTGTTCACCTCTAAAGCGAGTGTTTTGCTAACTGCAATAGCCACCGGCGTCGGCCAATTCCTCGGTAAAATCATCGAACTCCAATGGATCTTCGCCTTCGCCATCGGCGCCCTGCTCTTCGTGCTCTCCCTCGCCGTTGCTTTCCCCGCTTGGATCGGCAGAGATATCTTCCCCCGCGGCGAAGTCGTCTCGGAAGATCGCGAACGCGCGCCCTTGCTGCAGGATGAGTGAGTTGATAAAAGAGAATGGATTTAGCGGTGCTTTTGCTTTTGCTTTCCCTTTGCTTGGTTGTTTGTTCTACTGTCTTTTCCTTTTGCAATACTAATGAGGGTCACGCAGCTTGATGGGCTTCGGCGCCTTTGCGAGGAATCTGCGCGGCTGGTTCGTTAGTCGGCGCGATGATGGTGGTGATGATGGCAGCTCGGATACAGACTCTTGGGACTGGGATGAGCGCCCGCTTCTGGGCCGCGATATCTCAGATACCGAGTAGGTCTTCTGGCTGGCAGTTGTGGTGGCGGCGTTTCTGGCTGGGACTTCTTTATCAATGGATTGTGGTGGCATAGCATAGCATTCTGCAGCGGAGATACCCTCTCGTCGCTTGCTGCCAATAAAAGGCGTTTCTTTGCTCATTTCTACTCGTGCTGGGATGGGTTGTGTGATGGGAGATGAAGGCCGCTGGGCTGGTTGATACGTGCACAAATTACTCTAGCCTCGTCTACATTCCGTCACGAACCGCTGTCATCAGCCTCACCTCGTCTGCCGCGAGGGGAGTTGAAAGTCCTCATGCTGCCTCATACCTTGATCATTTCTACAATTTCGATCTCTACTCTAGTCCCTCGCACCGTTGTCCTCAGTCCCTTCCCTTTAGCAGTAAAAAAAGCTGAAGTTCATCAGGCTGGGCGATCCGTTCACCCATATCTACAGTCTCGTCTGCACGCTCCATCTTGGATCTCCCTCCTCAGCTTTAAGCCGTCTTCAGTCAATCAAACCGAAAGCCTCCAGGCTACTCTATGCCTTCGCCATATCCACTCCCACATTCACAATTCTCCACCCCAAGGCTCAACTCCACCTAACTTCCTTAGCCCCCTTCAAAGAGCTGAAGGCCACCAGGTTCCCTTATGAGTTAGCCCGCTACGTTTTTATATACTACGAAGAGGCACGGGGAGGAATATGGAAGCTTCTCCAAAGATACTGGGACGGGGGATAGTATCGGCTTCGGTTTAGTGTTCGACCTTCACTCAAACTCCCATCCCACACGTAAGTGAACAGGAAGAAACCTACAGCAAAAGACCAGCCTTGATTGCCTAACTAATCGATTTCCTTTCGCTCTAAGTCACCAATCTACCATGGTGAGTCTGGCGAACAGCAAGCAGCGCTTCTGCCTGCGTACAAAAGGGGCTCTCAGTAATCCACCTCCAATCTTGACCTAGAATATCCTCATCCATGACATCGCCCACGCTCCCCAGTACCGCTCGCGGGCTCTACACCCCCCTGTACGAGCTCAGCAGCGGCTACCGCGGCACAGTCTTCATCTGCCGCCCCTCAACCCCCGAACACTCACCCCAGCAGCACCCCCTCGTCGCCCTCAAAGTCCTCAAACCCACACCTCTCAAACCCACCGCCGCCCAGTCCCGCACCGCGACCTTAACCGCCCTCAAAGCCGCCCAGCAGCAGCAGCGCAGCAACATCCCACAGCTCCTCGACCTCTCCCACGCCAGCGCCGCCCGCTCCGCCTGGTACACCATGTCCCTCATCCAGGGCTGCACGCTCGCGCAGTTCGCCGCCGCGTACGCTCAGCCGCTGCCGTTCCCGCTCGTCTTCCACGTCTTCGCGGAGCTCCTCGCCGCGGTGCGGTTCCTGCACGCCGCGGGCCGCGTGCACGACGACCTGGGCGCGGGGAACGTGATGCTCGAGTGGCCCGGCGGCGGCGGCGAGTGGCCCGGCGTGGTGCTGGTTGATGTGGATGACCTGAGGGAGACGAGTGCTAGACGGCCGAATGGGTGCGTATGGCATTTGTTCCGGTTTGTTGGGGGTTTGTTGCGCGAGGGGGAGGCTGGGGCGGGGGAGTGGGAGGGGTTTAAGGCGGGG